TTGTCAGGTCGTACCCGGATTCGAACCGGGGTTGTCCGGATACAAAACCGAAAGTGATAACCACTACACTATACAACCGAAGCTGATGCCCTGTGAGGACTCATGGTAACCATTATGGAAACTTTTCCAATTAGCTAATATCTTAGTAATCAAGATTTATAATATTAAAGAACAATTAACTAATATATATTATATCTCTGCAGCTACATTTTAAATCGTATAAATATCTGGAAGTACGTCCTGAGTTAAAAGATGGGCTCAAGCAAGTTTAAATATTATTAATTTTTTTTTNTTTTTTTTTTTTTAATTGCATGTATCTGATATTAATATTCACAATATATAACGGGCTGATTCATTTTTTTTGAAAAATTCACGTTATATTGTGTATTTATAACATGCTATATTAAAAATAATGTACAAAATCACTGGGGACTCAGTCTATGACTGATTTATAATAAAAGGGATAAATCAGAATAAAAACAAGTAAGAATGAACTAAAAAAGCTGGCCATTGTTATAATTGGAGCAATTGTAAAATTTGTGGAAATCACCAAGATATTCCTAATACTTTTCTTGATGAAGTCCTAATGGTTTGTTAATTAGTTGATTCTAAGGTGACTGAACCACTAGCTAATTAAAGGAGCTGAGCATGAATGCTGGATGAACCTGGAAATTATAGAAGTAAAAAATGGCATAGGATTAATTGAAAAAAGAATTGTTGATCAATCAACATATGGGTTGGCTAACTAACTGACATCATCATAGTAGTGGATTGGGGAACGTTTGAGCTTCCGGTATCTGGCTGCCTCTTGCTCTATCTTGGCCAGGTCTGTGGTGGGTGGGCTAAGAGTACGACGTCTCTTAGCTCTTAAGTACCAAATTATATATAAGCCCACTTATATACTTGCATATATATAATTAATATTAATATTTAAATTATATAGTCGACAGCTAGCGCATGTTGAAATTTGTTATAATAGTAAGTGATCCATTTATATTCTATAAGCTTTTTATAATATTAATATTATATAAAATATCTTTAAATATTATATTATACATGCGCAGCAGTACGACGTACATTAATATAATTATAAGATTATTATACAGCTGTAAAATTCATATATGAATGCAATTAATAAATAATATATAGAACATAATAGTAAACAAAATACATAATATATAAACTTTGCAGTCGACGCATGATCAAATCATAACCGCTAAGGAATAAATAACATAACATAGGACAACGAATGATTCTAGCATATATGATCATTAATATAACGAATCATTATAGATTATTGTGCATCTTCTTGGATATTAACACCTTCAATCAGAGTCATCACTTCACCGAGGTTCAATCTTTTATTCATATCAATCGTTAGACACCCAACCACAGTGTCATATAATTCTTGGTTGTTTTGAGCAGCAATTTTCAAAGAATCAGTATCGTATTTACCAGCTGCGATCATAGCACGTAACCTAGGTTCAAAGGAATGTTGGAATGGAAGTTTACCAACAATCATCGTGTACAGCAGAACACCAAACGCCCATATATCAGCAGATGGTCCTAAAGGTGGTGGTGAACTTTCAAGCAATTCTGGAGCAGCATATGGCAACGATCCAATGTGCGAGTGTGGAAGGGTTGCATCAATTAGCTGTTTGGATTCATATTCAAAAGGTTTTGGAGAAAATGGTGAATCAGGGACAGAACCTATTGCTTTCTGGTGATTATCAGTATTTGTATTGATTTTAGAATCCTCATTTGCTGATGATCTTTCAGAAAAAATTTTCAGTAATGACTTTGGTGATTTCAAACTATTTCCAGAATAAGATCTTGGAATTGAGGGACGTCTTTTGATTTTAGTATTGTTTTTAGGCAATGTCACTTCATCAGAATCTATTGGGTTCATGAATCTTAAACTCATACCAAAATCACACAACAGAATTTTTCCCGAAGAGGTTTTATTAGTCACCAAACAGTTTTCAAGTTTAACATCACCATGAACAATTCCCTTTGAATGCATGTACATCAATCCAGACAAAATATCTTTAGTGTATCTTTTGATTATCGATAGTCTCTCTTTAGCTTGGATAGATTTTGAGGGATAAACTCCCCATTTTGAAACCAAATCAAATAATGTACCACCATATGCTCTATCCATTAAACAGTAAATAGCATTAGAAGATTCTTTAACATTGATTAATCTTAAAATATTATCATGGTGTAACTGTGCCCAAATAATTGTTTCTCTTTTGAAAAACTCGCGAGCAGCATCATTTTTAACACGAACAATCTTCATTGCCCTTGTTTGACCTTCAGGTGAAGTACATTCTCTTATAATACCCCAAGCACCATAGCCAATGATTCCTCCTAAAGAATGGTCCAATACTATATTTTCTTTATCATCGGCTTTGTATGAACGATCACTGAAACTTGATAAAAATTGAACTGCAGGTGAACTTTTTTGTCTCTTTCTGAATTTTTTCTTCACAATTTTATTAATTGTCTCAACATTACCATTTGGTGAAAGGTCAGCCAGTAGTTTCCGCCTCACTGAAAATGGTAAGTCTGTAAAGTTGTGTGGTAGTTTGGCTATAATCAATTCTTCATCATTTGTTAAGCCTTCTTCATCTGTTTTAATACTGAGCCCCTCTCGTTTTGGTCTTGGAACGGTAACTGGGCTGACCTGAGAATGAAGTTTACCAACTGGAGTTAATGGACGTGAAATCATTGATGATGGCATGCTATCATTCAATGAAGAATCATAAGAACGATCGTAATTTGCACCAGCATAATAAGAATCAGTCCATTGTTGAATAGTATTACTGAAATCAAAGTCAGGAATGTATTCATCTTCAAGGCCCTTATATTTTGGGGCTTCAATAGCGGTATTTGCTTGATAAAAGTTTGAAAAACTTCTAGCTGTGAATTGTAATGGACTATCTGGTACATACTCGGACTGACGTTCAAAAAATTTGGTTCTGTGTGGTCTGTGCCTTTGATCATCAAACATTCTTCTGCCATTCACCTGACTAAAGTTTGATGTTTCATTTTCTGAATATATTCTATGCAATTTTGAAGACGATTTGTTAACATCTTGCAGTTGACCATATGGTGTGGTCTTCCTCAGTTTGTAAGCAGGCGAAATTGAAGATTTGATTTGAAGATCATCTTGACTACCGATTTCCGACAGTGTTGAGCTACTTCTTGATGGAGATGCTTCATTTTCTGGTCGTTGATGATGAAAGCTGTTGTTTGGATTTAATGGTGATGAAGAGGATTGTTTTGATAAGGATCTTGAACTTGAAAGTGATGATAACAGACTTGATTTGGAATCGAAATTCGATTTAGTGAAATTGGAGCTGTTTGCCATAGCTCGTAGGTTTTGGTGAAATCAGCAGTATTATAACAGCTGTTGTATTAATTGGATCAAGCACAAATGATAATGTTAAAAGGTGCCAAAGCAGTGCTTTATCTCTTGAGATTTGTAGTGATCTTTTTCTTGGATATGAAAGAAGGAATGTAAAAAGGATAAGAAATCAAATTAAAACAGGAAGAACATCACCAATCTTTGATTGAGCCCTTTTGCAATAATAACCGAATAATACAAGTAATTTTCTGTCCCTGATGTATCAGCCTTTCTAAAAACTTGCCATGGTTTTTGAGATTTTCTGTTTTCTCTAAAATAAAAAATTGGTCGAGACAGCAAGGTCGGATTAAATGTCAGAAGCGTGATCAATTTTCGCGAAATATCCTCGTAATTCGTTTCCAGCCAATTGAAGAATTCGAAAAACCAATTCTTCGAATCAGAAAAAAAGTATAGAAAACAGCTTCAGAAACTGTTGAAATCAAGATTTGTACTGTTCAGTTCGACTCAACTTTCATTAAATCTAACAAATAATTCACAATGGGAGGTGCACCACATGCTAAAGCTTATATGGGATGGTGGGGTTCTTTAGGTAAGTTTCCATCGATAGAGTGATTAATTTTTTTTTGGCCTAGGATACTAACAATCTTTGTTCAACAGGTTCCCCAGCTCAAAAAGGTATCACTACCTATGCTGTTTCACCATTCGCTCAAAATGTCTTGAAAGGTGTTGCTCACAATGCTATCTTCAACGTTTTCAGAAGAGCTAAAAACCAAGCGTTCTTCATCATTGTTCCAGGTGTTATCATTTGGGAATGGTGGGCTCATGCTAGAGATTACAACGAATACTTGTACACCAAAGCTGGTAGAGAAGAATTAGAAAGAGTTAACGTCTAAGAAATCAACTTTTAGATGGAAAAAAAATTACAAATTTATAACATATTCAGCACTTTGCATACAGTGGAGAAAGACAATGTTTTGTTTTGCTCTGGCAATCAAATCCACAAGATTATATATATACAAATAACTTGGATATTTTTTGGGTACATACACGGTTTTTATTTATCATTCACAATACATACAGTAAGATTTGACCCTTCATGTTAGAGCAGCCTACGTCAATATGTAAAAATTATCAAAAACCACATATCTATTATTGCAAAAGTTTATCATTTGTAAACACGAATATTACTTGTACTATCAATTCTAAGATTATTTAGCACGCTTGTAAATTTTTTCTAAAAATTTAGTTAAAACTTCACCTTTGAAACCTCTACTTTCATCAACTTTGGCAATTTTTTCTTTCAAATCTGAAGCTGTTTTTTCTTCATAATCCAAATAAATTTGTTGAATGCCCAAGTTATGGAATAACTCTTTTACATTCTTTTCAGAGTCATCATTCTTTTGACCATAATGTTTATCTAATAAAGCTCTTTGTTCTGGAGTGACTAATTTCAATGCAGTATTAACAACCCAACTACATTTGTTATCTTGAATATCAGTACCAATCTTACCAATATCTTCTGGTTTACCAAAACAGTCCAAGTAATCATCTTGAATTTGGAAGTATTCACCTAATGGAATTAAAACATCACTAGCTTGTTTCAAATCTTTTGGATCATTGATACCTGCAGCGAACATAGCTAAAGCAACTGGTAAATAGAATGAGTAATAAGCAGTTTTGAAAATGACAATGAATGAATGTTTTTCCAATGAGAACTTTGATAAATCAACGTGATCTTCTGGAGCAGTGATTAAATCAAGCAATTGACCCAATTCAGTTTGGAATGTAACATCATGGAATAACTCTAATAAATCAACATAGTATGATTCAGATTTGAAATGCTTCTTTAATAAAACGTAAATAGCAGCCTCCAACATAAAAGCATCATTGATAGCAATGTTTCCAACATTTTCATTTCTATACCAACATGGTTGACCTCTTCTAGTGATTGATTGATCCATCATGTCATCAGCGACTAAGAAATAGGCTTGTAATAATTCAATACACCAACCCAAGATTGCAATTTTCTTGTATTCTTCAACTGATAGATCATCAGCAGATTTTAAACCTTTCAAAACAATGTAGGTATCAACAACAGAAATACCTCTGTTCAATTTACCACCTGGAGTATTATAGTTCAAGTTTCCTTTATACCATTCAATGGCTTCTTGGCTCATACCATAGTCTTTCAAGACTTGAAGTAATTCTTCAACCAATTCAGGGAAGACGTTCAAAAACTTATCTCTTTTGTAAACTTTGTCGGACATTGTAGCAATGGTGTGAAAAGAATGAGGAATGAAATGTAATAATCGTTCAATTATTTTCAGTTGATGTTTATGCACTTAAACGAGAAAATCTCGAGCTTCAAAATAAATCGAATTCGCGAAGATTCAAGAGCGGGTAAACGATCCCACAATTATTATGTAATCAAAATACGCGAATGTGTTCTGTGAAAATGTTGGTTAGGACAGGTCCTCATCGCTGAAAAAAAATTTTAAAGGCTTTAATTATTTACTTGAGTAGAATGCAGATTGATCATTAACACTAAAGAGTTTGAAAAACTAGTAATTCAAATCATGGCTAAAGCAAAACTTAAAACTGCATTCAAGAACAACAAGGCTGTTGAAAAAGCCAACAAAGAGAACCAACAGAAAGTTGAAAAGGCCAAAGAAAGTTTAGACAATCAAGGTCCTGTCACAATCACCAAAGATGATTTGAAAGATAGTGAGCCTGTTGTTCAAACTGAAGCTAAAGCTTCAAAGAAACCATTGAAAGGTAAAGACACAAAATCAAAGAAAGATGAAGAATACAAAAGTGATGTTTTATCAAAGAAAGAACAAAGAAAATTACAAAAAGCCATCTCAAAAGCTCAAGGTGAAGAAGATGAAGATGAAGAGGAAGAATCTGGATCAGAAGAAGATGATATTGAAATTGCTGAGGATGAAGATTCTGAAATGGAAGAATACTTGTTAGACCTTGAGAAATTAGCTAGAAGTGATAGTGAATCTGAATCAGAAGATGAAGAAGATGAAGAAGAGGAAGCCCAGGAAAACGAAGCTGAAGAAGAAGATGATGAAGAAGATGATGAAGAGGATGACGAAGAAGAAGAAGACATTCCATTATCTGATGTTGAGATTGATTCTGATGCTGATATTGTTCCACATACCAAATTAACTATAAATAATGTTGGTGCTTTAAAGAATGCTTTGACACGTATTCAATTACCATGGGAAAAATATTCATTCCAAGAACATCAAAGTATAACATCAGCACAAGCTGTCGAACCTGAAATCAAAGATATTTATGATGATACTCAACGTGAATTAGCATTTTACAAACAAGCATTAAACGCGGCTCTTCAAGGTCGTACTAAATTATTGAAATTAAAAGTTCCATTCACTAGACCTCAAGATTATTTTGCTGAAATGGTGAAATCTGATGAACATATGGATAAATTGAAATTTAAATTAATCAAAGAAGCTTCTGAAAAGAAAGCATCTGCTGAAGCAAAGAGACAAAGAGAATTAAAGAAATTTGGTAAACAAGTTCAAAATGCAACTTTACAAGACCGTCAAAAACAAAAAAGAGAAACTTTGGATAAAATTAAAGGTTTGAAGAGAAAGAGACAAAATGAAGAAATTTCTGCCAATGATTTCGATGTTGCTGTTGAAGAAGCTACTGCTGATATTGATGAACGTAAAGATAGAAACAAAAGAACTAAACCAAACGCTAAAAGAATGGCTAAGGACTCTAAATATGGTCAAGGTGGTATGAAGAGATTTAAGAGAAAGAACGATGCTGAATCAAGTGCCGATATATCTGGATTTTCACAACGTAAAATGAAAGGTAAATCAGCAAAACGTCCAGGTAAAAGTAAACGTAACAACAGAAAATAAGGAGTTCGATCAATATTTTGTAAATTAGTTTCATATACATCATTAATTTGAATACAAATTGTAGACTCTATAATACATATTTCAATTCATCTATACAAGGAGACCAAGCTCCTTCAAATTATCAACAAGTTCTTTATCAATATATTTGGCCAACGTAGGTTCACCATTCAATCCTTTTCTTTTTCTTGTCTTCATGACGAAATCTCTTGCTAAGCTATTAATATGCGCAGGTCTCAATTTAGGAATAAAAACATCTTGGTCTAAAGGATCACCAGGAACGACTGTCCATTTTTCAAAGTATAACGAAACAAGAGCTTGTCCTTGGGTTGCAACTCTAATATCAGTCTCTAAACCAATGGAATCAATCACTGGAACAAAACCTTGAATTTTGTATAACTGAGTAGCAGCTATCGGTGTATCTTTGAAAACTGCACCACGTCTTTTATCCAAAATGTCTTCAATAATTCTGACAGTCTGAGCAGTTGAAATTATTTCAATTGAATAGACAGGTTCCATAATTTTTGGAGTAGATGTCAATATTGATGCATAACATGCTCTTCTCACCATTGGTATTATTTGACCATTACCTCTTTGTAGAGAATCTTTGGACAAAGAAATATCAATTAACTTAAATTTAACGTTCCTTATTGGCTCATCAGCTAAAGGACCTTCACGAACAGCCCATTGGAAACCCTGAATAATTGATTTTTTGACACTGTTCAATAAATTTGTATCAACTTCATCAGGTAATGTGTCATTAAGTAATGTATTAGGACCATTTGAATCAGGGCCAAATGTCCATAATGATCTAGCAGCTAGAGAGTCCCAGCCATAATTGTCCCTAAGAACTTTATTAATACGTTTCACATCTTTGAATTTGTTGTTTTCGATATCAGTAGCCAAATTTTCCTCTAGTGGTTCAGCAATAATTGTGATCTCATTCTGACCATTTTGTGATTTGATAGAGACTTTAGTAATACTCTTGTCAACAACAGTTTCAGAAAATTTTGTTATTGGGTCCGAAATTTTGATATTTATTCTAGTCATTTCTCTCAAATCACGAAGCAGGGAATCAAGATATAATTCACCGGAGCCAAAAATAACATGTTCACCACTTTCTTCAACCTTGACTTCCACACCACAATATGTTTTGTTAATTTTTCTTAGACCATCGAGTAATTTTGGTAATTCCGAAGGAACATCAGGAGCAACCACAACTTTGAACACAGCCTTATTGATATAATCTATTGGTCTGAAAGTGAAAACATCTTCTTGAATATCATTACCCACTATTGTCCCCGATTTTGAAATAACCTCTATACCACCAACGAGAACAATTGAGCCAGCTGGTGCTTTATCAATGGGTATTTTGTATCTCCCACAACCTAAAAACAACTCATCAACAGTCAAGATTTGTAAATCTTCATCATCGTCATTGTAATGTTCACCAAGAACTTTGATAGTTTGCCCCTTTTCAATTGAGCCGGACAGCACTCTAACCAAGGCAGTAGAATTTTCTATAATTTTTCCAACCTGTGCAACTAATGGTCCCTCTGAAGATGCAAGCAAAATTGATTTAGATAGGTCACTTTCAGGTCCTGTGTAAAGGTTTGTTTTTGAATGCTCTTCTGGCGATTTTAATCCTTCAATAATATCAACAAAGCCTTGTGATCCCCCAAATATCAACTTGAACGTCTCTTTCAACAATGTTTGTGCATCAGATTTGAGTAGTTGTTTATCAAGACCAACGTTAAAAGACTCATATAATGATTTTTGAAGATCTTCTGGCTCTGTTGCTAAGACTAGGGAAATTATTTTGTATAAAGGCTCCAAGATGAAATGAATAAAACTTCTTTTCAACCCTTTTGAAGATTTGGTAGTGAATTTGTTGAGTTCTTCATCGAAGTAAACATCACCCCATAACCTTTTAGAAAATGCAACAGCATCTATATCCATCCCATAACGGTCCGCATATAATGTTGCAAATGATTTTAATGAAAATGAAAAATTCAAATCTGCAGAGGCAAAAAGAAGATTGTTCAATTCAGGTGAAATCAAAGAATTGTGTTTATAATTTCCCAAATATTGATTTTCTTGAATGTACGTATTTATCTCATCAATTGTGTTTCTAATCTTATGGTATGAATCTAATGGTGGTAACCTTAGTTCCAATACCAATCTATCGATTTTGTTAATCACAAAAGCCAACTCCACGTTGTTATTCAATGCATTATCAATCGCTTGTCTTGCCCCAATCGTTAGCCCTTCAACAACATCAACCACCACAACGGATATATCAGTTAGTCTTTGAGCAACTGACATTTCATCTGAGAAATTGACATGCCCTGGTGTATCTATAAAGTTTATAGCCACTGAGCTTCCTCGAAGATTTGGTAACAAAATTGTCATCGGTGATAACTTTATAGTTAAGCCTCTTTTTACCTCAAGTGTTTCATTGTCTGTATAACGTAGCTTTTTGAAGGATTTTTGATTCTTTGAAAGTTTCTTCAATTGATGAGTTTGAAGAATCATTGTATCCAAAAAACTAGTTTTACCTGATTTCAAACTTCCAACAAGGGAGACATTTCTGACCTTATTTGGGTAGTTCAAAGTTTCAGCAAGGTATTGTTTCGAATATGTTGTTTTTGGTAAATTTTTGTCTTCAATTTTGAATTTTTTCTCAATCTGTGGGTTTACTAAAGGTTGATCAATAGTTTGATTATCGGTTGTTTGAATAACTGTTTCAACATCATTACCGAAGGTCTCTGACATTGTTGAGTAATAGACTTTATCCTCCTGAAGGATGACCTGATTATTATTTTGTTCATCATCACTATCCATTTCTCTATCAGAATCTTCTTGGACAGGTTGAGCATAGTCTGAAGAAGCTGATGATTCTGCATCAGAATCCATTGGATCACCAATCAAATTACCAAACCTTTAGAGTTGGTTAGATAGTGCAAAGTGAGACCTTAATAAATGATACATACTCATCGTAACGATCTTCATCCATCTTTGTTGAGATATTGATGTTTCGAAGTTCCAAGCGCTGTTCACACGTTAGTTTTCGAAATTTTTAAAGAAAATACAAATTTGACTGCCAATAAACAAGTGTCAGTAGAAACATGCGCATGTGCAACAGTGAAACACTGTTTAAGCCAAAAGTGGAATACACTGTGTGTAGTTCTGAGAATGCTATTCTCTTGCTTAGTGAATTTTAGTTAGGTCGTACCGAAATTACTGTCTGCTTTGGGATTTTTTGCAGTGACTGTGAAGGGTTTTACGCTTGAAATAGGAGAACTAAAGTGCGCTGGTTTGAAGCCCAGTTACGGATTTCGAGGCACAAAAATTGGTTCAATTTAGAACAGTGATGAGGTGTGCTTTAACACTCTCATTCCAAACTTGCTGACAACCCTATTCGATTGAATCCTTCTAAAGCACAGAGTTCATAAGCTTTGGGTCATATATTTTTATTTCAGTTCTTGATGTCTTCCTCTGCGGAAACTGCACATAATGAGGTTTCATATACTAACCGGTTCATACATCACATTTCAGAAGCTATAGAGAATGATATGAACGTAAGTGAATATGCACTAAAACCTGGGATGGCCAAATACTAACAGCAAGAAGGATGATGTTGTTCAAGTAGAGAAATTTAAATATGAACAAGAGCTTACAAAGAACTTGACGATAACGTCTGTGATAGGGTTAGGGTTTGGATTAATGAGCGCGCCGTTAAGTTTGGGTACCACGATGAATATTGGACTACTAGACGGTGGTCCTGCTACGATAATGGGTGGATATATGATTGTATATGTATTTTCAGTGCTTTGTGCTTTGTCATTAGGTGAAATAACCTCCAAATATCCTATTGAACTTCATGGCGGTGCTGCTATAATAGCCAAACCAAAATATAGTCTAATATGCTCATGGTTTACAGGGTTCTTTTTGCTAATAGGTAACTGGACTATGAGTACAAGTATAACGTTTGCTGGTGCTCAATTCATGTTGTCCGTTATTGGGATTTTGGATTCAAATTATGAGACAGATGCAGTTTTAACAGTTGTTGTTTTTTACATTGTTGTTACCATTTGTGGGCTAGTCAACCTTAAATTTTCACGTCATCTTGAATTGATTAATAAAATCTGTGTCTATTGGATTATTTATGCTATCCTATTGATTGATATTTTACTACTTTTATTCTCTCCAAAATATCACAGTTTAAAATACATCTTTACTTTTTTTGATAATTCAAGATCAGGATGGCCAGCACCGATGGCTTTTATAATAGGTTTCCAACAAGCAAATTTCACATTACAAGGGTTTGGTATGCTTCCAGCTATTAGTGAAGAAGTTAAGAATGCAGAAAGAACTGTCCCTAAGGGTATGACACTAGCTGTTCTATTAGCTGGTGCCTCTGGGTTCATTTTTTTGATACCCATTCTAGCCGTTTTACCAGATATATCACTACTCGTTGATCAGAACAAAAGTATCATGCCTATTGTGTTGATTTTCAAGTTGGCTACAAACTCAATTGTTGTTTCATTCTTTTTGGTTATTATGATTATGGGTAATCTTTTGTTCTCAGGGATTGGATCAATTCAAACTTCATCAAGAGCTGTTTTCAGTATGAGTAGAGATGGTGCTTTACCTATGGGTCATATTTGGACTTATGTTGATCCCAAATCAGTTTCAAAAGTTCCAAAAAATGCAGTTCTATTATCAATGGGTGTTTCATATTTCCTTGGTCTTTTATCATTGATTTCAACTGCAGCTTTTAATGCATTTGTCGGTGCAGCTGTGATTTCATTATGTGCCGCAGCTTTAATACCAATTGGTAGTCTGGTTCTTGGAGGTAGAAGGAAAGTCAGAGGTGCAGCCTTCAAACTGAAATATGTGGGATTTATCATAAATATCATTAGTGTTCTTTGGTTGTTATTTACCATCTTTGTCTTGAGTTTACCACCACAATTACCTGTTAGCGGCACTAGCATGAATTATGCTTCGTGTGTCTTTGTCTTGTTTGTCATTTTGGTTTCGTTGTTGTGGTTTGTATGGGGTAAAAAGAATTTCCATGGGCCGCTTGTTGATCATGAGCATAATGAAAGAGTTGATGCTATGCAATTACAAGATTTTGAACCATCTGGATCATACCAAAAATTGGATGAACAAAAATTCCACAAACTTGATTCCGAAAGTTTTGAAAGAGAAGGCGGTACTGCAACAACTTATGAAACTACTACAACTACAAGCTCTGCTAACGAAACGGAAAGAGCCAAATTGAATCCATTTGATGAAGTGTCCAATAAAATTGATCCATTCGATGATGTTTAAAGGCTATGATTTTATGTGTTTGGAGTTCTCTATTTTTTCAGTTTTCATAAATATTATATTCACATTTGTACAATAAATAAATAGACATGTGATCGTTTGATTTTCACATTAACATCGTAGGGTTTATACTAATGACCGTTCACATATGTTGCAGCAAATCTCATGTTTGAGTATTCCTTAGAAGTCATGAAGTCAGTTTCTTTCTTTGTTGATATATCTTCAGTTCTTGCTGCTTCAACTAAAGGACTTGGAATTGGTAATAATCTAACGTCATTTTCAGCATCAAAGAAGAAAACAATAGAGTATCTATCAGATCCATTAGTTGGTAGTCTAACTCTGTGAAGAGTTGATTTTAAGATACCATTAGTCCAATAAGATAATTGATCAGCAATATTGACAATGATAGGAGCAGCTTTCCCTTCTTTGGCATAAGATTCATTATTGGATTGAATAAAAGGAACAGCACGCCATTGATCATCCATGGATAATAATTCTAAACCTTCTTGGCCTTTTTGTTGGAATAATAAAGTGATTGATCCATAATCAGTATGAGCACCTGCTCTAATTTGTTGTTCAGCATCAAGTTCACTAGTTGGTGGATAATGTAACATTCTCATTGAAGTTATAGATTCACCGTTTGGACGATGTCTATCGCTAAACCAATTTTTACCACCTTTATCTTCATCTATTTTCAAACCAATTGCTAATAATTCCAAGATCTTTACAGAAAGTGCATATAGTTTTTTAGTCATCTTTCTGATGAATTCATAGTTCTCTTCATCTTTGAACAGGTCTGGTAATTGATCCTTGTTACAATCTCCGGTAACAAAGTTGAATAGACCAAAATTAAAAGCTTCTTTTGGATCACCTTTTGATTGTAAAGCTGGATCTAAATTTTCTTGATGAAAAGTTGTATAACCACAATCATTTTTATCAATAGCCAACTTTTTTTTCTCTTCCAATGGTTTCTTGAAAAAAGTTTCACTTAATTCAAAGAAATGGTCAACTTCTTGTTGAGTGAAATCATGGCCATCAACGAATAGGAAACCTTGAGTACTAAAACCTTCTAGCACTTTGTCAGCAGTTTCTTTATCCACACTAGCAACATCGACAACTTTCAATGGGTTTTCTTTGGAATCAGCAGCAGTCATTTTGTAATTAACCTTACCAGCCAGTGGTTGGAACGTTGGCTACTTTGGTTATGTATAATTGGATCTCCGACCTTTTATATAAGTGAAATAATCAAAGCTTATCTTATCACAGCTAGGCTGACTTCGTTCTAAGCCGTCCAGGGCAATTGGGCACAAGTTACAACTGAGGAGAGAATCAACTTGGAAGGTACAAATTGAAAGGATTTTGAGTCTCTGGCACGGATTTAGAGGGCCTGTTTGAAGAAGATGGTGATGAGTCTTTCTGCTGTGGAACTAAAGCTGCTACGCATTGGAGTCTTGGACCCAACCAACAGAGTCAACCAATTTGAGCTAATGAGCCCAAACGTACACAGGAAGCACAAAACCATGTATTACGATCATCAAAACTAATGAGAACTGTTCGCCAAAGGCCTAATCACCATCAAGACTATTTAAAGCCCAACCAGCCTTTAATCAATTGAACTCTATAGATTTGTAGCTGAAAATGGCGTGTAATTTCCATCACATCACCCGTGTAAAATCCAGTCCGCGAAAGTTGTTGATATTTTCCCAATTTCTCGAAGGGGGGCAATTCTATGAAATCTGATTGAAAAAAAAACATGTACAACGTTTAGGTGTCAACAACCCACGTCAATCAATTAACCAATTTGATAGAAAAACATGTCCCACGAAGGAGAAGAAGAACTTTTAGAATACTCTGAACCAGAAGACAACATTGTCCAAGAAACCACCGCTGGTGAAACTAAGGATGGTGATGACAAGAAAGGTTCTTATGTTGGTATTCATTCAACTGGTTTCAAAGATTTTTTATTGAAACCTGAATTATCAAGAGCCATCGTTGATTGTGGTTTTGAACACCCTTCAGAAGGTTAGTTTTATCCATTTGTTGGAGGTTGGGCTTTTCTTAATGTTATAAAGATGTCAAAAAAATACAGTAAAATTTACAAACCTGGACGCGTTATTGTTCAGTTGAAGTGTTAATTTGAAGTTCAAGACAAACATTCATGAATATGTTCACTGGATTAGAAATTACTCGTTAGTTGGCACTGAGCTTTGGCACTTGTCAGGCTTCTTTGATTTTGATTTGAGTTAATTCAAGTTGACTTGTGTGTTTACTACTTTATTTCCAGGAACAACGATTAAGAATCAATAATGGCAATCGGTACTATACTATACGTGCAGAGGTTATCATATACCCAGGAAACTTACCTATCGTATCATTTGACGAACCACTCATGATATTTTCAGTTTTGTGTTCAAAAATTGAACTCATCAATCTATTTTTTTGACAATCTTTATAATCCATTGAGAAAGCAACAACATTTATTTTTTTCAAAGCAAAAGAGACAATTATTAACATTTATTATCCTTAGTCCAACAAGTTTGTATTCCTCAATCCATCCACGGTACTGATGTTTTGTGTCAAGCCAAATCTGGTTTAGGTAAAACTGCTGTTTTCGTTTTATCAACTTTACAACAATTAGATCCTGTTCCAGGTGAAGTTTCCACTCTTGTTATTTGTCACACCAGAGAATTGGCTTACCAAATCCGTAATGAATACTTGAGATTCTCCAAATATATGCCAGATGTTAAAACTGCTGTCTTCTACGGTGGTACTGATATTAAAAAAGATGCTGAACTTTTGAAAAACAAAGATACTGCTCCTCATATTGTTGTTGGTACTCCAGGTCGTTTGAATGCTTTATTAAGAGAAAAGTACTTGCGTTTGAACAACCTTAAAAACTTTGTTATTGATGAATGTGATAAAGTTTTAGAAGCCGTTGACATGAGAAGAGATGTTCAAGAAATTTTCAGAGCAACTCCACATGAAAAACAAGTTATGTTCTTCTCTGCTACTCTATCACAAGAAATTAGACCAATTTGTAAGAAATTTTTACAAAATCCATTAGAAATTTATGTTGATGATGAAGCTAAATTAACTTTACATGGTTTACAACAATATTATATCAAATTAGCTGAACGTGAAAAGAATCGTCGTTTAGCTGATTTATTAGATTCTTTAGAATTCAATCAAGTTATTATTTTTGTTAAATCTACTGCAAGAGCTGATGAATTAAACAAAATTTTAACTGCTTCAAATTTCCCATCTATTGCTGTTCATTCCGGTATTCCACAAGAAGAAAGAATTGCTAGATATAAATCATTCAAAGATTTCAACAAAAGAATCTGTGTTTCTACTGATGTTTTCGGTAGAGGTATTGATATTGAAAGAATTAACTTGGCTATCAATTATGATTTACCAAATGAAGCTGATCAATACTTACACAGAGTTGGTAGAGCTGGTAGATTCGGTACCAAAGGTTTAGCTGTCAGTTTTGTTTCAACTGAAGAAGATGAAACTGTTTTGGGTAAAATTCAAGAAAGATTCGATGTTAAAATTGCAGAATTCCCAGAAGGTGGTGTTGATCCATCAACTTATATGAACACTTAAGTTGACATCATGACTTTTTGATAAGCTATTTTATTATCCCTATTTTTTATTTTATATATAATTTTTGTAATTTTTCCCAAGAAGTTCGTGACTTGATTGAATAAAAAGTTTTAGTTTAATTCTAGTTTAAGTTGTAGAGATTGAAATTGTATGGTTAATACGTAATCATTTTCGCGAAATTTTCGAGCAGGGTAAAAAATTGGGGAATCGTCGCGAATTTTTTGAAGGGAAAAATCAAAGTGGATAAACTCAAGGAGTAAAGAAGCATTGAATTGAAAAACAACAAGACAATATTGATTACAACAATTGGAAACAAGATCTCTGAAAGATGATGCTTAGATCAATTTTGAAGAAAAGTGTCATCACTCGTGGATTTCACTCTACAAGAACTGCTTCAGCTTTCAAGAAGATCGCTGAGGAAGACATAAGATACTTGATTGATAGTTTACCTCCAGCATCAAAGTTATACCAAAATCCTGATGGTTCACCAAGAGAACCAACTGACTTAGAACTACACAAGCTGGCACACTTGTCTGTTTTGAACGAAAAACGTAAATTAACATTATGGGATTATATGTTTTTAAGTGAAGATAATGCTAAACTTTATGCTGATAATTATACAGATATTCAAAATTTATTACCAAATTCTGAAAATGGTGCATCTGGTAATATCATTGATAAAATCCCATATGAAGATGCTGAAGGTAATGTTAAATGGCGTGTTGTAAGAGAAGTTGAGAAAGAAGGATGGGAAGATCTAACACGTTGGGGGTTGATTCCTGCATATCTATTATTTGTTGCAGTTTATCTTTTCAAAGATGACAAAGGTATTAATGAATGGGCATACGATGAATTGAAATTGAGAGCCCTAGAAGATTTGGAAGGTACAGATGCAGCAAAAGAGACATTGAATAATGAGAACAAGTCTCCGGAGGAAATCAAACAAAGAGATGAACTAATTGTGGAAAGAATCTTGAGTGGTGAATATGATAAGTTGGCTGGTTTGAAAATTAATGCACAAAACTTATCAATGATTGGGGATTTGAACACACAAGAATAGATGAAGTCTATTCTCCATTATTTATTGAAAAAATTCAATTTATTTATTTTTAACAATTATTTATTCATTATTTATTTATTGGTTGTTCAGACATGCAACAACCTACACTATTTATTTATCACATATTATTTAAATACACAACAGCTTACAACTACTATTGATTTTAGTATAACTTGATCATGTAACTCAATATATCTATATAAGATTTATATTTTTGAGCTGTATATATAAAATGCATAAAAAACGAACGACATATAAAGTACACTAATTGTAAAGTACAAACAACATACATCAAGGTGCCAGAAGTCTTGATCTTTGATTATAAACCCAATCAATTGACACTATATTCACTTATGATAGTTTCATTTGGTCCATTGCCATTTGTCTGTGATCCAGATCTATGCTTAAAACTATTCAACTTTGGCAATGCATAGTTATTGGGGATACTTGCTTCATGACCATCTCTACTTTTCTCCTCTTCTGTCAACACTTGAGATGCCAACATTCCAAGAGTATCAAGCATACCACCTTGTACACTATTTGATTTTCTTCTTCTTTTATTATCTGGCTGTCTAGACCTTAATCTTATTATTTCTTTATTCTTGTTGATAATTTCATTTTTATACTTCTTTAGAGTCATTTTTTGATGTGTAATCTTGCTCATCAAGACATCCATATTCTCTCCCTGACTTTTGAGTCTTTCAACTTGACGTTTTATTAGTTCATTTTCAACTTCATATCTCATATCAGCATCTTTTGATGAAATAGAAAGTAATTGTGATTTGATTTTATAATGGCCTGTCTCCGCTCTAGACTTCACTAATGCATCCAAAAGTTCAGTTATTAGCGATTTTGATTCTTCAGTTTCATCATCTCTATTCTTTAAATAAGTCTTTGCACGTTTGATCAATTCCGACACGGTATGTGGGTCATCTAAATCATGAAGAGTTGATACAGAACCGACAGAAGATGATTGTGAGGACAAGGATTGTCGTTGATCTAATTGAATTGATTCATCTATATGGTCATTTTGAGTGCTCCCTTGAGTACTTTCTTCGGTACTTGGTTGTGAATTGATGTATTCCTGTACTGTAGACGGATCTGAAGTATCAAGTTGGTCTTCTTTAAGAGCGACTTCTGTTACCACCTTGACGGCGCTATCTTCTGGTACTGGGTATGAGTTCATCAGCTGCTCTTGCGTTAGGGTTACCATACCCTCTGTTGGCGTGATCTAGATGTTCTTTTGTGTGTAATTGATTTTTCTGTAGCTATGAGAAGACAACACGAAAATAAACAACAACTCTGGAATGATTTGGGACCTTTCTTAGTCTAGCTTGTAGTTGATTGATGATCTGTAGGAATATTCAGCTATTCAAAAGCCTCTATTTGAACAAACTTTCAGGCTATGGAGCTTGGAAGCGTAGGTTCTGCTTACGCGTTTAAAGTTCTCTACGTATATTTTTTTTTGTTTACGTTTTAGCGAGGCGTACGCGTAGAAAAACACGATCCGGGGAAAACAAACCTGTGATCAAGGTCGAAATTAAAACACCGAGAGAATTAATCAATAAACTGATGAATTCATGAATACTCATAAATATGCTTCATTCTCTTTGTTAGTTTTGTATTTTACTGTATCAAGAGATAAATTATTACTACTGAGATCCCACTAAAGGTTTTTCAAACCATTCTTTTTTAATTAGTTATATATGAATGAAAGGAAAAGGAAACATTGTACATAAAGCTGGAGATTGATTGATAGAGATGATGGATTGTGAGATTCTTAACGGTATGATTTTTGGAATCTGGCTCTGGCACCACGACCACCGAATTTCTTTGGTTCTGATCTTCTTGAATCAGCAATCAATAAGGTTCTGTCATATGAAGCGAAAGCTTTTTTCAATTCGTTCTTTGATTGTTCATCAACGAATTTTTGATGGTAAGCAACTAAACCTTTAGCAATAGCTTGTCTGATAGCATAAACTTGTGAAACGTGACCACCACCAGTAACTCTGACTCTGATATCAACGTTTGAGAATTTGTCTAAACCAACTAAGATTAATGGTTCGTAAACTTTGAAACGTAAGATTTCTGGTTCAACTAAGGTAATTGGAGCACCGTTAACTTTGATTAAACCTTTACCTTCTTTAACGTGGGCAACAGCGGTAGCAGTTTTCTTTTTACCAAAAGTCTAGAGGATGAATGTTAGTAAATCAGGACTCAAAAAGTCAAACTAGAGAATATCGAAGAAATTAGGCCATTATTGTATTTGAAATATTATGACTTGTTTTTGACTGTTTGAATCTCAATTCATTTGATAAGATCTTGAACACTCTTGAATTGTCAAATCCCATTACAGAAAGCATCGCTCTCTTTAGTGCGTTCCCACTTCTCTCTAATATATCATATCTGTTCAGTTTCCCTCGACTCATGAGTTGTTATATTCATTTCATTTGATCCTTCTTAATCTCAATAATTTTCAATCTTTAAATGCTTATTCTTCAATACAAAATGACCGTTTTCTCTTCCTCTCTTTTTACTCATGTGTAGTTGAACATACTTGAACACTTTTAACTCTTTTTTCTTCAGACATGATTGCTGTGGTATATGGTGAGCTATCTCAAAAGTAGGATTGTTACTGATGATAGTTTTATGAACAAAATGTTTTTTCAAAGGACAGGCTTGAAAATTGTGAGTTGTGTTGCGCGCAACAGAGAATCTCCTAATAGTGCGCGCGTCAAAAGCTGATTTCAAGAAATTCGCGAAAGTGCATTCGCGAATATTTGCGAAAAATTGGGCAAAAAGCTTGTGACTGCTCGAAGGATTAGGGCTTGAGCACGTGATGTATGAGGCTGGGATACACAACAACATTTTTACAAGAAACTATACCAGCCTTAAGCTCCAAGGAAGGCATAGACTACAAATGTTTTCTCAAAATAATACACTAAGCAACCTCAATCAGAAAGTTTAATTAGGATAATCTTGTAGAGTGTGATTTTGTTAGTATTATGTCTCGTGACTGTGTGATATATAGTGCTAAACATCTGGACACCATACGCTAATACACTGTGAGCTGCCAATTTCTTTAGGTTCAATTGAGTCCTAACTATGGAGTGGGCGCGACCAAAAAACAACTGTCTTGGGAAACGGTTACGCAGCCAGTGGCAACTCTTGATTTTCCAGCGTGCAAAGATCCAAACAAAATTTCATCGAAATTATCAAGAGGTAAGACCTATACATAACAGCTTGTTTAAGAGGACAGTAAATTATTCAAAATGGGTATGTCAGAATGATAGAACAAGGTTGAATATTGGGCAGAGATTATATGTGAATGAAAGAGATCTCCTTTATGTGAACGAATTTGCTATTTTTAATGATGTTGTTATTACAATTAAAGATCATATATGTATCAAAATGGAGCCAACTAGAATTAATGCCAATATTGAGCTTAAAAAACCACATAGAAGAATGACTACTAACAGATTATAGCTATCGCTAAAAATTTACCACTTTTGAAAAACCATTTCAGAAAGCACTGGCAAGAACGTGTCAAAGTTCACTTTGACCAAGCTGGTAAAAAAGCTTCAAGAAGACAAGCTAGAGCCTCAAAAGCTGCTAGAATTGCTCCAAGACCATTAGATGCTTTAAGACCAGTTGTTAGAGCTCCAACCATCAAATACAACAGAAAAGTTAGAGCCGGTAGAGGTTTCACTTTACGTGAAATCAAAGCTGCAGGTTTAACTCCAGCTTATGCTAGAACTATTGGTATTGCTGTTGATCACCGTCGTCAAAACAGATCAACTGAAATTTTTGATGCTAACGTTTTAAGATTAAAAGAATACCAATCTAAATTGATTGTTTTCCCAAGAAATGGTAAAGCTCCAGAAGCTGAACAAGTTTCAACTGCTGCCACTTTCCCAATCACTCAACCAACCCCAGAATCAGAACCAAGAGCTGTTGAACAACAAGAACAAACCGCTTTCAGAACTTTAAGATTAGCTAGATCTGAAAAGAAATACAGAGGTATCAGAGAAAAGAGAGCTAAAGAAAAAGCTGAAGCTGAAGCTGACAAAAAGAAATAAGGTGAATGAATGAATACTCGTTTATAAATAAAAAAATTAATAAATTATTAGGGAAAAAGGGTTTCAATGATGTATTATCTGTTTTCTTTTGCTAGTAAGGTGGCATTTTGTATATTTAATATGATCTTAAATGACTGAAAGATATGTAGATAAGTAAAAAGATAAGAGTAATGCCTTATTGAATAAGTCAGATGTATGATCGTTTTTATAGATTATTCAACGCAATGTGGTTTGTCATAATATTACTAGGTTTACTACTTTCTGCACTAGTTTGTTTTAGATTCATATATTACAGTCTTTTCAACTTCAACATACTATCCAATAAAAAGAATAACCTGAAATCCAACAATATATTTATTTAAAAACCATCGTGAAACCTCCATTAAACTCCTTAATCGAACAAACCGAAACCCATGTCATCATCGGATTCTTCTTTAGCTTCTTCTTCTTTTTCTTCTTCAGCAGCTTCTTCAGTTGAAGCAGCAGCACCTGGAGCAGCAGCAGCGACACCAGCAGAAGCACCACCAGCAGAGATGTTGGTTAATAATTCTTTGATATCTTGGGTTTCTAAAGCTTTAGCATATAAATCAGCCCAAATTTTATCAACTGGAACTTTAGCAGCAGTGGTTAAAGCTAATAATTTTTCAGATGAGATTTCAATTTCTGAATCAGCTAAGATTAAAGCAGCGTATGATAATGATGATTCAACAGACATTTTTAACTTTTAAGAATAATCAAATTTAAGCTATAATAGCAGACTAGTTCTTTGGTTTTTAATATAGTGTAGCTACGCTATGGTTGTTCAAAGAATTCATTTTTGAAAAATTTGGCGAGGAAGGAATTTCGCGAGAAGTGGGTGGTGTTTGGGTTTTGTCGGTAGGTTTGGGAGTTTCTAGTCACGTGAACAAGTACAGGGCTCATTCCATTCACTCAATTTTTCCGTCAAAAAAGTTTCTCCAGATTTTGTGTGTCTTTTACAACAGTACAAAGAATAGGGGAAATGGTGGCATAACATTGAGTTGTAGTTGATACAGGCTGATTATACGACGAAAAGGTTCCAAAATTGTATGTGTATAGATGTATTATACGTAACGGATCATAAAACATGGCAAAGTAAAATCAAGATACAGTGGAACAAATAACGATTGTGGACCCTTTTTAGTGTCATCCACTACAATTCAACGCCGACTTGATGATGCTCTTCTCTTTCTAGCCTCTTCTTCCATGAGGCTGAGTCTCACAGCTTCTTCAATCATTCTTTGTTCTGCATCTTGTTGGTTTTCCTGAATTATCAAATTACTTGCGTGGATAGCACTTGCTGTAGCTGCTCTTCTTGCCAGTTTTGCTCTAGCTGAATTCAATTTTTGCTCCCAATCTGGTCTAATATAATCTGTAGTCAAAACAGATGGGTTATTAGCTGGTAATGATCCACGACGAGTTCTTTGCCCATTTGGTTTTTTGAAATAATTGTCATCAATATCAAAACTGGTAGATTCTTCACCTTCAACAATAACATTCTCCGTGGATGGCAACTTGAAAGATCCAGCTAAACAATGTCCTGAAATTCCAGTTCTAAAAGTAGTTGGTGGGTTATACGTAACTCCGAAATTAGGGGTAGCACAATATGGACAGCTTGCAGGTTCAGATATCAATAGATTTGGATCATTTTTAGCTTTTGTTTCGACGTCATCATCGTGATCATGAGGGAAATGTGGGTCCAACCTTTTAATTTGAACAAAGCATTCAGAGCAAATTGGCTGAACACAGCATCTTGAATAATTCAAATATTTTGGATAGTATAAGAAACAAATTGGACATTCCATAACATTCTTATAGAGTAATAGCTTTAAATCTTTAGAAGCAGTTTGTTTTGAAGTGGATCTTTCCTGTCTATATCTAACTTCCTCATCTTCTTGCCATTTTAATCTTTTCAATTTCAATTCCTTATTGAATTTCTTTACCAAATGCTTTTTCAAATCTTTTTTACTTAATGTGCTTTCATCAATATCATCATATTCATAATTCAAATCTTCATCTTCATCATCAGCTTCTGAAGGATGTGCATGTAATTTCAAATTATTCACAACTTTCAACAATTCCTCATCAGACCAATCTTCATCATGATCTTGTAATGGTGTGAAAAATGGGGCCAACTTTCTTTCAATGATAGCTTCTTTAACAACACTGATTTTGTAATCCAGATTCAAATTATAAGTACCATAAGGGGCCAAAAATCCGCCATCAACATTCTCGTCATACTTCACCACCAAACCCGCTGCATGGGCTTCTTTGAACTTCTCTTTCTCTTTTGTTGAACTTCTCTTTGAAAGCTTTAGCTTTTGAGCCTGGAATGTTTGTGATCCGTTGTGATGACTATTTATTGTTGAAGTTATTGAACTTCCTCTTCTGCGCGAAGACGACGACGACCCTCCACGTTCTTCTTTTGTAGGAACATTCCCCATAGTGAAGGATGGAATATAAGACTATAAGACACTGTGGGAGTTGATGGAAACTATGAGAATATAAAAGGTTGTTGTTATTCAAGCAAACTTCATAAAAAGTGTCAAGTATAATTTGATGAATGTGAACCCGCTTTTCAGTTTTTTACATGATCTAGATTGACATTTCTTATCAAATACAAAAAAAATGTGGCAGGTACCAGAAATCACAAAACACAAATTATTCCGAGGCTTGTAATTAAAGCAACGGATTGTAGAGTTTAGCAGCTTCACTTACAGCTTTTGGTTGGTTGTTCACTAAAATGTGTCATATTATTATTAGATCGATGTTAAACCTACCCCAAAGCCTATTCCTATACATGCTAAACTGATCAACAGAATTACAAATCCCATAATCAGACTAAACCGTTTGATGTAGGGACTAGTGTGACCAATAAATTGATCCAGAACCCCAAACCCCAAGAAAAAGAACAATGGAGGAACTAAAAATGATGTGCAAAACACTAACCATGCTATTGTGTCTGAGTTATTAGAACGTGTGTGAGGCCTTTCATGTCTGTAATGATGGATTTTCTGAAGTAACTCATCATCATGATAATAATTATAAGAATCACCAGAATCTGAAGAATCTCTTGGATATTTCTCTTTACCATAATCTTGATAATGATTTGATCCTGATTGTTTTTTGAATTTTGATCCTGATTGTTGTTGAAGTTGTTGTTTTCTAAAATCTTGCAATTCAATATCCCTTCTTCTTTGATTGGAATTATCAAACCCCATATCATCATTTGAAAAAGGTTGTTGTTTTTGTTCACTTGCACTAACTGGTGAATGAATAGATGGAACTATACCAACAATACTAAATCCTAAACCCCGTCTTGCAACACCATGAACGTTTTGGATTTTAACTTCACCCTCACCACCACTAGAGCTATGACTATGGTTACTATTGCTGTGATGGATTAATAGGTTAGGAAGTCCAGGTGATCTTTTTCTTGTTTCTTCATATTCCATAATTGATCTTCTGGTAGAATTGATAGATTTATTTGAAGATGATAATGTTGATTGTGATTGCTTCTTGGTTGGTTGTTTTAGATTGAGTAATGATCTTTGTGATGCTGATTGTCCAGGATGTACAAATGTGCTTTTGTTTTCATGATTTTCATGAGGTTTTTGAGTATGTGCATAGGCTGAATATATTCTTGGAATCTCTCCATCATCACCTTCTTCCTGTTCAAGGTTTTCCACTGGTTGTTGAATGGACTGTAGTTGTGTGGTTGGTGGGCCAGGAGCTGGATGATCTGGTGTGGGTATTCTTGCTGCTTGAAGTTGATCATAACTTGAATTATTTAACCTTTGTTGAAGTAAAGAGATATCACTGAAAGATGATAAATTTTGGGATGAAATATGAGAACTGTTTAAATTCTGAGAGGAAATGTTTTGAGAGGAATTGGGTATCATGAATTGTTCAGTTGGACTTGATTTCTGAGAAAATCTTTTTGAATCATTTCTTTTGATTGATCTATTTCTCTTCGTATCAACATCTTTTAGAATTGATCCAGACCTTGAAATTGTTTTGTTACCGTCTAACTCACCCAAAATGGAGTTATTACCAACTAATTTGAGATCTAAACTAGATAACCCTGATAAATCAACATCTCTACTTTCATCACTAGTTTCATTTATAACATCTTGATAAACACTGAATGACTTATTTGCACCAGTTTCATCAATGTATGATTCCCTGAAGAAAGACCTTCTTTGTCTTCTAGCATTTGATGAACCAGAAGAACTTGTGTTTGAGTTTGAATTCGAGTTATTGAACAATTGAGATTTATTCAGTTGTCTCATTAAAAAAGATTCCTCTGTATCTGTTGAAACAGAATGATTCGAGTCTGGTATCACTATTGAGCTAGAATCTGACATGGTGGTTGTAGTCGAGTCTTGTGGGGTTTGTTCTGTATTTGGAGCTTCAAGTTGAATAATTGTATCTATGATACTTTGCCTTCTCACACGATCAAAACAAATCGGTGTTTGGTATTGTTAGCACCACCTTTAATAAATGCTTCAATGGCCAATCTTTGAGCCAAAAAGGCAGTTGACCTTGAAGTGAGTTTGAACCAAAAGTTACTTTACGGTCCTTGACGTCTAAAGATACTTTTCAATCTAATTTTCTCTCCTTGGAATGTTATTGTTTACATGTTTGTTTACATTTTTTTTCTTAGGAGTCGGATTTTTTCCAGACTCGACTCTGTATCACGTGCAACTCTATTTTTGAGATCAAAAAATTGAAATTTTCAAATTTCTGCCAGATCTAAATCGTGCCAAACCTTGAGCTAAAAATGAACACTTCAAAATAAACAACATTAATCGTGCGGAAGGTTTACGATAAAGTGGAAAGTTAAAACCATTCCAAGATTTTACTGTACCGGTTTCTCAGAATTAGATGTAGTCTATTGATGAACTACTATGCAAGCTAGAGCCTAGCGACTTGAAGAAAGTGGTCAAATAAAACTGTGTAAACGTCCTCAATGTAGCACCATCTTTCAAAAGGGCGACTAACACAATAAGGTCCACTTTGTTCAGGAGCTTCACCACTCTACGCGAGTAAAACCGATTAAACCCAGCTCGAAAAGCTCTAGCCGCTAGCCTCTCAAGTTCTTCTGCACCATTATGGTAGCTGTTCCTGATCTCGAATCTTTTCCATAAACCATCGTGAAAAATATACGTCATGAAGCTGGATCCTGAAGCCTGATTTCTGATCCTTGAGCTACTCTACACTGAGAACACCTTCGATAAGAAACCAATAAAATTGAATCGAATAATATCTTTAACATCCCATTAAAAGTACCACTCCTTTGAAACCATCTCATTTTGTACTCTTGTGCAAGGATTTTAAACATGGTGCTGGGTTTACAAATGGTCTTTGCAGGGGTGTCGTGTTGAAGCTAGGCAACTAGGCTCACAGACCTAGGCCCCTAGACTCACGTACAGCCCACAAAGTTCAAAAGGGGCTCCCCTTCCAGGCTGTTCCAGGCCGTTCCACTAGGCCCAGAACTAGGGGGGAATGCGGTACGGGGCGCTTGGTCGCGGGTCTGGCTCACGTTTCGGTGGGACCTTATTTTTAATTTTGTTTATTTTGCGCACCTCAAGAAGTTTCTATTTTGGATTTGAAACTGAGATATCGCCCCCATTCCAAGAATTATATAAAGTGCTAGATCGATCCACATTCTTCCAACTCTTTGCCATCAACACTAGCAACAATCAAGAACATACAAAACTTGATTACACACAGGGCGCTTGGTAACATCACAACCATGACTGATATGGACATTCCTCAAGACTACAAAACTTCATTGCCTCCAAGAAAGAGAGCTAAAACTAAAGAAGAAAAAGAACAACGTCGTATTGAACGTATCTTAAGAAACAGAAAAGCTGCTCATGCCTCTAGAGAAAAAAAGAGAAAACATGTTGAGTTCTTGGAATCATATGTGTTGGATTTGGAAAAACAATTACATCTATACAAAGATTTGAACACCAATTTGATGGATTATTATACTGGCGGTAATGGTGCTGTTGACAATATGGTTGAAAAAGTTCAAAATTTACCAGATTTGAAAAAGATGAGACAAGACCACCTTTCTGAGATTGATGTTGAAGACCATTGTGATTCAATGACTCTACCAAAAACTCCAGAATCATTCACATCATCACCAAAGAATGAAGATGATTTTGTTCCAGAACTAATGTCGCCAGAATCAAGCTCATCAGTTTCTGACTCGAATACATTTAATCAAGGTTTTATTTCCCCTGAAACTTCCCCAATTTCATCCAACAAGTTTTCTTTAGACATTATTACTGGTGCTGAACATGGTCCTTCTTCCCCTGTTAAGATTGAACCTGAGTTGGATTCAAACAAGTTTTTCACAGATAACACTTTTATTAAAAAGGAAGAACAAGATTATATGCCTTTAGCTGATGATTTATTTTCTGAAAAGTTGAGTTTCGATGATTTTCAAGTTAATACTCTTGATAATGATTATGGATTTGATGAGTTGCGTAATCCAGCAGTGATTACCCATATAAAAGATTTATACCGTGTCCAATTTAAGATATGTCAGTGGATGTATCTGAATTGGACATGGTTATGATTCTTATATATTCAACTTTTAAGCCCGATGCGCCTTCAAATTCATTTCAATTAGATGATTTTGTATTACTTGAGTAGAATGGTTTAGATTCTATTTGGCTGATTTTTTTTACATTTGATTAATTGGATTCAAGCCCCACCATGGTGTCATTACATTTTTTTTTGATTTATTTTAATTGTTTTTCTTATAACCAGTGGAAGAATTAAGTTTTGATGTGATCATGTCAATGAAGTTTCAAGTCATGTGGCGCTTTGATCATAGCGACTGGGCTTTTAATGGATTTGTCTCTTGTTCTACTAATTGAAGCTTTATTTTGAATACTGTATGGGAATCATGAAAGTGATCATTAATTGATTTTTGTTTTTTTGGTTGTGGGTTTTTAGATGTTGTTGACTTGAGACATTTGGCTCGTCATTCATCGTTTTAATTTTGAATCTTTTTTAGTTGAATGTGGTCAACCTTTTGGATTTTCTAGATTGTTTATTTCATTTGATGATCTCACTTTATTTTGTGTTGATCATGGAAGTATAAAGGTTAATTATGGTTTGTTTTATCGGTATTGATAATTGGTTGTTGATATAAGAATTTTAATTTTGGGTTGTATATTAGTTTGGGAATTATAAGTTTGATACTGTACAAATCATGATGTAGTTTTAATTATCGATATTGTTATATTTCTTTGAAGTAGATTGCAGTTATCGATAATACTACATAATATATGTCAGTGGCCACTCTTAAGGACAAGACGTTGCTCATGATGTATATAGATCATCTATTTAGTCTCTGCTAGCTATCACTGGATAGTCCTTTGCATCCACTTGTGTTTTTTGCTGTATGGAAGCACTTACCCATTTATCATTAACTATTCTTGCTATTGTGACTGAACTCTCAGTGTACTTCAACAATGAACTCAACTTTTTCCTTATATCTTTAGCGACATTGGAAACCAATTCATGCTCAATATACTCAGGAATAACAACTAAGTTACAGTCTTCAAGCTCATCTGTTATTTTTGCTCCAAAAAGTTTCAACTTTGTGATGGCTTGTTGATACAAATAATGGGTTGAGGAGTCTTCGAGCTCAGAGACATACACTTTCAACCCACCAAATAGTGGAATTTCCATTAGTTGTTCATCAATCTCAGATTTCTCATGAACAACATTTTTATTATCTTCAAAGATTTTTATCAATTCATCTTCAGTAACTGGAACTGAAAAACTATCACCTAATGAATCAACTCTTGTTTCCACTTTGGACTTCAGGTTTTCAGAAACTTTAAAACAATATTTTGGTTCAACTCTCAAGATAACACCCAGTTCAATACATTTGAAAAACCAAGAAGATTTCAAAACGTCAAATCCTTTTGAGCTCAAAGCATCAGCTTGGATGGTGAACTTGTCACTAATTACCCGTAGGTTATGTAAATCTGGAACTTTGGTTTCATTTTTGGTGATCTTTCCACCATTCTTATGAACAAGCTCTGTCAAATCATTTATAGAGATTCGAACATTTTTGTAAAAAGCATCCGATAGTATCATAAAAGTCAAATCACCGAAAATATTTGAGTTTTTGCTGATTTTCAAATAATCTTGATCATTCCAAACTTCTTCATCTTGACTCTCTCTTTTTCTTTTCCTTATTAAACGTTTCTTCTTTGTAACAAGTTTTTGCTCAGTTGTATTCACTGAAGTACGTGATTCTTTGATAGCTTTATACTCATCAAGAGTTGCTGCTGTCGTCCAATCCTTATCATCTCTAATCTTCCGGTTATAAGCATTGTATAAAGTTGTTGATGTTTTGTAGTTTTTTGAAATAGAACGATCGATTGATCTAGCCTTTACTTCAATAACAAATGATTCTCTTGGGTCAATCCATTCTTGTGGTTCTCTTTTCCCGAACTCTAGCAACGAGGTTGGTGGTTTCACTTTTGAATAATCTTTCCATTTACCTTTAGTTATTCTTTCAATCTCCCTATATTCATTTTTATCAAAACCATTGGCAACCCGACAAAAACTATGAAATTTTGGACTCTTCTCATCTTCATTATCATCATCAGTTATCCTTAACCCACAAAAATACATATCTTTTTTACTTCTCTCCCTTCCAATAACCACAAGGTCAACGTTTTCACCAAACTCTTCTAAATATTCAGGTTTGATCTTCACCCATTGGTCGGTACGTTTATCAATTTGATAAAGTGAGCGAGTCTGCTTCAAGACAACACCTTCTGACCCTCTCTCTATAGCTTGTGTAAGAGCCCTTTTGATAGCTTCTTCATTATCAGCCTTTGAAACTTGAATTATCTCAACAAATTTGGGAGTTGGACTCAATATTTGACTTAACCATTTCTTACGCTCTTCTAACGGAACTCTTGCCAATGATCTTCCATTCAAATACAATAAATCAAACACCATCATTAGTGGTCTGGCCGACAACTCTTCAATCTCACCCTTATCGAGTCTTTGTAACTCAGTGACGGCACTCCCTTTAAGAACACCAAAAGGCAGAATTGCATTTCTTTGAGGATCATATGTGATCATTTCACCATCTAAAACACAATTTTTCACAGCTTTCACAAATTTGAGGTGAGGAGAAATACAACCCTTTTCCAAACTCTCACCATACAAGTATGTATAATCTGTAGCTTTTCTACTCCAATAATGTACAACTTTACCATAGTCCTCATAATGAATTTGTATTCTTTCACCATCCATCTTTTCTTCAATGAAAAAATCATTATTCAATTTCTGAACAACCTTTGCATAAGTCAGATGTGGTTTCAAAGATAATTGTGGAGCAAATGGTTTACCAATATTGATGGAAAGATCATGCTCATTCAATCTTTTAGATGGATCATAGAGCTTATATGCCACAGTTTTCAAACTTGTAACAACACTCAAATATTGTTGGGCATCTGGGTGCCATGAATTCAAAATACGATTCTCCATATTTCTAACAACATTTTTCTTCAAAAGTATATCAAAGAAATACTGAAGTTCCAAAAATGACATGTTTTCAATCAAATATGATAAAATTTCTATCTGTTCTTCTCTTTTGGAATCAAATCTTGCTAGCTTGTCCAAAATTTGATTTAATTCTCCAATTGAAATCTTACCACCTTTATTATCTGTTCGTCTAGCTTTGATCACATCTATGCAAATCTCTGACATTCTTGCGCCCTTTGCATTTCTTGATCTTTTCCAATTCATTATTACTGTGGTACTGTCTGAGTTCTTGGGTATTTTCAAGACTTCTAAGATTCTCCTTCCTAGTGTGTAATCCTTGATGTTGTAAATTCTTGATCTATCTCTATGAGGAAGTATTAGACATAGTGCTGGATAAATATTTGGACCAACCGTACTTCTCCACTCTTGGAAAAACAGATCAACTATCCTCTGTTTCTGCTCAGTAACAGTCTGTCTGCCATTGGTGTAATAGTTTGATTTTTGAAATGCCTTATCAAGTTTGTCAAACAAACCTTCACATAGCCATTTGAAAGAAGGTAATGGTCCACCAAAATTCTTTGGAGCATCCTCGTCTTCAAGATCTGTGTCAACGTACTTTGTCAATTCCCATGGCTTGGGAAGTTCCTCTTTGACTCCTTCTTGATTCATTTGTGAGGCGCTTAATTGACACAATTTTGTGAAGGGTTCTATTTCATGTCTTGCCTTTTTGTTTTTGTTTTGACAACTTTTTTGTAGAGTGGCACATCATCGCTTGCCTAATTAGTACTTACAACCAAAATTTACAAATGCTTTCTATTATTACTATTAAACAGATTCATGATAGTTTGAGATTCTCAACCTCAGTCAGTTCAGGAATACTCTCTTCATCACTATCTTCCTCCTCTTCACTTTCTTCTTCTTCCTCTTCTTCATCAATTATCAAATTCCCAAGGTTATCATATTTAGCATTCTTGAGCTGATACTCTTCTTCGTCATCTTCATCTTCATCTTCTGAATCTGATAGCGAGGGTAGTGCTTCACCTCTATTTGTATTTCCTTGTAGCCACAAGTCTTCAGAATCTCCATGCTCTTTTCTTTGTCTGACTTCTTCCTCTAATTTATCTAACCATTCTTCTTGGACTTTTTGAACACTTTCAGAGTCTGTACACTGTTGGTATAGTTCAAGGATTTCTTTATTAATATCCAAAAATGCAGGACCCCAAGAAAAATGATCTAAAAGCTCTGCAGCCCAATCCATATGGCCAACAATGGCAAAACATGCTGCTAGGGCTTCAACACAGTTAAGCTTCCAAGCCCTTCCGTAATTTACCTGATTAGCAGCAACAAGATATGGTAAGAGTCTCTCGTGTTTCCCTCCTATTTTATTGAATGGGACTTCGTCTAATCTGGCCCAAGAGCACTCAACAACTGCAGCACCATTTGTCTCAACAATCTCTCTATCATTTGGGCAAACCACACCTTTACCATTTGGACTATTTAAAGTTAGCATAAAGGACCTCCAAATCATGTCATTATGTACTTACGAAACAACAACACCTTGAAATTTTTGGCCAACTCTTAAACTTTTAATCAAGCCTAATCTTTCTAGTTTTTTCCCACTACAACGTTTTGGATCACAGTGATCAAAATCCTAGATAGACAGTTAGTTTTAAAGAATGTAGTGTATAAACTCTTCATTGATTACTTACCCACATAGCTAGCTTTGTATGGAACTTATCAGAACTCACATGGTGCTTGGATTCTCCTCGTTTACTATGCTTCCCAGAAGACCCCTTTGGCGGTCTTGAAGGTCTATCGTCACTTCCCTTGTTTTTCCCCTTAGCCATATTCTGTTCTTGGATATTTCAAAGCACCTTAATGGACCCCAGATTTCCAATCATCAGGATTTCTGGAGGTTATAATGTTGAAGCTGTTGTGAATAAATTTAAAAAAAAAATCGAGTTCCGACTTGGCCTCCCGGAATTGAAAAACAGTTGACACTTTCAAATTCATAAGGCACAGTTCATTTCACAGACCATTCGAGTAAATAAGACCCAGTTTAATAGGGATTCAAGGCTATTAGTGTTTGGTGAACCTATAAAAGTATTGACTCATTCAATCAAACCAACTTTTTCACCAAGAAAGAAGCTGAGACATGGATATATTTGCTCACTAAACCCATAAAGAACAACAATACCCATATTATTATCTTCTCCAGGAAATGCCCACACACTTGCCATTATTACTCAATCCACTCCTAAATGCTGTTTTCAACAACCCACAGCCATCAAAATCACCATTAAAAGATATATACACCAACTTATCAAAAGGTTGGGAAGACGGCACTGTGATTCTTGTTCCAGATCTCAACATTCTCCTAAATTATGCTGATAAAGAAAGTGGTATACCCTATAGGGAATTATGCTACTCAGAAGAATTTCTTAAAGACCATATAATAACGACGAATGAATTGAGGAATGCTAGATTATTCACAACTTTTAGCAAAAAGGAAGTTTTGGTGAAGAAGGATATCTTGTTCACAGGAAAAGGTTTCCGAAGATCGCTTAGACTGAAGATACATTCATCAGAATACTTCCACAATTTTAATGATTATTTTGAGAAAGGTCGAAAATTTATGATAATGCACATTGAAGCACCACTATATGGAACCCCAGAAAGATTGAATACGCTTGATTTGATTACCCCCTCAAATAATGCAGCGGAAAGAGTTGTTTTGAACGATATTAGTGAAACTATACAAAATGAAGAAAATGAAACTGAAGTGAGGAATTCCTTAGATTCTTTTGTACAAAATGAGACTCTGAAATTTGAACAAATATTGAGAACATTCCCCTTAGTGTCTAAAAGCATTGGTGAAAAATTTGAAACCCTCTTCAGAAAGTTTAATGTCAAAGACTCTCCTGATGCTGATTCCTTGATTGAAGTTTTCACAGAGACAATTAGCTTATCATCTCATATTTTTCAACTGTTGAGCCCCGATCTAATTGATGCTATTCTTGATATGTCACCAAGCTTAAACTTGAACGAATGTATCTTCAATTATGTTGAGCTGAACTTGTGTGATAAGATTTGGAATCGCCTTTGTGAGATAAATGGAGACTTTCTCATTGAGCATTATGATGATTTAGAGTTTTTGAGTTTGAACCAGGTGAGTTTACCCAAAAGTTTCCAACACAATATCACTCTATATCACATACTGGAAAAGAGAATATCTCAAGCTATAACAGAATTCAAAAAGTTAGAACTCGCAGTGACAACTGTTTTCAAAATCAAAATTTTGGTCAACACAATCAATCTGCTATCAAACATTGAATCTGTAACAGTAGATGCTGATACTTTAGTGGGGCTACTTTTGATGGTTATTGTCCATTCAAAGGTTACAAATCTTGAAAGCCATTTATTTTATATCCAAAACTTTTCATTCCAAAATATAGATTTAGGCTTTGTTGGGTATTCATTATCCACATTAGAAGGTGTACTTTATTATCTAAAAGACATTGAAAATATAAGGACCCTGAAGAAATACTCCCAGAATAATCAGAGAGTGATTTCATACGTTGAAACAAAAGAGTTGATATCCTTAAAGGAAATTGCTGATACATATTTGGGGAATCCAGACTCCAGTTTAAAGTCTAGAACCATAAACGGGGAATCAGTCTTGATGCTTGCTGTTATGTCCAATGATTATGATACTTGGAAGCTACTCATAGATTATGAAAAAGTCAATACACTTGAGGATATATTGTCAGATACAACCATAAACGGTGCTAGTCTTTTGAATGTCGCATTGAATTTCGAAAACTATGAGATTGTTGATGACTTGATTGAAATTTTGTTAAGCTCTTGCACTGTTACTGAACTGATTGGCTACTTGAACATGAAGGATATACATAGCCGTACAATTGGTCATTATCTATTTCATTATAAGGAGATCATACCCAAAGTTGGCTTTCTGATTAATTGGTTAGAAAAAGACCTGAATGGACAAACACCTTTATTCTCCGTCTGCAGAAGCTATGATACCCCCAAATATCCTGAAATGATAAGGTCCGTGTTTGACACAGTTGATAAATGGTATACCCAAAACAGTTCACAGTTTGATTACGAAGACCACATAGATAATAGAGGAAATACACTGCTACATATACTGAACTCACAGGTGGATGTTTTGCTAAAATATCAAAGAATTAATCTGAATGAGTCAAACAGAAAGTCTTACACGCCATTGATGATCTATGCCAAGTACAATAGAGCTGAGAATATAGAGAAGATTATTCAAGATGAAAGAGTTAACATACTGAAGCCTGATAAGAACAATTTCACATGTATGGATCAGTCCAAGAATGAACAAGTTTCCGAGTTGCTTGAGCAACAGATATTATTAAAAAATAGTCCCTTGGTTTCTGGAAAGCAAATTGGAGTTATAAGAATCAAACTTGAAAACAATGAATGGAGTATCGTAATCAGAGGTCAGATTAATGGGGCTTACTATACTACAACACATAGTTTCACGGATTTTAAGAACCTGATTGAATTGATTGAAATTGAATTTCCAAATACCTTTTTACCACTTGAATTTGTTTCCAAGAATTTCAAAGTCAATTTGAATATGCCTTCTTTTAACAAGCTTAAAATTAACAAAATTATTGAACAGCTCAACATCTTCCTTGGAAGCTTATTATCAAACAAACCATTTGTTGATCATGAACTATTGTGGGAATTTTTGGTTCAGAAAGATTTCAACTACCAAAGTCTTTTAAATCGTACTCAGTCCAAGTTCTTCAATTTTAAGCAGGACTTATTGAACAATTTACCAAAAGCAAATGATACTTTTGAACATCAAAAAGATCAGTTGTTGTTACAACCTGAGGAGATAAGTGAAATGAATTTTTTCCTCAAGTTTTCAACTAAGGAAATAAGCAAGCTTAGAAGCACTTATGATAAGCTACTCAAAGTTGTTAACTTCATGTTTGTCAAAACAGATGAGTTGAACCAGTCAATTGAGCTCTTCACTGAGGAAAGCAGCATTGGTATGAAAGAACTTGATTTCTTGAAAAAGGTGTGGAAAAGCAGCACAAAAGAGTTTTCTACTGATGAAGATTTGTGCAATACGGTGCTTTACTTATCATTATCTGCGGATGAAATTGTGAAGAAATCGAATATTCTTCTAAATGAAAAGATTTACAAATGGTGGAAGCTCTATGGGGAATTGATAGAACTGAACAACAACTATAAAAGATTCAAGTATGTTGAGGTAAAGAAAGCAAATAAACATGAACAAGTTGAAGTTGAAGGATTGGTTGATGTTAATGAAGAAAGTTTCAACAATTTTACTAATGACACAAGTTTCACCTTAAATGATAATGGAAGTCAGGCGAAAAAACAAAAGCCTTCATTTTTAACCAACTTTATTGAGTCCAAGAGAAACAAATACGAAACAAAGCTATTAGCTGGGTTACATGACGTCAAAAAGAAGTTGTATGAGTTGAACAAAGATATGAAGTTTAGTCATGAGACACTAGCAATGGAAATGAATAATTTTTTGATATTCAAAACAGAGCACTTGAAAGCTACAATGAAACTCTATGTTCGAAAGCAAATAAAGGATTTAAAGTTCAATAATGTTATGTTACAAAGAGGTCTTGATGATCTACAATCACTTGATAAATGATAAATATGATCTCAAAATATATTTATTATAATTGACTAGCACTAATTAACAAAAATTCCACATTAATGTACATATAAAATTATCACGTAAGCTTAAAGCGATCTATCATTCATTGTTGATTATTATTATTATTATTAGCATTGTTTCCTTGGTTATTCATGAAGCTACTTGCCAAGTTTTGCAATGCTGGGTTGTTCAAAAGACTACTTAAATCTGGAGATCCGTTGTTATTACCACGGCTACCTTGATCAGCACCACCAGCACCGCCAGCACCACCTCCTAAACCAAACTGTTGAGCCATTTGGCTAATAGCTGGGTTGCTCATCAAGTTTTGCAAAGCACCTGGGTTTTGCATCATTTCTTGTGCGTATTGCATTAACTGAGGGTTGTTCAACATTTCAGCAAAGTTTGGTGCACCACCGGCACCACCAGCACCACCAAGTAATGATGATAAATCTGGGAAGCCACCACCTGGGGCACTTCTATTACTTGAATCAGAAGAAGTGTTTGAATCACGGGCTGATTGTTCGGGAGTTGCTAGATCTAACTGTTCTTCAACTCTTCTCTTTGCAGTTTCATAACCTTTCTTCATAGCGTCTGATGGTTTATCACCTTCTTTTTCTAAACCTTTCTTATAAGCTTCGAATGATTCTTTTGGTTTGTTCAAAGCATACTTAGCTAAACCCAATCTTGAATAAGCCTTTGAGTAGCTTGGATCAATCTCGATGGCTGCTTCAGCATCTTTAACAGCGGATTCATGATCTCTTAATGAGGAAAAGGCGGCTGCTCTATTTGATAAATAAACAGCGTTCTTTGGGGCAAGTTTAATAGCTTCGGTATATTTTTGGATAGCCTCATCAAAATCTTTACGAGCCATAGCTTTGTTACCTTCTAATTTCAATTCTTCAGCTTGTTTTAGTGCCTTTTCATCAGATTCAACATGTACTGGGACTTCTGTTGCAACATCAGACTTCTTTTCGGTTTTGAATGCTGATAAAATGTCTTTTAAGGATTTACCATTGAAATCAGACTTGACAACTTTTGCATCATCATCTTTATCAACTTCATAAGCATCTGCAATACAATCAATGGCAACGTCGATCGATTCAAGATAATCTTCAGAGACCTCTTTGTTTGCAACGGAGGTTTTCAAAAAATTTATGATCTGTAAAGCAACTTCTTTATTGGACATTTTGATGGTGATTGGGGTTGATAGTTAATTCAAAGATCTGAATTTCTAGACTTGAATATGGTTTTATATTAAATGTGCTGCTGGCTTGACGGTACGCTTCCAACGCCTTCTAGTAGTTTTCCAAAAATCAAAAACCAGCTGCCATATCAACACGGGTTTTCTCAATCGTCGTTTAATCTTTCAAAAACAAATAGTCCAGTTTTCCCTTGCAAATGACAGATTATGAGCAGTTAAATATGCTAGTGAACTCTTTAGCAGTGATTATCTACAAGACTATAGTTTAAATATGAAATATTTGAGAATATGCCATAAATTCAGAGGATTAAAAATTTTGGATATTACATAAGCATCACTTAGTTCAGCAATCTAGCGGATTTTTAAGGTCAAATTCTGTTCCTCGTGGCCCAATGGTCACGGCGTCTGGCTACGATTTCTAGCTACTTCTGAAACCAGAAGATTCCAGGTTCGACTCCTGGCGGGGAAGATTAATTTTTTTGCCAAAATTTCGTTTTTTTTTTGCTTCTAGAGTGCTCTCTAGCTTCAAATACATTGAAAGCTGTTTTCCAGGAAGCTTTACAGCTAGTTTCAAGCTAATTATACTAAAAACTCTATCTGTCGTGCCTAAAAACTCAAGCCGCGAACGACGCGACAGTTACAATAAAATATTCAATTCAAGTGGAGATAACTCCAGTGAGTTATTGAAACCTGTTTTTTTCCTAGTATATTTAAAGAGCTGCAATGCCAATATCAAAACATATCTAGTGAGCTATTTCAATTAGTCTCTTTAATTGACTTTTTGCACCAGATTTTGTACATTCAAAACTTTCCGCGAATTCTTTCTTTATCAGTTTTTTATCGCCCGCGCACCAGAGCGGGAAGCACGTCAAGAAAAAAAAACATGAAATCAACTAGTTACAAATAACTTCTCTTCAACTATCAACTCAACAAAGTTGTATCTGAAAGCCCATTGCAATCAAGAAACACTCCGGTGCTGAAAATATGAACTCTCCAAAAATAATATATATCCGCCCCACCATAGAGAACTGCGACCCAATAAAGAAGTACCAAATTTCAACTCCAGTTCAATATTCTTTACAGGAAAACCCAATTCTATATGGTGGTGGCCGCAAATGGTTGATATCCTGTTCAAGTCCAGATTTCATATCATCAATAACGGGACAAGATTCCAGTGATCTTTTGGTGGATTTATTTGCATTCAACACAAGCTTTATAATATGGTTTAATGGTCTTGAAAAAGGTTTAGAAATTTCATATCTCGATATTCCTGCCCATGCGGTAAGGAAAAACCAATTGGGACAATTAGAATTATATATCCAAATGAACTACTCCAATTCAGGCGACCAATCACCTTGTCTAATTGAATTCAGTTTTACTCCAAAATATTGGGAAAATGACCGTTATTTTAACCAAGAGATTGAAAAGTTATTTACTTATGAATTCTTTGGATTAAATAAAGGTTCAAAAATGATATTCAACACTTTCAATGCAATTGGGAAATGCTCGTGCTTTCATAATAATAATAGTGATGATTATGATGATGAAAGAAGCATGGATGACGCTGATGAAGTTATTGATGAGTTTTATGAAATGGGATTAGATAATTCAGGTAATGCAGATGATATGACAGATACTAATGAAGGCGAGATAAAGTGGAATTCTGGAGTAAATGTTAAGATATACAATGATGAAGAAAAATTCAAAACTAGAAGTCTTGAAGAACTGGGTATAGTGTCATCAGAAGCTCACGAATCAAACAAAAGAATTAGATGTTGAGCACAACTACAGAAGGTTTAAATACTTTAAAAATTCATTCCTTGCATAAAACGCATTATGAGTAAACTAATTGAAAGCTGTAGTCCCAATTGATTTATTTCTTGAAACTCGAGTTTGAATATCTTCTAGCCAATCTTTGAATCTTTGAATCTTTATGAACAGAATCATCAATTTGCTTAATTAATTCCTCTTCTCTTTTTTGATCTTGTAATTTAACTTCATCCAAAGTTGGAGGTAATTTTTCATTAACCAAGTCTGCTTTTTTAGCTTCTTCAAAACTTGTAATTTGTTGTCTTAACCCATCAGAACCTCCCAATAGTGAACCTTTTGGTAAAACACCACCAGTGATTTGTTTTAGTTTTTCAACATTTTCAGCCTCCTCTCTTAAAACTTGAAACATTCTTGAAACTCTACCAATAGCTAAAATCTTGTTACGTAAAGCACGTTTTTTCAATGTTAATTCATCAACTTCATCATTGGCATCAGTTGGAGGTGTAGTTCTTTTAACTGGAGCAACAGGTGCACTAGCTGTTCCAACAACATCTGCCACACCTTCATTAAATCTTTGCAGTGTCCCTTTATCTAATGGAGTATCTTCATCCAATTCTTCCTCTGTACAGATATTCAAAACTGAAACTAAAATATCAGTGACTTTTTCACCAACGAATGGTAATGACCATGTAAAGACATCCATGAAATTTGGTAACCAATAAGGATGTGGTGTATAGTTAAATTGCCTTATATTCATAACATTATTACCATATTTCAAAACGGCAGCTTTATTTTTATAAGTATCCAAATAATTAGGAGCACTGAACATTGTTAATAATGACGGGAACCCCATAGTTTCTGTTCTTTTATACATTCTATAACCTGCATCTTGAGCTTCATGGGCTCTAATAACACTTAATAAATTATTTCTGGTCAAGAAATTCGAAACAGCTTTAAAAGTATAAGCATATGAACAACCACGGACACTATTTGGAATAAACAGGGCATCATCATCATCTGTATTTTCATCATAATCTTCAACAGGATCACTCCATAATATATCACACATCAATCCACGAGTTGGAGGTTCTCTAAAACGATCAATTTTGTTCAAATCATCAGGTTTGTTCAGTTCTGGAGAAATACCACCATGACAACAAAAATATTGATTATTCATTAAAGCAGCTAATGGTAATGTATTGAATGAATCACAAGCAGCTTTATAAACATTTAATGAGTATTTGTGTAGACATTCCATTTTGAAAGTGAAATAATCTGTTAAATGTTTACATTCATGGTTACCTCTCAAAAGGAAAAAAGTGCTTGGGTATGTAATCTTTATGGAATAAAGATATAATAAACATTCAATTGAAAAAGAACCACGATCAACATAATCACCAAGAAATAGATATGAAGTATCTTTTGGATCACCACCAACTTCAAAAAGTTTAATCAAATCAAAATATTGTCCATGAATATCACCACAAACTGTAACTGGTGCTGGAACTTGTAGTAAATTAGGCTCTTTACTCAAGACATCACTAGCCATTTTCAAGATTCTAATGGTTTGATCTTCAGTCAATCGACCTTCTTGTAAAAAATGTTGCTTTAGGAATTGAATATTGGGTATCCCACTAGGTAAGAACAATTGTTCATTTGTTGGTTTAAAATTAGCAATTGGTGGTACATTATTATTAACTCTTGATTTTGTTGAAACTTTTTGTCCATCTTCTGTGATATGAATTGAATAATCACGGGAATGAACAACTACTTCCGGATTTTTGTTCAATGCTCTTAAAGCAGCATCAATCTTTTCTGAGTTTTCTTGAGCTGATGACATTTTAATGGTGACCGGGAATTGATGTGTTCAGGATGTTGTTCTTTTCCTTCCGTTCCAAAATCAATACCTGTCTACTGATGAATTGTTTTTTCTGAAAGCTGCTCCCTTCACCACAGCCGATACGGGCCGCAGCAATGAGATTTTCCGATCACATGATACTTACATTCCGACCTTAGCTTATTCGAGGAATTCCGGAAAAACCAAAATTCAAAAAAAATTTATAGGTGATGAGCTCTTGAATTAGATCTTAATTTGGGGATAGAATTAGATATTATATTGTTGATATAATGCCTGTTATTGATTCCAGTGATTTTGTTGAAGCACCAGAAGGTGAAAAAAGCTTGAAATTGTCTGAAGAAAAGCAACAAGCCAATTTTGAGTTAGGTGTCTCTATGATAATATATTCATGGGAAGCATTAGAGATTGCAGTTGCTAACCAATGGGGTGGTGCACAATCAGAAGCTAAAAGAGATTGGATAACAGCTATTGTTATTGATCTATTCAATGAAAAAATTGTTGATGTGGAACTAGTAGAGGAAACAATCCTAAATGCTATGGTTGATGAATTTGATGTTAATGTTGAAGATGATTCCTCATTACCAATTGCTGATAAAGTTATCAAGATTTATAGAAAATGTGCTGATAGAGATTTTACAGAAGTTCGCCAAATGTTTGAATTATGGCAACAAAAGCAACAAGATAGAGCTTCAAGACAGCAAAACTTGAATGTTACTATAAATGAAGATCCAGAAAACCCAGATGTTTCAGATGATGATGAAGAGGAAGATGATGACGAGGAAGTTCCACAATTAGCTGGTCAATCAATACAGGAGGATGTTGAAATGGGAGATGCAGATGATGAACCAAAAGGACCTGTGGTTGATGATGACGGTTTTGAATTGGTTCAAAAGAAAGGTAAAAAGAGAAACTAAAGGGGAAGCGATGATTCTGGTAATTTGTACATTAAAATAGATGGTACACCATCAGCTAATGAAAAGAATTTGTAGACCTTTAAATCACATTTCAAGGATTGAATGAATTTTTAGAGAAAGTAGTGCATTGATCAATTTTTTTTCAATAAACACGTCAAAATATTTCATCTCTTGAACGAGGAACAATAAAGCTTTATTACAACAATACTGGTCATTCGCTTATATTATGTTCACCGTTGATACAGTAGTATCGTTATTATTGAGCCCCACGTCGCTAATTGGGCTACTTCTACTTTCCTTGTGAGCTTATTTGTATTCATCTCATCAAGAGTGGTTACTAACCATATTTCAGATATTTCTTACCGAGAAGTTTGACACTGAAGTTGGTTAGCTTTTTGAGTATCTGCTCTATAATAAGCTATTCAAATACATTATACAAACAAAGGGGACACTGGGATAACCTTGGTCCAGATGATATTGCGCTGATAACTGGTGGATCAAATGGTCTTGGTTTAGAGATTTCAAAATTGTTGATCGAAAGACATGTCAATGTCGTTGTTTTGGATAAAGAGGAACCAAATGAATCAATAAAAGACAATCTACATTTCATAAGATGTGATTTGAATGATGAGAACCAACTGATAAAGTCAATCAATGAAATCAAGTCAACAATTGGACTGCCTACTATTTTAATCAATAATGCTGCAATTCGTCATAGTGAAACATTACTAGATCTTAGCTACACCAAGATTAAGGATTTATTTCAAGTAAACACATTGGCACAGGTTATCCTCCTGAAAGAAATTATTAAAGATATCAAAGGTTCTCGTCTTTATGTTGTCACCATGGCTTCAATATTAGGTCTAGTTAGTCCTTCACATTTATCAATTTATTCTGCAACAAAAGCTGCAATAATTTCACTCCATGATTCTCTGTCACATGAAATTCAAAATGACCAAATAAGGTTCCTTTTAGCTACACCAGGACAATTGGATACAAGACTATTCAGTGATGTTAAACCTCCAAGACAATTCTTTGCGCCAGTTATACATGCTCAAGATTTAGCTGTTCAAATTGTTGAAAAAATTGAATTAGGCGAAAGGGGTACTTTACATGGACCATTGTATACTTACTTCATTCCAATATTGAGAATGTTGCCTTATTCATTTGGTGAATTTGCAAGAGTTTTCAGTCAAATGGATACAAGTGTTAAAACATAGACAATTCTTCATTCATAATATATAATAGAGTTTGCATGTTATTTTTCTTTTGTATTTGATTCCAATAGTGTGTTGATCCAGTTCTTCAATTGAGTTTCATGTAAATTGCCAAATTTATCAAATATTTCTTTGAATTCCAAGGTTTTATTGAAAGTAAATGATGATTTATTTTGATTTGTTAAAGTAAATGTCAATTTATATTCTGGGACGAATTTATCAATTTCTCCAGAGATTTGTAAAGTGTGCTTGTTTTTAGAACCTCTGTACACTATTGATTTCTCAACGTATTTAGCGTGAGCCCAGGCTGAAACTGACAAAATCACATATACAACTAGTAAAAGTTTAGTATATGGTAAAGCATCTTCAAAACTTAGTTCTTTTTCAGCATAAAAAGTTAATGCTGCAGTAACTGCAGTAAGATACCCTATCGCTAATCTGGTATCAATTAATTTAAATGACTGGGTATATCCTAATGACTCAAGCGCCTTCAGATAGGTTTGGTTAGTTGTAAAACAAATTGGCCATTAGAAAGTAACACGTACCACAGGTAGTTTTTCATCTGTTGCAGAACGTAAATCAACGACTGAGCTTTGTAAAAAAGTTAGTAAACAGCTTAAACATATTCAATCCTATTCACTCACCTTGTATTGGCAGTTTTAAAATGTGACATCCTTGAATTCTAGATAAATGCTTCAAAGTTACGATATTTCTGATCGGTTAACTTGATCAACACTTTGGCATTTTGGCGATTTCTAGAGTAAGCGCTTAGTCATGTTTCGCGATTCGTAGCTCAGAATTTTAAAGGCAGCACGTTAATCATCAAAAGCTCCCTTCACAAATAAACAGGTCTTTGAAACCTAGTTACAAGGACCCACAGGCGTGTTGCTAGAAGCTGGCTAGCTAAAACCGTTAGCAAAGTATATCATAAACCCATTCACCTTTTCGATAGAGAATATCACAAATCCAAGTACGGAGGTAACATTTATTTTGTTTTTGCCTTCCCTCTCATCAGTCATCATTATTTACCTTCAACATTGAGCCAGTCAAGTAACAACAGCCTCCCAAGTGAAGGTCTGGTAGACAGCCAGCCACAAGCTAAGAAGATGAGTGCCAAATATAATCCAAACGCGACCGCGTTCATTCCTTCAAAACAATCATTTCCAACCTCTGGTTCACAGGCAAAGCAACAAAAGTCTAACCCAAATACATCATCTCATACAGCTCCACCTCCAACTCAAGGAAAGCGTGGTAATAGCTCAGGTGCATCTAAATCTTCTGGTAGACCAAGAGAAGTCAAGAACACATCCAATACGAGAAAGTACAGTTCAGGTTCAGATGGTGGTGCCCATGATGATTTTGGTTTCAATATAGAGGATGAGGTTATGTCCGGTCAATTCAAGGCAAGAGGTAGAAGAGGTCAAATCTCCATCAACCACTTGTTGGAATTCTCATTGCCTTCTCGTGATTTAGAAAATGATAAGCTATCAAGAGCTCCATTGCCTAGAAGAAGAAGAAAATCTAATCAAGAAGATAAAATACATCTTAGAGGTGAAGAGTTCGTTAATGCAAATTATAAGTTTATTGTTGATTATAGACTGGATTATAAAGGCCAAACTTTAGATCCAAACTTGATTCTATCAAATGAAGCCATATTAAGAGTTATAGTACCAAAGGGAAATTATTGTCCTATTTGTTTAACTGAAGATATTGTTGCTCCCAGAATGATTTCTTGTGGTCACATTTTTTGTCACACTTGTTTGTTGAGTTTTTTGGAGTCTGAAGGCATAAAAAAGAAGGAATTTTCCTTGAATAAGCATAAAGAATGTCCATTATGTGCATTTTCTGTTAAACCTGATCAGATTAAACCTGTGATTATAAATCAAACAGATGAAAGATTCGAAACTCCACAAATTGGTCAAGATGTTATATTACGTTTGATGGCTAAACCGATTGAAAATATTTTGCCAATTCCATTTGGTTTGAATTTGAATCATCAAAAAGTTGGTAATATTCCATGGTATTCTGATACAGAATTATATCCATATGCCAGAATAATGAAAGGTGGATTGAAGTTCCTCGTGGAGTGCTATGAAGCCGACAAGACCGCCATTCTCAAACAGTATGAGGAAGATAAGTTACTTTATGATGATGATGGTGTTTATGCCAAAAAGGCTTTAAAAGACATTGAGTTCCATTTGAAGTTATACAAAGAAGGTTTCGGTAACAATTACAATGAACCTAACCCATTAGTAACATCAATGGATAACTTATCAGTCAATAAGAATAATAGTGGATTAAATGATTCAAACTGTTATTTCTTCTATCAAACTGCTTTCAATTCCCCGACAAGATATTTCTTATCACCTTTGGATGTTAAAGTTTTATTGTACACTTATGGCACATATGATAGTTTCCCATCTACGTTGTTATTAAAAGTTGATAATATCAATTATGGTCATATGGTTACAGAGAGTACATTAAAAAAGTATAAATATTTTGGTCATTTACCTTTTGGTACAGAATTTGCTTTCATTGATGTAAATTGGAAAAACATGTTGGCACCAGAAGTTTACAGAGTTTTCGCCAAAGAATTAAATGAGAGAAGAAAAAAGATTTTAACTAAATTGAAAAAAGAAGATCGTGCTAAAAAGTCATTTGATGTTCAACAAGAGTTGAAAACTTTAGATTTTTATAAAACTGAAAATGAAGGTTGGGGTATCTATGATTTTAGTTCTCAAGAAAACATTGCAGCTTCTGAAGAACCTCCATTGCATCCATTAGGAGATGAAGAGATTGCAAATGAAAATGTTGACTCTACAGAACAGGAGAATAAGGAGAATCCTGATAGTTATTTAACAACGGTTTGGGGTACAAAGATTCCAAAAGGTGAAAAAGTGATCACCAAAGATGATTATATTGAAGATGATTGGAATACAGAAGAGCTTATAAGGTTAGCCAAAGAAGAGAAGAAGGACAATCCAAAGAAGAAGGGTCGTAAGAAGAAACTAGTTGTTTTAACTTCCTCAAGTGGTCGTGGAATATAACAAATGTTGAACTGCGCGCGCGCATACACCCCCAGCATAATACAATACCAAGTGCAAAAAAAGAAAACAGTTGATGTTCCCATTTAGAGATGCATTCTACACACATTAAATTTCAATTGAATAAACGATTTCACGAACTTTTATACGTTAGCAGTTATGTCTTCAGTAGTTTCGATTTGGTCTGTTTAAACGTTCTAGACATGACCGTTTTTTTGTACGCGCGCGCGCACTAAAAAAAAAAGAAGCTCGACAAGAAATGTTTTTTCAAGAAAGCTTAATTAAAACAGATCAGTTTGAAAACTTCATTCGATTTTATTTTGGATTCAGTTTTGAACTAGTTACTCATCATACTTGAGTTTCCATTTCATTTAACCTACAAAGTCTAACGGCTTTGACCTATTCCTGTTGCAAAAGAAACGTGCATAGTGAAAAATTTTTGACACAATTGTTTTTTTCTTCTCTCGAAATTCCATCGGGATTTTAAAAGCATTAAGTACTAAGGCAAACGGTTATTTAAATACATTGATTCCCACTTGAACACGCTCAATAGTTTTATAATCAAATTAAGCTAACCACTATCAACTCATAATGACTTCAGAAACTCCAGTTGCAAATATCTTGGGGACCATTGGTACAGTTTGTTGGTGTATTCAAATGATTCCACAAATCATTCATAATTATAGAAATAAAAATTGTGAAGGTTTACAACCATTAATGCTTTTCCTTTGGACTGCTAGTGGTGTTCCATTCTCCATCTTTTTTGTGTCCAGAGATGCTAGTATACCTATTCAAATTCAACCTCAATGTTTTACATTTTTATGTCTTGTGACTTGGGCTCAAACATTACATTACCCACCAGTATCACAATCAAAGAAGAAGACAATATTATATGTTGGTTTGTTCTTAATAATCTCAATAGCTTTGGAAGTTGGATTTATAATACCATTGAAGAGATTAACTGCAAAGAATATCATGTGGCCATCATTGATCTTTGGTATTCTTGCTTCAATCTTGTTAGCTGTTGGGTTACTACCACCATATTTCGAATTAGCCAAAAGACAAGGACGTGTTGTTGGTATCAACTTTGTGTTTTTATCGTTGGACTTTTCTGGTGCTTTGTTCAGTGCTTTATCAGTTGCATTTGCTAGAGAGGTTGATGTTTTGGGGATTGTTTTGTATTGTATTGTTGGATTCATGGAATTGGGTATTTTCAGTTCCCATTTGATTTGGTATTTGAGAATTGGAAGAAAGATGAAGAAGGATGATAACAGAGAATCTGAAGATGAATTGGCAACATCTATAACTGAAGTTGATGATTTGAAAAAAGCTGAAAGTAATGAAACCACCAAAAGTTGCGATACTGCTGACACGATAGTTTGAGTATTCTGATGACGTTCAATATCTTCATAACCTGTTTATAAGCATCAATTTATGAGTTTTAATGAAATTTCAAATTGTGACTAGTAAAATGGAAAGCAAAAAGTATATTTGATCTCAACAGTAGTCAATTTCCATCTTGAAAACAGCATTATAATCAAATAAGCATCAATATCATCGATTAACACATAATTCAAACCTCATAAACCATCATTTCCATGATAATTGATAATTTCCAAATCTTTTGCACCTGTTCCAACTTCAAATTTTGGATCCTTTGATTTTTGATCCTTCGCGAAAACTTCAAAAAATTAATTTTTTCGTGCCTGCGCATTTTCTTTTGAAGCTCCTTTCATCAAAACAAAAACATTTGAAATTGGCATTTATTTATTTATAAACAGATTTGATCCTTTCCACACTCTTTTCATCCCTTTTTTCTATATTCCAAAGCTATACCCACCCACAGTCATTCATTCATTCATTAAGCTCATATAGCTAGTCATTCATTTTACACACTCTTTTTTTTTAGCACGTATACCCACTTTATTTCATTCATTTCAGTCAACTATGGATTCAACAACTTTTCAACAACTTCTAGAACTAGAATCAAACTTATCAAAAGCTCAGCAGTTCCTAAACACATCAAATCAAACCGCCTTGCTGCTTTCTCATTTAGAAAATTTAAACAATCATTCAACAGCTCATACTGGGTTTGATGGTGTTGAAATAAAAGATATTGAATCATTATTACAACAAACTGGATCTTTTGATTTAGCAATTTCATGTTCATCTTGCAACCAATTAATTTATGAAAATGATGAATGTGCTAAAAATCAAATTCATAAAGATAATTTACAACCATGTTGTATGAAGATGTTGAAAAATTTGAAACAAGATGATGAATTGGAAATTACATTTTGGTGGTTTTTCATCAATAATTTTTCAAATTGTATCTTAACATTACCAAATTATACAAGATTTATGTTAACCAATGGTATTCCAACTTCACTTAGGGATCGTATCTGGGGTTTATTAACATTCTCCAACAATTCTAAAGGTGAAAATGATGAATATTTATTGAATTTATATGAATCTTTGAATAAAGATATTTCACCAGATATTAGAATTATCACAAAGGATGTCAACAGAACATATCCTCAATTATCAATGTTTACAGAGTTTGAAACCAAAAGTAAATTTGAAAAGATTTTGAATGCTTATAGTATCTTTGATTCAGATATGGGATATTGCCAAGGTTTACAATTTATCGTGGCACCTATGTTGTTCCATTTTGATAAAGATGATTTCAAAACTTTTAACTCATTAGTTAAGTTTTTTGAAATCAATAAGCTAAGAAACATTTATGATAATCAAATGTCTGGTTTAAACTTATGGTTTTATCAATTTGAAGAAATTTTCAAACATGAATTACCTGAATTATCAACTTATTTGATTGATACTTTAAATGTTGATCTTAAGGTTTTCCTTTCACAATGGTTTTTATCATTCTATTCAATAACTATACCTTTTAATTTTTTGATTCGTGTCTTTGATATAATGTTTTTAGAAGGTGTTAAAGAAACTTTATTAAGAGTTGGTATTGTTATATTATCCAAAAACTCCAAATTACTACAAAGTATTGATGAATCTGAGTTGGTTTATCAACATCTTCTATCAGAAAATTGTTGGGGAGTTTTCCAAAACAATGTTGATTCATTCATCAATGAAATTATGAATCTAAACATTGAACAATATACTGAGGAGAATTTACAACAATTATCAACCAATTATTCACAATCTACAACTAAGGAAGAACAAGACATTTCACCAAACTCATTCATATCTAAAATGTTCACAAATCTCAAATATAATGCAGAATCAATATTATCATCCCCAATTGATTCGATTTCATCTTCAAAATCCTCATTATTTTCAATAAATAGTGAAAGTGAAAGTTCAAATACAAGCATATTTGAAAGTGATTTCGATTTAGTTGAAAGTTTATACAAGATGTGCTTGGAAAAAGGTCTTGATGGCCCAATCTTGGATAAAGTTAAAGATCGCTTATATCAAACAACAACTAGCACTTGAAATGCGTTAAAGGGAAATTTATTTATTAAAAAGGTATAGGAGGAACAGGAATTTACATATTGGCATAGGATTGAAAAGAGTGTAGTTCGATCTTTACGAATAAAAAAATTAATAATAAATCATTAAAAAACATATAAAAACATATAAAATACTCCACTGAAAATGATATATAGTAACAAGTGGATAACTATGATGCTGATGAACACATTTCGTTTGGCTGTTCTTCTTTATATTGGATATATTTCGTTGTGAAAAAGGTTTGAATGGGAAAGAATCTCATAAATAGTAATGAATGATTGATAGTGATGGTATTTGAGAATATTTTCAAATTGTGATTCCTTCATCAGAATAGTGATATTCTTAAACGGTCAAAGATTGGTAATTTTGGAACAACACCAACTGCACAAATCAATAAATTAATGATGAATAATTTCAAATCATAATGACTATAATGTGTTGAGCATAAAAATAACCATATTGGTACACCAACAAGAAATTTCTTACTTGGAGTGTAGAAATCACCTTCATCTAATTGTTCCCACATTGTTAAATTATCATAAGCACCAGAATTGAAATCAAAAGGAGTACCTTTAACATAATGAAACATGATATAAGAACCAATAACATAAGTTGCATTAGTAAATGACCAGCTAATTTCATTTGATAAACCAGGTACTAAATCGAAAAATAACTTCAAAATTAAGATTATAACAATATGAATGATCCAAGCACCTTTTGAATGGACCCAGTTTGCATTTAAATTTGGAGTTGATTCTTGATCTATTTTTTCTTCAAAAGTTTCAGGTTCAACATGAGATATGATTGAAGATGATCTTCGACGATGTTGTCTAGCATTTGAAGAATTTGGGGATAATGTTTGAGCTGATGGTTCTGACATTATGGATGAATGTTGTGTATATGGCAAATGAATTGGTAATGTGCTGTCTTTTTTTTGTATGGTTGCCTTCAATGATAAAAACAGCTATAGTTGAGTAAAATGGATAGTTTGAAAAGGGTGATGTATCTTATGAGTGTGATCTTTCTATACTCTGTGTGATCTGATAGAAGAGTCTAGTAGACTAAGCGTTGTTTGCTGTTGTTGTCAATTGGTGACTCCTATAAAATCACAAGTTCGTTTAAAGTAAAATTCTCTGAAATACAAAAAAGGCAAGTTGACACGTCAGATATTGACAGTTCCTTTTTTTTTTTTTTTGGAAACGCGTTTGAAACAATTTGAAACGAATGAAAACAACCGAATTTCCATTAACGAAAACCATCATTTTGATAGTGTCAAAGGGGATCCAAAGCTTTTAATGGAGAAGGAGCAGAGCCAGGACGACTTCATCCGCGAGAGGTTGAGCCATAACTTCGAGGCGTACACCAACAATGCCATCTTGAACAAGTTAACACCGAGTAGGTCCTTAGGCAGAGCTAGTTCAGTGCAGTCCTCGAGTAGGAAATCAGATTCGTCGTGGGGCAAAAAGTACCCAAAGAGAAACGATTCCAATATCGTTACTTCTCCAGTCAAGACGCTGAGACAGTTTGGTGCTAAAGATGGTGGTGCTGATGATGGTGCTGATGATGATGATGATGAATATGATACCACAACAAATTATGATGATGATAATAGTAAAAAGGATTCCACCACTGTTAATGTACCGCTACAATCATCTCCAAAGAAACCTTTGAGGAAAGGGACACCAAAAGTGCCAAAGACTCAAAAGACAAAGGATGCTAAATCTGAAAAGAAGAAGAAATCTGATACACAACACGTCCCAAGCACAGCGGATCTTCATAATAGTTCAAATAGAAGAATAGTGACAAATAGCCATATCAATCACCATGTGTCTACACAGGGTATTGATGATGATGGCGCTGGTGCCGGTGGTGCTCATTTGCATAGTGATAATACCCTTTTAAGTGAGATTCCAAGTGATATATTGAGTCCTGAGAAACATATTTATCCACAAGAAAATCTACGAAGATCTTCATCAAATATCCCATCAGCTACAAAAGTCAAAGATGCAACTACAAGTTTATTATCGAAATCATTTCCAGTGTTTTCTCCACCTCCTCCAAAACATAAGGAAAGCAAAACTACTGGAAAATCGCCTACGAGTGGATCTAAAAGACGTGAAAGTCCTTCAAAGGGAAATAGAGGTGAGTCGCTACCGCCATCATTATATCCAAAAGTTCGATTATTTGGTGATGAAGATGATGATGAAGCTAGTGCTCCAAAAAAATTAACATCAGATGTTACAGATTCAAAAGTCGTTGAAGAAGTGAGAGAAAGTTTATCAATAAGGAAAAAAAGAGAAAGTGAAGCAATAACAATGTTCTTTGATAGATCTAGTTCTTCTTCAAAAGCTCCTGAAAGGCAATCCATAATTTCACCAAGAAGCAAAGAGTCAAACACAAGGCCTAATCTGTTTGAAAGGACAACACATGATAATAATTCAAGTTTCCATACATTAAACGAATTTATCAAAAACCCATTAATTGATGATGCAAAATATAAAACAACCAATGTCAAACATTCTGACAAAAAGACTCCTAATAACGAACCTACCGAAACAACAAACACCACCACACAAAGGAAATCGTTCGATATATCACAATTTGAGTCAAGTGATGAAGAGCCTGTTCCTGAGTTAACTGTCCCGTTGAATGAAGAACCTCAACCCACAACCACCAAAAGAGTATATGATGAGCCTATTGAAACTTCAACTAATAAAAAACCAAAGACAACAACAACAACATCTCTATATCCAACAATACAGCCAACGTCACAAACGCCATTGAAGAGATCATCTGAATCAAGAAGAAGATCGTTGTATCCTACTCTTCCTTCAGTGGGACACCCTTCAAGAGTCTCTGCTGCTGATATCGAAGATATTTCAAACAACATACAAGAGACGACGAAACCAAAACCACAAGCTCCACTTCCAAAAGAACCAGAAGAAGAACTTGGTGATTCAGATCATTGGGTTAAAAATCAATGGGCATGTTTCTTTAAAGCTTTTAAAAGATATAAAAAGACTAATGATCTATCAATTTTCCAGAATAAACGATTATTAGAATACTTGAGATGTGATGAGCATGAAATTAAATTAAAGATCCAATTCACTTTGGATCATGAGCATGAGATCAAAAGAAAAAACAAATGAATGTGTGTATTTTAATGTTTAATGAGCTATGTCAAAATGTTACCTCACTAAATTGTAAGGTTTCGCGAAAACACGAAATAAAAAAAAATTGTGCACTAAAAAAATTTATAGGTGTAAACCACTTTGAAAAGAAAATTTGGAAAAAGAACTCATAAAGCCTATCAATCATTACAATGCCTAGAAGTAGTCAAGATTCAATCACGGATCAACCACCTTTGAAAAAACACAAGGCTCATGGAAATCCAACAGGATCAAGTCAAGTTTCAAAAGAGGAACAATTCCAATTTTCACAATCTTTTAAATCAACAAATTCTTCAATTAGTCAAAAATCAATAGTTATTAAAAAAGGTGACAAGATACAAAAAAGAGTATCACAGTTATTAACAACAGTATTGGAAAAGGATGAACCGGTGTTCTTAATGAGTTCTGGAGAATCATTACAAAAAATGATTAGTATTTTAGAAATTTTTAAGTTAAAATTAAAAGATAATAAAGATTTCAAATTTGAACAATTTAATAAATTGGATCATTTCAAGACGTTCATTAAAAAGAATGAAATATTGTCCAAAGAGATTAAAGTTCCTGTTTTGTATACTTTGATTAGAAAAGTTAAGGAAACTAGTGGAGCTGATGATGATGCTGTTGATTTTGATGCTTGGAATAGACAGGAAATATGAGATCTTTTAGGTGAATGAGGCCTTTATGTAATGTTTTGTCAATTCAAGTTTGGACAGAAAAGGAATAAGAGATGATTATAAAACAGTGGGTATGGTCTTTGAAGTTGAGTTGGAAAGTCATTCAACCTTCAATCCCCCATTCAACTAAAAGATAAAGTACTTCAAACATGATTGATGGTGATACAGCTTTACAAGCACTTCTTTTCATTTCCTACTTTGGATCAATATTTTTATTATCATTTGGATTTTTCGGTTATTTACTCTATTCTTTAGTTAGACATATGATATATGGACCAAGAGATGAACCACCAACAGAAGTTTATGATTTTTCAAAAGATCGTGTTGGAAATATTCCATATGCCTTGAAGATGTTGGAAATTGAAGCACAAGTGGATAGAGCTGAAAGAAGTGTTGCGCCGCCAGCTGCTATGCCATATAAAGATGGTAAGAAATTTGTACCCAAATGGGCTCATGATTGGATGTGGCATCGTCCTTGGGCTAAAGCTGAACTACAAAGAGAAGACTATAGTTATTATCCATTCACTTTGATCGAAGAGAAGTGTGGTAAGGCTGAGACGCCATTTGAGTATGATTTGCCTCAGCAAAGTGTACTTGAAAAAAGAGATCGTACTTGGTATTGTTTCAAAAGAGAAAATAGATGGTGGTGGTTGAAATGATTGATTGTATTTAGCAATAATAGGCTCTTTGTGAACTCCAACGGTTTCGAGGTTTTTTTTTTCTTTTTAGCCAACAGAAAATCCGAATTCTCAACGGCGAAAGTGTTGATGCTGAGTTTGGGTTTTAAGGGGAGATTTGTACTAATAGTTAATGAATGGATCTGAATAGGTTTCGAGAATAATCAGTAGAGATCTAGGCTGATTAAGAATTGAGTAGTTGTAGTATAAAGTTATTTCAATATCATTATAGCCAGCCAGGATTATTCCAGATTCTAGAACCTCATCTGGCTCGAGCAAAATGGCAGATATTCCAGATACCGACTAAATCTCGACGAAGAAGAACGCTGGAAACTCTGTTGAAAAGCTGATATAAAGAGCATATCCATACTAACTAAACCAATACTTCTAACCTTATTCTCCCATACCATCATCTCTCTATCTACCCTCAAATCCACTCACTATTTCTCTATTTTTGGCTCCTGTTGGGGGGCATTGGTGTGTCGCGAACCAGACACTTTTTCCCAACACATGTCACAAGTTTCAATTGTTTTATGCCAAACAGAAATGGAACAGGTATAAATCATTTACACTTGAACCTTTTACACACTATTGAACCAAGAATAACCAGAGACTAGTACTCAGAGAATGCAAATATAGCCCTTATTCGAGTTATAACCAGAGTTAACTACAATCATCAAACATCTCATTCTTGTGCCACCTCTGTTTAGAAAAGCAATCTGATATCTCGGGAAATACCTTTAAGAGGTATAAGCAATAACATTAAACCATGTCATTTCTATTCAACTGGTTGGATTTAAGTGTATTGGATCTTAAATCATCCATAAACTCCATTTTAAGTGCCACAACAATCCCTCAACTCCCACATAAAGTGTCTATTTCATCCTTATCATTTGGTGAGAAACCACCTAAATTTGAAGTATTGGATATTATTGATTTGAAAGAGGATAAGTTTAAAGGATTATTCAAGTTTAATTATGACGGTGAATTGAATGTTGCTTTCAATACAGATTATGAGGCAAATGCCATTAAACTGATTGATTTTGATCCATTTACAAAGCCAAATTTTGTTTTGACTGATAAATCAACTGTCTTACCAGTGGAGTTTAAGATTAAAAACATCAAGATTGATGCTATATTAACAGTTGTCTATAATGGAAGAGTCACTGTTGTTTTCAATGATGACCCTTTTATTGATTTAGATATTGAAACGTCTTTAGATGAATTCTTGGATGATGATTTATTTGAAATGATTAAACAAGATACTTTGAATTTAGTTACTGAAATGCTGAAGCAAGACTTACCAGAAATGTTGCATTCATTAACATTAGATGATGCTTCTACTTCAAATGTTTCAGCTCTATTAGAACAAGATATAAATAGCCCAACATTGAAAAGGTCAATCAGTTCATTATCATTATCTGAACAACCTATGAATTTCAAACTACAAGAAAGTCTGTTTGATACATTATCTTTACAACCGCAAGGCTTTACAGATGTGATACAAAGAGTCTCATTATCCAAGATTGAATATCAAAATTTGGAGTCAACACAAGCACATCATAGATTAGAAGAAAGAAAGAAAAGAAGAGTAATAAAGATGAATAAAAAGGAAAAGAAAGCCACAAAAGTGCAAAAAGATCAAAAATCATCATCACCTTCATTAGAAATCCCAAGAATAGAGGAAGAAGTTTTACCAGAGGAGGAAGCTTCATATGCAAGAACTAATTCAAATTCAGAAACATCATCAACAACACTAATAGATACAAGTTTCGGCTCTTCCACAAATTCATTAGATGATTATTTAAATTCAGAAACACTGGTTGTTAAAGAATTGGATCCTTATGAATCGTTAATCCATCCAATGGATTTATTACCTTTTTATAAAAATGATCAAAATAATTTAAAGATTTCAACAAATTTATCAAGACCAAGAGGTCCATCTTCAAATTATATCAATCTGAATAATGATTTCAAAGATTTCATAATACAAAAGAAGGATTTGATGATGACTTCAAGTCAAGTTGTTGATGATAGTGACGATGATGATGTTTTCTATGATGTTTAGAAGGGAATAACAAGTTAATAAAAGGATTTAGATACGTTTCAATTAGAAAAAGAAAAGGTTTGTTTTTTACGGATAGTTTGTTTAATATTAATGGTTTTATGTTATATAACTTGTAGTTTTAATCAATCATTATAATATCATTATTATCATCATTGTTTTGGTCCATATTACCAAAGCTTTCAAAATCCAATTCATCAAAGTTTGGATTATCACTGATATCTATCACATCATCATTCGGTATATTCACATTTTCATTATTATGCTCGTTAATCCCATTAGTTTCTTCTTTCTCTTCTTTCACTTGTACGTCTTTAGGCTCCTCTTTAACCTCAGTATCCTCAGTGACTTCATCCTTCACCGTTTCTTCCTTCTTTACTTCATCTTTGACCTCTTGCTTTGGCTCTTCCTTCACTTCCTCTGTCTCGTCAACAATTTCTTCATCTTCATCAATCTCAACCTCTTCTTCATCAATCTCAACCTCTTCTTCAAACTTCTCACTATTCAAAACTTTATCCAAAACATTATTAATCTTTTCAGTTATACCAATAGTTGGATCCTTAACATCCTTAGACTCTGGTAATTGACCTAATATCCAACTTTCTTTCAAAGTCCTGGACACTGATAACAATTCCTCTATTAATCGCACCATAGTTTGGGCATGTAGTTCAATTTGCAACATTTCTGAAGCCTGTACTTCCTGTGAGCTGGTGGATGCCTTTGAATATGGTTAGAACATGAACATATTTTCAAATAGACTCGATACTCACGGATAGTCCTATGATGTTGGTGAATCTTGAAATAAGCAATTCTGTGTTTGTATCCACTTTTTCTAGGAGAAAAGAAACGGTCAGTAAATCAATTGGAAGGTGGTTGATTGGTTTGAGAACATACTTATGAAGGACTCTGATCTCTTTTGATTCATTTTGTGATGGGTTCTTTATAATTTGACTGCTTATGTTTTGTTATGTTTAGATTTTTTTGAATGTTTTTTTTCTCCGGTTTTGTGTGAAGAAACTCTCACAGTAAATCCATTAAAATGGTGGATTTAGATGATTGAATTCCTACATTTGATTCATTTCAGTCGTATAATTTCACTATGATGAAAGAGAGCTCAAAATTCAGTACCGTGTGCTCTTCTCAGAGGTTCAAAACACTCAGGTGGGACTCGTTGGCTGAAGCTGTTGGCGATTTGTCTACAAGAAGTGACGAATGTTTGAATGGTAACAATAATACCCACTGAATCTACCCAAAAGAACATAGTTAACAAATGAAAAGAAAGAGACCAGGTCGCATTGACCCAGCCTGATGTCGTCAAGGAATTTCTTTGTCCAGTGTCTTCAACGTTAAAGAGCTCCATTATTCAATTCAGAGAGTCTTTTTCCAATGATATTCACAATCCAATTCCATCAAGTAGATTTATTATCACAGGCCCAAGAGAAGTGAATGATCATCACCAAGCTATTGCATGCTCATACTGGCTACTGAATAAATCAAATATTTCCACTAGTGACTCTATCATCAATACCAAAAAGTTACCTGACAAAGTCCAGAAATTATACAGCTCAAACAATCCACCACTAAAGAATTTAAAGCTTGCTATGAATCTGAATATAAGTGGTGAAATTAAAACATCTAATAGTTCCTATATGACACAAACTGTTTTCCATGGAGTGTTCGCTTGCCGTGTGCTTTTAATGACACTAGCTAGTCAAATACCCATTATTGGTGAAATAGGTGATCCCATAGGTTTGGAATATTTCAAGGACTTATTTGGCTGTGGAATGGTGGGCCCAGGAACTATTGAATCCCAGGTTCATAGAGAATTAGCAAGTGGTGTACCGTTTTCTATTGGCTTTAGCGCATCTTCGTTCCGGTCTGTTTTTTCAAGTGATATCTTAAATCATAAGGTTCAAAAGGCAATTGATGCAATTTTAGCAAGTGCTGACCCTCACTATTTCCTTTCTGTTACAAAATTGGGTAATGTTGCTATCACCAGCTCTTCAGGAAACAAGGATAGCTTTTTGGTGATACCCATACAATACAATTCAATAGTGTTGGAATTTAATTATGTGGTTGGTGTAGTTGATGGATTATTAGAGGGTGTACATACCCCCAAAATAGTTTTAGATGTTGGAAAGGTCTCAAGTGTCAACCTTAGAGAAGTTTTAGAGCTTTTGGAGCAGATATTGAGAGCTCTGACTCTTCGAAATTTCATTATTGGATTTATCATTGATTCTGGAGACCGTTATGTTCCTGATAATATCGAGGGAGAACCCACAACACACCAAATAACACAAGATGACTATGAATCTTTGGATGAAAAAGAGAACTTTTCAGTAATGTCTGAAAATATTGGAATAAAAAGGCCTTCAATGAGAAATAAAATCTTTACATCTGTGAAATCATCTTATTCCAAAATCCGCTCAACTTTAACTGACAAAAGGAATTCAGACATTGGTCAGTACCAGGATCTAATATATGCTGACATTTTGATCAATGAAATAGAACAACTCATTGAAAATTTAAAGACTTGAATAAAATACAAATCATTTTGAAGCCTTTGAAAGTAGTCCCCCGATCAATTTTTTGGCGCGCTTTTGTTTGTTTACTTTTCAGAAGAAATTCAATTGACTTTGAAAGAATACATAATTTCGATTCAATAGAACTTTGTCATGTCTTTGGTTGACGAGTCCGCAAGGTTTACATATTCAGGCCATAAGCCAGTTCCTTCGCCTTGTGGTAAATATATCGCCTATCTGAACGGCTCAAAGTTGGTAATAAGAAAATCAGATCTGTTGACATTGGATAGATTGATCAAGATAAAGACAAAAAATAGCAATGGTTTTCTAAGAATATCGCAAATAACATGGGAACCTTTATACAATGGTCAAAGTAACAAGGTTGCATTGCTGATAGATAATGAAAATACAGTCAAGATATATGATATGAATGATGAGAAAGTTGACATTTCAATAATAGAGGATGATGTATTTGGAATCGAAAAATTCCAATGGCTCCCCAAAGGTGAAGAATCCATTGAGACTGCATATGATGGATCAAAGCAAATAGTGGTATTCACTAAGAATGAGCTTTATGCCAAAATTTATTCATTGGATTATTCACAAGTTTTAATATCAATTGAAAAACCAAAATTCAATAAAGTCCTGATCAAGCCAAATTCAAACATTTTTTCCATCATCACATCGAAAATAAATGGATATGTTGTGCGGAACTATTTGAATAATGGCTCTTCCGTGGCGCATTTCAATAATATTGATATTGATTCTGTCTTGAATTTGACTGATTCCATTAATTGGTCACCTAATGGACAATGGTTATTATGCAATGATTCGGTTATCGGTGAGACTAAAGTATCGGTCTACTCTTTATTCAATGAAGTGCTGTCGCAATCTGAAGCAATCTTTCGATATGAAGATGTTAGTGATCCGCTTGGTGCAATTGATGTGAAATGGGGAGAAGGTAATGAACATGTTTTAATTAGTGATCATCATGAACAAATACATTGTTTGGATGTTTATACAGGATTGAATATTCAGTATACACTTCAGCATAAACCACAGACTGAAACTTCAAAGATTTGGAAGCAAGATAACATTAATTGGAAATATGTGAGGAAACAAACTAGTTATAAATTCCCACAAATTGGAAATTTGCCTCTTCATCTTAGTGGTGTTACAAAGTTTTTGGTGAATGGGAACTACACATTTGTCACCGTTAAATCAATGCCCGGTGTGGTTTTCATTTGGGATGTTAATGGAGAAGATTCAAATGAACCAAAAGAAGTATTGGTTACCAACACAAGAATTAAAGATATGATAGTGGCTAATGAAAATAAAGATCTTTTGCTTGTTGTTAATGAGGACTCCATTACCCTTTGGCATACTGAGTGGTCTTCCCCTATAGTCATACCATGGGAAGATGATGAAGGAAGTTCTTTAAAAGGCGCATGTTTCATCAATGCGACAAGGGGAAGTGCCAGAATAATGTTGTGGACAAGTAATTTGTTTGAAGTTGTACAAATTAAACTTTCATCAACTTCAGAGTTCGAAGGAATGGACTCAGAGCAGATTGATGTCATAAGAAATGGAAGCCCAGCCTTAATCGATGACCTAACTCATGTTGTCGAGTTGGCTAATGGTGTACAACAAAGTGAATGGGGTCATAATAATACAAATACAATTCAGCTTGATGATACATTTATGAGCAAGAAGCAACATAAATCAATAAGGAAATAAATATATGATGTTGTTTAAAAATATAATGTTGATGATGAAATAGTCATAACCTCGTCACTGGGTATAAATTCGTTAAATTATTTGGTAGATTTCAAATCAGGTCTATGTAAACCATCATCTAAACTACGTCTATCATCTTCCAAGAATATACCTCTCTCAGCTGCTTCATCTAATATTCTGCCCCTTCTTTCATTTTCTTCAGCATACAGTTTATCTTCAAATACTAAAACTTGCTTTTCTGCCCAAAACACTATACCCATACTAATCCAGGTAGCATGATAGAAAACACGAACTGGAGTTCTCACATTACGGTATGTTTTACTTATGAGTCTTAGAAGCAGCCCTGAAGATAAACCTATAAGACCACCTTTAAAAGCACCTATAGCACCTGCTTTGAATAACTATTCTCTGGTTAGACCTGATGAATCTCTGTTATAATGATCTTTGACATTACCCACCTCCTGGTTTAATTGCTCCACCTTCTTTGGATCATGATGCATAGGTTTGACTCCGGCCATTGTTTTAAAATTGAACTGTACTATCACAACTCTGATTCAATACAAGATCCAAATATATCCTCAGTAACTAATTATCAGCTATTGAAAATTTATTTAGTAGCACCTATCAGCTCGTTTGATTTTCGAAAACCCGAAGTTTAGTGGCACGGAGAGAGTTGACAGAAACCAACTTTCTCAAAGCCCGAGATTTTTCATCGATCTCATATTAAATTCTACAAGATTCACAAGGTTGCAAAACCTGAATTGAAGTTGAGTTGAAAAATGCTCAGATGATTCGATGTTTTTCAAATTGTCTTGACCTTAGATGAAATTTTGATTAAAAATTGAGTGATTGGGGTGCTGTTGTGGTAATCTGCGCTTCTAGTAACTAATCGAGGCTATTGTGGTTCAAATTAGAGCCACAATTTGGTGTCAAGTGAAAAGCCATAGATCAAAACATCATCGAACTACAGCAGATTAAAAATAAGAGAAGCTCGAGGCTGCAAGAATATAAAAAGCGATGAGATTGTTCTTTCTTTTAGCTTCTTGTGCTCAAAGACAATAAGCTCAATTGCCTATTTTCAAAATGACAACAGGTGAACATATCTCAAAGAAACAAAAAACTGAACAAAAAAGAGAACCATTGATTCTAAACTTCTTCGAAGCTTTGACTCCTGTGTTACATGCTCCTGGTCAATGGAGAAATCCAAGAGATAAATCAAGAGAATATTACAAGGCTGAATACTGGGTTAAATTGGCCCAATTAGCTGAACGTGGTAAATTACATGGTTTATTCATTGGTGATTCCTTAGCCATTTATGGTGGTTATAAAGGTCCTTTCAATTTTTCAGAAGCTGCTAAATCTGGTAACAATTTCCCAAAATGTGATCCAACTGCTTATTTAGCTGCTATTGCCATTTCAACTAAGAATGTTTCTGTCGGGTTAACTTGTTCCACATTAAGTGAACATCCATACCATTTTGCAAGAAGAATTGCAACCCTAGACCATATTTCCGGTGGTAGAGTTGGTTGGAACGTTGTTACTTCATTATTACCATCTGCAGGCAGACAATTGACTGATGATAACATTTTACCTGAAAAGACTTTGAGATATGAAAAGACTGATGAATACTTACAAGTATTTTATGAGTTGTTATTATCATCCTGGAGAGATGATGCTTTAGTTTATGATAAAGAAAAAGGTATCTTTTCTGATCCAGAAGGTATTAGAGAAATTAACTTTGATGGTAAATTTTTCAGAGTTCCAGGTCCTCAAATCACTGAACCATCTCCACAAAGAATCCCATTGATCATTCAAGCAGGTTCTTCACCAAAAGGTCAATTGTTAGGTGCGAAACATGGTGAAGTTATCTTCTTAATTGGTGATACTCCTGAAGACGCTAAAGAAAAAATTGACACTGTTAAGAAATTAGCAAAGGAAGAATATGGTAGAAACCCAGATCATCTTAAATTTTTGACAAATATTAGAGTTGTTGTGGGTAAAACCCATGAAGAAGCTGTTAAAAAAGCTGAAGAGATTGAATCATACAAAGATTTGGATGGTACTTTGGTTCAGTTAGGAGGTGGTGGTCTTGATTTATCCAAATGGGATTGGGATGAGGACTTAACAAATGTTGATGATCCAGCTGTCAAAGGCCTTGCTAATAGTTTCTTAAAGAAGCCATTCCATAAAGAAGGTGAGATTGTCACTAGAAGATATATTGCTGCTAACTTCTTTCATAGTAATTATTTCATCGGTACACCAGAGGAAGTCGCTGATCAAATTGAAGACTATGTTGAAAGATCAACTATCAATGGGTTTAATTTCTCAAACGTTGTCTTCCCAGAAACTTTTGAAGATATTGTTGATCTGTTGATTCCTGAATTGCAAAAAAGAGGTCTAGCACAAAAAGAATATGCAGTTGAAGGTGGTACATATAGAGAACAAGTTTACAGAACCAAAGGTCATACATTTGTTCCAGAAGACCACTATGCCTATGGTTTGAGATGGAAAGCTGGTGTTTCCAAAGAAGAATTTGAAAAGAATTTGGAGGCTTTAAAAGAAAAACAAAAAGAGTTGAAAATCACCTCTGATTGAAAAGTGTATATTTCTACAAAGTTACTTAATATTATGTTGAAAAGGATCGTTAAAATTAAATAAAATTATGCTATACTGTAATACTACCACTCACGCCATTTCATTATTATTGATTAGAAAGACATTAACCTGAAAAATAAACCCCCCCCCCCCCCCGATATAAAAAAAAGTACCTAAAAATGCCATGATGATTTGCTCACTGTGAGTTTAGCGAATGAGTGTGTGTTCTATTCTATGGGTCCACTCTATCTGAAATTGTCCAGCAAGTTTGTTTTGAAACCATGTAATGGACTGTTATGTGGGCTGAAATTATTCAAATTAGCCAATTTTGACGGACCATCTTTTTCATTCAATTCGTCATCAAGCCAACTGATTTCATCTTTGAAAAATTCAACCACTGATTCCAATTTGTTATTTGATTCTTCATTATGTTTTTTTAATTTCATTTCCCAATTATTATTAATTAATAGTAAAAGACCAGCATTATTAGTTGTGCTTGGGTTCTTGATGAACTCTTTCAAACAAATACACCAGGTATGTGAAAGTTGTTCATACGCCAATTCTTTAAAATAGTTGTTTGATAGTTTTGTGAAATTTGGTAATTTGTGTAATAAATCTGTAGCTTGGTCTAAAAAATCCAAAGAGTTTGAAGGTTGAGTTTCCACTGGAGGAAGAAAATGTAATGTATAATCTGATAAAGCATTCAAAAAATCCTCAATAAGTGGTTTAACTCTCATATATGAATATTCTGAAGAAGCATCAACCTTATAAGGTAGATTATTTATGATCACATCAATCTTGTTTGATAAAACTTCAATAGAGCCAGAAACTGTTGGTTTTGGGGCACAACGGTAAACATCATGAGTTATTTCTGGATGTAGGTTTATTAAATTTGTTAACAAATGTTGTAAATTTTTTTTATCCAAAACTTCTATAATTCTATTTGTAGGTAATGGTTGACCAATAATTCTTTGAACTCTGCTTCTTTTATGTGAAACTTCTTTCTTTGAAACACGGAATTTATCAACTTTTCTAAGATTATGAACATTCTTTCTTGGTGTAACTTCTTGTTCTTCATCTTGATGTTTTCTTTTACTCTTCATTGGAGTTCCCATTGATGATTGTAGATTAGCTAAAATTTCTTGGTTTATTCTGTGCTGTCTTGAGCTATCTTTTGATGACTGTTCATTTTGTTGTGAATTGTCCTCTATTTTTGGATCAAACCCCCAAGAGAAGGATGATGGCAATACTGAACTCATTAGACTTCTTGTATGTTCTGTAATTTGTATGTTTTGTTGTTTGTTTTGTTGTTTAAATTGTAACTCTAGCGGTTAAAAAAGCAATATCTGTAGGGATAATGGCAAATGATGTTGATTCAAACCCACCAAAACGACAAATCTATGATTTCTCTCTAATAAATTGTGGATAAGTTATCAGTGAATAATGAGAAATATTTGATGAATTATTTAAATGAGATTCAGTTGTCGTATGAGCTGAAATCAACCAGAATTTGTTTGTTCTTTTTGTTTTGTAACATTCTGCATTTTTTGAAATTTTCTGCGTCTTTTTGAATTTCATAAAAAGCAAAAAATCAACACTCCAGAAAATTCGCGAACTTTACCCTATTGGACCGTGAATCTGCCATTTTTATACTTTCGCGACATGACGTACTAATCTCTACACTGGAAAGCTTCAAGAATAAAAGCAGAAGTCTGATTAATCGTTAAAAACATATATAAACTAACCCATTTGAAGCTGTAGACAAGAACAGATCACCATTATCAATCACTTAAACTTGTTTCCCAATCTTTCTTTTAATATTAACTATATTTTCTCTTGCAATAGTAAATGGTGATTTTGAAAACACATCATCAATTTCTTCCAATGTCTTGTCTTTGGTTTCTGGCATGAAAATTATTTGATAGATCAACCCTATTAGAGCAATACCACCATAGAAACCAAGTGTTAAACCAGTGTAAGTGAATGCCTTTTTCATTTTGGCAAAATTATAGGTAACTGCAAATGAAATTAGATAAAGTAAAGCTGAGCAAATTGACATACCGATTGATCTTGTTTTAGTGTTAAATACTTCAGAAGGCACAACCCAAGTCAAACAAGCATAAGAACCGAAAAAGCTCATATATAAGATCAACCCACTCAAATAAACACCTAAAGCAGCAGATTTATGTTTGATTGGATCAATAAGATAACCACCACCAACTAATGCTAATCCAACAAAACATCCTGCTAGATTCATACTCCAGATTCTTCTACCTTTCTTTGTAACAGTTGCTGGGATTGTCCCAAGTAACAAAGCACCACCACCAACTAAAGACATAAAAACACTCTTCTTTTCATCAAACCCAATCTTTGACATTAATGAACTCATATTGTACAAAATGGCATTAATACCCGTTATCTGACCAAGTAAAATCATAACAACAGCATAAAATAAGGCTCTTCTGTTTCTTGGAACAAGGAATAACTCTGACCATCTTTGTAAAGTTGTTTCGTGTTGTTCTCTTTCATGTTCTTGTGCGACAGCTTGTTTCACTTCCAAGAATTCTAATATATTTTGAGGATCGTTAATATCTCTCAATCTTTTCCAAACTGCAAATGCTTCACCTGTTCTTCCCTTGTGAACTAACCATCTTGGTGATTCAGGTAGGAAAAATAATCCAATGAAAACCGCAGTGGAAAATAACAATGAAGAACCAACCATAAATCTCCAACCACCATGAACTTCATAAAACATAGCAGCGACAGCATATCCAATAACTTCACCAAGCGCAATGTTCAATTGATACAATGAAACAATATTACCACGAACTCTTGCCGGGCATGACTCCGAAATGTACATACCAATAGAACCTTCAATACCAATACCAATACCTAGTAAGAATCTACCAGCATACATCATATGATGAGACATAGAACCAGCACAAAGAGCACTACCAATTGTATACCAGATACAAGAAATGATAAGCGCAGTTCTTCTTCCAAGATAGGTACTTAATGGGGCCATCATAATGGCACCTAAAACGGCACCGAGAGGCATTAATGAAGAAACTAAGGAAGCTTCATCTTCAGTTAAATGTAACATCTTATTCATACCAATTGAAGCACCACTGATAATAGATTGATCTAAACCTGATAATAACCCAGCTGCAGCACTGAAAACACCTAATAAAATAACCATATTTTTTTTGTTTTTGAAATTTAATTCAACTTCTAACCCACATAGTCTTTGTAATGCAGTTCTATCAGCTTTATAATTTGCAGCCAATATTTCTAATTCTTCAAGTTCTTTATCAAAATTGAAATTTGGATCCAGTTGTAATTTTGTAATTTTATCATGAGTTGAATCTATTTGAACATCTTTTGGTTGAACACTTGGTGAATCTGATGTATTGTATGAGACTTGACCATCTTCAACACCTTTTTCAGTGGTTTTTTCAAATAACCCACTAGACATGTTGTTGTGTTGTGTAAAGTTTACGTTGTTGATTTGAAGGTTGAGTAACTAGATCATCCGGAATATTGAATGTTTAAATAGTTCCTCAACAGATCTTTGGTGTGTGTTGGTCGAGGTGTGTATATGTTCTTAGTGATCATATTTGTCTGGACAAAGATCTCTCTTATTTTTGATGCGTATTTGACATGAAGCTCTGAATTCTAGGTTGCGCTGTGGTTACAAGTTTCAGTGCATACAATCCCACTGTTAAAACACACTCGTAGTTGAATATGGAATGAATATCTGGAGATTTTTGGGCTGTGGACAGCTTATCTTGTCCTTTTTGTCATCATTTTGCATCCATGTTTCGACCAATTTGTTGAGTTATTAGATGCGACTTTATGGAGAAGCTTTTTTTAAGATTTTGTCGGGCACAAGTTTCCCAGTCACGGATAATTTTGGGCTGCGGTAGGGCCCGCAGAATTTGGGGAAAAAACGAGTCACTGGAAAAACTGCAAGGAGCGCGTCTGGAAAAGTCTTGATCGAAGAGTTGAAATACACAGGAACCAGGGGGTCAGGAGCTTAGTTTACTGACAGGTTTTTTAATATTGTTGATGATTGAATGATTCAGTCTTCCGGAGTGGTTCAAGGAAGTCTGGGGTATGGAGTTGTTGAATGTTATTTCATGGGGTGGAAATTTGGAAAGATGTCTGACCTGATTGACTGCATTTCGAGAATGGGACAGATCAAATATCCTTTGGAATTAATTTGATGTACATCATTGGAGAAGCATTCAAAAATTGTCCCCAGAGAACATGCCCTCTACACGGAACATAGTGAATGGTAATTGGTAATTGGTAATTGTAGCAGGTTCATATCGATTATTCACCTTTCTACAGCTAGCTAAACCCTGAAAGGATTACAGTGGAATCTTCAAACTTTAACACCAGCCGGGCTGATAGTGTAGCTGAATTGGAAAAGCTTCTTACAAAGTTTATGATTAAATGTAGCTTGATGCCAACGATATCATCAATTCGTCATGTCCATGGAATGGGAGTGAACTCTTGTGTACAAGTGGGGACTTCCTTTGATTGATTCCTTCTCGTGTTTCCAACGGAATTCGAAGCCTGAACTTTGAGCGCTCGTCGAAGCTGGAACATCTACAGCCCGGAAAAACAAGCTACGTAATTTAGTTACAAGCGCTATGAATAAACTTTGCGAGCGGTGATTCAACAGCATAACCAGTTCATTTGTAAGTTGTAACCTGGTCCCTTGAAAAACACTGGAAAGCCTTCAATCCTCAGAAGACCTAATTCTTCCCCAGATTTATGAGCCAGCTTTTGTCATATATTCGTGAGTCCTTGTCCTGTTGTACACTCACTTAAAGCTTCTCATGTGCACTTTCTTGGGGACTACACCAATTCTAAGACACACAAAGTTGTGATCCAATCATAAAGCTCTATCTTCTAGCAATCTCAGTCTTACCAAGTTGTCCTTCTGGACATTTAGCCTCTCTTCTCCGAATCAAGAAACACCTGTCCCAGATCTCTCTTCAAATAGATCAGCGATTTGTTACTTTTTCCGTCTTTAGTTCAGCATGTCCCAGGAACAACAAGTTAAACAAGCGAACAAGTGATCCTTCCGAAACCTTCTCCATATCATCAATCTTGTTGTATGTTTGACGACGTTTTAAAAAAATAATTATGGTATATTCTCCATCTTGAAAGACGTTGGGAACATTATTTGTTCAATTTCTCAACAAATTATTACGCTTTTTGAATATCCCCAGAGTTTACGACTAGGTACTGATCGATTAATTCCTCGAGGCGTTCATCGTTCATTCAGCAGCCACAGTACTCTTGAACGTAGTTAGGAATCGAATGTTTGTTCAGAATTGGGTTCAAGGATCAAAACGACATACAAATATCACACAATAATTGAAAGGGCTTGATGTTTTGTCATTTGTCAATCAAGGTGCAGCCATCTTATTGCTAATAGCCGATCACAATAAGACGTGGGGTTGTATTCAATTGTTTGAACTTTGAACTCTCGAAGCTGTATTGATATCGCGCTGATGTAAGTCAATACAGGGAAACCCAAATAATATTGTAGATCTATGACTGCACCGAGCTTGTATAGAAATATATCAAAAGGATTCTAGTTTGAAGTTGATGTAATAAGTTGACAAAATGTATAATAAGAAAGTATCTTGATAATGATCTTGATACCCTTTTTCAAGTTCTAAATAAGCTATAAAGATAGAGAAGAAAAGTCTCTATTTGTAATAAAATCTCAGAGAGTAGAATCTAAAGATTCAAATAAAAAGGAAAGTTGTAAAAGTAAAAGAAATGTTTGTAAAAGAAGCACTGGAATAACCTGGAATATACTAGTTTATATGGAAGTTCTATTGACACAATAATAAATGACATGAATCTTGAGAGATTTAGTGTGGATTAATCTCATGAACAAAAGAAATGTGTGCATAAAAAGGAATGTTGAAAAAGTAGCTTTTAAAGAAGAAGAGTTTCTGTTTTATGATGAGTAATCAATAGTAAATGGAACAAAGCTAAGTAGAGTGTTTATTAATCAGCTAATTACCTAGAGCAGAATTCGAGAGGTAGAATTTGCATCCCCATAGTCAGATGTTTAGTGAGGAGTTATATTATTTGAGCACTTCACAATTCGAGAAGATAGCTGACAGTCATAAGTATACATGTAAGGTCTGTAACAGCACTCATTTTTTAACATAAAATACTCGTAAATTCACCTGACAGGTCTATTGTTCAACCAAAACGTTCTCAGGTTTCAAAAGCAGGTTTTCAAAGGTTTTTCCGATAATTGACTGAATTCTCGCCTAAAATCCTGTTCCCTGCACGTAACTCGTTTCTTCAACCATTTCACCGGTGATCCAGAACACGTTGCTAATTGAAAATGCCAGAATCCGGTGCAAACATCAATTGCAGTCTCATGCTCTTGCTTACAATTTGTTGTATTGTATCAAAGTCTTTTTATTTAGAACGGAATAACACAACTTCGGATTGTTTAAAGTATCTTCTTCCATCTTCATCAATAATAACCAAACTCAAATAATTCTTCACATTAAACATATTGGTTTTTGTAGTTGGAGTAAGTTCATAACCACCTAAAAATAAACGGATTGGAATGGTTTCACCTTTAACAGGGGATCCATCCATAATCTCATATCTAACTGTATTTGAATCTGTCAATTGGTTTGGAACATTACCAACAGTTTCTCTAGTTATTAGACTTATTTCCATGTGCTTAATCTTTAGTCTTGTTAATAAGAAATAAATTCTCCCCACCAGTACATCTTTTAAGCTATATGTGGATTTTGAATATTCAAATTCAATATGCAAACAATTTTCAATACCAATATCTAATTTGATAGATTTTTTCAGATCTGTTGGAGTTGGATAAATATAAACCCAAAATTTCTTAACTTTTGTTATATCAGCACTTTTCCTCAATACCGTTATTTTAACATAATAATTAACATTCAAATTTTTACCTTTATAACTTTCATATCTTTTCTCAACATCCTTGAAACTAAAGTTGTAAGTTTCACTATGGTCTAACTCAGCAGCAGATGCTAAATCATGACTTAGGCATAAGAAATCATCCTTTTGTCCATTAGCTATCTCAATTGATCCAAATAATTGAGCTTTTATACCTGTATGTTCAACTCTTTTTCCATCTTTAACTCTTACAGTAACTGCACCTGAAATTGTTTCACCATCTTCATACAATGGGTATTTATCTTTTTTACCTTGTGCTGATTTGATTTCAACTTGTTTACGTGAATCTTCGCCATCAAGCCTTATCTCTAGATCCAATGGTGATTTGAAAAACATTGACATTGTTATAGATTGACCCCTGGATTAATTATGATGTGCTCTTTCCTAAACCCGAAAGAATGGAATTTCAATGTTGATATTGTGGTCTTCTATGGGAGTTAGAGAACCTGCCTTGGAATTTCAATTGTTGATTGTATATGAGATTTGAATTAAGTTGATCAAATCGAAGAGACCTGACACCAAGATACTCAAGTGTACGTTTCCTTCATACAACCAAACAAAATCGAATTAATGGTAAATACACACCCTCGTCTTATGAAAATACACGTGATAATAAATTCACGTGACCTCGATAACAATATCCGGGGGTTTAATAGTAAAGTTTATGTCAAATGATAAAGATGTTTACTCAAAACTAATTACAATCTGTTTCCTACAACAGACTAGCCCATTTAGTTCACCATCAGTCAAAAGCTATGAATAGTTCTGGTACTGTCAAGTCCTCATTTGATAATAGAAGGAGGAAGCACAGTGCAGACAGTGGCATATTGCCTTCTAACGGTGTTGACGCCATACCCAAGTCATCTATTGTTGAAGAATCACATCTATCAAACTCACAACAAGCATCACTAGATTCAAGAGACTTGCTTTCAAATCCAAATAGTCTTACAAAAAATAACAAGTCATACCAAAGCGGCACGGAAAAAAGTTCACATAGCAGTTATAGATCAAACAGTCATGAACCTAAAACACCTATTGACTCTGAACAACAAGAAGATAATAATTTTAATCTGAGTGATTTTGCCGCTGACGATATGGAAAGCATCAAAAACCCAAGTGAATTATTACTTTATGAGCCAGCTCATGAGATGAGTGAACTTTATGATTCCGTTGATAATTGGAGCCCAATGGAAAGTATTGACATTCCAGAATACTCTCAATATGATATGGATAACTATAGATCACTTGAACCATCACTTTATGAGACCACTCTCCTACAAAGAGATACCCAGCCTCAAGATTTGATCGAGAATTTACCAATTGAAAGAAGAATTTCACATTACTCACAAGATCCACTCTCATTTCTAATGTCACAAGATAAAGTAATCAATTTACATCTTCAACAAAATATTCAGAGCCATGCCGAAGTTTCCAAAAAAGGGTTAAGCTCTAAACCAATACGGCATAATATTGAAAACTGCCTAAAATCACTTTCTTCTGTCTATCAATCTATTGCAGAACTTTACCAAAAAGAACAAAAGAGGAAATCAATAATTTTGAAGTCATTTGAAAAGTGGGAACAGAATAAGAAAATACTTAATGAAAAAGTTCAGGATATAAGGAGTGAAAATAATACTGAGGGTTATAGACTCACTCAACTGTTGAAAGAATCTACCACGGTGGATGAGGAAATTGAAAGCCTTGAAAAGAGACTAAAGCAATTAAAAGAGAAGAAAAAGGTATTAGGCAATGAGATTGCCCAATCTCAAAGCATTATCGAGAGTCGCTCGTCATCTTACTTGGAGTCATTAAGAGAAATCGAGAAAGTTGAAAAGAATGCCATCATAAAGTTATCACACGAAAGGTCAATTGAAAGTGGTTTATCAAATTCGTCTCTTGGATTCCCAATTGGAAACAACACGAGACAGAAATTTGGGCTGAAGAACTTTCTAAGAAGTTTTTCCACTCCTTTGGATTCAACGTTTGATGAAGTTGATGCTGCACCAGTTATTGAGCTTATTGAAAGACAGATAGATACATTCAAAGATTGTATTGATGACTATAAGCTTAAAGAAACAAGTTACGAAGAAGCTTTTATTATATGGGCTGATATTTCTACTATATTGAATGGGTTAGAAACAACAATTTATGACATTTTGCAGCAAAATGGATCCTCAAAAGATGATATCAAATCAAAGATAGTGGATAATCTAACACAAACCCAAAAATTGCTTATTGAAAGACTTGATTCAATAAACAACATGAATGGCCAACTAAAAAGTTTAATTCACACTGAGATTTCAATTCTTGATATGGGTATAAAGATGATTCAACCTGACCATAAATCAAATGCACCATCACCCCCTGACGATACCAAGGAAGCTCAAGTGTTAGCACCAACAGTAAACCCAACAGTGGCAAAATTTAGTATCTCTGATAAAGCTTTGGCTTCTTCACCTCCACATGCAACATTGGCTGTCGGTTCTGGAAGCTTCTCATCTTCTGGTACAACTCTCAAATCCCAGATAAAAAATGGACTATTCAAAAAAGATGTGACAAAAGATAAAGAGAAACAAACTAAAAGGGATTGAATACTCTACATTAATGTTTATATGATTTACTATAATATTCATTATCATTTTCCTCCATCAATTGTATTAACGTCTTCTCTTTCGACTATTTAAAAATACTGAATCTTGAGGTCTCTTATGCTTAGCACCAGATGATGGGCCAGTTGGCAGTCTTGGTAATACATTATTTGTACTTGAGGGCAGTGGTAAAATGGTTCCTGAATTTGATGGTTTAACAGGATGGTTATTTCTGGCACTCTCCGATCCAAAAACTGAAGTTTTCTTTTCAATAGGTTTTATTGCTGGTTTAGAAGCAGATGTGATTGGTGGCCCAGAAATTGGTTTATTTTTAGTCTCTTGTGGTGGAGCAAATCCTCTTGTATCCCTTTGTGGTTTACTTTCTGAATCAACTTTTGACTTTTCAACCTTTGGTTTGTCAGCTTTGGGTTCATCAACTGGTTTAGATGTATTATGACCAGCCCTTGGTTGATTGTAGTTAGTCCTGGATGGATTACTTTCAGTGAAACCTCTTCTCACTGTGGCAAACATGCTTCGTTCCTTTGCATCAGCAATTAAATCACTCCATAAACTATTTTTGATTAAACTATCATGATGACCTAGAATCCACAATGAAGATTTCGATCTTGTCATAGCAACATTCATACGTCTGAAATCTCTTAAAAAACCCACTCCTAATTTATTAGCATCAGCACGAACGCATGAAATGATGATAATTTCCTTTTCCTGTCCTTGAAAACCATCAATTGTATTGAAAGTTATTTCCCTTTTAATTGCACTACCAAATTTATTGATAAAAGCCTGCTGTAAGCTTCTGTTCTGTTCTTTATAAGGAGTAATGACACCAATTTTATTGGTGAAATCAAGTCTTGGATAAGTTCTGAACAACTTTTCAATCATTTCCATTGCAATATTTATCTCCATCTTGTTAACAAAAGAAAATGTTTTGGAATTTTGAGCTTCTTTACCTTCAATAATGTCCAAAAATCTATAAGGTGGGAAATTTGGATTATTATGCCAAGTACGTTCAGTCAATTTATCCATATCAGGACCATCTTTCAATTTACCGTCATAAAATTTCTTTGAAGGAAATTTACTAATAGCTGAATGCATACGGTATTGGACATCTAAAAGCAACGGTTTCACATGATTAGCCATTCTAACAAACAAACTTTGATCATATTTGGAGTCGGCAGCAACAGAAGATAAAACAGTAGGAGGCAATTGATTTGGATCACCAACCATTATACATCTTTTACAACCATATCTCAATGGAATAATAGCTGATAATTCAGTACATTGACAAGCTTCATCAATGATCACTGAATCAAATTTGATACCGATGTTTGCAACCATGTCATGTGCAGCACCAGATAATGTAGAACAAATAATTTCAGCTTCACCAAGAATTTTAGCCTGAAGGTTTCTTCTATTGATTTCACGACTTCTATAGGCAGTCGCTTGACGTTCTCTTTCTTCATCTAATTTTTTCTTGATGAGATTGGATTTTTGATTCAACTCTTTCAAAAGTTTCTTTTGTTCAGCAGCATCCTTATTATCAGCTATATCAGCTTTACATTTATCACGACCTCTTCTAACTTCTGAAAGTTCTTTGAATAAAGCTGACATTTGGTCACCATTACTTGTGTTTGTCTTTCCCAATTGTGCATCGACCAGCTCTTCTAGTGTCATATCTTTCACAGCAGAATTTATAGCATCTGTACGACCCAATCTCACAAGTTTTGGAGAATACTTGTCACCTTTGGAATTAATGACACCATCCTTCAAACGTAAAACAAGTTCATCAACAGCAGCATTACTTGGGGCACAAACAAGAACTTTCTTCGGTTTTGAAGCTTCTAGATTTGATGCATGGTTTGTGTTCGAGCCAGATGGAAGTGCTATAGCATTAGCAGCACGAAAACTAGAAAGCATATGACCAATTATACCAAGAATAGTTTTGGTTTTACCAGTACCAGGTGGACCTTGAATCAAAAAGAAACCATTCGACTTAGTTGAAGTTGCAATTGCCTTGGCTTGAGATTCATTGACCTTATAATTATCCCTAACACTTTGAATTTCTTGGGAAGGCAATTCTGGACCTGGGTCAGGAACAGCTTGTAAAATTTCCTTTGAAAGATTATAGTAGCGCAAACCATGCAACGATGAATACTCTCTTTCGATTGTTGTCATTTGCATCACTTTCATCAAAATGATTGGTGAATTAGGAGTTAGCACATTATTCAAAGCAGCAGATCTTGTAACCCTCAAAGAAACATCGACACTATCACCTTTGACAAATTTAATTTCATTAACTTTTGCAAGACAAGTAACTTTAGCATTTTTAACATCTGAAACACTTGGTTCACGAGAACTTTGATCATATAAGGCAAGAACCACTAAATCAGACTCAGAAATTCCCTTTTCTATTAACCCAGACTTTGTGAAATTGAAGAAAACTTCGAAAAAGTTATCAACGGTACTTTTTGATGCAATTTCAATAGCAATAGGTTTATCAGCTTCTCTTCTTTTGGCATTCAAAATGGCTTGCCAGCATTCTAGTAATAGTAGTGGTTCATAAGTTTTAATATAATCATCTGCAGATGCAAACTTATCAGGAACAGTTGGATAATTTTGTTTATCATTAGGATATTCACTATCATTTTGAAATGACCATTGTAAAACTTCTTGATAAAGTGGTTTCATATTGACATTCAATCTCAATCTACTATATTCTTCTTCTCTCTTTCTCTCTTCAGCGGCATTTCTCTTAGATTTAGTCAAACTCTTTGACTCGCCCAATATTGTGATACCAGGTTCCTTCTTCGCCTTAGGTAAGTTGAACAATGTGTGAGCATCCTCATTATCTGATTCTTCATCAGAACTATCATCCTTTTTAGATTTTTCACTTCTTTCTTTAACATTGAATCCAAGAGGTCTAGGTTTGTGGATAACTCTTGATGATGGTTTTTCAGAGGAAGAACGCATTTCCTTTCTTGCCCTCTCCAGAGCACTCAATGGCATTTGAGCTTTGGCTGGTGCAGTTTGTGGTGTTCTTGATAAACTTCCAAAGTTTGTAATCTTCAGTTGACCTTTCAAACGTGGTGCTGCTGAAGAATTTGATTGGTTAACTATAGATGAGTTAGGAGTTGGATCTCTACTTGGAGCAGCTGAGCTGCTTTCATCTGTAGATTCCCTAGCTTTTCTTGATTTCTCAGCTTCATTAACTGTATCCTCCACCAATTCTTGATCAAGAAGTTTTGCTCTGGCAATAATCTCAGATGATTGTTGTGGTGTAAGTTTATTGTTGAATTTCTTAGCCCTTGAGGCATATTTTGCAAGCAGAACCACAACATCGGGTTCTAATTTGTACTTCAATTCCAGAGCTAAATCAATTGTTGATAGAATGACTTTGACACAAGATGTTAATAAACCAGGATCACTCAATCTTAACCAAACAAGCATATGTGGGAAAGTGTTTGTGATTTCAGTAAAAGTCTTTTTATTATCCCCATCGTGTCTGATTTTGTTGATAGTTTTGAAACATTGTAAAACTGCAAATGATAAATCCAAGGTATCTCTAGTAAACTCAATTAAATCTTGATCAGAGTACTGATTAGCCCAAGTAAGTGTTTGAACAAAAATTAAATCCAAAAAGTTCCAACATCTATTCCAAAAAGCTGTTAGTGCTTCTTTAGTTGAATCTGAAAATTTGGAAGCATCAGTAAAAAGACCATTAATGCGATTATTTAAAGCATGAACAACATCTGATAAAACTCTCACAGCTCTTGGACATGGCTCGTAAAATTTGATAAATATTAAATTAGTCAAATTGCTATTGATAGCCCTAATACAAGCATCCAAATTGTTTGCCAATAAACCGTGAACACCTTCCAATCTACCTTCAGCATCAAAAGTTTCATATAAAATATCCACCGCTGATTGATATAAAGCAGAATCTGATGAGAACACACAAGACCAATAACCACTTAAACTTTTTGGGTTTGAAAGAATCATCTTTGTATTTTTCACATCAACATCACTAAAATTTGTGAAAAACTGTTGTAAACGATTCAACAATATTTGAACTTCTTTTCTATGAGGACCATCAAGGGGGATAATACCAGAAACATTCTCCATAGATGATAAAAGTTGGAAAGCCAGCTCTAATTGTACTGCAAATTTTTGGTTTAGTAAAACTTTGAACAATTTATCAGAAAATTTTAGTGTAGCTGGAGCTCTACCATCATGAATTTCATAACTATTTTGAGCAAATGACAACAAATCAAATTTTAAAGCTCTGCAAAGTACCTCAATTGCTTTTCTTCCCACTTCGCCATTCTTAATCTTCTCAGCAGGTGGATAGAAAATTGCTTTGCATGTAGCATAATCCAAAAACCTAATTAACTTTTCATCAACAATAACCCTTGTATCACTTCTCAGTAACAAATCTGTACTAAAACCTGGGCTATAAAGTGGAGTTTGAAGTGCTAATGCATTGCTGATCATGGAACAAGCTCTTTCAAAAATAACAGCTCTATTGTCCAGTGGGATATTATTTTGACTCTCCATATAAACAATCAAACTAAGTGCAATTCTGTTCAAGGACTGCTGCTTTTTAGAAGCAACTAATGTATTATTGAATGGTTCGATCCATGATATCATATCATCCAACACCGCATCAGGATTTGGATCTTGTGAAACCTTGACGTTTTCCAACTTTTCCAAACGTTTAACAAAAGTTGGTGATTCACATATTGTTTCAATAAAATTATGAAATGTGTAATTTGAAGTGTAGTTCCAAAATTTATCACCGAGCCCTGTTAAGATCATTGCGAAGAATCTGAGAATGTATGGTAATGCTTGATCGTAATATCTCATGATATGTGTTTGGACTAGTTTAAGCAACGGGACAACATCATAGTTCAGCACTTTTTGTATAGATTCAATATCTTGAGGAATAGAAAACTTTTCTATTATAACATTGATATCATATAATCTCAAAAATGGATAAAGATTTCTGTAGAAGTTTTCACAGCTTGTTTCGTCTAGGTGTGCTGGACTTTGTATGTTTAAGAAATGAACTTCATATTCTTCCAAGACATCCGCTGCAACTGTTGATAATTTCATTGACTGTGATGGGTTATTTAAATCCTCTAAAACTTTGAATGCCCATTTCCTTTGAACTTCATCACCATCAAACAATAAATAAATGCATCCAGGAGTCAAAGATTTGATAGCAGATGATACCAGCTTATGATCAATTGATAACAGGAAATAAAACATTTTCCCAAATAACTCTTTGAGTTCTTCATGAACCCTAAACATACCTGGAGCACAAAGACATTCAGCAACACCCATCAGCACCTCTCTGGGTACCGCCACAGCAACTCCACTTTCTCTTTGTTGTTTGAAATGTTGAAATATAGGTTGAATTCTGTCAAAAAGTCTTTGAGCTTCCCAGCTTAGTATTATACCAATGAATTGTTGTACGCTTGAAGCATCAATACCTCTTTCAACAGCAAATGTCATTTTTAGTTTAGCTCTTCCTCTATGAAACAACGCAATACATTTTGGACAATCATTAAGACTTTTAGCAACTTTCTCCTTGTACCATGATAAAGCTTCATTTTCTGGGAATGAGAACAATATTAAAGCATGTATACTTGGTTGATACATTCCTCTATCACAAAACAAATGTCGCTGTTCAGAATTTTCATGAATATATTCCATTGATTTCTGTAACGCCAGCTGCTGTAGGGAATCATCGCCTGGGTTTTTGTGTGATTCTTTTATCAACTTTGATAGCTCTTGTAAAGCTGGATCTAATTCTTCGCTTGAACCATTTGATGTCAATGGCGTTGTATCGCGAGAAGACATTATATTGATGGCTTTGGCCCGCTATTCATCAAAGAATCAAGAATAAAATTAGCGAATAAGCTTTAGAGCTGATTTAGCGAAGAAATATGTCCTTTCTTGCTCTTACAACCAATAAATCTATGGTACTCTATCTAAAGACGTTTGTGTCTGTGTCTGTGTTGATGTGATCTCTGGTTATGAGAGATTATTCACAAAGCTAAAGACAGCCTCTGATTGTGAATAAAATAAGCTTCTCAAGACCACGTAGGTTCTTTCTAATGTGTAAATGCCTTCAAAAGACAGTTCTTTGACAAAGAAGTCGTTGTGTTTGTAGAGTGTTTAATGCTGAAACGAATAAATTCATCGAAGTTTTCTCCAACGCCAAAAAAAAAAAGTTGACGCGAATCGACACCGGGCTTCAAACCAAGGTTTAGTAGGGTTTGGCTCGACAATACATTGGACTGAAAGGCTTAAGACTCGTTGACATTTTGACCAAGAAAGTCATTTTCTTTCCTAAATCAATTGAATTAATGATTATTTACTTTCATCAAAGCTGTTTTCCTTTAGTTGTTCTCTCATAATAGTATTTCTTTGGTCGTACTACATCGTCAGAGGTTGAAATTTGGAAATCGCGATTGTTCAACTTGATCATCATCAACATCAACACAGTTCGCATCCACAAACACTCACTTGCAAGTCCCTCCAACGGCCCAATTACTATCTGCTTCCTATATTCCACTTAAGCTACTCATCTCTTAATTGATTAACTAGAAGATTTCAAAATGAGGTATGTGTCTTTTGACAACAATCAAAAGCTTGTTTTGATGGGACATCCCCTACAACCTCATGCATCATCCTACTAACGTATCACCCATCAGTGGAAGATTTGTTCGTGCATCCAAATATCGTCATGTATTTGGACAACCTGCTAAAAGAGAACTATGCTATGACAACATCAAAGTTACAACTAATGCTTGGGATTCAAACATCATAAAAGTAAGTATATAAAGATCAACTACATTGAATGTTTTTTTGAATTCTGACATCTCAAGGCAAATGGTAAATACATTTCAGTCAACTGGAACTCTTCTGGTGGTGGTGCATTTGCTGTTATCCCAGTTGAAGAAGTTGGTAAAGCACCTGATAAAGTTCCATTATTCAGAGGACATACTGCTGCAGTTTTGGATACTGATTTCAATCCATTCAACGATAACATTATCATATCAGGTTCTGATGATGCCAAAATCGGTATTTGGAAAATCCCAGAAGATTATTCATTCCATAATTATGTTGATGAAAAGGATGAAATAAAAGACATTTCACCAGTTGCTTTATATTCCGGTCATAAAAGAAAAGTTGGTCATGTTCAATTCCATCCTATTGCAGAAAACGTTGCAGCTTCATCTTCTGGGGATTACACTGTTAAACTCTGGGATGTTGAAAATGGTAAAGACAAGATCACACTTACTCATAAAGATCTTGTTACTTCATTTTCTTTCAACTACAATGGTAACTTGTTAGCAACAACTTCTCGTGATCGTAAACTACGTGTTTGGGATATAAGATCAAATGAAATCGTTAGTGAAGGTCCAGGACACACTGGTGCTAAGAATTCAAGAGCTGTCTGGTTAGGAAACTCAGATCGTATCGGTACCACTGGGTTCTCACGTTTATCTGATCGTCAATTAGGTGTTTGGGATGCAACTAACATTAGTGCAGGGCCAATTGGTGGGTTCTACACTGTTGATTCATCTGCCGGTATCATGGTTCCATTTTATGATGACTCAAACAAGATATTGTATGTTGGTGGTAAAGGTGATGGTAACATTCGTTACTTTGAATTCCAAGATGATGAATTGTTCCCACTTTCTGAATATCAATCAACAGAACCTCAAAGAGGGTTAGCTGTTGCACCAAAGAGAACTGTTAATGTTGCTGATAATGAAGTTGTCAAAGTTTATAAAACTGTCAATGATTCTATAATTGAACCAATTTCATTTATTGTTCCAAGAAAATCCGATAATTTCCAAGATGATATTTATCCAGATGCACCATCTTCAAAACCAGCATTGTCAGCTGAAGAATGGTTTGGTGGTAAATCAGTTGACGGCCCAATTTTATTCTCTCTTGAATCAGTTTATGATGGGACTGAACCATCTTTCAAAGCTGCTGAAGCAGCACCACCATCAACTTCAGGTTCTTCAAAGAAAGAAGAACCAAAACCAAAAGAAGAATCAAAACCAGTTGAAAAGGAGATTAAACCAGAAGTCTCAAAACCAAAAGAAGAAACCAAACCAACATCAAAAGAAGAATCCAAAGTTTCTACTCCGGTTCATTCCTCACCAAAAGGTAGTGTTGATGATCTTTTGAAAAATAATGAAGTTAATTCATTATTGAAAAAAGCTGCTGATTTAGATGATGATAATGATAGTAAAGCTGAACCTAAAGATTCTGAATGGGATGATGATGATAAGAAACCAAAAACTTTTGAAGTTAAAGCTGAAGCATCTCCAAAAGTTGAACCGAAAGTTGAACCAAAGGAGGAAAAAGCTAAAGAGGATCCAAAACCAGAGCCAAAAGTTGAACCAAAAGCTGAATCAAAAGTTGAGCCAAAAGTTGAGTTAAAACCTGAACCAAAAATTGAATCAAAAGAGGTCAAATCTGAGCCAAAGGAAACAACACCACAACCTGAAACCAAAAAAGACGCTTCCTCTCCAGCAAAGACACAAACTTTAAAAGGTTCAATTGAAAAAATCAATCAAGTTGCAGATAATCTTGAAAGGGTTGTTGAGAAATTAGTTGCTGCTAATTTAGATAAAGATGAAAGAATCAAAGCACTTGAAGCGAAAGTTCAAGAACTTATTGACAAAAAATAGACATTATTTAAATCGTTTGTATTATTGTTATTATTATTAAATTTATTATAATTTTAAAGAACTTTGAGTACTCTGTAGTTCAATGTTCCACTCGCGATAGAACGCGATCCTGTCAAAATCACAGGTACAGCTAATCTGTTGAAATTGAGTAAAATGGGACCTGAATCCTAATTATCAACCCAAGATTGCTCAATTCAAGGATCACTTGAGCCATTATTCTTCAGATTTCAATTGTACTTCACTAGGTGGTCTATGAGAATCAATTCCTCAATCTCTACATAGGTAGCTATTCTCGGGTGCAAAGTTTTCAAGTGTACCCAAGGGACAGCAGTAAGCGAGACAGGTCTATTTCATTTTAACAAAAAAGAGTAAAGCAATCCATATATCAAGAGATCAAACATAGGTCTATCCCTTTTCTTTTCACCTGCCCCTCTTGTCGGAACAGGTGAACAGGTACAACCTTAAACTTTACGCGTTGTAAAACTCAGCCAGTTCAAATAAATTACAGATGGGCCATGTGAAGAGATTTCAACCACACCCGTGAATAGGCTTCATTTGCTACAGAGCTCTACAAACTAATCCACTTTTCGGATATGGAATAACTAAGGATATGGCCAATGGTGGGAAGGTCTGAGAACTGATTCAGGAAACCGTTGATGGTTTTTGCATTCGGAGAAAGAGACATTGGCATGAATCATCATGATGACTATGTAATCATAAAGCCTATACACCAGTTGATGGCGTAGCTTATAAACACAAAAAAGTATATCTTCCCCTCCAGATACACTACATCCTACACCATCTTCACGGGTTAATTTTATTGTATTTGTCACCTGTTGTCAGGTTTAAATTAAACCTTGATCTGTTCTGAAAAATTGTGGATTGTGTGGTCCGTACCGAGTTTAGATAAAGCGAAAGGTCATTCATCTTAAAAAATTTTCGCTTTATCCACAAACCGTTGTGAAATAAATTCAATTCAAAGTGTATTGTGTGGTGAAGATAACGAATTTGAAAATTTATATGGCACCATTTGTAAAGCAGGTGATTTTTGATTTATAATTGGGAACCATGTGTATAAAAGGTAATGAATATTCCGTTTCTTGATCAATTCTGTATTTGCTGAACAGTAACACAGAATACAATACACACAATGTTGGCAACAAAACAATCAGCAACTATATTAGCTACAAGAAGATATTTCTCATCAACTTTCATTAAAGCATTAAAAGATTCTTCAAAAGCTTCAGCAACTTTAATCAATTTATCAAGTCCATCATCATCATCAGTGGAAGGTGGTAATTCATTTAAATCATTTGCAGAATATAGAAAATCTGCAATTCAACATGGTCCTTTGAAAAAAACTTTAATTAATGATGTTGGGTTTAAACCAATTTTAACAGATTATAAAGATTATGGTGTTAGTGATATTTTTGCTAAAACTGCTAGATCAAATGATTATCGTGAGTAATCATTGAGTTGTTACTATTATCATGGGTTATGGTTTGAATGAGGTTATGGAATTTGTATACATTTAGATTATGGGAATTATTATGAAAAGGTTTGAGAAAAGGTTTAGAAATACATTACAAGGGCTGTGATTGTGGATTGATTATTATACAATTGGTACTAGCTGGACTAGAGATATGATACACATCCATAAAAGATCATGATGGTTGGCGTTCATTTTCATGGTTTCTTTATACACTCATTTCGTCTTGACTTGTCACAAGTGGATACTTCTGAATCTAGGTTCTGTATAAAACTAAAATACATCAAAAAAGGGTTTTCATTGGTTGTAGTACGGCTTCACAAGTTTTTTAAACTTTGTCATGTTTGTACCTTGATGAGCATCGTATTTTGTTCACACCTAGCTATTATTTTTGAGGTACCCAGCACCGTACGATACATGTGCAACCAAAAAACTCTTGATAATAAAGTTGAAGTCACGTACATGTGATTGTGCATTGGTTGTGATAAGCTCAGAAGTTTAGAATGAGATACTTTTCTAATCTGAATAGGATTGAAGGTCATTTAGGATCATTACAAATGATGTTTATTAATCAAGAGGTTATTATAATTCAAAGACAATTAATTAATTGATGTTTATGTTTATTGGAGTACATGTACATGCTCTCTGATCTGGAGAGGGACTAGTCCCTGGCCCCCTCCCCTTCCCAGACCCACGTCAAGAGGAGAGGTGAGCACTGGGGGTCTAGGGTGTGAGACACGGGACAAACAAAACCGTTGTCTTTGATGGGCCCATGAGAATCTGGAGACATAAGGTTCAGGAATTAGCTAGCTATCCTTCATAAGGTTGGACGGTAGAGATAGATAACGACATGGTATTGGTACTACTATTACCATCTCTATTATTAATCACTATTATTACTCCCTTGTTGACTGGTGCTCTCTGCGTATATGTAGAGACATGTACTAACGTTGTGCTGAGATTGGCTCTAACAAAAAAGAAGAAACAACGAAAAAAAAGCCCACAATTTCACAACGGTTCAACTTTTCACGATTAGCACTTTTGAGTTTTAGGGTATTTAACTATTGTTTTATCCCCATTTCCTAAACACATATCAGAACCACAACCACAAGCTATAGCATACCATATACAACACAGATCAAACACATGACACAACTAGATACTATGACTGGGTTGGATACAACTGGTTATGACATCAAGTGTGACAATAACCACAATATAATAACACCTATTTCTCCTGAACCTAAAAATTTAGAACTACATTCATCATCAAACCCACATTCACCTTTTTTAAACTATCAAAATGAACATCCCCATAATATAGTACCATCTTATGAAGATGTCTTATCTGGTATATCTCAAGCTCCATATTCAAGAGTTGCATTTGCAAATTTTTTGAAAAAAATTCATTCTTTAGAAAATTTAGAATTTTTAATACATTCAAATTATTACTTATTAATTCAAAATGATGAAATACAATCAAGATCTATATGGGATTTATTATACAAGAATTACATATCATTAGAATCTCCAAAAGAAGTTAACATCCCATATGAATATAAAGATGAGTTGTTGAATATTTATCAACAAGGTGCATTACCATCATTTGAATTGATTTCAAATACAATGATTATTATTAAAGATTTATTAAGAGATGCTTATCTACAGTTTATTTCAAGTGTTAAAAGACATAGCAGTATAAATGAGAATTATAAATTTCAACAACAACAAAATTATAACCATCAACAACAACAACAACAGCATCATCAACAACAAAATCTTTTACCAACACCACAATATGAAGTTTCAGATCCAGGAGTCGAAGTTTTCTCCCCTTTGGATAATACTAGATCAGTTTCACCATTAAGTTATACCCAAGATTCACCAATATCAAACAATCATAATAATAACAATCTACCAATTCCAAGATCAACAGATGGTAAAAGTGATGAAAGTTTAATAACCCAAGATCAATATATCGTTGATGAAGAGTGTTGTTATTCTTCAAATAGTTTGGTTGGCACTACAACAACAACTGATTATAGTACTACTGATTCTAAGAAAAGTAGTGTTTCAAGTGGGAAAAGCATAAACAAGAATAGTATTAGTGAAGTTAGTAAAAAAATTGCAGGGAAATTTAAATGGAGAAGGATGTCTTCAAATTCAAGTGGTTAATAGATAAACCATGGTTAATGGACTTTTATTTTTATGTGTTATGACAGTTAAATAGTGTTTGTTTTTTGTGTATTATAATAGAGAAATAGAAATTAGCATAGATTAATAATTCAATACTTTTGTATGTGTAGTAGGTATTAGGCTGGTAGCTGTTTTATTCATTAATACGCAGATAAACGGAATACCCATCACTTTAACACATCCTACATCATGTAGCAAAGCTCAAATAATAAAAAATTTCACAAAGGCTAGCCTAAAAAAACTCTTGTCAAACGGTTGGGTAGTATTAATCTTGTGTAGTACATATCATATGATTATTTGAACACAACAATTGTGTATAAACCATCAGTTCATTAACCACTGAACACCTCTGTTTCTCTTCTTGTTCCGGAAGTGGTTATTCTAGACTCCTACAAGGATCCACCTTTAACCGATGGCGACCCCAGGGCTTTGCTAGGGCATGCGAAAGTATTCACAAACAGGATCCATGAAATGGTGATGTATTTGGCGTACTTTACAGTGAATAAAGATCTATGGTAACGTGCCCTATTCTTCGTGTCGACTTGTACATAGATAATAAACGTCTGTGCTTGGTAACGATGATGATGATTATTGTTGTCGGTTATTTGATCTTGAAATTCGCACTCAACATTAAGAAGTGTTGGAAGTATCAGTTGCTCAGAGCTCAAAGCTCAACTTACTACTTGTTGTACCTGGAGACACCAATTATTCAACTGAATATCATCTCATCGTATCGTTGTGGAATTGTAGGTTCTCTTTCTTATCTTTGACACTTTGGAATCCCATAGAATCACTAAATCCAGTCTGTTGAAGCAAGTACAACACATCCTGTCATACATAACCGTTGTATCACGGTTCACCTAAAACCAATTAGCCGTTATTAACTGGGGAACAACAAGAGTGGCTAATTTAACAGGCTTATGGTTAAGATAAACGCACACTTTAATTACACTTCAAACTTAGTATCAACTAGACTTCGAACTAACCGTTGACAGCGCAATGGATTATTATTATTATTATTATCTTGATTGATAAGTGTGCTTTGGTATCAAGATATTATTTATCAGGTACAACTTGTATCTATCGATTACTGATAACATCTGGATGAGATCATAGTTATTTCGCCCTGGAATCTGGATCTAATTTCCAGCGATGATCATCATCACGTTTTTTTGTCCCATAGTCCAAGACCCATTTCAAGAACAGAGACAGAGACTAGAAGCACTACTACAATCAGATACACATATAACATCAATTCATTAAACTCATCAATAACCACTAAAAACTACTGGCACTACCTCTTTGACCATTGCTATTATCATTACTCACAGACAATTTAGCTCTTTTCTTTAAATACTCCAATTCATCATTATTTTTCTGTTCACCTTTTTCAACAACTAAATTTCGTAATAATTTATTCTCCATCTCCAAAGTTTGGATTTTCTTCTCCAATGTAAGTGTTAATTCATTTAATTCACGAACATTTCTTTCTAATTGTTGTTCTTTTAATTTCTTCTTTATTCTAAATCTTGCACTAGCCGCTGTATTTCTTCTTCTTTTATCAACATCAACTTCTCCCCCAATTTCACTCTTAACTATTGAATTTGAACGTGAATGTTGACCATACTGTTGTTGTTGTTGTGATTGTAATCCAAGATCATTTGGACTGATTGGGGTACCACTATTTGAACCGGTTGAACTTGGATTTATCAAACTTTGTGAAGGATTTATTAATGAATTCAATGAACCAACATCTTGTGATTTAGGATCATTACTATCAACACCTTGATGTTGTGCAACTAATGCAGCTAATGCATCTATTTGAGTTTGTGATAATCCAGCAGCTATCAATGAAGATTGTGCACCTGGTGGGACTGGAACTTTTGGTAAATTTAACAATACATCATTCCCACTGCTATTATTACTGGTATGAATAGGATTCATGGTTATTGGATTATGATTTGATGATTGTTGTTGTGTTGATAATGGTGATAAAATATTGGAAATCCCACTTTGTAAACTATTTGTTTGTTGTAATGTGTTGAATTTTGGTTGTTGTGGATGAATAATTTGATTATTTGCAAATGATTGATTCATTTCATCAAATCTTTTCAAAATTTCTTCATCATTTGGTGATCTATTCTTACTATTATCAGCACCATTTGTTCCTGTTGATTTTGTTGCATCACTATCACTTGGTTTTGATGGTTTCTCTTCATCTGGGAAAATAAAAGATTCATCAGCAAATGCTGATAATTCAGCTGTTAATCTTTCATCTAATTGTGATGGATCATCAATCTCTGGCATGAATGTATCAACATAAACTAGTTGTTCTAATAACGCTGCAGGCGTAATATTTTCATTATTATTTGTGTTACTCATCTTTTTATATTATCATTTATGGTTGAGTATTAGCAAGACCTTTACTTCTATTTTATCAGGTACCCCCTTTGTATTTAAATAACAACAAACTTCCTGTCAAAAAAACACGAAAAGCCTATCCACAGAAACCACAGTTTGTAACCTTTGTAGCACACACAACTACACTTTATCAACAGGTTTATAAAAACTTGCATGTATTTATCTTTGTCCAAATTGCGAATTGTCACGTGTATGTCGCCATATCATGTGACCTGCAAAGAAAGAAAAAAGTGTCAAATTCAAGTAACCGTGTGTAAATGGCAGTGTACACTTTGTGATTTTAGAAAGCCACCACCACAACTACAGGCAAACTACACAACGCTGATAGGTGAAATACAAATGTAGGAATATATTGGCTGTTGTAACAGCCACTGTTTGTGGTTGCTTAACTAGTCAGCCGAAGCTGATCAAATCGCCGACTGAAAAGCCACGAATTTGGCATGATGAGAAGTCGACCATGATGCGGATATAACAGGTAGAACCAAGCCGATACTTGGGAAAAATTGATTCTACTAAATAATACAATAAACCAATATAAATCTATAAGAAAAATGCTTAAAATATAGAAGCATAAACTCGTATAGCTCAAAATTTGGTACTTTCTATTTATTGAAGTGCCCAAACCGAAAATTGTAAGTGGAATACGCTGTTTTTAATGATTTCACAAAAACTAAGAAGGAAACAATATCTAAATATCTAATAAAACTAATAGAAACTTATTAAAATATATGAATCAGGTTTTGAAATGCCAATTTTCGAAAAAAAAAATTAATCCATTTTTATTTGTTCAATTTTGAAGTAGAATAAAAAAGTAGAAGCTGGTTAATTCTGAAATTTTAAAAAAATTAGGAAGAAAACTGAAAAAAGGACAATATTAAGTCGAATATTAAGGGAAAAAGATTAATTTTTAGAGTTTTATAGAAAGAGAGATTCAAATTTTATTATCACAATTTTTCAATATATTTTGCTTCACAACTTTGTTGAGTTGTAGCTAGTTTTTCAGTTTTCAGCCCAAATTGCAATATATTTCCGCGAAAGAAACGTCTCGGTTAATCTGTCAAAAGTATTGTACTCCATCAACAAGGTTTCCGCCAACTTCAAGACTCAAGTACGTTACGCTAACGTAAAAAGAGGGAACATTAGCGTACTCAGGCTCGGGGAATGTCGTGTACACTATAATATATTTATCGTAGAAAGTAGAAAGTCTAAATACCGGCTACGATTAAAACAATCAGATCGAGTAATTTTGAGATCAGGATTAATTTTAATGTCCAGATCTCGTTGTAAATCGGATAAACATTCTCCTCTTTACTCTCAACAATAATTACGTCTCACAAGATAGAATAACCAACAACATTAACGCGTATTTGAAACCAATTCAACACCAAACTAGGGGTATCTCACCACCTACTTCACCCGCTTGCCTACCATTCCCATAGTGGTGAAATAGCACGGCTGTACCATAGTCTGATGGCCAACCTGCTCGGTCCCGGAGCAGATTGATACGGGTTCACAGGGTAATGAACGCGATGAGGGCTTCGCGAAAAAAAATTGTGTCTACCTATATAACAAAGTAGTTTTAACCATCAAACTTATCGATTTCTTACCGAAAAGAAGGGATACCCATACAAGAATGATAAGATACACAAAGAGCCTAAAACCTTTACAACCACTAAGAGCTTTGACTCGTTTACAATCAACAACTAGATCTCCAAGTCCTGCTAATCTTGAAGCTGGTTCAAATGATGCTAGTGCCGCTGAAGATGCCAGTACAACAATTTTAACTGATAAGAGAGATGCCAGTACAGTTGTTTCCACTTTTGATGATGCTACAAAGAGAGCTACTTGGCTAACTGCCCTTGCTGAAAGAAAAAGTCAATTGGCTCAAGGTAAAGTTATTGATTCATTTGCTTATAATACTCCTCAAACACCAGTTATCTCAGATAAGACAAGATCTGAATCTTTTAGTTATTTAACTTTAAACTTCAAAGAAGATATTTGGTTAACTGACTTCTATGTTAATGCTGCTGGTAGATTACGTATGGGTCAAATTTTCCAAGACCTTGATGCTTTAGCTGGTAGAATTAGTTATAGATTCGTTAGTCCAGCTGCTCCAATTATCGTTACTGCTCAAGTTAGTCGTATTTATATGTTGAAAAGAGTTGATGAAATTGAAAATAAGAATTTCATTTTATCAGGTTCAGTCGTTTGGACAGGGAGATCTTCAATGGAAATTCTGATTAAAGCTTCAACTACTGAAAGTTCAATAAAGAAAGATTTGAAAGAAGAAGATATTAAAGATGATGATGTGTTTTTAACTGCTAGCTTTACTTTTGTCGCAAGAAATCCGGAAACTCATAAATCTTTCCCAATCAATAGACTATTGCCAATTACTGAAAAAGAATGGATTGATTATAGAAGAGCTGAATCTCAAAATGCTGCAAAGAAATTAGCAAAAGTTAATGAATCACTTGATAAAAGACCACCAACTTCTGAAGAGTCTCAATTAATTCATAAAATGTTCTTAACCTCAAAAGAATTGGCCAATTACAACCCGTTACCTAAAAACGTTTCATTTATGAAAGATACTTTAACCCAATCAACTTCTTTTATGCAACCTCAATACAGAAACAGACATTCTTACATGATCTTTGGTGGTTATTTGATGAGACAAACATTTGAATTGGCTTATTGTACTGCTGCTTCATTTTCTTGTGCCTTCCCAAGATTTGTTTCCTTAGATTCAACCACTTTTAAAGCTCCAGTTCCAGTTGGTTCTGTTTTGTTCATGAACTCCACCGTTGTTTATACTGAACATATTCATGAGGAAGATGTTGTTCCAAAAGATGACTTGAAAGCTAAGATTTTTGATAAGGATAGTTTCTTACATTTTGATGCTGTTCCAACAAACAAAATAAGTAGAAATCCAGATGATTTCTTGAATAGACCAGGTACTTTGATTCAAGTTAAAGTTGATACTTCTGTTAAAGCATTGAACGATCCAAAACAAACACCATCAGGTTCATTCGTCTATTCATTCTTTGTTCCAAAAGATTCAACTGAAGATAGTATTCCAGATCCTGGATTCTCTTCAGTTATTCCTGAAACTTATTCAGAAATGATTGAATTCATTGAAGGTAGAAGAAGAGCTCTAGAAACTGCTCGTTATGCTCAACAAATCAAAGAGATCAATTAATTTATTATTTAATTCAAGTTATTTACATATTCACACAATATAATTAATAGAGAAAACAGGTACATGTAGTTAAAATATTTCATTATTTAATTAACATTATACAAAATGACTATAGTCCATTACTTTTTTCTCTCCAAGAAAACAAATTAATCGGATACTCATTAAAATTAAAATTAAAACTGGATTGATCATGATATAAAAAACAACAACAAAAACGCCCATATTGAAAAAATCAAAGCACTTAAATAAATAAACTCACAAAATCAAATGTCCTTTTGGCATACAAAAACAATTCAAAGAGATTCAATCTCTGCTGTTTCATAAGTAGATTGACTAACATCATTACTAGTATCAGCACGCGCCTTATTTGTAAAATCAACCAATCTTGCCTTATTATTATTACCATTATTTCCTTGAGTTTTTGTATCACCAAGAGTATGTACACTTCCATTTTCAAAAGTGAATTTATTCTTTTGGTTTTGTTTCCATTCAATACCATTTGTTGTTTCAACTGGATAAAATTCTTCACCACCTGTTGAACTTGTGGCATTTGAAGAGAATGAAGTATCATTGACTAATGAAGATTTGTTAGTTGTTGGTTGGAATGATGAAGGTTGATGTAAATGTGGTGTTTGTTCTTCTTTCAAAACATCTAACGATCTTCCTTTTGAATGTCTATTTTTCAAATCAACAATGTTACCATCACTATCTAATTTTTGAATATTACCACTATCATCTCTGGTCAAAATTGAAGATGCTGTTGAGCCTAAGAAAGCTGAATCTCTGAAACTTAGATTTGATTTTCTTGGATCTTTTCTAATATCATCATCATCCGCTAATCTTATACTAAATAATTCATTTGTTGAAACAGTGGCTAATGAGTTCAATGATTCTCTGTTAATCTTGGAATCAATTGTTTGTCTCCATGATTTCTTTGGAATGGCATCTTTATCTTTGTTGTAATGATTAGCAGCAGCACCAACACCAGCAGCAGCAGCACCACCGCTCATTAACATATCTGTGCTTTGTGCTTGTAATGCATCATGGTATAACGAAGAATGTGTATCATCATGAATACTATCAAATGAGTCACCTTTAGTCAAAGAAGAACTATTACTTTCATTTTCATAAAGATCTTTACCATCCAATTTCAGAACATTCAAAGCACCTAATCTATGAGGTTCATTCCAATCTTGTTTTTCATCCAAAACACCACTGGCAGCAGCAGCACCACTCATTGGAGAAGCACCATTTGGTGATCTAGAATTTGGTCCATTAGCAGGATTACCCAAGATTGGTTTGGAAATTTTTGGTGAATTTGAGGAATCTTCTTCATCTGATTTATCATTTTTACGTCTTTTGAAACAACACAAAAAGATAAGAATACCTGCAACCAAAATTAAAAATAATGGGATACCGACACCAAGACCTATGGCTAATGCTTTTTTGTTTCTTCCAGATGGTGATTTTGAAACATTACCATTAGAAGAAGCAGATGTAGCAGAGACTGTTGCACCTGATGAAGATGAGGATGAGGCAGAAGCAGATGATCTTGAGGAGCTTGAGGATGTGCTTGAATGTGATCTTGAGCTAGAGGAGCTTGAAAGTGGATCAGAACCATAAATTTTGAAAGACAACTCATCAGAATCATCAGAGTTTTTCAAATGCGCTTTAACAGTGACTTGAGTTTCATCAAATTCATCAGGAGTTTCACCATTGATGGTTAAGTTTGAACTATGGAATGATAACCAATCTGCATCTTCAAATTCAACTGTCAAGTTTGTGTTTGAAAAATCAGTGAATTGAGATGGTAAAAAATAATATTGGAAATATGAACCTCTTGTAGCATTTGCATCTCTGAAAGAATCAACAGAGAATAATGAATCAATTGTTTCAATAGCAAAATATAAAACGACGCTGTTTGAGTAATGATCATAAATTGTGACATTGAATGTATCATTTGAACCAGATTTGAAATCTTCTGGAACAGTTCCAACTAGAGTATAATTATCCAATTTTAACCAATCTGGAGCACCGTTTAAACCAGCATAAGAGATGTTATCCAAAGAGATCTCAGCGCCATCTTGGTAAACATTCTCTAAAGGAATCTCGAAATTGATATCATCACCAGAAGAACCATTAACATTTGTAACCCCTTTCAAACTTGTCGTTAAATCATGATAACCAACAACAATATCAAAATCAACCCAGCTACCTGCATTACCGGCATAATCAGTTGCAATAAAAATGAATGAATATTGGAAACCTGGTGCAATTTCAGAATTAACAGCTGGTGCAACCCCACTAAATCTTAAAGTTGAACTATCAAAGAATAACCAATTTGGTAAAGATGATCTGTCAGAAGAACGTCCATAATAGCCTTTAATTTCATCATCAGAATCAAAAGTTTTAGAATCAAAAGTAACATTGAAAACTTTTCCTGGAGCTAAGACCAAACCATTTTGTCCATTAGTTTGACCAAAATCTGATAATTGAGATAAAACAGTATAACTATCTGATGGGGTTGGACCTTTATTCTTTGAAACAACAATTGAGTATTGCTTAGTGATTTCACCATCATTATCTTGACCCATTAATGTGAAGCCAGCAGAATCGGTAACATCTTGATCATTTGGAGTTCCTGAAAGGGTTCTTGAAGTTGGATCGAATGAAAGCCATGAAGGAAGGTCCTTAGCACTATAAGTAACATCACCATCTGAACTGATGAAAGTTTCATTTGACATTTGGAATTCATAAGCTTCATTCGCTCTTGCGACAGTTGGTAATTGTTCATCAAAGGGGAAACCTTCACGAGGTTGAGCTCGTATTATTGACGTGAACCATAGTATAAAACAACATCTAAGGATTAATTGAAAGCTCATCTTGAATATAGAATATTGAAGATTGAAAGCTCAAGGTAAAATGAATGGACGGTTAATGAGACCCTTTGTTATATGTTGATAATGTGAAAAGACAAGAAGTTAAAGGTAAAAAAGAAAAAGCCCTTGATGGTGATGATAATTTTTTTCCCATTTCTCTAATCTCAAGATCTCTGTGTGCTCTTGTTTAGTGGTCCACATAATTCTGTATTTAGATTTCATGTATCTTATGCCTTTCGAAGGGATGAGTGTACATTGTTCCTGTAGTGAGGTTTCCCAATCCGTTCAAATGAACGTTCTTTTTCAAAGTTTTATCAACACTTGACGCGTATCTTTGTTTTCATTTTCGCCAAAGGAGTCGCGATTCTGCGGCGCGAACCAGCGATTTTTCACGCGTTTTGATGAAATTTTTCAGTGAGACATAATTAAATGAGATGCTGGCAGAATTTTCTTAAAAATGAATTTTAAAAGCTTGAAGAATTGTGTCTAGGATACGAGGTACTTTTTGGCTTTTTTCAATCGAAAAGCTACTCTTTTAGGAAGTATAATTGGCTTGAAGGGGATCCATCAGTGTACATACAAACACGTACAAGCAGAATGTAGCGTACAAGGATTAAAACAATTTCATAAGTAGGCATACTCAAAATAACCCTCAGACGTAGTGACAAATTTCATTTTCATCCACCGCTGCAATTCATTACCAACTCAATCTTGAATTTAAATTAAACTGATGCAAAATTTGTACTTTCCCTTTTCGTCACTTATAGTGATCGAATTCGCGAATTTCTAATGAGAGGGTAAACTTCGCGAATTTCAAGAATTGCCCACTGATTTATCGAAATCGAAGGTATACTTTTCCCCTTTGACATATAAAACCACATCATCAATAGCATTGCTCAACATCAAAACGCAGACAATTCATAATGGCTCCAAAACTAGAGGAATGGGAAATCAAGAAGTATTGGGAAATCTTCAGTGGGTTAAAACCAGTTGATAATAAATTAACAGGGGATCAAGTTAGTGTTGTTTTGAAAAATTCAAAATTAAGTGATTCAAATTTATCCACAATTTGGGATTTATCAGATATTGATAGTGATGGATCTTTAGATTTTGAAGAATTTTGCATATGTATGAGATTGATCTTTGATTTAGTCAATGGGACTATATCATCATTACCTTCACAATTACCTGATTGGTTAGTGCCTTCAAGCAAAGCACATTTAATTCAAGCAAATAGAGCATTATCTGGTCAAGATCAACAGCAATTGAGGTATTCAGATTCGGAAGATGAAGAGAGTAGTTTGAGTGATCAGTTTGATTGGTACATTTCTCCAAATGATAAGAGTAGATATGAAGAAATTTATTCAAGTGCAAGTGATAGATTTGGAAGAATTACTTACGATTCATTGAATGGATTATACAACACATTACCAAATGTTCCAGCTACTGATATTAGTTCTGCCTGGAATTTAGTCAATCCAAGATCTTCAGAAACAATAGATAAAGATCAAACCTTAGTATTTTTACACATGTTAAATCAAAGATCCACAGGGAAAAGAATTCCAAGAAGTGTACCAAGTTCATTGAGAGCAACATTTTCCAAAGAAACCCCAGAATATTCACTAGATTCCCATCAAGCTGATATTCACAAAAGTGGTAACTCTAAACATTCATTTGCAGACAATTACCTAGAGAGAATTGGAGGCTCTGAATTATCCAAGAACGTTAAAGGTACCGATTTTTCATCTACAGAGGGTACAGACTGGGAAGAAGTTAGATTGAAAAGAGAATTGGCAGATTTAGAGGAAAAGGTCCGTCAAAAGGAACTAGAAACTGACTCCAAAACTAATGAAAGAAATAATGTTTTAAATGGTAATGGGACAACAAGTAACAAAACTTTACAAATAAGAAAGGAACTAGAACAATTATTGGAATATAAGCAAAAACAGTTGGTTCAAGATAGTAAAACCGGTGTTGATTTATCAGAGATCTCTAATGATATAGATACTGTGGAGAGTCAAGTTCAAGTTTTGGAACAATATTTACAACAGAAAAAGAATGAATACAACGAGTTGAAGAATCAAATAGCACAAGCAAAATCATCAGCTTAAGATGCTAAGAAGAGGTGTTCACAACTCTAATAATTTAAAATGCGAGACGACTATGTTATTGGGTATATTTTTTGTGTGTAGTGCTGAATCTATCTTCAAATTCCAAATCACATTCTCCCTTACATTTGTAATACAGATCCCACACAGAAAAGAATAACGGATCACAACAGACCGAACTAATTACTAACGTCATTTACAATAAATCATGGCACAGAAACGACTCTGTTTCGATTCAGTTGTTTTTGGTGGGAGGACAACCGGATATTAGTACACATGTTGCAATAGTTCGCTAGTTATATGGTTAGGACTCCTTGTACAACAACACACGATCGATGGATAAGATCCTGATTACCATTCACAATGTACCGCTCCCATACTCGGAATCCTAGCAAGTATTCCAACCTTTTTCTTTGTTCCTGTCGCCAGTTTGCCCACAAAGCTCAAGGTTTCAAGAACTCATCACTTTTTTCAGGGAGAACTGGACGTCAAAAATAGAGTCTAGTCCCATCCGGGCATAAGAAACAGGTGTATAAACAAGAAAGGCTGAATACACAGGAAACAGTCAAAAGTATGGGGTTAAAAGCTCACGGTATTCTCCCGGGCAGTACAAGTTATCATAGCTCCATAGTAAGCTGTAATGAGAACCCAGTAGATATCATTGATTACTATTTAGTTGTGGAAAGATCTATGGCTTCATTTAGATCTGGCAATTCTTGAATCTTGACAATAAATCGGCGTTTGCAACCTACAGAGCTTGAGTTTAAGCGTTTATGTTGGATCTCTACTGTTGAATTCGATGCGTTGGCAAATGAGGGGAAGGGAGCTTAAATTATCACTGAGCCCTGGATCAGGTTAAACGAATTGAAGCTTGGAAATGTAGAAAACATCTCCCACCTGAACAGGAGCTAAAGTTAATCTATCCAACCATATCGAGGGAAATCTGGTTATAAAGGAAGAGATTGTGGTACGTTCATCAAAGCCAAACAATGTGTATCTGGAGAAATGAGGCTGATAGCACACCATGACTACTCGCTGTTAAGCTTCAGAGTTCAACTCATCGAATTCAAAATCCGCATCAACAAAGAACAACCATACCTCAAGACCTCAAACTTCAAAGCTTAATTATAGGGTTTGGTGGCAATCACTTGACACAAAATCGTATCATCATCAACCTTCGCTCTTCTCATAGCTCGGGAGTTCTCGTTTAGTCCAATTCTCTAGTTTCTACACACCAACAATTTACTCTTAAATCCTTTCGTTGAACTAAAATCCAGACCGCCCCATGATTGTCCCTCTGCCCAGGACCGAGGGGCAGAGACTAGAAAGGCCTAAAGAATTGGTGGAAAACAAATTTCTAGTCCCTTCATTTAACCGATTTTTACTCAACATTTTCACAAGTTGAACAAAGTTATTGAAACCTTGGAGCCCTAAATTCCGCCAGTGTTAGTAATGACGGGCACCCTTAGATCCTTCTTCGGTCATTGGGTTTTAGGATACCGTTGAGAATCCATATTTCAAATGAATATAAAAGGAACTAAATTTCCCCAGATTTATCAACTAGAATTCAAATGCTTCCGAAATACCTGTTTTAGTACAAGTGAATTTTAAAGATGTCTGCTCCAGTTTCCATCAAAATCAAATTACCAAACAACATTGAATATGAACAACCAACTGGTTTGTTCATCAACAACAAATTAGTCCCATCAGTCAGTGGTAAAACTTTCAAAGTTACCAATCCTTCAAACGAAGAATTGATTGCCAACTTACACGAAGCTGACAAAGAAGATGTTAACATTGCTGTTGATGCTGCTTCAGCTGCTTTCAAGAAATGGTCAGTTACTGAACCACAAGTTAGAGCAATGGCTCTATACAGATTAGCTGAATTGGTTGAAAAAAATGCCGAATTATTAGCTTCAATTGAATCATTAGATAACGGTAAAGCTTTACACTGTTCAAGATCAGATGTTAAATTAGTTATTTCATACTTGAGATCATCTGCTGGTTTTGCTGATAAAGTTGATGGTAGATCAATCAACACTGGTGAAGGTTATTTCAACTATACTAGAAGAGAACCATTAGGTGTTTGTGGTCAAATTATTCCATGGAATTTCCCATTGATGATGTGGGCTTGGAAAATTGGTCCAGCTTTAGCTACTGGTAACACTGTTGTCTTGAAACCAGCTTCTGCTACTCCATTATCTGCTTTATATGCTTCCTTCTTAGCAGTTGAAGCTGGTATCCCAGAAGGTGTTATCAACATTGTTCCAGGTTCTGGTAGAAAATGTGGTGATGCTATCTTAAGACACCCAAAGATCAAGAAGATTGCCTTCACTGGTTCTACTGCAATTGGTAGAAGTGTTATGATTGCAGCTGCAGAATCTAACTTGAAGAAAGTTACTTTAGAATTAGGTGGTAAATCACCAAACATCGTTTTCGATGATGCTGATGTTAAAACCACTGTGCAAAACTTGATCACTGGTATTTTCTTCAACGGTGGTGAAGTTTGTTGTGCAGGTTCAAGAATCTATATCCAAGAAGGTATTTATAAGGAAATCATTGAAGCATTGAAAACAGAAGTTGAAAAATTAAAAGTTGGTGATCCATTCGATGAAACAAACTATCAAGGTGCTCAAACTACCCCAGATCAATTCCAAGAAGTTTTGGATTACATTCAAAAGGGTAAAGACCAAGGTGCTAAAGTTTTAACTGGTGGTGAAAGAATTGGTACTAAAGGTTATTTCTTACAACCAACAATTTTCACAAATGTTGGTGATGATTTCACTGTTTTGAAAGAAGAAATCTTTGGTCCAGTTGCCACTGTTTCAACATTTAAAACTATTGATGATTTAGTCCACAGAGCTAACGATTCTGAATATGGTTTAGGAGCTGGTATCCACACCAAATCATTAGACAGAGCTTTGGATGTTTCACAAAGATTAGAAGCTGGTATTGTTTGGATCAACACTTACAATGACTTCAATGCTTCAGTTCCATTTGGTGGTTATAAGGAATCTGGTATTGGTAGAGAAATGGGTTCTGAAGCTTTAGATAACTACACCCAAGTTAAAGCTGTTAGAGTTAAAATTAACAGACAAATTGAATAGATTTGAGATCTGTTTTTAATTAATGAGTTTATTTTGTAATTACTGGATGATAATTTAAATGGGTTTATGGCTTTGAGATGATTTTGTAGAGTAACGTTTTTGATCTTGATTTGGGCCACTTTAAGCAAACGGGACACCGAGATGTTGGAAAACACATCAAGAGATTTGATTGGCCAACGGTTTTTGGGGAGAACGGTTTTTCGTAGCTGAAAGCTTGTGCGAGGTTGGCTGATCAGGAATCAGGATTCAGGAAGTGTGTGTGTACTTGAGTGCCCACGATGTATCATGTCAAATGGAAATGTTCCCTTTGAGCCCCTGAATTCAAAGTGTCTCGCTGTTTTATTGGGCCTTCACGTGCAAATTGCCAAATTCTGCTTTTTTTTGTTGGTCTTCGAGATCCAAAAAAAAACACACAGGCATCATCACCTCCAACATCTTTCTTTCTTCCCCCTTCCACACCTGAACAACAACAACTAGTTCAACAACAACACTTTTGTTTGTATCACTAATATTCACACAACTGCACAAGTGAGTATACACCGCAATTGACCTAAAGAGGCCCAAGATCACTAACAATTCTTTCAGTGGCTCCTCCAGTCTTCTCAGATATCTCTAAAAACCAAAATGGTTTATTGAACAAAGATTTCTATCACTTAGCTCCAGCTGCTGTTGATATCCAAACCACCGCTCCAAATGGTGTCGCCTTCACTGTTAAAGGTAAATCTTCAAAAGAAGGTACCATTGCCGGTAACTTGGAAGCTAAATTCTCTGACAAAGCTTCAGGTTTAACTTTAACTCAAGGTTGGAACACTGCTAATGCTTTAGACACCAAAGTTGAATTGGCTGAAGCTTTGACTCCAGGTTTAAAAGCTGAATTATTAACCACTTTGATTCCAAACGGTACCAGAGGCGCTAAATTGAATGTTTTCTTCAACCAACCATCAGTTACCGCCAGAGCTTTCTTTGATTTATTAAAAGGTCCAACCTTTGTTGGTGATGCTACTGTTGGTCATGACGGTTTCACTGCAGGTGCTGAAGTTGGTTACGATATCTCATCAGCTAAAGTTACTCGTTACTCAGCTGCTGTTGGTTACGCTCAACCAGTTTACAACGTTTCAGTTAGCGCCACTAACAACTTGTCTGTCTTCTCTGCTGCTTACTACCACCGTGTCTCTCCATTAGTTGAAGCCGGTGCTAAAGCTACTTGGGATTCAAAAGCTGATGCTGCTGCTGGTAAAGCTGTTGGTATTGAATTCGCTACTAAATACGTTTTGGATTCAACCGCTTTTGTTAAAGCTAAAGTTGCTGACTCAGGTATCACTGCTTTATCTTACCAACAAACTTTAAGACCAGGTGTTAAATTAGGTTTAGGTGCTTCTTTCGATGCTTTGAAATTAGCTGAACCAGTCCACAAATTAGGTTGGTCATTATCATTCTCTGCTTAAGAGATTTGAGATTAAGCTCATCATGAACCGAATTCCCCTTTTTAAATAGCCCAATTGAATTGAGTAAAGGTGGATATATATGATTATTCTATACGATTTTATAAATAAATAATGTGATCAATTCAATTTGTAGTCTATAGGTTTTAAAGGTGTTACAATGTTTATGGCAGATGTCGGTGATCTCAGTTCTGATTTCGCGAACTTTACCCGCAAAAGTAAATAATTTCGATCCCAAAACATAGAATTCTACGCTTTGAAGAGATCAGATACCAAGAATATCAACAAATACATCTACAATCCTATTGTTGTATTGCTCATCATCATCATGAGTGAGCTAGGAGAGGAATTTGAGTCCAACTCGACGGATGTTAGTATGCCTCAATTGATCACTGGAATCAATATATTAACTTTACATTTTAGGATTTTGGATATAAATCATTAGGTGGATCAATCCAATTAGTTCAAGACTATGAAGAGAAATTACCTTTCAAACATATAAACAATTTAACTTATTCCACCCATAGAGGTATCTTTGCAGCTGCTGGATCTGACAAAGTTGTTTTGGGTTTATTGAAAGATTTGAAAACAGATATTGCAAGCTCAGAAGAAAGCTTTAAGACAAATCGTCATGAACTAAACATCCCAAACGTTACTAGCATTGGATTCACAAGAGATGAAAACAATCTTATAATATGTACTGGATCAGAATTAAGAATTGCTCCAGTTCCGGATTATACCAAGCTATCAACTACTGATTTCAAAACAATCACGTTAAATGGAGAAATTGATTTCTTCACTGCATCACCAACAAACCCTTCCATAATAGCAGTATTGACCACTGATTCTAGCTTGTGCATTTTGAATCTAGCAACCCAGTCACAAAGTATTATCTCAACTCAAGTGTTGAATTTTAGTTGGTCCCCAAAGGGGAAACAAATAGCTGTGGCCAATTTGGATGGTTCGATAAATCAAATTACATTAGCAGGCGAAAGAAAGGTCACCATCCAACGTCCTGAAGAGCTATCTGAAGAAAACTTACTTCCTTTATCAATTGTTTGGTTATCATCTTTCAAGTTCTTCGTCGTGTATGGTGAAGTTCCACAAGATGAAGAAGAAGATCCATCATATGATTTCAAAACTTTTATAATTACTCATGATAAAAGTGCAGGAAAAGACATTTTCCAAGAGAATTTTGATGCAATTCCAGCATTCGGTTCAGTTTTGAGAAAACCAACAGTTTATTCATCAACATTCCATAATTTATCAAATGCGTTTCCTATCCTCACAGTTACTGCTTCTTCTACATCAGTGGAGATTACAGGTATATCAGAATCCGAAATTATTTTGCCAGAATTAGATCAAGCAAGAGCAGCTCTACCTATTAATGATGACACTGGTAATGATATCAACGCCATTGGTTTAATCACAGATATAAGCACCACTGGTAAAATTGAAGAACCTTGTGTAGGTGTTTCAGAAGCTGATTGGTTACCAAGTGTATGGGTATTGGGTAATGATGGTAAAATACAAGGGTGGTATGTCTTCCATGTTCATGATCTGAAAAACGGTAGCTTAAAGCCTGATGGAGTGGAGCAATATGATGATGAATTATACAAAGCTGCATTAGGTGGAAATGTCCCTGTGGATTCACCAGCTAAAGCACCGATAGCTCCATCTGCTCAAGAAGAAAAGAAACCATTTATGTTTGGCCAATCCAACGTTCAAACAGGAAATAAACCAGTTTTTGGCGCAACGACATCAACTGATAAACCTCCAGCGTTTGGATCTGCTGGATTTGGCTCTAGTGGATTTGGCTCAACAGAAAATAAACCAGCATTTGGCTCTTCAGGGTTTGGATCATCAGGTTTCGGGCAAAGCTCAACTAATAAAGCTGCATTTGGATCATCAGGATTTGGACAAAGTAGTTTTAGTTCTGGAAAACCAGCATTTGGGTCAAGTGGTTTCAATCAATCAACAACTGGAGAATCACCATTTTCTGCATTTGGTAAACCAGATGATAAAAAGACTGATTCTCCATTTGCATTTGGATCATCAGCACCAAAGACAGAATCACCATTTTCAGGAGTTGGTAAAAAAGATGAGCAAAAAGTTGATTCCCCATTTGCAAGTCTTGGATTAAACAATGAAGGTAAAGAAGATGATAAAAAATCTGACTCGCCATTTGCATTCGGATCGTCAGCACCAAAGTCAGATTCACCTTTTGCTAGTCTAGGATTGAACAGTGAAACCAAATCAGAGTCACCATTTGGAGGACTTTCAAACAATCAAACAAGTGCATCATTTGGAGCTTCTTCTGGTGAGACAAAATCAGTTTTTGATCAATCCAAAGAAACTCCTGCATCATCATTAATTGGGGACGCAAATAAAAATAATGAGAATAAACCTAGTGCTCTCGCTTCCATGACACAAGATTTGGGTGGAACATTATTTGGTGCTGCTAATGAACCTTCAAAAATCAAAGTTCCAGGGCTATCAGACGATGAAGATGAACAACCAATCATCACAAAAGAAGCAACTGCCCCAATCGCATTACAATCACAACCACAACCTTCAGGGCCTACAAGCTTCGGTAATGTTGCATTTGGAAGTAAACCTTCTGGTTCTGGATTTGGATCTACTGGATTTGGCTCAACAGGTGCTGCTGCCTCATCAGGATTTGGGTCTACAGGGTTTGGTAATACAGGATTCAAATTTGGTCAACAACCTCAAAAGCCAATTAACAATGAACCTAAAGAAGAAAAGAAAGTTGAAGCTCCAAAACTTGGTGGGTTTGGCCAATTTGCAAATGATAACAAGCTTTCAGCGTTGAGTAAGAACAAGAATGTTTTCGAGGATGCAGCCACTAAAATAGATGATACTTTTAAAGGCACAGAAACAGCTAAAGAAGACACCAAACCACTAGAGAAACCAGCTACTGATTCTTCAACTAAGCCAGAGAAAGAAGAACAAAAAGAATCCAAACCGCTAGATAAACCAGTTACTGCTCCTTCAGCCACACCAGAAAAAGAGAAACCAGAAATAGAGAAATCCAACCAATCTACTCAAAAACCTGAAAGTGAATCAGTGAAGGAATCGAATGTATCTAAAAGCGAGGAGAAAAAAGAAGATCCAATTGATGATTTTGCCAAGTTTGATGAAGAAGTTGATAAAGAGTGGACTGACTCAGATGAAGTTGAGACAGATAATGCAGCTGGAGAGGAAGATGAAGAAAGTGATCAAGATGAAGATGAAGGGGAAGCTCAAGATGATGAAGGTGACAAAAATGATACCACAGCATTTGCTGATTCATCATTTGATCAATCAGAGCTAAATAATACTTTACAAGATGAGACTGATGAATTAGGGGATGACTTCAATAAAGAGTTGATACTACATGAAAAACCTCAAGATCAAGCAACTGAACAACTAGGTGAACAGGTTGATAAGAACTTGAACATTGATGATAAATCATCGGAAAGTAAAGAAGATATTGGATTTGAACATGTCAAGGCTGAAGATGGTAAAGATAGCTCATCATTTGACTCTTTGAATGACATTGAAGAGGAAAACTTATATGAAGAAGTGAAGGGACAGAATGTCAAATATGACGGTGCAGATCGTGTTGAAAGAAATATTCAAGCTGAACCTATTGAGATGCATGATGCTGAAACTCAAACTTTTATCCCAACAAGTGATGTTGGTGTTTCTGCCATTGTTGAACTTCAAGATGTTTCTACTCAAACTGAAGTTGTTGAAACCAAATCCATTGCATTGAAGACTTTTGAAGACGATGAAGCCTATTTCAGTTCATTTTTCGTTCCACCAGAAGTTCCTGCTTATCAACATTTGGGACAAGTTAAGTATCCAAAATTGAGTTCAGACCCAATTTTCAGTCAATTGGAAAAGATTTATTATGATACTCAAGCAGAAATTTCAATTATTGAAGAAAATTGTCAAAAAATTGGAGGATTCATTGATGAACATTTGAAAGAAGAACCAATTCATACGGAGAAATCAATAGCTAATGCTCATCATTGGAGATTATCAGAAGCTGGTACTGTGAACAAGTTGATTCATGAGAAAGCTCAAGACTCTATTGAATTGAAAGATCAACTTTGTTCACAACACTCCAAATTTAAAACTGTTCAAGATACGATTTTATCTTTTGAAAAACAAGCTTCAAGAATGAGAGAAAAAATATTTGCATTAGAAAAATTAACAGATAAGGCAATTTTGAATGCTCGTGATTTACCAGTGGAAGTGTTGATATTACAAGATAAGATAAGAAAGAAGTATTCCAAAGTCGCTGATGATTTAAGAACATCTGAACAAAAAATCATGTCATTAAAGACTGCAACCAATATCTTTTATAATGATCCACCTACCCCAGCTGCTCTTCATGCAGTTATTAATCATATCAATTCGGTAACTAGAGATTATTCTAGAGATACAAAGCAATTAACAGAACAAATTGCCAAGTTGAATGTTAATCATACAAAGATTCTTGAACAATTGAATGAAGGTAAAACCAAATCATTTAAAAAGAGTGAATGGGAGAATAGAAGTATTACCAAGATGAAAGTTGAAGATTTGAGCAAGAGATTGAATGCTAAGCGTGCAATTAATGAAGCATTGAGACAAAGATCTGCTAGTTCAATCACAGTCAACTTTAAATGATTTATATGTATATTATAATGAAGTCTAATAATACCTAAGTTTATAAATTAGGTCTATAACTCATTGATCAAAACTTGTAATTTTTCTAATAATGTATCATTTTCCTCTTTAGTACCTATTGTAATTCTTAACCCACCAGGACAACCAGGTTCATTACCTCTATATCTAATAACAACACCTTTAGTTGTAGCCAACTTTTCATAAAAGTATTTGGCTAATTTTGAGTCAGGTTCACCACTTCCATTAATAACTTGAACCAAAATAAAATTTGATGATAATCCACCTAATAATCTTTTATTAATATTTTGAAATTTTTGCAATTCACTCCACAATCTACCTCTTTCAGAATTCAAAATTTCAACACGATCTCTCATCAGTTTGACATTTTGTGGACTTAGGGCCCTTAGAGCCACATATGAAGTTAAACTAGAGATATTATAAGGAGCTTTCAACGCATTTAAAATACTAGCCAATCTTTTATTAGCAAAAGTGATACCTAATCTAATAGCAGCCAAACCAAAAGATTTGGATAAAGTCTGTAAGACAACCAAGTTTGGATACTTGTTGACTAAAGTTGATAAAGAAGTACCAATTGGTGCAAAATCAACATAAGCTTCATCAGCAACTACTATACCATTCCAGTTTGGATTTGTTAGAATTTGTTCAATGAGTTTGAAATCAATAGAAGTACCTGTAGGGTTACCAGGGGTAGTGATATAAACCATTTTAATTGAAGGGTCTTTATTTAATTCTTCATTGATCAAATCAGGTTGGATTTGGAAAGTTTGGAAATCTAATGGGACTTTAACAATTTCAACATCATTAATTGTAGCAGAGATTGAATACATCCCATAAGTTGGTGGGGCAATTAATAATTTATCTTTCCCAGGGGAGCATAATGTTCTGATTAACGCATCTATACTTTCATCTGAACCAACACCGAGACATAAATTTTCATTAGTTAGTTCTTGATCTTTTGTGATTTCAAATTTGTTTTCAGAATTTCTAAAGTTTACTAATTTATCTTTCAATTCAATTTGGTGAGGGTCTGGATAACGGTGTAAGTCTAATGTGGTTTCATATTGGGATATATCAGTAATTGCTGGACCATGAGCATTTTCATTAGCATCTAGTAATATACCTTCTGTAAAATCACTTTTAATAATGTTAGACACGAATAAAGGGCATTAAGACTGGATTAACATACTCTCTAGCACAACGATAAGGTTCCAATGACAAAATGTTTGGTCTAACCAAGGTATCCAAGTTGAAAGAAGCCATTGTACTTGGTTAAAATCTAACACAGTCAAATACAATGTAAAGGATTCGTTATCGCTTTTGAATCTCGAGGCCCCCCAAAAAAAAACGCATTCGCGAAAATCAGAGATGAGTCAACTGGCACGTTGTGAAATGGCAGACAGACAAGCGGCTTTAGACGAAAACAGAATGTCCACCAGGGAAAAACTAGTAAAGTGTTAGGAAATAGGGATATGAATATAATATGGATGTTGATTTAGAAGGGGAATGAATACTTTGGCCTTGATGCTCGAGGAAATGAGTTTTCTCGCGAGGAAAGTACGAAGTTTAATCGAGCGTATTTGAGACCCTATGATTCACCAGCTAACGACATTTTAGTGATCACTTTCAACAGACTGATCTTATGGCTCTTAATCACACCAGTGAATACCTTTACAATCCTCATAACTTATAACTTATAACCCCAATTCAACAACATCCAACAAAATTTCATTCGAATGACTTTTGATTTTCAACTTCCCCAGAAAATTTTGTAGCCGGACGTTGTTTTTGGACTGAAAAAAAATCTGCAATGGAAATAAAAAAAAAATTACACACATTTTCCTCGAACTATATATCTTTGAAACATAAACCTCAAAACTAGGAAAAGACCTATATACCCAAGATCTCTCATAGTTCACTCATTTAATCCTCTCATACCATCCAAAGGAATAGAGACATAAAAGAGGAATTCACAAAGAGACAAGGTCATCCAATATGAAGACCTCAAAAGTTTTAAAAAGTTTTAAATTATTTCAAAAATCTAAAGTTGAATCACCAATCCCAATACCCAATGAAATCTTCAACTTGCGTACATATATCTTTGCCATACTAGCTTCATTTGGAGCTATAATCTCAGGTTATGACACCGGGTTCATTGGTGGGACAGTCACTTTAGAATCATTCAGACATGAATTTGGTATTGATAAAATGTCAAGTTCTCATGCAACTTATGTGAATTCCAACATCATTAGTGTCTTCCATGTTGGTGCATTTTTCGGAGCCTTGGGGATTTATCCAATTGGTGAATTATATGGACGTCGTATTGCATTGTTTTTATCAGGATTTTTCCTAACGTTTGGTGCAGCAATTTCATTAATTTCAAATTCTCAAAGAGGGTTAGGTGCTATTTATGCCGGTAGAGTATTGACAGGTGTTGGTATTGGGTTTTGCTCTGGGATTACTCCAATGTATGTTGGTGAGATTAGTCCTCCTTCGATTAGAGGTCAATTAACAGGTCTTTGGGAGATTGCATGGCAAATTGGTGGGTTAGTTGGTTATTGGATTAATCTTGGAGTTAATAAACATGTTTCTAATCCAACTTCACAATGGTTAATCCCATTTGCTGTGCAAATTATTCCAAGTGGATTGTTTTGGATCGGTGTGGTTTTCTTACCAGAATCTCCAAGATGGTTAATTAGTAAATATAAAAGAGATGAAGCTGAGGAAAAATTAAGTTATATAACAACATTACCTAAAGATCATGAATTTGTTCAATTTGAATTGGGTAAAATGGAGGAGAAGCGTGAATTGAAACGGAAATTATATGGTGAAGGGATTTTCCAACAAATTAAAACTGTTATTTTTTCATCAAGATATATTAAAAGATTAATATTATCCACTTCAACTTTTATTTTACAAAATGGTGCAGGTATTAATGCCGTCACTTATTATTCAGTTACAGTTTTCAAAAGTATTGGACTTTCAGGGGCGGATGCTAAATTATTCTCCACTGGATTATTTGGTGTTATTAAATTAGTTGCAGCAGTTGTTTGGTTAGGTTTAATTGTGGATAATTGGGGACGTCGTGCAGCGTTCTTTTGGGGTTGTATACCCTGTGGTATTGCCATGTGGTATTTAGGAGCATATATTAAAGTCAGTGATCCAGCTTCCAAATTAGCCACTGGGAATGTTAAATTAGATTCAGGTGGTAAAGGTGCTTTGGCAATGTTTTATATCTGGACATTTGTTTATGGTGCAACTTTTAATGGTACTTGTTGGGTTTATTGTGCTGAATTATTTGATCAAGATGTTAGAAGTTTAGTTAGTGCTATTAATGCTTCAAGTAATTGGTTTTGGGCATTTATCTTTGCTAGATTCACAGGTAATATGTTTAATGCCATGGGGTATGGAGTTTATTTCTTATTTGCAAGTTGTATGACCGTTGGCCCATTATTTGTGTTTTGGTTTTTCCCAGAGACTAAAGGTGTTCCATTAGAAGTTATAGATCATTTATTTGAAGTTCCAGCATGGAGAGGACGTGAGTATGCTCTAAGTAAGATTGAGAGATCATCAAAAGAAGATAGAGATGAAAGAGAGGAGTCTACAGAAAGGGAGGATATTTCAGTTAAACAAACAAAAAGTGAGCATGATTGATATGATATGATTATGTATTGTATTTTTATTCGTTTTTAATGATTGTTTATGATAATTCTTTGCATTTAGTTATAATTTTCATGTTGCATTACTTTTGGATCATTGTAGAGTTGAGCCGTTTTAAAGTGCCACAAGGCGGAAGATTATTCAGAAAAGCGTTACAGAAGGAAAAGAACTGGATGAAATTAACTAGAAAAGTAATGAAATAACCTATTCAAATTCAATTCAATAAAAGGCCTCTTCATTATTACAAATCTGTCTTTTCATCTGGGTTCTAATCAATTTGACTCGTGTTTTTGCTTTTTTTGAGGGAGGTCAAACGAGTCACGGAACAACAACGTCAAAAACGAGACGAAAAGCATTAAAACCGCAGAAAGAACAGCCATTTGAATGTTTAAGAATATAAAAGGAAGTTGTTTGAAGGTGAATTCCTTTTGATCTATGCTGTTCCCAATATCTAAAAAGCTATAGCACAATGCCCTTTTCAATTGATAACTACCTAAATCCATACTACCCCAGTTCAATAATCCCCCAGATCCCTTCAAAGCTAGTTCAAAGGGTTTTAGGACATCATAAAGATTTAAAATCCAAAGATTCATCAATCTTACTATACTTGGACATCTTGATTGGTTCATTTGTTTCAATCTTATTAATTGAAGGAGTTTTCAAACATTCTCATGTATTTATACAGCATCATTCACCTATAATTATAGCATCTTATGGAGCTTCAGCAATCCTACTATTCAATGCAAATACTGCTCCGTTATCACAACCAAGAAACATAATAATGGGACATTTCCTAAGTGCATTGGTTGGAGTGATATTACAAAAATTGTTTGAGTTAAGTTCTAATGGACGTGATCATTTATATATCGGTGGGGCTCTAAGTGTTGGTATATCAAGTGTTGTTATGAGTATTTTCAACTGTGTTCATCCTCCTAGTGGTGCTAGTGCGCTTATGCCATTAGTTGATGAAGGGATCAGAGAGATGGGGTGGTGGTATTTACCTGCACATTTGATAAGTAGCGTTTTGATGGTTTGTGTTGCATGTATAACGAATAATATTCTGAGGAAATATCCTCAATATTGGTGGACTTCTTATAAAAAGGAGGCTATTAAAGATGATGAAGAGATGCAAGAGATTAAGAAAATTGAGCCTGAAAGATCAAATAATGAAACTATTGCTGTTAAATCTAATGATAAACAATTAAAGACTAGTAATTTTGGTAAAATTGAAATAACAAGTCATGAATTAAACATACCTGATGAATTAGCATTAACTTTTGAGGAATTAGATCTTCTACATGGGATAAGAAACAGATTAGCATCACATCATCATAATAAAAATCAACCTAAAGATTGATATCATGTCATATATCTAATCTTACAAAACCTGGTAAATTTTGCTTATCAACTATTAATTTCTCTTGTAGTTCAAACATTTCAATAAATTCTATATCACTTTCACCTTTTCCCCCAGCAAACTTATCATATTCATCAAATATACCAGTAATGGACCAACCTTGTAGTAATTTTCTCATTATACCAACCAATACACCAATTCTGTGCTTTCCTTTATTTGAATGGATTAGAATTGGGTAATTTTTGATGTTTACTATAATTTCCAAAGCTTCCAAGATGGCTTTTGGATCATTCATTATGAAAGGTTCACTTGATGATTCCATTTTAATATAATGGAATTCTATACCTTGATCCTTGATGAAATTATAGTAATCATTATTGTCTTCTTTATCACCTAAATAGATGATTGTTTTAAGGTTTAGAGTCTTAAGGAATGGGAAATTGATGGGCACAGGATGGCCAGATCTATATATACCATCTTCCACAAGGGAAAAGTTCAAAGGAGGGACGTAAATTGTCATTATTGATTGAGATTAGATCTAACACCATGATGATGTATTTGCCCTAGATCATGAATTTGGTGAAAAGCAGAATTCGCGAAAATTGAACCTTGATTACGTAACAATGATTACATAATAGTAAATCCAAAATGGTATACGCACGCACTCGATATCTCTAGGCTCAGCTCTGCCTAGGCTCCCTCTAGACTCTAACTTCTCTCTGCCTACGCATGTACCTACGGACGACAGTCCAGACGGACAATGCTGACAATTGATCGCCAAGTCTGAGAAGTGAACTAAAAAAAGACGCCTGTTGATGAAATGGTGAAGATCAAATTCAGGAACAGGAATTACGAAAACTAAAAGGACATCCAGTTTCAGAGAATGAATAGAAGAGCTGAATAGGATAGGAATAAGCATAGAATAGTGGAACCATCGCTAGTGTGTATTTTATAGCGTCTGTGCTCTCTTGTGACCATGGAGAATGCCGTACAGCACACGTTGAGTTGTTGTAGGTGACAGGTATTGAGTGAATATTCTACACGTATCAATTGTAAACAGCAACTCTTACTTAACTATGGCTATGTTCCCGTGCTATGCGCCACATCCACACGTTAGTAGTGGCCATAGTCTATAACACCTATTTATTTATTTTATACCCTGTTGGTGCCCTTTGGAGTCTTTTAATACCCTCAAGAGCATATTCCCATAAAATTATCATCATCCACTTGTCTAATTATTTAACACCCATTCCTTCTCTTCAACAACCCTGTTCAATATCCCAATACACTCAATACCCAAATGATCACTATACTAAACCAACCCAAAAGACTAAACAAACTCATACCGGCCATATTCTTGGTTGTCTTTTCAATATGGTTCTTTATAACTTCAAATGGCTTCCACAACAACACGGACATTTCCTTTATAAATGGGTTTCTAAGTTATAACCCAATAACAACACATCCTCATAACAGTGTCTTGAAGCATCTTTATCAACAAAATAAAACAGATAATGTCCCAAATCAATATAATTTTAAAGATGAAAATATCATTCATGATTCAAACTCAAACCTAGATTTATTAGACTTTGACCGTGATCATATCAAGTATATTTACCCAGAAGTTATCAATGCAATTTATCAATCCACTGATTTGGATTCAATAGATTGGTCAAAATTTGCATATGTCTTGTATGCAACTTCATCTTCTCATATGTGTAATTCAATGATGATTTTTGCAGAGTTGAGAAAATTTAACACAAGGGCTGAATTGGTTTTATTAGTTAAACAAGAATTTTTATCAGATCTTGATAATCATAAACATGAATATGAAACTTTAACAAAATTTAGTTCTGATTTTAACGTTGTTTTAAAACCAACACCGGTGACTCAAATTGGTGGTGATGAAGTTGATATTTGGAAATCAAGTTTTACTAAATTGATGGTTTTCAATGAATCTGATTATGATCGTATCATTTATTTAGATGCTGATGCCATAGTGTTGCAAGGGAACTTAGATGAATTGTTTTTCTTACCTCCTGTTAAATTGGCTGTTCCAACTGCTTATTGGTTAACAAAGATTCAATATGAAAAAATGGGTGATGAAGCTGTAAAGAAATATGATGCCAAAAAATATGGATTCCATCCATTAACTAAAGATCAAAGAGATTCCAAAATTTCCAAATTAATTGATCAAACCATAACTCCATTTAGTTTGAATAATAATTTACCAAATGAACAAAAAACACTTAAACAACAAGTTAATACCAAAAACTTCCAAACTCAATTATACAACTCATTACCAAACTACTCAGCAATTGATGAATTCCAACTAACAAACATTGTTATGGTTATCCAACCTTCAAGAGAATTATTTGCCAGAGTCTTGAATGCCATTGAAAATAAACGTAAAAATGAATATGATATGGATCTTGTTCAAAATCATTTATTTTCATTACCAAAAATCTTACAATCCCAATCCAAAGAATCCTTCAACAATTATCAAGCTTCATTTATAAACCAAGTTGCCCATGAAGTACCTGAATTTATGATTTTACCTCATCAAATTTATGGAACAATAACACCTGAATTAAACTCTCAAGTGGAGCATTTTTCATACTTGGCTGATACACATGAACAAGTATTCGCTCACAGGCTATTGGAAACTTCAAATAGGGAACCAGCATATTATGAAACAAAACATATGGAAAAACCTGGGGAATACTTTGCTGAAAATATCAAATATTTACATTTTTCTGATGCACCTGTCCCTAAACCTTGGTTCAAACAACGTCCAGATGCCGAGTATATGGGGTTCAGAACCCGTTGTGAAGCTCATCCAGATTTCCATGTCAAGGATGGTGGAGATACAAAGATTGTTGCACCAAAGCATAAAACTCCTGATTGTAGTGCTGGTGCCAAATGGGAAAGTGTTCATGCGTTGTTTAAAGACATTAGGAAAGAGGTTTGTGGATTGGATTTGGTGGTGACTAATGAGGACACGTATCATAAGATCATCAACTAGAGATGATTAAACATATTCAAAATTGTACATTTGCATTTCAATATTATTTATTCAGTACAATTGTAGTATATCACGTTTTCGCGAATGTGTTTTTTTTGTTTATTTTTGAGATTTGAACTTTTCTTGTTTTTTTTTATTTTTTCTCGAGCTTTTTTGTAAACAAGAAATTTGGAATTTGAAACGAGTTGATATTGAAGAATTTGATCAAAGAATTAGTTCATTACAAAGTAATTAGAACATCCACATCCAATATTAAGCATCAGAAATAATCACATCAATACCAAAACCATGGCTGCCACTTCTCTGCCCTCTTTAAACAAATCAACAAAAACGGATAAAGATGATTCCACTACAGCCACTTCCCAAAATGATGATTCCAAATCAACAACTGATACATCAACTAAATCAGATGGTAGCAAGATGCCTAGTATAACTTCAAGTTCAAAAGGTCTGCCAAAATTATCATCCTCTACTTCATCTTCATCTTCATTCCCAACTCCAACTATAACACCACCTTCTTCACATGATAATCCAAATATATCAAGATCAAGTGTCCCTTCAGGCACGGTATTTATTGCAGTTGGTGCAGTGGCAGGTTTCATATTTTTAAGTTTTATATTGGTCTTATTCATTAAGAAATTGATTGCAAAGAAGAATGCATCGAAAACATTAGCATTAGATAGTGAATCTTCATCAAACTATGGTGGTGGTGGTGAGAAGTTCAATGGAGGTAATGCTGGGTTTTATTCAACAACTTCAAATCTTAATCAATCATCTGTCAAGATCCCATTACTGTATGAACAACCAAATGCTGATAGTTCAATGAGTGATATCACTGGTTCATTCCTGAAACCTGAACAGAATTTATATTCAACTTTGGATAAAGATACTTCACAACAACAAAATAAAAGAAGATCCATGTTTGTTTCTCCAACTGCAGAAGTTATGAATTTTAATAAGAATAAAACTCATTCAAGATTCCTAAGCACAGGTGCTGGAAGTTCACATACTAGAGATCATAGTAATTTGAATATTAATGATAATTCAGTACCTGATTTAAGACATTCAAGAATTGAATCTTTTGATACAAATACTGATATAAGATTAACTAGTCCTGAAAGAAGTCCACCAAGAGCTGCTAATAGAGGTCATAGAACAGTTCCAAGTCAATATTTGGAATCTATGTTTGAAGATTAATCAATACATGAAGGTTTATATTTATTACTAAAAAAAAACTATTATTTGTAACGTGTCTGTTTGTCTTCCCCTTTACATAATTATACAACTACCACCTTGATCTTCATCATCATCATTAGCACCCTTTGGCTTTGCAGTTAAAGCACATCTTGCAGCTTCTGTGAATGCTTCATTAACACCTCTATTCTTTTTAGCACTACATTCCAAATACCTTAACGCCCCGATTTTTTTAGCCATTTCTAAACCTTCTTCATAAGTTATCAAATTAGATCTTCCAGAACCTGAACCAACACCATTCAAATGTTCATCTTCATCTTCATCATCACCATCATCATTTCTTAAATCACATTTCAAAGCAACTAAAACTAATTTAACACCTTCACAATGATCAGCAATCTCACCAACCCATTTATTCTGTACATTCTCCAAAGAATCTTTCGAATCAATAGCAAAACACAACATTATCGTATGAGTATCTGAATAACTTAATGATCTAAGACGATCAAATTCTTCTTGTCCCGCAGTATCCCATAATGATAATTTTATTGGTTTACCATCAACAAATATATCATGGACGTAGTTCTCAAAAACTGTTGGCTCATAAACTTGTGGGAAATAACCCCTTGTGAAAACATTCAATAATGAAGTTTTACCAGCTGCACCATCACCAAGAATGACAATTTTACGTTGGACTAGATGAAGTTAGTATCTAACTAATGGTAATCAAGAATAGATGGTACTCACTTGGTTTTTTGGAACTACCACATAAAGGCATGATGTATTATAATAATATCTTTATGATAAATGCTTTTTGATTTTTTTTTCTTTGATATGATGCGAAATTTGAACAGGTATAATTGATTTGTAACCTATTTATATCCTAACAAGATGTCAAAAGAGGGTACCTAATTAATACGAATGGGGTTCTAGCAAGCAGCAAGTCTTTGAAGGAAAAGCAAAAATGTAGTATAGTACAAATGTCTTGAGTTGGGAAATGTTCTCTATTTATTTTTGTTGTTGTTGTTGTGGTTTTTTTTCGTTGTTTTGATTTTGGGAATGAAGCACCTGTCAATTCTCGACGTGTCACAGAAATTGGCACTGTTAAGGAAACGGTGAGGAATGTGGGTATGGGCTTAGAGAAGGTGTATAAATATATGATTGATTTATTTAATTTTGATTCTTTTCGTTGTATGAACATGTTTATTTCTTATTGTTGTTGTTATTTGTTGTTTGTGTGTTACTCTTTTATTACCGGATTAGGCAGTCTAGCATCAGCGTATGTTTGTTCAATCTGAAAATCTGAAGTGCTTTTGAAAATTCGAGACATAAAGACATGAATAAAATCAAGAAGGTGTCAAACAAGATTCAGATTCGCTTACAATAGATCTTGCTTTAGATTCATAACTGCTTTATTGGAAACATGGCTCCAAGAATTGGAAAGAGAAGTGCTAAAAATTCATCATCAAATCCTTTGGCTCAAAGATTAGATTCCACAAAGATCAAACCATCATCATCATCATCCAAAGACAACAACAACAACAATAACAAGAGAAAACCTTATGATTCAAATCCTTTACTAGCTCGTTTGTCTGAAATTGGCAACAGGAAATCATCAGGATCAAACAATAATTCAAATGAAAACCCTTTGGCTCAAAGAATACGAAATGGTAAATTTGTTCCACCATCAATAACAAGTCAAACTCAAGCATTACAAAATCAAAGATTAAGAAAATCAGCACCATCAAAGACTCCAGAGGGGAAAATCACTAAAAGATCTAAATCAGCATCTAACAACAACAATAATAATATACGGAATGGTTCCTCTAAAACAGTTCTAAAAATTAGAAATGCATCAAATCCAAATTTTTTAAAGATTAAAAATTTAGAATATGGTACAAATATTCGTGATTTAAAAGTTGTTTTAGAATCAATTGGTAAAACTAAAAGCATCAAAATTAAAGATTTAGAATCAGGTTCTGCATTAGCTGAAGTTATATTTGTTTCTGAAGCAACTTTAGAAAAAGCTCATACTCAATTAAATGGTGCTATTGCTGATGGTCGTACTTTAAGAACTGAAATAACTAGTGATAGTGAAATCTTCAATGGTGCTGTTGATTCATATCCAAATGGTCCAAGATCAATGAGAAGATGATTGAAATAATTTGTGGAGGGTTTCAAAATATTGTGATTTTTTTTATATTAGCATAAAAAGACATCGTTTTTAATAAGACATTTATGTATTATATTCATAAACAAGATGGTGTAGATCTAGATATCTATTCACACAGGTTTCAAACAAATCTCTGGTTGTTAAAGGTGTCAGAATTCTTTTGTACCCAATACACTTCGGATCGATCACTAGTGAGAAGTAGAAATAAGTGTTACACTGTATGAATACACTAAAGCTTTTTCAAATACCAATTAGACTAAACCAACCTAGAAGGAATGTTCCATAATCGCTCAATATCAATTGAATTACACCCGTGCTAAACAATTTCAACCCAAGGCGTGATTTTTTTCTCGAATCCAAATTAGGTACATGTTGTAGCAATCAAGACAAATTTATTTGAAACTTGTACGCTTTCATATAAAAAGAGGCAAAAATAATTTAATTTAGGGATCAATTGTTTGTTTGTTTGAAATCAAATCATTCTTCATTACAATGAGTTCAGGATCCATATTAACCCATAAAGTCGTCACCACTATTGCCCTGGTCTTATCCATCTATGGTAATATCAGATATGCCCTAGGCAGAGCACCAATTGAAAAGAACCCTGAAGATGATCCGTTCTTTAGAGTTGGATTCACCCCATTCACTGCAAACATCTTGGTTGTATTGATCTATTGGGGTGCTTTACACCTATTGCAAGTTAGTTTTGTCGTTCAATACTTCTTCCCAGAAGATCAACCTACAGAAAGAGCTCAAAGCTCCACAATTGGGAACATTTTACAAGGTGGCCAACCAACTCGTTTACAAGTTGCTGATCATGTTGGATGGCATTTCACTGTTTTCAACTTTTTGCACTTCTTTTGGACTCTATTATTTGTTAATGGTCACTACATTTGGTCAGAAATCTTTGTCATTTTAAATTTCTTCAATATTTTGACATTGTACGTTTCTCATAAAACTTATGCCATTAAACCATTTGCAAATTATACATTGATTCATATGTCCACTGCTGCTTTACCTTTTAGTTGGTTATTGTACTTGCTATTCTGGAATGGTGCTGTTGCTGTTGGTAGAAATGGGTTCGTTGCTCGTATCATTGCAAACATCTTTGTTTGGGACTTTTTACTAGTTCCAACTGTTTTGTTGATTCTTTACCGTGATTGGGCCGTTGGTTTCAGTTCAGCAGCTTTGCAATTGGCCTTAGGTTTGGGCCAATTATTCACCAAGATCTTTGCCTTACAATGGATCTTTGCATTCATTATTGCTGGTTTGTTATTTGCCTTTTCATTAGCTGTCATGAGTGCAGACTTGAGAGATTCAAAGAAATCAACCACTTCAACTGATGCTGAAAATGCACCATTGATCAATAACTAAAACCAATAAAAAACGAAAACTCTTCACAATATTGTGTATATGAGCAAAAAAACACACATCTTTTAATGATTATGTCTATATCTTTTGACCAGGTACGTGTAGATTCGAGTTCATTGCTCAGATTTTGTAATTGGTGCACATGGCTTGACCATTTTCATAATCAGTTCCTCTTTTAATTGGACCTTTGGCTTATCGTGAGCAATGGCTAGATATTCCAATAGCGCAGGATGACCAACAACTGAAGCATATGAATCTCTATGAACATTTGTCATCCATTCATGTTTTGTAGTGTTTGAATCTCCTAGCCCAATATGGCGACTCTTCAACTGGTCGTAAACTTGTTGTTCTCTCACTTTATCAGCCTAAACAGAAGCATTGTCAGTAACCATGACTCATTATAAAATACCAAACACACTCACCATTCTTTGTATACTTCAATCAATTTGTTTCTAAAACGAAAAGTTGAAGTAAATGTTCAAATTCTCGCGATCAAATTTTCTAAAGTGGCCGTTTCCAGAAATCTTCATCACTTTTTCCAGCGAAAGAAAAAATGAAAACATTGGGCACTATCAAATCAATTGGAAAGTCTGAAAACAACCAGGTCCAATCACGTTCTGCTCTCGAGATGTCACACGAAAACACTCCGCCTGTGCAGACTCCAGACGCTGAGATGGTCGATGCTGTTGCTGTTGTTGCTGCTGAGCCAGATGTCGATGAACAAGAGCTACTGCACCAGAAAAGACTGGAGTTGTTGAAGTCCCTAGATGTCACACCGACTTATAATTGGAAATACTTGACTGATGAACTCATAGAGAATTTGGATTCAAAGATTCCAGAATTGATAACCACTGCTACAGCTACACTAGATGAAGCAGATGATTTGTTTTATGAAGTGCTTTATAGCGCAAGATATTATAATGATAGAATATCTATTGAAAAACTGGCAACTATATTAGACAGTGCCTTTGAGACAAAGAATCAAGAATTCCCTTATAGGTTCCTTTCAATATTCAATAACTTTAACCTGGATGACCATATAATTGACTTGTTGAAAAGCTTAGATAAACTACCCTCAAAAGATATAGCTTCATATTTGGCAGATGATAAATTACTTATAAGATTGAATATCATTAAAGATTATCAAAAAAACAAAACAGATCATATCTTGGGAAATTACGTTGAACAGAAGAAATACAACTTGCTAATGGAATCCTCTGAAGGTTTTGCAAAAGTGGCGCTTCTGTTATTTGAAGCTATTGATTCAGAGTACAGTGCGTTCCAAATTGATTATACCGTGAATGCAATTGATAGATTGATTGGTCATTTTAGTTTGGATCCAATACGAGTCTTGGATGTGATTTTGGATATATTCACCAACACGATTTTATCAAATTATAGATTTTGTATTGATTTTTTGAGAAAATCTCAATGGTGGCCCAAAAATAATGAATCTGATAATTCAAGCTTGGAAACTTTAAATAAAGGTGGTAATAAAGAAGCTGCTCTTTTATTAGGAATAAAACTCAAACAATATCATGATGCCTTATCAAAAGATGTACCAGAAACGTTTAAAATATTAATTTCAATATTGATCAAAGAGGGGTTCATTTCATTTGGCGATGTGGTGAAATATTTAGCACCTGATGATAAAGTTATGAATGCATTAGAAGAACAAATCAAAAAAAATATTGATGATGAAATTTTCAAGGCATCTGCAAGTGCTTTAGCATTAAGTGGTCCTTTAGCTGATGATGAAGACGATTCCGCCAAAAAAGATGGATCTAAAGCAAAATCAACATTGTCAAATAATTCCAAAGAAGATACAGAGCAAAAACTGAAAACTTTAAACCAAAAGCTACAAATGACGAAATTGTTCCTAACAGTCGGTTTATATTGGCCATCAATTTATATGTTGACAAAATATCCATATTTGGTTCATGCTGATAGTGATTTTATTCCTTTGATTTTGAAACTATTCAACGTGATGGTTGAACCATTGAAGAAGAAAGTTTGTCCCCTAAATGCTGAGGAAACCAAAGAGTTGAGAACTGAAAAACCAACTCCATTTTCAAGAAGAACTACTGCCAATGATGCCGTTGAGTTTGAAGAGTATATTTATAACCATGTTGAGCTTTTAAGACCATTGCATCATGATCATACAAATAGAAAATTTCACTTCTTTTACCATGAGTGGTCAACTGGATTACCAAGTATTACCACAACTGAAGAACTTTTTAAATGTTCTGCAGAATTGCTAAGTTTTGTTGGAGCTAAAATTGGCGAGACACCAGAACTTATCACATTATTATCAAGAATTGGTGTTGATGATTTGAACACAGCTGAAGGTTCTGAAAATTACGAAGAGAAACTAAACTTGTGGTTTGAATATTTTAGAAAGTACATATTCCCTGCTTCTACTGCTTTAACTGAAAACTCAATTACAACTTATGATATTTTTGAATTGTTAAAGAAATTCCCACTTCAGAAGAGATATAATTTATATGGTGATATGGTTAATAACATTTCCAAAAACAACAACATTGTTAGATTGAATTATTCAAAAGCTGAAAAACAAACTAAGGATGTTTTGAAAAGAATCACCACTGAAAATGTTAAACCAATGATGAGAAGATTTGCTAAAATTGCATTTGCAAACCCAATTCCTTCATTTTTGGTTATTGTTACCCAAGTTGAAAGTTATGATAATTTGAGTAATTTGATGGTTGAAGCTGCTCGTTATTTCACTGATTATGCTTGGGATGTTTTACCTTTTGTTTTATTGATGAGATTGACTGCACGTCGTAATTTTATTCAATCAGATGGTATGAATGAGGCTCAATGGCTTCAATCTTTGGCTACTTTTATTGCCAAACTTGGTAAAAATTATGCACCAATGAATTTAACTCCAATTTTGACATTTATTATTAAAGATTTACACAAGAGTAATACAATTGGTTTAACTATTTTGAGAGAAATTGTCAATCAAATGGGTGGTATTCAACAAAGTTCAAATTTATCTGCTAATCAAATCAAGTTGCTAAATTCTGGTGAAAGTTTACAAAGAAGTATTAATAAAGTGATTTTTGATACAAGAGAAGAATGTGTTAAACCAGCATTAAGGTTATTGAGTCATTTGATCAATTCTAATCAATTGTCTGAATTGTTCATCTTGTTGTGTCGCTTCCATAGTGAACTTATAGAGAGAAGTGATGATTTTGCTCATTACAAAATTCTTTCAAATCAAAGTGATGAAATCACATCAGTTTTACATACATATATTGAATTGATTAATTACTTTCTCAGAAATGACACTGAGCTTTTCAAGAAAAATGTTATTGATTTGTCAGAGTTGGTTACAAAGTATGGTGTTGAAGTGTCTTGGGCATTTGAACTTTGGAGAAAAAATGTTAGCTTAGAAATTGCTGATCAAATTGAATATGCCGATGTTGACTTTGAAACATTAAACAAGGACCTATACACATCTTTTTGGAAGTTATCATTATATGACATAAATTATGACAAATCGTTATATGACCACGAAGAGCAAAGATTGAAAGATGCCAATACATCTATTGTTGACCACCTCGAAAGATTAAGAAAAGAGAGGTTTACTCTTGAGGTTGAAACCAAAGAGCTGAAGTTGAAAAAGGAAAAAAGATTTAATGATGAAGTTCTTGCTAAAATCCCAGAAGATGATGAGGCTCATAAAACTCATTCAGAAGAAATCTTGAAAAATATCGAGGAACGTCTTGGTAATTGGGTCAACGAAGAGAATCCATCAACGGAAGAAATTCAAGCATTTTATCAATCCTGTGTTGTTCCTCGTGCTATTCATTCAGAAACAGATGCTATTTTTACTGGTAAATTCATTACATCGTTGCTTAAAGTTGATGTGAGTCAAAAATTCGTTGATTTGTTTTTAACATCAGAGGTTCTTGATACTTTAATCTATACAATCACTCCATTAGAAGCTGAAAACCTTGGGTTTTTCCTTGCTGAAATATTTAGATTCTATGAAGATGTCAGAAATAGTGAAGGGTTGTCGAATGAAGTCAAAGAAGTTATTTATAAATGGCACACAAATGCTTTATCAAGTATCAAACTGAATATTGAAAGTGAAAACTATATGTCAAGAAGAAATGCATTTACATTGTTGAAAAATTTGATTGATGTCTATCCAATTGTCGAAGATCATGCTGAACAAATTGTTGAATCGATTGAAAAAGTTTCTAATAGTGAAGAAAGAAAAGATTTGAAACTGGCTTCAGATGCTATTTTGGCTCATATCAAGTCACGTTCGAAAAAATGGATTCATTTATGGGATTTCTATTATTTCCCAGAAGAAGAGAAAGAAAAGGTGATTGAAAAGAGAAATCTTTTGTTAAAAGAAAGAGAAAACAAAATACTGGAGGCAAAACGTGCTGAATTGCTAAGACAAAAAGCTCAACGCGATGCTGAAATTGCAAGTCGTGCTCAAAGTCGTGCTCAGAGTAGAGCTGAAAGTCGTCCAGAAAGTCGTTCAAGTATTCGTCCAGAAGGTGAGGCTGAAATTCGTTTACGTCCTAGACTCCAAGAAGTTAAAGATGAAGATGGTGATGTCACAATGGCTGGTGATTCGGATAGTGAAGCCAAGGTTAAGACTGAAAGTGCTGGCAAATCAACAAGCTCTAATGTTATTTCTGATAGTAAACCTGCAGTGAAAGATGCTGGATCAAGTGCAATTGAATCCAAGGTAGACGATGAAGGAAAAGTTGATGATGAGAATATCGAGAAAGACAATATGACCAAATTGAAGGTAGAAGAGAAAGAAGAAGAAAAAAAGAAGAGAAGAATGAAGAAAAAGAATCTGTTACTATAAAGAAGGACGAAGAAGAAGAAGAAGAAGAAGGAGTGAAAGCGAAAAAGGAAATTGAGTTGAATGAGAAAAAAGAAGAAAAAGAATCTATCAAAGAGGAAGAAGCTGAAAGTGAGCAGTTGGATAAAATGACCATCAAATCCGAATTTGCTGAATCAACCCCAGAAGAGAAACAAAGTAGGGAAAATGGGGAAAGACCACAGGTAAAGGAAGAGAAAGGAAGACTTTTACCAAGCTCCAAAAACGTTGATACTTATATTCCAGGATCAGCATCTACTGAAAAATCTACTTCAACTGGAAATGATAGACCAAAAAGAATCTTTAAGGATGTTACAGCGTCAACACCATCTCCAAATCATGATAATCTACAAGAGAAAATTAGGAAAATTCAAGATGCTGTGGAACAGGGTTCACTCTCAAAGTTATTAGATGCAGTTAAGGATGATGAACTGTATGTTGGGAAGATAAACGATGCTTCAAAAAACTCCAAGAGGTTTAGAACAGATCTTAAAAATATATTGATTTCATACATCAACCAAATCATTCCTCGTTCTCACCCAATGCATGTCACATCAGTGAAAAGAATTCAATATGTTTTGGAGAGACATCCACCACCTTCAAGAGACCCGGAATCTAGACCAACAGGGCCAGGTGTAAAATCCAGAGTTCCTCTTCCACCTCAACAAGCAGTGTCTGGGTTTACCAATAAACCAAATGACAAATGGGGAATGGACAGTAGAGCTATGCAGTTACCTTCAGGACCCTCAAGTCAGACATCAACACCTGCTCGTCCATACGGTCAAGGATACCGCCAGCCTAGTCGTCAAAATACTAGCATGCCAACAAGCTCAGGCTCTGGTAGACTTGTTCCACCACCACCACCACCATTCCCACCACCTTCAAGAGATTTAAATGCAGGCTCCAAAAGAGATTCATATAGCTCTGACATGAGTAGAACAAGAAGCTCAGGTGATCATGGTTACAGAGATAAAAGACAAAGAAGAGCTTAGCTATTGCATTTGTAAATGTACTATTTTCATCTTAATTAAATAATGGTTTAATGTATTTTACATTTTAAACGTAGTCTTCCTGAACGGCCGTAACCGGCCTCCAGATGTGTTTCCCTTTGCGAAAACTAATAATAGACGATCCAGCCTTTTTTAAGCTGTAGGCTTAGTTGATAACCGTTTTTTCATGACCTGCTACACATCTGAATAAAACTGACATAATTTCCCCTGATCAAAATAATGCACTGTTCAGGTAATTGAAAAGACAATTATGGAGTTCAGTTCAGCTAAAGGGATATTAGTAGTTGATCCAATAGAGGCCAGAAATATTTGCATCAAGCGAGCATCTTCAAATGTCTACTGTCTCTTCCAAATTGACAATAGAGTCTATCGCTCAAAGACAACAGCCTTCAAAGTCCCTAGTTTACCCAGATGGAAAGAGGACTCACAATGCAGGTTTGATATTGATCCAGGTGTAACGCCATTGCTCAAAGTGTTTGTTCTTGAAAAGACAAATGGCCTTCCTTTGGTTGTTGGTAAAGGGGAATTAAACCTAATCGATATATTCTATGAAAAGAAATCAGATAGATGGGTGAAACTTTCACCAATGGGTCAACTAGACTTAGAGCTCACGTTTTATCAAGCAGCTCCAATGCTACCAAGAAAGACTCTTCCCAACCCAAAAGTGCCCCCAAAACATCCTCAGAGAGAAGGTGAAATAAAAGAAAACTTAAAGCAGAAGGTATCGTCTGTTGATCAGGTCTTCGAGGAAGAAAATAGAGAAGAGAGACATCGTCTACGGCAGCTTGCCAAAAAAGTGAAACGAAGATACAGAGAATCAAGATCAAGTCGAGAGTTTGTGATGAAGGAACAATTGAAGAAGATGACAAACGATGAGTTATTGTATGTTGAGGTGAACCAGAAGATTGAAAAAGCTTTACCAGATGTTCCAGGGGATGATTCCGTGAAAATAGAAGAGAATATCCCTGATATTAATGTGCTATCTATTGACACTGAAAGTATTTCACAGATCGACTTGAATAAATTACCATTTTCTGCTGATTCCATAGGTACACACATGATTACAAAACTTGATGAATTGAAAGCTCAACAAGAAAAACAAAAAGAAGAAGATTCCAAAAAGATGTATACTCCACTATCCACTGAAGCCTTTTCAATTATATCAAGACTGGAAAGAGGTCGTGCTAGACCAAAAGACTTGCAAGTTGAAGGAGGAGCATCCGACTATAAAGGTGATGGTACTTGGGGTAAAGGTAGATTAACTGATGCTGCTTATACAGGTGAAAGACCCAGACTTCCTCCTAAAATTCCATATGGGATGAATGCTGAGGAGTACTACATGCTACAGAGAAGAGAATATGTTGACTACTTCAAAACAGTAGTTTAATGAGATACGTTTCAATATGAATACATTGTAGTCTTGACGGCCTCACTGTATTTTCGCGTTTCTTCCCTTGAGGGTCACATGACAAAAAATGTTTGTTTACAAAAAAAAATATGAAATTGTCAACAAAACTTTGATCTAAATTTTATTCACATCAAGGAAAATCTCCAGTTGATCCGTTATAATACTAGAATATGTCACATTTCCAAGGGAACACTGGTACACTGATTATAGTTGTTGCTAGAGCTAAAAATCTGCCAAATCGCAGAAAAATGGAGAAGCAAAATCCATACTGTTTACTGCGTATATCCAACTTGACAGATAAAACTAGAGCTGACATACGAGGAGGTCAAAATCCACTTTGGGATGAAGAATTCAGATTCAACATTTCACCAGAAGTCCAACCGATACTGAAGCTTTCCATTTTGGATGAAACTAAAAAAGCCCCAGTGCTGGTCTCAGAAGCTGAAATAGATTTCACTCCAGTGTTTTATTCCTCGGTGAAGGAAGGATTTGATAGATGGCATCAATTGAAAGCTGGGAGTCGAGAAGCTGGTGAAATTTACTTGGAAATGACATTCTATCCATTAACGTCTGGGTTTTCATCAAGTCAAATGAGCAAATCAAGTAAAGCCCCACTAGTTAGAAAAAGAGACCTACCTGCAGTTCCTGGTCAAGAAACCAAAAGTGAATCAATGAGCGCACCCGCAACCACTATACCACCTCCACTTCCAAGAGCTACTAGTCCAAGAGCTCTAGCATTTGATAGATTATCAAAAAGCGAATATGGTGGGGACATATCGCAGCAATTTCATCATTCAGATTCGTTTCGTCCTGAACAAAGAACAGATTTCAGTCGTTCACAAATATCAGTCAACTCATTACCAGATATACCATCACATAACAATGTTTTGAAGAATTTACCTCCCATTAACACAAATCCTCAACAAGAACAAAAAGCTGACTCATTCAGACAAAGCTTAGATCCTGGGAGACGGAATCAAACTTCTGATCTAAAGAATTTCGCTCAAAAATTAACAAGTAAATACAATCTTCCACTTCTGGGTTCAAATGAAGTTAACACACAGAAGAAGACATCAGATTCGTTCGATGAGTTAGAAAGAGAAGTGCAATCGGATTGGGTTAGAAACTATAGATCTGATAAACCAAGACCACCACCACTACCATCACATAGTCAAAATTCATTATCATCGGGATCAGGATCGCTTCCTCCACCTTTACCACAACATAGCTCTCACTCGTTGAAAAATTCTTCAATCAATCAGTACAATATAATAGAACCTGGAAATGTTTCACCAAATAGAAGAAGAAGTCCAGAAAGAAAAGCACCGGGAAACTTTTACAAAAGTGGGAGCAGCAGTCCAAAAAGATTGAACCTAAGCAGTTTGCCTTATGATTCTAATAGTATACCTACTCCTTCAACTCATTCTCCAAATATTGATAACTATAATGACAGAGTCACATCCTCAAAAGACGATGAAGTATTACTGGATAGACACAATGCTCCAACCCCATATGATTTATTTGTGCAAGATTCAATGAACAACTCTCAAAGTTCTTTTGGAAGAACATCTCCAACTCGTTTCAAAAGCTCATTACCTCCTGCACCTCCACCACATTGAACTGTCAAACCATGAATAGTAACGGACAATTTTCATTTTTTTGAAAAAATCTACGTTGTAGTTGAAAGATAAACAACCCGTGGGAATCGTTCTTTTCCTAATATACATATCCTCTTCTTTTTTTGCTATTAAAATGCAGCTTCATCATTATAGTCATCTTCGTCACCAAAATCTTCACCATCATCGAAATATTTCTCAGCATTATAATCATCATCATCCTCTTCTTCAAACTCATCATCCAGATTTTCTTCAGGTTCAGGTTCTTCATCTTTTTCATTTTCTTCTTCTTCCGCCATACCTTTAAGCCTCTCCAGAATTGAATTACCATCGTTCTCTAGATTATCTATAACTTCCTTAGAGTTTTTCAATTTGGATAAAGATAAAAGTTTTTTCTTCTTTTTATCATCAACTCCCATAACTTTATACAATTCTTGTGGGAAAAATTCAATAACATAAGGATGTTCATCGATAGATCTTCCAATTTTACGTTTCTTGATATATCTATCCGAATATCTCTTTATACCATCATTGATACCTTCTTCATCTATTTCTGATTTATCCTTGCTATTACTATCAAGTTCCAAGTTTGAACCAGTGTAAAATGGTCCATCTTTGATTGAGTTTTGAAAATTTATGAAATGGCCAGCAAAGATCTTCTCTATCTTGGAAGCGTTACCATTAACGGGTAAAGGTATTTGCTAGTTGAAATATAAGTTAGCTGTTATTCATATCCTTGCAGTGTTGATGATACTTACTGGTTTTTCATTCTCTATGGTTCCATTTGTTATATCACTATAGTCTAGACCAAAGGGTAGGTTACGCTGGAAACCACCACCTCCTCGACCACCAAAACTCATTTTGTATTTATGAAAGTCTGTATCAAATAGACGAGCCTCTATTCAAGAGCTTAACAGCAGTTTGATTTTAAATCTTTTGATGGATTGTGTTTACATTAGTAGAGCTTGAAATTTTTGAAGATTTTTGGATGTGCTGCACGTGAAGAAATGACAGTCGATGATGTCGAAGGATGAGATGAGCAAATAGGGTACACTTCTTGAAAAGTTAGGGACTCGTTAGAAGATACAGTCATCAAAACCCTGGGAAAATTGTCGATGGTTAAGTAGCTCTCTGTGACAATTAATTCAAAATTTGCTGTTATATCGAGAAATATCTACAAAAATCAACAATGAAAACCAAAACTTGATCAATAAACAATTATCCTAATCTTCTAACAAATCTTCAATATCTTTATCTTCATCAAGGGCTTGACCGTTTTGTAAGTTTTCAATTTGTTCTTGTAATATTTTCTCTTGTCTTTTAACATTACGTCTTGTCTTTTTACCCCAACCCCAAGAACCATCATCAAGGCCTGAAGCTTTTGCATTTGGATCATCGACTAAGTCTTCGATTCTTTCTTGTTCTTTTCTTTCAGTATCTTGTTTCAATTGGTTTTCTAGTTGACGGTTGGCCAAATATTTTTGAGCCACATTACGAATCAAAATGTAACCACCAACAATGACTGTCAATCTGATGGCTTTGTGGATATCTATTTCTTTCAAAGATTCTGGAATGTATGGGACTATTTTATCAATGATTTCTGACATGGTTATATGATGCTTGTGTGTTTTGTGTTCAGTTTAATTATGAATGTTGATGAATTATTAATACCGAGATGTTTTTGATTAATTATCTATGAATGAGCTAGAAACTTTGTTGATGAAAAATGATTAGTTATTATTAGAATGCAGATTGGCAACAAAGTGTTCACTAGTGACTTGAATCTGGCCTTTACTTCGTATCAAATAAAAGTGAGGTTGTTGTGAAGTTTTGAAGAGAAGTTGAAATGGTTAAAACGGTGAGTTTTTTACAACGGCCGAAGAAATTCAAATTTCCTCGAGAAATTGTTCGCTACAGGCCTTATCAAGATTCAACACTCTGAGAGAAAAAACGTCAATTCTTATATTTCATCATCATCGTCATCGCTAAATAATGATTCCTCTGGGAAATCTCCTTGTTCGATTTGAGCTGGTTTCAAAAAGCCACCGTAGTTTGGTTTAGCTTTGAAATATGGAACTCCCTTTAGAGATCCATTATTCTTTCCAACAGGCTCATCAAACTCAACACCAGCCCAGATTGATTCACCATCAATCTCCGGTACTTTACCAACATACCTTATAGTTCCTCTTCTCTCCCCATCTTTATCATTCACAGTACGAAATCTGGAACCCACAGATAATTCAGCAGCTTTAGATTCATTAAGTTTCTTTAGCTCTTTCTTTTTGGCTGTAAAACTTGGATCAAATCTACCTAATTTGTTTTCTTGCTTCCATTTTCTAATAGAGTCTGATCTTTTTTCATAATCTTCATCTTTAAGCTCGAAAAATTGACCTTCATCATTCTCCAAGTCTTTCAAATCCGATTCTGGTCTTGTATCATTTACTTGAATTCTAGCAGATGATGAGATATTGAATTGTGAAAGGATTATAGATTCTTCACCTTGTGGCGATGATGCTTTTAAGTCCTTGGCCTCAGTGGAAAACGAGTTGGTGAATAACAGTAGTTGTTGATCAGCTGGTGGGATACCTGTTATTGTCTCTAGTCTTTGTTTGAAATATTTCAGCGTCCAATTTGGAGAAACCCTTCTCTCAGAATTGGTCAAAGAAGATGTAATTTGTACGGTAATATCACTCATAATTGTAGAATAGCACTCTTGACCAGAATAATGTAGCAAAATGGAAAGAAAAGATGAATCTTTTGAAAAGTAAACATATAAATAAATGTGATATACATCTCGCGTCAGACGCGAACTTTACCCGGAAGAGATCCATTTCGCGAATTTTTCTGAAAGAAAACATCAAAAAACACTTTGAAGCCAAAATTGTTCAGTTAATAGCAGCACTGAAGCATCAATTATAGAGCAAAAGATGAGTGAAAGAGTATGTTATTCTGTGCGAAGTATAATGAGGAAATCATGTCACTAACTGTGTTGTTTTAGAACCAACAACAAGGTCAACAAGACAGACAACAAGGGAGAAGAAGAAATCAAAATCAACAAAGAGAGAAACCAGATGGTCCAAAAAGAGATCTTATACTAGAGTTATCCAGATTCCAAGATAAGAGAATACGCGTGAAGTTCACTCACGGTAGACAAGGTATGTTTGGGCGATGAAGTGATCTCTTTTATTGGCTCAATTTATACTAACATGTAACAGTCACTGGTATTTTGAAAGGTTTTGATCAATTGATGAATTTGGTGCTTGATGATGTTCAAGAAACTTTAAGAGGTGAGTAAGGTTTTAGTGTTGCCATACAATCAATTACTAACTTTTATTTTAAACAGACCCAGAAGATGAAAGTATTTTGACAGAAAAGACCAGAGACTTGGGTTTAGTTGTTGTGAGAGGCCCATTATTATTGACAATAGCTCCAGTTGATGGATCAGAGGTTATTGAAAACCCATTTGTACAACCACAAGAAGAATGAATGTTCTGTAACGATTTTTGAGATGGGTATTAATTGTAAATTATTGTATTTATTGTTGAGTTTAAAAAAGCCTAAAACAACCAGAACTTCACAACAGTAACAGCACCTGACACATAACCAACGATAACACTACGTCAAACTACTCATATCAGCCTTCATAAACCCATTTCCTAAAGGCTATATGACATAATTAACCACGCCGAAGTGTTCACCTTTGGGCTCGACATCCCAACACCACTATGTTAATGTCCCGACGGTTTTGCACAGGCGATGAGCTGATAAAGAAATTTTTCTTTGGGAGATTTTTGATATCAAGAAAGTTGGCTTTGAACTTTAGTTTTTGATAAGTTCAGATCAAACCCTATTGTTTTCACAATCAGTGGATACCAAAGTATTTATACCATCTGTAAACCCACCAGACATCAATCGTGAATTCATTGAAGGCATTTTACATCATAACAAAAATTTTCAATCACAATTACTCATAAGCAATGTCAACTGAAGAATACAAAAACGTCCTTTTATTACCACAAACCAACCAATTATTAGGTTTATACTCCATCATCAGAAGTAAGGAAACTCGTCGTTCAGACTTCGTTTTCTACTCAGATCGTATCATCCGTTTATTAGTTGAAAAGGGTTTAGATCAATTACCAGTTGAAAAACACACAGTTGAAACTCCTTTGAATGTTGATTATGAAGGTGTCAAATTCTTGGGTAAAATCTGTGGGGTTTCCATTGTTAGAGCTGGTGAAAGTATGGAACAAGGTTTAAGAGATTGTTGTAGATCTGTTAGAATTGGTAAGATCTTGATTCAAAGAGATGAGGAAACCGCTTTACCAAAATTGTTTTTTGAAAAATTACCTGAAGATATCTCAGATCGTTATGTGTTTTTATTAGACCCAATGTTAGCTACTGGTGGTAGTGCTATGCTTGCTACTGAAGTTTTGATTTCAAGAGGTGTTAAACCAGAAAGAATTTTCTTCTTAAACTTGTTGACCAGTCCAGAAGGTATTAAAAACTATCATTCAAAATTCCCAGAAATTAAAATCATTACTGGTGGTATTGATGAAAAATTAGATGACAAAAAACGTTTAGTTCCAGGTTTAGGTGATTTTGGTGACAGATACTATTGTATCTGAGCTACTTTGATACAACTAACAACGAATGTCATGAAACAAAAATCTCTATAGCTATGCATTAATAATTTTATTTTTGTCATCATTGTGTGTACATTTAACGAGGATGCTGTAACTTTATTATCATCATAGACACTTTGTATGAATCAAGTCAGGGTTCTCTTCCCATTCAGCCTTTGAAACCCACATCTAAAAAAGAAAATTGTTAGTAAACATCACAAACAGACTAGAAAAATTACTCACTCTTCTAAAAGTACTCAACCCTGCAAGAATAGAACCACCTATCCATGTACTATATTTTCTTTCTGGTGGTGCAAATATCTTTATCTTTGTACCCTTTGGTGTCATCAATTTCAACTCATTGATCAATCTATCCCCAAAACCTTTCAATAATGTTGTACCTCCACTTAGCACTATACTTTGGTATAATGAATTTCTTAAATCCAAATCAACTTTATTTATTGAATCGAAAACCATCTCTTGAACACCTGGAAATTCTGAACCAATAATTTCTGGTTGGAATAATATTTCACTAGATCTGAATCTTTCAGCCCCCACTTCAATTGTTTTACCATCTGGCAATTTATATTGTTCAGTATTCTTATTACCACTTTGTGCTGTTTCATAATCAAATACTGATGATAACCAATCTTTTTCATCTTTTTTAGGATCTAGTGAAACATAACATGTTTTCTCTTTTATGAGACGTACTATTTCCTTTTCTGCACTTGTTTGTAAAAGATAACCATTCTTTCTTAATAATAATTGTAATTGTTCAGTGACATCTCTACCTGCAACATCTATTCTTTTTATGGCATTCGGTAGTGAGAATCCTTCATATACTGGAACAGAATGACTAACCCCATCACCGATATCTAGCACGACACCAGTTGTTCTTCCTGAAGCATATAATGCCAAAACCGCTTGAATTGACATATATAACGCTGGACAATTGTAAGTTTCAAAGAATATTTGTGCACACTTTTCACGATGTCTTTTGGGGTTTAGTGGAGCCTCTGTCATCAAAACAGGATGATCTTCAAGACTTGATTTTAGATCATTTTGTAGCACAGAAGACCATATCTGTTGCATTTCATCCCAGTTCTGTATTATACCATGCTCAATTGGATACCTAAGTCTTAATAGTCCTCTGTTTTCTTGTGCCTTATTTCCTATGAATGTATCACCTTCAAGAGCACCAGCCATCACTTTTGAATATTTGGGCCATCCTATTCTGGGAAAGGTTAATATCAAGTTAGATTATTTATGAGATGATTAAACATACATAGCTGGAGCATGGGTCTTTGGTTTTTCTTCACCTGCAAAACCTGCCTTGATTGTACCAGAACCCTGTAAATACGCGTTAGAAATTGCAATAAATGGTAATAAAGACGCGTGAAAACTCACATTGTCTATGACAATAGGCTGGTTCAAAAGTAAGGAAGCACCTTCACTGGCCATATTAATCCTGTTGAGAGTATTGAATCAGTTTGTTTACTTTGTTTGATGATCTTATGTTTATATTTCTGATGCGATCTCTCACATTTGAAAAATCAGTCACGTGAATTTAAACGGAAACATATCACACTACGTTTGAGCTTACCATCAAAAACAAACTATTTATAAGAGTATATAATATTTCACTTACTTAACCTAATGCTGACGGTTCGAGAAATCCTGAAGTTGAAGTTGATTTTATTGTATTATTCAAAGTTGAAACAAAATCCGAATTCTTCAAAGGTCTCACTTGAATATCCCCCTCTGTAATCTTTTTACCATTTTTGAAATTGTATTTAATGTATTCTCTCATTGAATTCATAGCAGCATCCCTACATAATTCTTTCAAATCTGACCCACTCAACCCATCTGTTTGATAAACCAATTTATCAAGATCAAATTCCCTTTTATCAAGCTCTGAATCTTTCAACAATATTTTCAAAATACGTGTTCTTTGTTCAATATTTGGTAAACTTACCGAGAACCTCTTTGGCATTCTTCTCATGAATGCAGAATCTATATCATTTGGTCTATTTGTAGCACCCAACACCAATATTCTACCACTTGAAGTTAACCCATCCCATAATGTCATAAATTCAGCTTTCAACATCGCAGTCACTTCATGATCCATTGATTGTCTTTCCCTGAGGAATGAATCAATTTCATCAATGAATATAATACAAGGTTGTAATTTTTCAGCTAATGAGAAGATTGCATCAACCATCTTGTTTGATTCACCATACCATTTATCCATTATTGAGGACATACGAATAGATATGAAATTTGCACCACTTTCTTTTGCTAAGGCTTTGGCAAGCATGGTTTTACCACACCCTGGTGGGCCATATAATAATACACCTTTTGGAGCTTGTAGTAATGATGAATGAGTAAATAGTTCAGGTCTGTTGTTTGTTAGAAAAGCTCATTGGTGATTTCTCTCAAGTAATACATACACTGTCAATGGATATAGAATACTTTCTCTTAATTCATCTATTATTGTTTCTAGTCCTCCAATATCTATAACCTTTAGTTAATATTCAACTTCTCCACTATATCCAAAAACTTGCACTCACCATTAAATTTAACATCTATTTCAAAAGGTGTCACGACAGACGCCAAAACTGCATTTTCATAATCATTCAAATCCAATTTCAAGTCTGGATTCAGCTGCTTAAGCCTTTGTAGAGAAGCATTTGCCTTCTTCTTAGTGTCTGATGACTTAGCTGCAGGTCCTTCTTGACTCAATAGATGATTCATCATATAATATGCCGATATGGATGCACCCACAAAGAGGGCGATATCTGTCACCAATTTGAGATCTATCTTAAATTTTGACATGCTGATAATTCTTGAAGAAGCCAGTTTTCTTTGCAAGTTATTCAATATTACTTCTTGTTGAGTTTATTGATTTTGCCTTTTTCCCAAAATTCAGAGCATGGGGAGATTCGAGGGTTACACCTCGGTTTGTGAAATGCATACAAAAAAATTTATATAAGCGATGAGGTGAAATATTTACACAACGAGTTATCGATTATTAGTGCAGACAGAGCTCAAATAGCCAAGATGAGAGGCCAGAAGAGAAGTAACGATGAGAGACATGGGATCAGACTTCCCGGTACCTTGCTTGATGAAATGAAGAAGGATACAACAAGTGAGTGGAGTGTATTTTCTTAAAAATGAATAGAGACTAACATCTTCTAGATGATAACGATGCTAGGTACAATTTTGGTAATGTTGATTACTCCAAGAAGAGAAAAGTTGGACCATCAAGAAAAGAGGCTCGTAAACAAGAAAGAGAGGCAAAGAAACAGCGTGAACGCCAGCAGAAGGTTAACGCATCAAGAAGAAAATCTCTTGAAAAGAAATCAAAACCAACTAAATCAAAGTCAAAATCAAAGAATAAACCATCTCCAACTAAAGCAACCACTGAAGTTGAAGAAGAGGAATTTCATGGATTTGATGATGAAGATGCCGATGAAGAAAATATTGGTTTAGATGATGATAGCATAAGTGAAGGTGATTTCGATAGTGACGTTGATTTAGATGAAGAGTTTGACGAAGAAGATTTCGATGATGAGGAAGATGATGGAGAGCCAATGAATGCAGAGGATACCATGAAGGCATTGATGGCTTTGAAAGCCAAAAAGGCTAAAAAGGAACCAACTACTGCAGAAGATACAATGGCCATGTTGAAAGCAGCCAAAGAGAAAAAGAACAAGAAGGTTGAAGAACCAACCAGTGCTGAAGAGACAATGGCATTATTAAAAGCAGCTAAAGAGAAAAAGAAGTCTAAAGAGGTGAAACCAAAAGAGAAGAAAAGTAAGAAGGAAAAAGTTGAAAGATATATTTCTCCCGATGATGAAAGACTGATGAAAAGAGATGAAGATGATATGAAGTATTATGCAAAAAAGTTGGGATTGAAGAGTACGAAAGTGAAAGATAGCAAAGGTGATGGATTAGATGATATACTTGATGGCTTGGACTTTTTGGATAATTATGGTTCTGGTGCTGAAAATTATGAAAGTGAAGGGGGTGAGGATTTAGAAGACATTGAAGAAGAGGAAGAGGAAGAACAAGTCGAAAATGATGATGAAGATGATGAAGATGCTGAAGGTGATCAAAATGGTGAACATATTGACAACCCATTCTCCTCTGATGATGAAATCAACTCTTCAGATTTCGATTCAGACATTGATGTTACAGATGAGGAAGATGAAGGTGATGTTATGAGACCAGCACCAAAGGAAAACCCATATGTTGCACCAGTTCAAGCAACTTCCAAGTATATCCCACCAGCTTTACGTCAACGTTTACAAGCTGGTGATTCTGAAGAAATCTTGCGTATCAAAAAATCCATTAAAGGTCCATTAAACAAACTTTCTGAAGCTAATGCAATGACTATTATTAATCAGATCAATTCAGTATATTCTGAGAATCCACGTCAATTAGTTACTGAATGTTTGACTACTGTTGTTTTGGAAAGTATTATTCAACAAGCATCATTATTGGATCAATTTGTTATCCTTCATGCTGGGTTAGCTGCTTCTATTTACAGATTACAAGGTGTTGAATTTGGGGCACATTTCATACAAACTTTAGTTGAGAAATATGAATCATTTTATAATGAAGGTCGTTCTAAAGAAGCTGGTAATTTAATTTCATTATTGACTGCATGTTATTCATTCCAAGTTGTTAGTTCAAAATTATTGTACAATTTGATTGAAAAATTAATTGAAGAAACATCAGAAATAAATTCTGAATTGTTGTTAAGATTAGTTAAAAACGCAGGCCAACAAATGAGAAATGATGATCCTAATGCCTTGAAGGAGATTATCATTACATTACAAAAAAATATTGCAAATCAAGAGATTAATGCCAGAACAAGATTTTTAGTGGATACTATTACAAATTTGAAGAATAACAAGACAAAATTCAACAATGAAGTTGCTATGCAATTGGTTACAAGAATGAAGAAAGTTTTAGCCACTATCAACAATAATAAGTTCCATGATCCATTACACGTTTCATTAGATGATATCCATAATATCAAGACTAAAGGTAAATGGTGGTTAGTTGGTTCAGCATGGAAAGGTAACAATGCTGCTGATCAGAAGGATGAAGTCTTGGTGAATGAAGATGAAATGAATGATATTTTGGATAACGCAGAACCAAATTGGATGGAGTTGGCTAGATCTCAAAGAATGAATACAGATATTAGAAGAGCTATTTTCATTAGTATCATGTCTTCACAAGATTTCATTGATGCTTTCACAAAATTGGATAAGTTGAAATTGAAAAAGTCTCAAGAACGTGAAATTCCAAAGATTTTATTACATTGTGTTTCTATAGAAAAAGTTTCCAATCCTTACTACAGTTTCTTGGCCAATAAACTATGTTCATCTCATAGTTTAAGAAAGACATTACAATTTTGTTTCTGGGATTTCATAAGAGAACTTGAAGGTGATGAAGATGATCAAGACGATGAAGATTATTTCAAAAACTTGAATAGTGATCTAGTTGGTGAAGATGATGACTTCCAATTGCAAAGAGTTGTTAATGTTGGTAAATTCTTTGGTTATTTAGTTGCTGAAGGTACATTACCTTTGCATTCCTTAAAGAATATCAACTTTTTGACATTAAATTCAGATTCAAGTTTGTTTATTGAAGTTTTGATGATTTCATTTTTTGATAATATTGGTAAGAAATCAGAAGTTTCAACATTCGGTGCTGGGTCTAAAAAATCTAAAGCTAGTGATTTAAAATTCCAAGATAATTTGTTGGTGAGTGTATTGGCCAAATGTGAGACTCAAAAGGCCATGATGAGAGGGTTGCAATACTTTTTGCAAGAGAAAGTCAAGAGTAGTGATATCATCAGTGGAAGAAAACAAAAGAGAAGGGTTGACTGGGGTGTTGACTGTTTCTGTGACATAGCAGATGAGTTTTTAAAATAGAATTTAATGCATAATCAGTAGTTTATAGCTTATACATTTGTATTGTGATTACTCAGCTTACACTCACTGCTTAGTCAGTATTTTTTTTCCGGATTTCTCTTTTCATCAGTTGATGCTGACAAAAAGAAAGCAAAAGCAGAGGCCCCGTGGAAGCGGGACACGCTCCTGCTTCAGCCTCGTGGCGTTTGTAGGGGCTCACTGCCAAACGCTCCCTCCGAAAGCGCAACAGGACGCCCACGGAATCGTGAAAAAGTGGGACTGAATTCTTTAGCGATGGGCTCTATCACGATGGGCCCATCTCTACAACGCTAACCACTCAGAATTGAGTTTACACTGGTCCTTTCCTCACATAAAACCAGGTCCATTCGGTAGCGATGACTCCAGCGAGTCGAGTTATCCAACTTTCCCCTGGAATTCCCCTTCTTTTCAGCCTGATATCCCAGTTTCCACTTGTAATCTTTAGGACTTCTCTTCACCGTTGATGGATCCGGGTAAAAATGGGTGGTTGAGAATTGTCGCCCTTCGTCTTGGAAACAAAAACATTTCTACATCTTTTGATAAACTGCTTGAATCATCTTGTAACTGATTTGATATAGTTTAATATACTGACGTTCTTTGTTTGATTCAAGTTTTGTTGGTTCACCTGAGACTCGTTACTTTTCATTTCATATTCACATTTCAAAACAATGCTCAGATCAGTCTCTTTACGTCCTGTCACTCGTATAGGAAGAACTAGCTTCACTGCTATTCGTACTCTAGCAGATGCTGCTGCCAGTGAGTAATTGAAATAATTCATCCTTGGGAAACTCTACTAACCCATTCATTAGAAAAACATGATGTTGTTGTTATCGGTGGTGGTCCAGGTGGTTACGTTGCTGCCATCAAAGCTGCTCAACTTGGATTTGATACCGCATGTATCGAAAAAAGAGGTAGATTAGGTGGTACATGTTTAAACGTTGGTTGTATTCCATCAAAAGCTTTATTAAATAACTCACATCTATACCATCAAATCAAAACCGATACCGCTAAAAGAGGTATTGATGTTGGTGATGTCAAATTAAACATGGCAAATTTCCAAAAAGCTAAAGATACCGCAGTTACTCAATTGACTTCAGGTATTGAAGGTTTATTCAAAAAGAACGGTGTCAAATACTACAAAGGTGCTGGTTCTTTTGTTGATGAACACACCGTTAAAGTCGCCGCCATCGAAGGTGGTGAAGATGCTACTGTTCAAGCTGATAACATTATCATCGCTACCGGTTCAGAAGTTACTCCATTCCCAGGTATCACCATTGATGAAGAAAGAATCGTTTCATCTACTGGTGCTTTAGCCTTGAAAGAAGTCCCAAAGAAATTAGCCATTATCGGTGGTGGTATCATTGGTTTAGAAATGGGTTCAGTTTACTCAAGATTAGGTTCAGAAGTTACTGTTATTGAATTCCAAGATGCTATTGGTGCTTCTATGGATGGTGAAGTTGCTAAAGCTACTCAAAAATTCTTACAAAAACAAGGTTTGAAATTCAAACTAGGCACCAAAGTGTTGAGTGCATCAAGAGATGGTGAAACTGTTAATATTGAAGTTGAAAACGTTAAAAAGGGTGCTAAAGAACAATTAGATGCTGATGTTTTACTAGTTGCTGTTGGTAGAAGACCATACATTGAAGGATTAAACGCTGAAGTTTTAGATTTGGAAGTTGACAAGAGAGGTCGTCTAGTTATTGATTCACAATTCAGATCAAAACATCCACACATTAGAGTCATTGGTGATGTTACATTCGGTCCTATGTTGGCACACAAAGCTGAAGAAGAAGGTATTGCTGCCGTTGAATATATTAAAGAAGGTCATGGTCATGTTAATTATGGTAACATCCCATCAGTTATGTACTCTCATCCAGAAGTTGCTTGGGTTGGTCAAACTGAAGAACAATTAAAAGAAGCTGGTATTAGCTACAAAATTGGTAAATTCCCATTCTTAGCCAACTCAAGAGCTAAAACAAACTTGGACAGTGAAGGTTTTGTTAAATTCTTGGCTGATGCTGAAACTGAAAGAGTTTTAGGTGTTCATATCATTGGTCCAAATGCTGGTGAAATGATTGCCGAAGCTGGTTTAGCCTTAGAATACGGTGCTTCAACTGAAGATATCGCAAGAACTTGTCATGCCCACCCAACTTTATCTGAAGCTTTCAAAGAAGCTGCTTTAGCTACTTTTGGTAAACCAATCAACTTTTAAGAAGTTAAAGAGGAAAGATTAATAAAAAGAGCAAAGGAAAAATAAATGAAAAAATAAAATTTGTCATAAATTTTTTTATAATGAGGAAAAAGTTTTTGGTTTGAAGAATCCTTTTCCAAATAATGATTCGGTTATGGTTGATTTTCAATGTTGATCATGACTTTTATTTAAGTGAATTATACATATATATAAATATGTTTTCAAAAGCGTAGACAAATACTCTAACATATCTGATTGAATTATACTTACATCAATATTCTGAATATACATAACAACTTTTTGTATTAATAAGGGTATCAAATAATATACAAATTTTAACGTCTTGTGTGCTCAATCTGAATCACGCTTGAACCATTTCTTAACAGAGAAACTAGGAGTGTGACCACCATCTTCCATTCTGTGTTTGGCTTCCAAAATTGAACGAGTGTATTTAGTGATCAAGAACCATGTAGAACCAACAGCTCTAAATGCAGCTAAAGCAGCAACTGACCACAAGATAAATGCTAAATATTTATTACTTGAAGTCTCAGTTGGTGAATAAATTTGTGAAACAATCATAACCAAGATCAAATTTGTGATTAACCAAGTTAAAACGACTCTTGTTCTAACATCTCTATAATAATCTTCACCTGGAATTTCTGGTCTTGGTTCCTTTTCTGGAGTCTTGTTTCTAACTCTTTGAATTGAGATGTTGTTCAAAGTTGATCTATAAGCACCATCAATATCTAGTTGATCTGATGGCATTTCAACTTCAACAATTTCATGACCAGAACTATCTTTCTTGATGATAGCAGTACCTAAACTCTTTGTTGGATTATTCTCACCTTTTGTACCCCATGAAACATCATGTGTATTACAGAATGCAAAAATCTGTAAAGTACAAGTATATGATGGTAATAATAAGAAATATTGGAAGGAACAAGTGATAATGTGCCATGGATCCAAATATAAAATAGACATAACAGCATATAACCCATAAGTGGATAATAAAGAAACAACAATATTGACAAATGTATTCTCTGAAACATCACCACCAGTATTTCTCATATTCAATGTACGGAAAACAAAGAATAACCCACAAATCAAAGCATATGTTGAACATAATGATAGCAGCACCATAGATGTAATGAATAAATGTTCAGCACCTTGTGGTCTATTACCCATTGAAATAATAAACATAGCACATAAGGTAGCAACACATATGTAGTTGAAGATGGTAAATAGCCAGAACCCACCATTATGTGGAATGATCTTATTACCACTCAAAGCACCAGCCAAAAAGTAGAATGTTAAGTAAAAGTTTGCAATTGAGAACCAAGAAAACAATAATTGAAGGAACTGATAGAAAAACTCAATATGTAAGGCAATCTTTCTACCCATTGAATGATTAGTGTTCCAAACTTGTCTGAAATGAACTTGAGAGAAAATAGCAGCGAAAAGTGCACCATTTAACCATCTTCTTCTTTGTGAAATGAATTCTGGTACAGATTCTGGTAAATCTGTTTCACCTTTAGCTTCTTTAACATATTTCAATAACCATTTGTCACCCCTCTTTGCAACTAATTCCCAACACAGAATTCTATCTTCAGCTAAATACATATTTGCAGAAAAGACGTCTCTATTAGGGCCATCCAATTGTTCACCTTTGAAATATGAGTTCAATGGACCTGTTCCATCATCATGATTTTTCAAAGCTGTATAACGATAAGCAGATAAAGCACCAGGTAAGACTGAGATATAACCAAATGATGATTCCAAAGGTTTATCTAAAATATTTGACATTTTATATTCAAAATTTTGTGAAGCAACTAATGGGTTTAATAACTTTCTCCATCCTTTACCTTTCAATGCTTTAATTTCACCAGCTGCACCAGCAATATCTGAATCCCTATCAAAAGCTTTCCATAGATGGTATAAAGCTGTAGTGTTTGGTCTTGTACCAACATCTAATAAAACAACAACTTTTGGATCAAGAACTGGACAGAAAGCATTAAATAACCAACGATGTGAATTGATCTTCTTTTTATTTTGTTCTTTCAAACAAAACAAAACTTGAACAGGGACAATACCTTTTTCAGCACTTTTGAATTCTAAATCTGGATCCAAAGAAACTTGAGTAGTGTATTCAAAAAGATGGGCTTTAACTTCTTTAGAGTTAACAAATGATTTAGCAATACCATCTTGATAAACACCCATTGCAGCTAGCACATCTAAAGCGTTTTCATTAACTTTAGCTCTACCATCACTAACAATAATAACTTGAACTTTTTTCCAACCATCAGGACCCCAAATTCTACTTCTATTTCTTGAGCATAAATGGGCGACATTTTTCATCACAGCATGTAAAGTTCTTGTTAAATGAACTTCATTTTCATTATACATTGTAACACAAACACATAATTCAATCTCTCTGTTCAATTTAGCAGCTCTTAAAGTGAAGCCAGCATCAACAAAATCATCAGGTTCAGATGTACAAGCTGAATATCTCATGAATAAAAATTCGTCTTCATCTCGTCTTGGTAAGAAGGATGCCAATTTAGTTGGAACTGGGTTTTCAAGAATCAAGTTACCGTTTTCTGATGTAACAGTTTTACGAATTGTTGATCTATGACGACGTGGTTGAGCATCTGTTGGAACTTCATACATCATTGCTTCATCAAATTCGTTTCTTGATTCTTCATCTTCATCAAAGTCAAAAGTTTCACCGCTGTAATTTGTATCTTGGGCTTCTAATTTCTCATTGAATTCTTTTTCATTGAACTCTGGATCATTTTGAAATGGATCTCTAATTCTTGTTGATTCTTCAGATTGAACAGTGCTACCACTGCTGATTCTTCCATCGTTATATCCCGAGATTGATTCTGGTTGTAAATTGTGGTTTGCAGCAGCGTATGTAGTTGCTGAGAAGATTGGTTTTGGGGGTGGTAAGATTCTAGATGAACTTGAAGTAGAATTTGAACCTCTTGTTGGTGAACGGTTGATGTCATAAGATCCAACTTCGTTCATCTCATCATCGCTGTCATCGATAACTATAACTGTGTTTTGTTTCTTTCTTTTTGGTGATTCCAAATCAGCATATTGTTTTCTTGGAGTAGCTTCATGGGATGGGTAATGAGATGGTGAGTTGACCAACATTGGAGCTGGATGCACTTTTGTTGGTGAGCTGAATGGAGTACCATAGTTTGATTGATTTCCTTGTCTTCTACCAAAGTCAACTCTTGGTGAATACCTGTTGCTGGCAGTGTTTTGAGGGAAGGGGTTGAAAGCATCGGAAGCACCGAGACTAGCGTTAAATCTTTTTGGGGATTGGTTTGTCAAAGCAGGTTGAGGTCTTGAAGGACTCTGTTCATTCAAACCGTACTTGTCATAATCATAAGGACCACTCATTGTGTTCAGAATGACTGATGTCTATTGTAATGAGAAGTTGAAAAGAAAGCATCTGTCTGTTTTTTATTTGAAATGTGTATCAGATCCAAATTGTTTTGAGCTGTGCATCGATTTTTGTTTATGTTTACAATTTTCCGAAAAGGGTTTGATGATTAAATTTGTGAATTTCAGATGCCCAAAATGGGTTTATCCCAATTCGGATATGGTTATGTACCCAATATTCCTATCTTTGAAAAAAATCATACATTCATGAAATGGCATCTGTAGTAAGCAAGAACTTTGGCATTGAAATTGTTCTTTAATATCGTTCAAGATGCTTAGAATTATTCCTAAAAGGTTGGTGTCTACCAGGGGTATTATTGGCTCCACATCCACTATACAAAAAAGTTTTTTCTCAAGCTCCATAGCTAGATTAAACGACAATGGTGTCAAATCACCAGATCAAAGCCCATCATCATCAACACAACCAAAAAAGAAACCATTAAGTAGAATACCAATTGGTGGAACCCAAACTCAATCTCAGAAGATGAAATCATCAGGAAATATAGAGTTTGCAAGTTGGAAAGCTGCTGTTTTAATGGTTACAACCGGTGGTATCTTGTATTACTTTTTCACTAGAGAAAAGAGAAGACTAGAAGTTCAACAACAAGCTGAAGCTAATAGAGGTTATGGTAAACCATTGGTTGGTGGTCCATTTGAATTGATCGATCAAGATGGTAAGCCATTTACTCAAGAAAACCTAAAAGGTCAATTCAATATCTTATACTTTGGTTTCACTCATTGTCCTGATATTTGTCCTGATGAATTGGATAAGCTAGGTCTTTGGTTAGATAAATTAAAATCGCAAGGTATTAAAGTCCAACCTGTCTTTATCACCTGTGATCCAAATAGAGATACCCCGAAAGTTGTGAAAGAATACTTGGCTGATTTCCATCCAGATATTATTGGTTTAACTGGTACTTATGATCAAGTGAAAAACACATGTAAGCAATACAGAGTGTATTTTTCCACACCTCCAAATGTTAAAGCAGGTCAAGATTATTTGGTTGACCATTCAATCTTTTTCTATTTGATGGATTCCGATGGTGAATTTGTTGATGCACTTGGTAGAAACTATGATCAAGATACCGGTCCAGTTAAAATTAAAGAACATGTTGACGCTTTTGTTCCAAAAGCTGAACGTGAAAAGAGAAAGAATGGCGGTTCTTGGTTTTCCAGTTTCTTCTCCTAGTTATGTATATAATGGAAACTCATGTATAAAGTAAAGTTTTTAAATAGTAATGTCACTCTAATCAACTACAATATTTGTAAATTTGATGGGATTAATGCTATAATTAATTAAACCTAGTTTTTACCAGCAGCAGCTCTGAAGTAGATAACATCACCATCTTCAACAACATAATCTCTACCTTTTTGTAACATTTTACCAGCGGCTTTAACAGCAGCTTCATCTTTGAATTGGATGATATCTTCATATTTGTTAACTTGGGCCAAGATGAAAGTGTTCATTAAATCATTATGAATGACACCAGCAGCTTGTGGAGCTTTGGTACCTTTTCTAATAGTCCATTCACGACATTCATCAGGACCAGCAGTAAAGAATGAAATCAAATCTAATTTTTGTCTCATGGTGGTGATAATCTTTGGTAATTGAGATTGAGCACCGATTTTCTTTCCTTCTTCGATTCTTTCTTCATCAGTTTCCATGTGGGATAATCTTTCTTCTAATGAAACTGAGAATGGGATAATGACATCACCTGGAGAGAATTTGTCAACCCATTCTTTAATAGCCAACAAATGCTTGTTCTTCTTTCTGATGTAATCTCTTTCTGATAAATTGATCAAGTAAATAGTTGGTTTAGCAGTTAATAAAAACATGGTGTTGATAACTTCAACTTCTTTTGGACTCCAAGTTTGGTTGGCAACTCTTTGACCATCTTTTAATAATTCAATAATTCTTTCAACTAAAGCAGCTTCATCTTTTTTTTGTTTAACTTCTAAAGATTGACCACCTCTTTTAGTGATTTTGTTAACACCTTCTAAATGTTTTTCAGCAAATTCAATATCTTTTAATCTCAATTCATTTGAAATAATTTCCAAATCACGAACTGGGTTAACATCACCTTCAATATGGATAATTTCAGCATCATCGAAACAACGAACAACTTGGTAGACGGCATCAACAGCTCTAATGTGGGACAAGAAAGCATTACCTAAACCTTCACCAGTGGAACTACCTCTTGTTAAACCGGCAATATCATAAAGGGTAATGTGAGCTGGGACTTCTGATTTTGGTTTGTAGATTTCGTTTAGTTTGTCTAAACGTGGAGATGGGACGATAACTCTAGCTTCTTCTGGATCAATGGTAGCATATGGATAATTAGCTGGGTTACCTAGAGGACATCTAGTAATGGCTTGAAAGAAAGTTGATTTACCAACGTTAGCTAAACCAACAATACCAGATTTTAAGTTATTACCTGGACGACCTAATAAGACTTTTTTTTCTTCAACTTGTTTCTTTGGAGGCATTATGAATGATTATAAGAAGCAATTGCTTTTCTATTAAAATGTCATTTCAAGTGTGCTACAGCTGATTTTCTTTCAGTTTTTTTTTGATGATGTTGGTGAAAAAAAAAATGTACGGCCAAAAAAATCAAGACACCTAGACTTCCCAAAATGGAAACTAAAGTGTAATGTGTATTTAAACTATTCTTCATCAACTTTATTGATATAGTCTTGTATTCTGTCTTCGTCATTCTCATATTCATCAGGGGAATGTTTTCTATGTTTTCCTTTGTCATCTGTTTTATTGTAATGTTCACCATTGTACCTAGAAACAGCCAATTTTTGACCTCCAAAAAATCTACCATCCATTTTCTAGTTTAGTGTTAGTAAATAATAATCAACGATGAAGAGAAACTCGACTTACTTCAATACACTTGACTGCCGAGTCGCTATTATGGAAACGAACCATAACGACTCCTTCTTCTTCTTGATCGAAAACAATCACTTTCTCCACTGATCCAATTTCTTCACATCCTTCCTTCATATCTTCCTCTATATCATTCAAAACCAATGGATCCTCTTTAATCTCTTCCTGAGTGAAGGCTCGTTTAATAACAATTGTTTTAAGCCATTTCGGATTAATTGTATCATCATCACCATTCCAGTCTTCAGCTTTCTCATTCAATGCCTTTAAACGTTTCCTTATTGTCTGTTTTTCTTCTTCTGTGAGTTGTCTTTTGGTCCCTTTAGCTTCAGTATCTGTCTTTTCTTTAAACTCGGCCTTTTGGACCGTTATATCACCTCCATTGACTCTTAATTTTGTTCCATTTAACATTTGAATAGATAGCTCAACACTTTCAGGTTTCAGGTAAACCACTAAAGCATCACCTTTGAATTTACCATCATCATCTGTATATAACTTTATCTTTGGTTTGCCAGCTAATAAATCCTCTGCAATGATCCCATATTTGGAGAATATTTGCTTCAACTCCGTTAAATCAGCATCTAGTGGTAGATTAGATACATAGACAGCTGTTTGTGGTGCAGATTTCTTTCTAGATTGTTTCTCTTCTTTCAGTTCTTGTAACTTTTGTTTCTTCTTTTCTTGTATTTCCTTTTGAGCTTCAGTGAGATTACCATCATTGGCAAAAGTTGATGGTATCCATCTTTCTAAAACATGGTTGAATTCAAAGAATTCATTTGTGTCTGGATCTTCAAATATCCATTTCTCTTCACTTTGGTCATATGAAATACGGGGGTCTAGATCTTTGGAATCGATCTGTCTAGGATCAATGTCCTTCAAGAAGTCAGCCATCTTTGATTAAGCAAATTAACTGGTTGAATATGACTTTTGGCTTGATTGTTTTAAGCAAAAAAAAGTTTGAAGTAAACAAAAGAGCGCGGAAACCCATAGAATCTGCCAAAATTTCATTCAAACGTATGAATAGCACAAAATATGTTCAGCAAGATTCAATAGCCGAGTGCTTGCTTTCTACGATCCAGGTGCTCATTTCTAAACCCTTTTTTTATTTCAAAACCAACTATTATACACGGAACTTATTTTAAACTAAACATAAAACGAACGATATGTCACACTAGTAATCACCATTCAAAAGAACCTCAGCTTCTTTCCACCAAGAGTACAAAACCAACCGCATTCATGAGATTGTGTGTATCAGATACCCCTTCTCACTCAGGTACTCTTATAAGTATGCGAGCATGCTAAACAAACATAGAACAGAACCATAGAAGTATCAGCTCTTCTTTGTTGAGATTGGAAAAACACATTTTCATGAGCATGGCATCTTGGACACTCCTTATCTGATCTCGGAAGTGTTGGATCTGAACCAATATCTTGCACAATACCAGCAGTTTCACTTAAATTGTTAGTATAATTTCATCACACCATCTCAAACATACACATACCCAAAGTTACTGATCAACTCATGACGATACACTAGCGGAGTGGCAGCTTCTTCCACATATTCACAAATTCTGCATTCGAATAACAAACGGTTAGCTTGTTTATCCTCTTTAGGATACAACATATTGTTACTAAATTTCAATCACGTTAGTAATTGTTCATTAACTCAACCAGAAACGCTATAATGCTCCCAAAAAAGAGCACCATATCAATACTCACCATTCACCGCAGAATCTGAAGGAAGTCATTGTGCACAAGTGGTCTTCTGCTGCTCAAAACTGTGTTTCTGTTTGATTTCAAAGCCTGTATAACTCTACAAATCGTCTCGTTCGTTTTCGATGAAAACAAATTCGCGGCACAAGTGCACCGACGGCGGCGTGTGCACGCGATTTTTTTTGGAGCCAACGAATTTTTCACATTTATTTTCCAGTATCAAAGAGACGACGAGTTAAAGCTTCAGTGTTCACTCCTCAAAAAACCACAACCATGTACTCCATCACCAGATACTCAGCCCGTGCTCTACGTACTGTCCCAAGAAGATCAATTCTTGCTTCAGCTACCCGTCTAAATTCAACTGCTGCTCCAGCTGCCCCAGCTGCTAGTGTTGATCCAAAAATCACCAAAATTGTTGAAGATATCTCAAAATTAACCCTTCTTGAAACTGCTTCATTGATCTCAGAATTAAAATCACAATTAAACATCCCAGACATCTCATTCCCATCTGCAGGTGCTGCTCCTGCTGCTGCCCCAGCTGCTGCTGAAGAAGAAGCCCCAGCTAAAGAAGAACAAGAAGAACAAACAATCTTTTCAATCAAATTAGAAAGTTTCGATGCTAAATCTAAACCAAAGATCATTAAAGAAGTTAAAGGTTTATTAGGCTTATCATTAGTTGAATCTAAGAAATTCGTTGAAGCTGCTCCAAAGATCTTGAAAGAAAATGTCGCAAAAGAAGATGCTGACAAGATAAAAGCTGCTTTAGAAGCTTTAGGTGCTAAAGTTGTTCTTGAATAGATTTTCCTTGTATGTTTTTTGTTTTTGTGGAATCAGGTGGGAAAGATTAATTTATTGAAAAGAAAGAGCTTTGACTTTTTTTTGCTTTGGTCTGTAAATGATTACAATTTTATTATGGGTCTGGTTAGAAAAAGAAAAGATATATTTTGAATCGTGTACATATATACAATATAAAAGAAGAAAAATTTTAAATATTCATATCGTGTATTATTAATGCTTAAAATCTCATTGAATATCTCTTTGATCTTGTTGCAGAGTCTCTTATAGAACCAGATCTAGTTGAATATCTTGAATCATCAAAACCTCCATGATCAGAACCAAATTCTTGATGGAATTGATCATGTGGTGAAACATAACCATGTAAATTATTTATACTCCTTGTAGATGACATTGATGGAAGATTGGGTAGTCCTTGATTGCCAACATACATAGATTTTGGTCTTTCAGAACGGGTTGAAAAAGATCTTGGTATTGGGGTTTGCATAGGTTGAAATGGACTTCTATTAGGTTGCAATTCTTGATATCTATTATTTGGCCGTATATCAAGCGGTGGGTTATATAATGTTGGTGAAATGTTTGGTCTATAGGTTGGTGAATTGTTTGATCTAATTGATGGTCTTCTTGTGGTTTCAGCAATTGATGAACTTCTGGTTAGAGGTCGAAAATTCGAAATTGTAGAAGATCTTGGGAACATATTTGACTGGATAGGTTCCAGAACTGGTTTATATGCATCTTCACCATCAGAAAATTCAGTTGAATCATCATCTTGTTCAGTTCCTTGTTCTTCTTTAATATGGGTTATTTCATGTCTTGTTGCCTCTTCTTCATTCATTATCAAAGATGTCAAAGCTGTGACTAAAGATTGCATCTTGCTATAAAGTTCAATTGATGATGAATCTATCAACGATTCTTGGTGTGATCCACTTTGTAAAGGAGCTTGAAATAAATCAAATGTTGTCTCCAGCATCTCTGAGAATGCTTTCTTTTGTCTTTGATTGAGTCGTGAATGATTTAACAGTTCTCTAAGTTCATCTTCTACTGATAGCAGCTCATTGGATCTTTTCAGGTTTGATACAGTTCTGGTTGGTGTTTGTTTTTTGTTTCTAGTTTGGTTGGAATTGGAATGTTGTGATTGACTAGTGAATGATGATTTTGTGGGTGGTCTCGATGGAAAGCTATTCAAACTCATGACTTTATGAATATTTGTAAGCCCAGCAGCATCAACAAGACTAATTTAAAACCAAATCTTCAAATATTTTTGGTGTCTTTTCCTAAAACTTGTTTCTTAAATCTGATACATCACTTTTACAAAACATTTAAATTTTACTACATATTATTGACCCGTGAAAACAATGCAGAGAAAACAAAACAACAACAAACATTCTTCAAATACAATAACTATAATAAAACTTTTAGAATCTAAATTGAAGAGTAAACTAAAAGGGAGGAAGAACATAAAGCGTAAATATACTAAAACAAAAAAAGACAAGATAGAATAGTAGATACTGTGGATTGGGAGAACTGAAGATTGACGTGTTTATAAAAAAATAGGTGAGTTGATTAATCAAAAATCAACAAAGTATTGTGAGTAAGGATCTTCACCACCAGCACCATAATCTAATTGTTCTTCTGGATAATGGTCAAACAGTGAAGTATCACCAATACCACCAGTAATTGGAGGTTCATAAGGAGTTTCAATATCTTTAGCTAAAAGTTTTTCCCAAATAACTTCTGCAAACCATGGATGGTTTCTAATATCAGCTGGACCATTATGCAAGTTACCTAGTCTTCTAGTCAGATCTGCTGTGATTAATCTTGACAGTAAATCAATAGCATCTGGGTGGAAAAATGAAGGGAAATGAACTTTACCAGCTAAAATTTTTTGATAGGTCTTCATTGGTGTACTATCATAAAATGGTGTATAACCAGCCAACATTTCAAAAATCAAAATACCCAAAGACCACCAATCAACAGATTTATTATATGGTTTAGTTGTGATAACTTCTGGGGCAATATAATCTGGAGTACCACAAAGGGTCCAAGTAACTGTGGAAACTTCTTTTGCAAACCCAAAATCAGTGATTTTAACATGACCATTACGATCCAAAAGAATATTTTCAGGTTTCAAATCTCTGTAAATGATATTGTGTGCATGTAAATATTCAATTGCTAATGTAACTTCAGCAGCATAAAATTTAGCAACAGGATTTGGAAATCTTTGAGATTTTCTTAATAATGAAAATAATTCACCACCTTCAATATAATCCATAACCATAAATAAATTTCTAGCATCTTGGAAAGTCCCCCACATTCTAATTAAAAAAGGATGTTCAACTAGTTTTAACATTCTTCTTTCATCATTTGTGTGTTCAATTTGTTTCATTCTTATGATTTGAGCCTTCTTCAACACTTTAATGGCATAGTATCTACCATTATGAACTGAGCGAACTAAATGAACTCTACCAAATGATCCTGTACCCAGTGTACGCATAATTTGGAAATCATTCAAGGTGTATTTACCTTTTGAAATAGTTGACTTTTGAGGTAGTAATGATTGCTCAATTGACACAGGTTGATGATGATGGATTTGCTGAGGTTGTTGTTGCTGCTGTTGAGGTTGATTATGTTGTAATTGTGGTTGAGGAAAGTTTGGTGATGCAGAACTCGAGATTGGTTGTTGTTGTGGCTGGTACCCTTGAGGCACATTCAACTGTTGTTGTGGTTGCCCTTGCTGTTGTGGTATTTGTTGATGGTACTCCATTTTGTCACTTTGAGCTAAAGATGATGATTCTGAGTTTTCAGCTGATTTACTTGAATTGTTACCAGTGATGTGGAGTTTCTTTAGGATATTTGTATGCATGCAATGCTGATTGTTATCTTCTAACCTTTGAGGAAGAATAAAGATTCAATTGATTGAAATTATTCACCAGCAAAATGGTGTAGTTTAATTGGGATCGCTAGTATCTTGAATGTTCTTCCTTGGTTGATACCACCTTACTACCAGATGAAACGATGACGGCAACCTATTTCCTTGACCTTGAAAACAACACTATAGCGCTTCAATTGCAACTGGTTTTGACTCAATGGAGCTCGAATATGATATTGGATTGTAGCAGATGATTCTCCTTCTGATAACAGTTGAATTGAACTGAGAATTGGTTGTTTGACGTCGCAAAGGGTGAAGTCAAAAAGTTTAAGGATCGCAAAATTCAAAAGGTCGATTTTTCTTCCTCTGCAGATGAATTCGCGAAAGTTGTTGGGGCAGCACAAAATCGATGGATCGTCGCTGACATGATTATTACTAGTGATGGCTACGAAAACGATTCATGATTAAAGCACCATTCTATTAACAATAAGTCTATTTCCTCTTCTTTGAAGGACGAGCATTCTTTGCACGACGCTTCTCCTGGAGCTCTCTTTGTTTTCTGATTTGTTCAGTGGATTTCATCTCATTAGAACCCTTACCAGCCTTGTTGAAACCTTTAACATGAATACCTTTCTCCAAAGCTTGCTCAACCTTCTTCTTTTGTTTGTGGTAATCATCTCTCTTTTTATCTGGTGCTCTTGGTGCTTGTTGTTTCTTATGGTTGAATTTCTTACCACCTCCTCCACTACCAATGGACTTGTTGTTCACATTAGTGAACTCATTAGCACTTTCTCTAGCACCAACTTTAACACCATCAGTTTTCTTACCTTTCTTCCATGCATCATATCTACCTGATCTGAAAGATGCTGGAAGCTTTTGTCCACTTTCACCAATAATATATTTCTTATCGGTAGATTTGGAGTTAACATATTTACCAGCTTTCTTATCCCATTGCATTGTTTGAGTTTGTTTATGGGTTTGAATATTATCATCATTATTTAAGTCAAAAGTGGCATTTTGAGCATCATTTGTGAATCCTGAATTCAATGATAATTGTTGATCTTGAATAACAGCAGATGGTGCATAATGGCTCATATAGAAATTTGGATCTCTAAAAGATTTCTTTGGCTTTTTACTATTTAAAAGTTCTTCAGCTGTTTCAAATTCATCATCTAAAACTTTATCATTAACGGAATAACCAACTTCATTAGAATCACCTTTCAAAATTTCATCCTCTAACCCATGTGTTAAACCTGCAATCCTTTCCATTTCTAATAATTCTTTTCTTTCTTTAGCTCTTCTCTGTATTGGGGCGATTTGTCTTCTTCTAGTATTCATCAAATCAACTAAACTATCATCTCTTTTACCAAATTCAAAAACAGTTTCTTTATGATTACGGTTTTGTAATTTAGCCAAAAAATCTAATTTCTCTTTTTCTAAATTCTTCCCAAATAATAAGTTTTGTTCATCCCAGCCACCGATTTTAACTTCTTTTGCTCTTTTAACAGATTCTGTTGAAGCTGATGTTCTTGTTCTAAAATATAATTTTTCAGCTTTTGCAGCAACACCTTGTAAAACTTTTAAATCATAATCATTATTGATTAAATTAGTGAATAACTCACTCATATTTTCAACATTCATTCTTGGAGCAGCACCCAAAACCATTCTTTCAGTATATGAGACTTTTGGTTCAACATATGAATCACCTTGTTGTTCTTTTAAAATTTCACATTTCTTTTCAAACATTGGAGTCAGCATAATCTTCTTACCCAAAAATAATTCCAAATCTAATAGATATGGTAATTCATTTTCTGAAACAATACTATAAGCCCAACCTTTATTACCAGCTCTTGCAGTTCTACCAACACGATGAACAAAAATTTTTGAAGAACCTGGAAGCGAATAATTGATAACGTTAGCCAAAACTGGAATATCAATACCTCTTGCAGCAACATCTGTCACAACCAAGATTGGTGCAAGACCTGCTCTGAAATTCAATAATTGTCTTTTTCTGGCATGTTGATCTAAAGTACCATAAATAAAGGAAACTGCATAACCTGAATCTTTCAACATTGTGGTGATATATTCCACATGATGTCTTGTTGGAACGAAAACAATTGTTGAATGTGGTGAAGGTAATTGATTTGCTGGTGGTAATCTCTTTCTTTTAAAATTTTTCTTTCTTTTCTTGGATTTATCTTCATCTTCATTATCTGAATCTTCTGAATCTGTTTCCTTATTTAAACTATCCAATTTCTTTATTTCATCTTGTGTAGCTAATGGAATTTTGATAACATCTTGAATCAAATTTAATAGATTACCTTCTCTTTCATTATTCTTTGTTGAAACAAAACACATTTCTAATTGATCAGAAATTTTGGATTCAGCATCTAATCTAACAAGAACAGGATTTGTTAGCCCAGCCTTAGCGAAATCCACTAAGGATCTAGGTAATGTAGCAGAAAACAATAATGACTGTCTGTTTGGGGGTAATGCAGATAATAATTCATTCAATTGTTCTTCAAACCCCATTTCAAATAATCTATCAGCTTCATCAAACACAACATATTCAATGGTTTTCAAATCTAAATTCATTTCAACTTTCAAATGTAAGAAACGACCTGGGGTTGCAATAATGATATCAGGATTTGACATCATTAAAGAAAATTGATCTTCTAAAGAATCACCACCAATAAGTAAAACAGTTCTCAAGTCTGAACCTTTTGAGAATTCCTTGATGACCTTATAAGTTTGAATAGCTAATTCTCTTGAAGGTGAAAGAACTAAAGCTCTTGCACCAACTTTAGCTGAATGAATCTTTAATTTTTCAACAAGTGGTAATGAAAATGCAGCAGTTTTACCAGAACCTGTTCTAGCCATACCCACAATATCTCTATTTTGTAAAATCAATGGAATTGTCTTTCTTTGAATAGGTGTTGGTTGTCTGAAACCTTTTTTAGAAATATTGGACAAAACAAATTTTGATAAACCAAAACTTGCAAATGAACCAGCTTTAGCTTTTGTAGCTTCTGACTTTATATTGAAATAACTTGAAAATTCAACATCTTCCTTTTTCTTTTCCAATTCACCTTCATCATCAGAAAGTTCTAAAGTAGGGAATGCAGTATCTTTTTTCTTTTGTTGAGGTGCAACTTTTTGTCTTTTAGCTGGAGCTTGTTGTTCATCTTCATCATCATCTGAAGAGATGATTTCATCTTGAACCTCCACATCAGAGTTATCATCACTGGAGTAAGCTTCTGATTCTGAGCCGTCTAGAGCGATATTACCAGCGATATCGAAATCTTCCTCGTCACTGCTGCTCATCTTGTGTATAAGTTGTGTATCTTATCAAGCACTATCTCAATAGTTGGGTTCTTCTTAACTATTTACGCTTTCTAAAATTTTTTTTGCCCTAGCTCATCGCGAAATTATGTAATCACAGAATAGGTTTTTGGCGGAGGAGTTCGTATAAAAAGTGAAAAATGAGGTAAATGGTGTTGGAAATAATCTTGGAATATTCTATTGCTTTTAAATATCATCCTAGTAAGTCAGATCTCTTTATATTCCAAGTTTCCATATCTTGTATCCCCAATTTGGCGACTGTTCAGCCAAATTCAGCTTCACTTTCGCGATATTGCCTAAGACCATACATAAGCAGCTTTACACTGCAAAACACGTCTAAGCATCGTTTGAAATTGTTTTAAACTGGACTTCTTTTAATATCAACTATTAATAATCCTATATCCACTTTTTCCCATACAATTTAAACATCTTTATGCTCTAAAACTCCCCAAAACACCATTTCTGCTTACATCATCACTTCCCGATTCGGCCATTTTCGTCCCCCAAAAAGAAATTTTGCGGTTGTAAACAATCAGCCAGTGCAAATCCTTCGGGAAGTGCTGGCATACATCAACATCAACTTCACCATTTACCAGTGAACAAAGCTGTTCAACAACGTGTAGCTGGCTAAGAAGAAGAACGTTTAACCATAGAGAAGGGCTAGTCAGTGATTTGGTTTACTAGGATGAGAGGTTTTCCAGGGTTGGGTGCTTTTTCAAACAATAGGAAATCGCATCAAGGGTTTGCAAATCTTCATCATGAGAGTCAATCATCATCTTCATTAAACAAGAAGAAAATCTCTTCCATTAAACTCAAACTGTTTAGAATCTTCCACAAGAAGGTCATGCTGATAATAGGTGCTTTAACTCTTTACACTTATGTGCTGTTCAATACTGAGTACATTTATCCATCAATAATAAACAATACCCTCAAGTCAATAAATTTATTAAATGATCAAGCAGAACAAGTTTTAGGGAAAACATCAGATCCTATTGCTGCTTTACAATCCACTATAGCTTCCACTTTACAAAATAATGATGACTCCACATTCGAAGACTATGTTCAACAATATGCTCCAGAAGATTTAAGATCAAGATTAGCCAAAAAATATCCATACAGTAGAGAATCAACAATACCAAACGAGATATGGCAAACTTGGAAAGAACCAATTGAGAAAATCTCAAATACAAATTTGTTAAAATACATTGATTCTTGGGAGTCTCAAAAAGATTATAATTATCATTTAATAACTGATGATAAAATAGATTCAACAATAACTGAGATGTATGTTGAATTCCCAGAGATTTTGGATACTTTGCAGAAATTGCCTAAGAATATTTTAAAATTTGATTTCCTCAGATACTTAATACTTTTCGCAAAAGGTGGTGTTTATTCAGATATTGACACTATTAATCTAAAATCACTTTCACAATGGGCTGATACTCCTCAAGAATGTTCTAATTATTTTGATCAATCACCAACTGTCAATAATAACATTGGATTTGTCGTTGGTATTGAAGGTGATTATGATAGGGCGGATTGGAAATACAAAATGGCTCGTCGTGTTCAATTTTGTCAATGGACTTTTAAATCCAAAGTGGGGCATCCAATACTAAGAGAGTTGATATATTCCATCGTGGATTTGACTTTGAACAACTATAATGAAAGGTTAAATCATGTCAAGATTGGTTCTGATTACCACACATTACATTCAATCTATACAATTTTAAATTGGACAGGACCAGGTATTTTCACAGATACTCTATTTGATCATTTGAACAAAATCTTCAAGAATTCAAAAATTCAAAATAAAAATCCAATCCCAAATATAAAACATCCAACATTTGAATATTATCATAAGGAAAGAAATGAAATCGATGTTGAAGGTGGGAAATATGTTGGTTGGTCAAATTTCACAAAGATATCTTCACCTATACTCTATGATGATGTCTTGGTACTACCCATCAACAGTTTCAATGCGTTTAATGAAGATTTGGAGATCAAACCAGATGATAAATTAACGTATGTTAAGCATGATTTCAGAGGAACTTGGAAATCGATGTGATGATGATAATAATGATATGCTGCTTTTTCTTTTTCTTTTATTTGTTTTAATATGCTTTTGCCCTTTTGCTATTCTATTTCAAGGACTATATACTTCGCTTTCGTTCAATATTAATATTTCAATCCAATTAACGATTTATGGAAACTTTATAGCTATTTGTGTAGTCCCCGAACCAATCTTTACTTTTCGTGAACATGCCAAAAAAATTTTGAACCAAAGCACTCATCTCCAAAGATCAAGTTGACCAGTTCAAGAGAAGACTCTCTTTTATTGATCTTTGAACCATGATAGGATCTGGTAAAGGTGTGACGAAGCCCAAGAAGGTCAAGTCAAAAGAAAAACAAAACAGATTAGGAAGATTCATCAAAAACTCAAGTTCAAAATTGAAAAAAACATTTGATGTATTCAATAATAACAGTCATGAAAATCAATATGAAACTTTAGAGAATCTAGCGGATGGTCCAGAATCTGATGATGAAGATCCACAATCTCGTAAGAGATCCCAACATGATGTCGTATTGGTGGATGACTATAGTGATGACGAGGATAGAGAGAATGGAGATAGAGATGATATAATACTCGTGGATGATGCAGATAGTGCAAAAGATACATCAAGTATACAAATCACTAATGAAAGATCTGTTGAGCCTGAGAAAGCCAAAACAGGTAATGACCTAGATGATAATAATGATTTCATTTCATTGAATTTTTCAGATTCAGATGATGATGAAGATGAGGGACAATTAGATAATGAAGAAGATGCATACTCTATGGATGAAAATGAAACAGATATAAATCTGAACTCCAAAGTTGTTAAAAACGATGTTCCATGGATTAAAAACCATGATCATTCAACACAGAAAGAGATAGCGGATTGGCTAACGCTAGAGATAAAAGATTTCATTGCATACATCTCCCCCTCCAAAGAAGAAATTGAATTAAGAAATTTCACAGTGAGAAGACTAAGAGAATCAATAACGAAATTCTGGCCAGATTGTGAAGTTCATGTTTTTGGATCATATGCAACAGATTTATATCTACCAGGTTCAGATATTGATATGGTTATCGTTTCAGATCATAAAGGTTATGATTCAAGAAATTCATTATACTCATTATCTTCATATTTGAAAAAAGAGAGATTAGCTACAAATGTTGAAGTTATTGCAAAGGCAAAAGTCCCAATTATTAAATTCACTGAATACCATTCAAATATTCATATTGATGTTTCATTTGAAAGAACTAATGGTATTGATGCAGCAAGAACTATACGGTCTTGGTTAGTTGAAACACCGGGACTTCGTGAAATTGTTTTAATTGTTAAACAGTTTTTATCTGCAAGAAAATTGAATAATGTTCATGTTGGTGGATTAGGTGGTTATTCAATCATTTGCCTTGTTTATTCTTTTTTACAATTACATCCAAGATTATCCACGGGGAATATATCGCCTTATGAAAATTTAGGTGTTTTATTAATTGAATTTTTTGAACTTTATGGTAAGAATTTTGGTTATGATAATGTTGCAATTTGTGTTGAGCCTGATAATGTTTGTTATTTGAATAAGAAGTATTATCCTGATTTACAAGGAAGATCATCTTTTGCATTAGCTATTCAAGATCCATCAGACCCTCAAAATAATATAAGTAGAGGTTCTTTTAACATTAGAGATATTAAAAAGGCATTTGCAGGTGCTTATGAGCTATTAACCAATGGTTGTTATGATTTAGAAAGTGCAACTTATAAACAAAGAATTGGGAAATCTATTTTGGGTAATGTTGTTAGATATAGAGGTAAAGAAAGAGATTTCAATGATGAAAGAAGTTTGGTGATTAATGAAGCATTACATGAAGATAATGCAAGTATTGTTACTGGAAAAGTTTATTATTCTGAGCAAGATGTTACCTCAGATGAAGAAGTTATTACAAATCCAGTTGTTGTGAATAAGCCAAAACAAAATGTTGATAAATTGATGGGTTTACAAGATGAAACAAGTGATGAGGAACAACAACAACCTTTAAAGAAGAAGACATCTTCATCAAGTTTAAGTAAAGATGAAAGAAGAGATTTTTGGCTACAGAAGGGGAAATCATTAACATAAAATTCATTAGATCTATATACAGTCAAAAGAAATCTTTTTTGCGTAGTTGTTTCTTTTGTGATGCTTTTTGTTTCTCTTTAAGTCGTTTTTCATTTGTATTCTTCCTTCTATGTTGAAAAGTTGTTAGTATGTCTGTATCAAAGTTCCATAAAATATCACTTACATCTTTTCCCATCTTTTTACATCTTCAGGATTAGCTTCACTTTCGAAATATACAGTATTTTTGATTTCTGAAACTAATTTCTCAAAGCATAGATCAGTGTTTAATTCTCTTGATCTTTGAGTATCATTTTGTATCACTATTCCATTATTCTTGGTCAAATATCTAAATCTCTTGACCATTCTGTTAGTTGAATGTAACACAATCCGTTCAAGGTCACTTACATTTTCCTTCAATTGATCTTTAACTTCTTTCGGAATCCATATAGCAAGATCTATATCGTTCAATTGGATTGTGCTTTTGGAACTGGCTATTGATACAGTTAGTGCTACACCTTAAACCCCATTATACCAATCACACATACTCTTGTTAACTTTTTGACCTCCAGGGCCTGAAGATCTACTGAATGAGATCTTGAACTCGTTCTTGGGCACTTTGGCAGGTGTCAATTCAACAAGCCATTTCTTTGCAGCAGCAGTGGAATTGAACCTTTTGAACAGTAGCATGATCTTTGTTTCCTTTTAATCAAGTTTATAATAATTCTGTCACATACAAAAATTTTCCACCTTTTCCAACTGATCATCGGAGGTATGGCCAATGGGTATAAAAAATTCAAATGGTTTGCTCCTTTTAAAAACCATCAAAGAACCCATTTCATAGACTGAATTACATTCTGCTTTATCAATTATCACCATGTTACCTCAAATTCGCTCCACTTTGTTCAGGTCTGCTGCTCCATTAAGAGCCCAAGCTGTCCGTGGCTTTAGATCTTGTGCTCCTTCTTTGATCCAAGTTGGTGACTCTATTCCATCCGTCTCAACTTTGAGAGAAGGTTCTCCAGGTAATGAAGTTGATTTGGCTCAATTGACCAAAACTGTGAGTGTGATTGAATCAATGTGAAATAGATAAAATGTACTAACTATTTTAAAGGGTAAAAGCATTATTGTTGGTGTTCCAGGTGCCTTCTCTCCAGCTTGTTCAGCTAGTCATGTTCCAGGCTACGTTAAGCATATCAAAGAATTCACTGATAAAGGCTACAAGATCTTTGTCACTGCTGTCAATGATTCCTTCGTGACTAAAGCTTGGGGTGATGAGCTTGCCAAAGACAGTGGAGTGAGTATACATGAAGATTCTATCTTGAACATTGTTACTAATTATTGCCTATAGATTCGTTTCATTGCTGACCCTTCAGCTGACTTCTCAAAAGCTACTGAATTGTCAATTGATGCCACACCATTCTTTGGTGGTGTCAGAAACAAGAGATTCGTCTTGATTGTGGAAGACGGTAAAGTCAAGTCTGAAACCGTTGAGCCTGACAACTTTGGATTAGATGTCACCAAGGCTGAAGAGATCTTGAAGCAAATTTAGACTAGTTCTTTCAATTGAATTGATGATGATCCTTACTGAACTGATTCGTAGCCTCTGCCCAGCTCAACAGACTTCCCAGCCTAAACTTTAGACAGATCTCCGCCTAAACCTTCTCCGCCTAAAACTAGCATTTTTTCCCAGGGGAACTTTAATTTTCTAGACTTTCGCGAATCACCAGCCCAACTTTTTCCAACATACGCTCAAACTCTCAACATCAGTCAAGGCATTTGCAAGTACACCATCAAACACCACACCCTTTAGAAGGCCATAGCCATTAATCACACCAGTACAAACATGTCTGAAATACCTAGCACGACCCCTACACCACCTCCAGCCACAGAAACTATATTGGACAATGAATTCAGCTTATACACAAAGACTTTAACATTCAACGTTATAGGTCGATATGATCCAAAAATTGATCGTTTATTATACCATACATCCCATTGTCAAATGTATAAATTTGGTGAAACTCAAGAATGGGAAAAAATAGATTATAGTGGTGTGTTGGCAATCTATTCTAGGAAGCAAAATGAAGATGAAGTTGATTTGGATGATATTTATGATCATGGTATAATAATATTAAATCGTACATCTCCTGAAAATTTTAGTGTTGGTTTATTATCCAAAAATCAAAGTAAAAATTTAGGCATAAGTGAAGTTAAAGTTGAATATCAATCTGAATATATAATGCTTAAGAATGTTGAAGGTGATATTTTTGGATTTTGGGTTCATGAGGAAAAAGATAGAGAAAGTGTTTATAGCTTGATTAAAGCTATTGTTAATAGAGACTGAAGAATAAATGCTACGTTAATCAAAAGAAAAAAATCAACATTAGTACGCCTGTAATAAAACCTAAACGAGATACCACACCCTTGTATTCTCAATTATTATTAGTATTAGCATCAGTTTTATTCTTTTTCTTATAAGAACCTCTCTTCTTCTTTGGTGGTTCTTCACCGCCGCCAGGTAAAGTCTTTCCAGAATAACCTGGAAGGGTTTTACCAGCTGTAGCTGCTGCTGCTGCCGCCGCGGCGGCTGCCTTCTTTGTAGGTTTCTTTGGTTTTTTAACTTTCTTACCATCTTCATCAACATCTTTATTCTGCTGTGGTGCTTGTTGTGGCTGCTGCTGTTGTTGTTGTTGTAATTGTTGTTGAGCCATAGCTTTCTGTTGGTTTAATAAATGTTGCTGTTGTTGTAATGGACTCATGCCTTGCATTCTTTGTTGTTGCAATTGCATTAACCGTTGTTGTTGTTGTAATTGGTGTTGTTGGGCAGGTGTTAAATTCCCATTTTGTGAACTAAATTGTCGACTTGTTAAATTAGCAGACATTGATTGTTGTTTTAATTTTTCTTTCTTGATTCTCCATTGCTCAACAAATCTTAATCTTGTGAATTGACTTGGATCACTTCCTGAATCTCCTAGTGCATGGTTTGCCTTATCATTCATCAACAACATAAATTGTTCATATTCAGAGTTTTGTTGTGGTAAATCATCATGGAGATCTTTATAAGGTTTGAAAGCTTTTGATTCTGGATCAGTTGATTCTAGTCTATGATTATGAATAATTTCACCAGTTTCTTTATTAATTTTTGGATATTCAGATTGTGGTCTAAAAGGCTCAGGTATATGATATGGGTTTGATGGAACAGATAAATCCAATTTTCTTTTAGTCAGTGATAAAATCTCAGCCTCCATACTGACACCTAAATGATCACTAAATCTTTGTAATGCAGAATCTGTTTGGTATAATAAATCATAAAATAATGATAATTGTGTTGGTTTCAATAATGTTTTAAAAGATCTTGGAACTTTTTTCAATTCTTTATTTTTAGTAGTTTCATTAATACTCTCCACCTCGATTGTATTTCTATGATCATAAACTTTTAAAATAATACAACCTTCATAAAATCTTATACCAGCATCTCTTAAAACTTCCACAATAGCATGCGGTATTTCTTCTCTTGCCACATATTCTAAAAAATCTTTTACAAGTTGACTATTTTTCGATATTATACCATCCTGTGAGGTTTTTGTTAGTATGTTTGAAAGCTGGTTTTACTAATTAATACCCACTTGATTCCCAAATCTATAATGGTTTTCATGTATGTGAAACTCTAAGCTTGGATCAAAATTTTCATACTTCTTCAAAATCTCTTCAGAAGTTTCAGCAAAATTATAAACCCTTCTTTGATTAGGACTTCTAACACCAGCCAATCCATGAGCATTACCATTCAGTTGAGCTTGTCGTTGTTGTTGGGCCAAAGGTGATGGACGATGCTGTTGCTGTTGTTGTTGTTGAAGGTATTGTTGACGTGTTCCATTCACTGGTATACCATTGACAGGTATCCCAGCCTTCATTTCGTTATAGGTACGTTTAGCCTTTTCTTGAGCTGAAGTCACAGACATTTCTTCTTATTGTAGCGAGTGACACCAATTAATATTCGTTCTCTAAAGGTTATAAAATGCCTCTTTATTAAATAATCCACCAACTTCCAGCGCTGGTAGTTATTTCCCAATGACTTAGTAACCAAATTCCAGTTTAATCAACTAATTTCCAATTGATTTTGGATGTGTTTCCCACGTATTTTCTAGCCCTGTCACTGTGCGCTTCTTTGTTGATGGTTTTTTTCTCACCTTCAACCAGAAAATCAACAAAAATCGGTTCGTGCGCACTTTTCAGTGTCCTCGGCTACAATAACTAAAATATTAAAAAGAGAATTGACTCTATAAAAACAACTATAAATTATACTATACTATATTATATTATAAATGCTCAGATCTTTGTATTGCTCCAGATGTCTTGAACACCAAAGAGTGATGTAATGGTACCAGCCAAACCGATGGATCCCTCGTCGTAATTGAGGAATTTCAAATTGTTTAAAACAATAAAGAAATCAAATGAATCCCAAACTAATCTCTTTGTAGCTTTGAATTTCTCCAATTCGATGGCTTTTGATTTCTCAGCATCTTTTTCATCCAAAGATTGTAATTTACTTGTGGTGATTGAAATCTTTCTCAAATCATTAGTTAAACCGGAAACTAACCCAATAAACCAAAACCAGTTGGCATATTTTGGAGCTTTAGCAAATGATTTATTTGAAACTAATCCCAATAATTTCAACCAAGCAACTGAATCTAATGATAAATAACCAACATAAGCTAAATTCTTCAAAACAACTGTGGCTCTAATGATTGGATCTGATAATTTATTATCAAATGCTTTAGCAGCATCTTGAATATGATTTAAAGGTTTCAAGAATCTTAAACCTTTTCTAATAAAAGTGGATTGATTTTGTAAAGCTTTGAATAATTTGGCTAAATCCAATGCACCTTTTTGAGCAGCATAATAGGATAGAAATCTAACAAGGTATTGAACAAGACGGAATGATTTTTCTCTACCAGCGGTAGTGTCCAAGTATTTGATTAGCTTCTTGAGAGTAGGATGATAAACTAGAGTATCCACCACCATTTTTGAATATATTTCTTATTTGATTGATTGATTCGGTAAAGAATGGAACCAAATAATTATGAGAGTATATTGCTCTTTTATATACTTTCCATAAACCCCAGGTTTTTCCCATGATGTCAAAGTCAAAAAGTTTTACCGTTCAGCCATCGGCCAGCCAAAGGCAGTCCCCGTCCGATTACGGATTTCTGGGCTGGAGCAAACCGGAAGAGACAGGGACACAGATTACGCTGAGCAAGGGTAAATATGGGAATGGCATATAAACTACAATATTCATATTCATATCCTAATCTATAATACATTACTTTTCTCTACCTAGTTCTTGACAATGTTGTGTGCATACTCTCTGGATTTTTGAACCAACAAAGAGTCAGCTAAAACCAACGCAGCCATGGCTTCAACAATTGGAATGGCTCTTGGTGTAACACTTGGATCATGTCTACCTCTAGCAGCTAAAACACCCTTCTTACCTTCATAAGTAGCTGTTGGTTGTTCTTTACTAATAGTTGCAGCTGATTTGAATGCGACAGAAAAATAGATGTTTTCACCATTTGAAATACCACCTTGGATACCACCAGAATTATTAGTCTTTGTTCTAAATCTACCAGTTTCTTCCTCCAAATAAAATGGATCATTATGTTTAGAACCTGGAATTTGAACACCTTCAAAACCTGAACCAATTTCAAAACCTTTAGTAGCTGGTAATGACAACATAGCATGAGCCAATTGTGCTTCCAATTTATCGAAAACTGGTTCACCCAACCCTATTGGGGCATTACGAATAACACAAGTAACAACACCACCAATTGAATCTTTAGCATCTCTATATTTTTCAATCTCTTCAACCATAGCTTGAGCTACACTTGGATCTGGACAACGAACTGGACCTGCATCATCAACTTGTTCTCTAGTAACAGTATTCAATAATTCAACAAATTTTGGATCAGTAACATCTCTGGTCATTTTAACTTCACCAATTTGTGATACAAATGCAACAATTTCAACATTATTAGCTTTTTGTAAAAATTTCTCAGCAATAGCACCTGCTGCAACTCTACCGATTGTTTCTCTAGCACTTGAACGACCACCACCAGATGAAGCTTTGATACCATATTTACTTAAATAAGTGAAATCAGCATGAGATGGTCTTGGGTATAAATCAGTTTCACTATAATCATGAGGTCTTTGATCTTCATTAGCAACCAACATACCAATAGAAGTACCTAAAGTCTTACCATATTCAGTACCTGATTGGATGAAGACACGATCTTTTTCATTTCTTGGTGTAGATAATTTTGATTGACCTGGTCTTCTTCTTGTTAATTGTGGTTGAATATCAGCTTCTGTTAATTCTAAACCTGGTGGAACACCATCAACGATACATCCGACTGATTTACAGTGGGATTCACCATAAGTGGTGACTTTGAACAATGTACCGAATGAAGACATTGTATATGAGTTTTATGAAGTTTTCTTTAAAGTTGGAATGTGCTGATTCGAACATTTTATATATCGATGAGACGAGAAGACTCACTTTTTTTTTCAACGCTCGTAGGTGAAAAAAAAAAAAAAAAATCGATAATCTGTTGCACTGGCGAGAAATTGACACATGAACTCAAATACAAATGTCACAAACTTCTCATCAAGTTCTATAGTGTAACAGATTTATAAGTTTTGAATGTTTAGGCCTATTGTAATTTTAATACAAGAGTGAAAACAAATCATCAATTAGATCATAGCTCATCAATTGCTTAATTCATTAGTCTAGTGGTTGTGTAGTACTTTTTGTAGTACTTTTTGTAGTACTTTTTGTAGTACTTTTTGTAGTACGTTTTGTAGCACCATGTGTCAAAATTCACATCCAGATTTTATTCACAGATATGCTCAAGGATCACTATTCTTTGATCCATACATTTCTAAGAAAGCGTTAGTCTCATTCATCTTATCGGCATCGGCTTTCACTTTTTCAATCCATCTTTCAACTAAATCACCATTCTCCTTTTCTAATTTATCAACCTTATCCGTTAGCAAATTATTTTGAATTGATAATGATAGTATCTCATCATTTATTAGTTCAATCGACTTATTCTTATGTTGGTATTCTTCTGTCTGGTTGTTCAATTTATTTGTTAATCTTGTGACAGCTCTGTTCAACATTGTAACCTCTTTTGCTGATTTCAAACGTTCGGTCTTTTGTTGCTGTAGTTGAGTCTCTAATTCCCTGGTATTATCTTGTGAATTCTTTAATTCAATTGATAGTTGTTGGTTTTGTTCTAAAGATGATTGTAATTCACTAGAGTCATATCAGTATCATGAACTCATAAAACACAGCCAATTAACTTACCCTTGAGCGTCAGTTGCTTCCAATTTAGCGAGCGTTTCCTCAGCTTGCATAGCTCTATCATATAATGTTTCAACTAGCTAGATGTTAGTAATTATCGTACATTTGCTCTCTTGATCGTTTATACTCACAACTTGTAAACATATTGATGTTGGCTTTTTCTATCTTATCCCTGAGCTCGAGAGACTCCATAAGCTGGTTTCTCCATTCATTTCCATCACTCATATTATCATTGTCTTCACGTGTTCGGTTAGTTGAACTTGATGATAACATTTTAAAGCTTCAATTTGTTCAGCTCCAGTTTCCTTTTTTGACGCAAGACCTCCGCGAACCCGTTCTGTAATTTTTAGCACATTCTTGAATTTGAAGCAAGTTGATAAACAGTCCACGAGATAATTGAAAACAACAAACTTGACACTTTCCAAGGAGAAACATGAGCTCCAATGTGTCCATAAATGCTAATACTGAAGCAGATGGACAGAAGCCTACTATATCAACGTCATTTAAAGAACCCACCAAAGAGGATTTAGGAGCATCTAATCAACTTTCAAATGGTTGGAAATATTGGAAAAAGATACAAGGTTCCGCTGAACATACAAATAGGAAAATGTCTTCAATAGATCCACTTCAGGCTCCTAATACCATTACTGGGGAATCTACAAGAGAAGAAGCTTCTATACGGCCTGAAGATGCTACATTACCCAATGGTAATGAAAATCATATAAATGACAACAACACTAAACAAATTCCAAATGAACAACAATCACCACATAAACAAGAGCCACAAGAATGGTCTAAATGGTTTAACCCATGGTCATATATCCCACATGAAGCGTTCAACTTCCCTACAAGTCAACTACCCACAACATCCCATCAGCAACCCAATGACAATCAATCAGAACATTCATCAACATTGACAACACCTACACCCTCAGATAACGGATGGTTTGGTTGGGTATGGGGAAGACAGAAGCCTAGTGAAGAAAATCTAACACATGATATGATCAGCTCCATAGAATTAAAGAAGAATGTTAAAGAAGCTAAAAAGGCTATACAAAGTCCTGACGCGATCTGGGGCTGGTATCAAAACCATTACAATGATAGAAAAGATGGTGAGCTCTCTGTCTTGGATACAAAAACTGAAACTAATCCTGTTGATTTGAATAAATACCCAGGTCAGTATCAAGAGCCTGAAGGTAATGAAGGTTGTGTCGTGCCTGATTTCATGGAGTGTTTTAGAGAGATTACAACAAAGACTAAAGTTAGAATTGCAACTGAATTATATTATAATTATCCTACTGAAAAGCACCTATACATCAAGAGAAAGATTCATAAACCATTGATACGATATGTTTTGGTTGTGTCAGTGATGGGTGGCTCTAAAGGAAGTAAGGCCAATGTTGTCAATTCCAAAACGTTGAGTTCTTTAGCAGTACAATCAATCAAGGATTGGTATACTGATAAGGAGACGAGTTACGACTATCAAATAGAAAGTGTATCATTGGAGGCTTCTAAATTGACTGAAAACACTTCAGAGGATTTATTCAAATTGCTGATCAATTGGAGAGAACAATTCAAAAAGATAGACCATGTGTTTTTCGTTGGTTATAGTACTTCTGTTCCATTATCTGCAAAGTTATTAGAAATCATGATTAGTAGAAATCTGTTTGATAATTCCAAAAAGCATGGATTGTTGAGTATTGATGGTATCGTTCCAGGACCATATATTGAAGAAACTGAAGCACTCAGTGTTAATTATTGTTCGGATTTCAATCAAACTTTGGCAACACTAGTTGAACAGTATAACGTTAAGCTTTCAGTTATTGGAACATTGAATAACATCCCAGGATCATTGGCCATCCATTTGAAACATCCAAATATTTACCGTTCATTATACATTTCCAAAACTAATTATGATAATGATTTTGAAAATCATTTATTTCAAATTCTTTTGATCTCTCATAATTTAGGACATTCTTCAACTAGGCTTCTGATCCAATTGAACAAGTATTTTGCATCATCAACTAATATATTGGAAGATTTGAATGCAGGGTTTTATTTAAATGCAGTGAATAACTCATTGAGTACCACAAGTTTGATCCAAGGTAAAAAGATGACATTGGACTTGGTTAATGATACAATATTAGACAATGAATACAACTTGATCTGGACGTTGCATGCATTTGTTGATGATTTCAAAAAAATCAAAAACATTGATTCTCACAAGAGAATTGTCAAGTTTATAGAATCCTACAAACAATGGGATCCTCAATCTAAAAGTCTGAAAGAGTTGAAGTACATGTTGGAAGTTTTGAAGATAGATGACTATTGCGGTGCATTGTTACGTTAACGATATAATGATAGAATAGATAAAGATTATTGTTTATGTAGTTGTTCATTACTCGATCTGATGTTTACAAGAGATCGGCGCGATTCACCTGTTTTTTTCGCGTTTGTTTACTATACCGAAAAAGCATGGTGTATGAAGAAAAAAAATGTAATTGATCCATCACACTTTTGGTACATTCATTCTTTTAACCAAGTGTTAAACCACTAAGATGTCGGTGCTTCCAAATTCTAACAAGAGAGTATGTATTCTCAGTCTCATTGATAAAGTATACGATCCAGCTAACATGTCTCAAAGGTTAGAAATCTTTCAGAAGAAGAGGCCCAACCACTGAAGAAATCACATACAACGGTGGCAAACCATATCGGGACACTCTATAGTTTACATGATTCTTTCCATTTATCAGTGCCCAATAAATCAACAGTGGTTGTTGGTAGAAGTCGTTCAAGTGATATTGTTTTAAGAGGATCTGATATTTCAACAAGACATTGTGAATTAATACCCATCTGGAATGATGTTTTGCAAAATTTTTTTTTGAATTTGATTGATCATAGTTCCAATGGTACATTTGTGAATGGTTCAAGGGTTGAGAATAAGAACTGTATCTTGAAGAATGGTGATAAGTTGAACTTTGCTAAAAGTGGTGCTTATGTTTTCAGATATAAAAGAGATGAAGAATCATCTGATGAGGATAAAGAGAATGTTGATACAACTTCTAATGTCAAACCTGCCAAATCATTCTTTGATGAGTATGTTCTTGGTAGGCAATTAGGGTCTGGGCATTATGCTACTGTTAAAGAGGCAATTAGAAAAGAGACTGGTGATTCATTTGCGGTAAAGATTTTCAAACCACAAAGAGCTGATGATACTAAGAGCTCAAAACAATTCAATCAAGAGCTTGAAGTTTTGATGAGTATCAAACATGAAAATATTGTCAAATTGATTGGGACCTATACAGAACCTATAAACAAATTTTCATTCACCACATATCTTGTTTTAGAAAAAGTCAATGATGGTGAGCTATTCACAAGAATTGTCAAGAAGCAAAACTTGAGGCAAGATGAAACAAAGGCTATTTTCAAACAGTTGTTGAATGGTTTACTATATTTGCATAATAGAAATATCATTCATAGAGATATAAAGCCAGAGAATATATTACTAAACATTGTTCCTAGAACTTCACCAAGTCAGAAACAAACAGGACCATGGGATGAGAATGAATTGGATGTTTCAGTGAAAATAGCAGACTTTGGATTAGCAAAATTTATTGGTGAATTGAAATTTACAAATACTTTATGTGGTACTCCAGCATATGTTGCGCCAGAAGTTTTAAACTCATCAAGAAAATATTCCAAGAATATTGATTTATGGAGTGCTGGTGTGCTACTTTATGTTTGTTTAGTTGGATTCCCACCTTTTAGTGATGAATTGGGTCCTCCAAATATGAGAGAACAGATTATTTCAGCCAAATATGCGTTCTATAGTCCATATTTTGACGCTATCGATGATTTGGCCTTGGATTTGATCACAAAGTTGTTGGTGCTGGACCCTGACCAAAGACTCAATATACAGCAGGCAATTGATCATCCATGGTTCAATGATGATAGCTCAGCACCATTGGACACTGTCACTAGATCACCAATCAAAGGATCATCCTTGCCAAAGACCTACACTGAGCTCTCCCAAATGCAGAGCATGGAAGGGCCAGGTGTCCCATAGAGTCTCCCTATTGTTTAAGTTAAAGCATGTTGATTTTTTTCTTTTCCTGTTTGTTTGTATTTTTGGGTTTATACTAGTTCGGCGGCTAATGTTCAAAAAGTATAAAGTCAGATTTCTCCAGATCTTGATTTGATCTTTTGAACAAAACTCGTGACAATTGAGGAAAGTGCAATGTCTAATAGTACAAAGCTGGCTGGTGCTGATAATGGAAATGGTGGTAAGCCAATGGAAGACAGTGTCTCTTTGATGCTCAAGGACCTGACACATTTGGAGGATACTGATGAAAGTGATGGTGATGAAGAGCTAAATGAAAATGAAGAGATTGATGAAGAGGCAATAAATAAGGAGCTAGTAACTTGGGCTGGAAGATTGGAATTGGAATCAATTGATCTAAGGGAAAAGGCTAAGGCGTTGACAAGTCAGATGACACAAAATTCAGAATCAATCAAGAATACCGCTCAAGATTTGAAATCTGAGTTCAAGAGTTGGAAAGAAACTTCAAACAAGTCATTAGATGGTGCTATACAAACTTTTTCTAAAGCTTCAGCAAGTTTTTCAAATGCTAGTAAAGTGTTGTCAAGTTTGAAAGGTAAGGATAAATCTACAACTAGCGATATCCAAAAGATACTGGAGACGCTTAAATCAGCCAAAGCTACAATTGAAAGCCTTCAAGTGTCACATACAAACTCAAGCAAGAAACAAGTGAATGATATTACAAATTCTGTTTTGAGCAAAAAAATTCAAACTGTTATTAATGGGATTCAGAATTTGACTAACCATGTTGTTAACGTTGAAGAAGCTCGTAAGCAAAATGATAAGAACCAAAAAACAATAAATGACACTTTAGAGAAATGTTTGAGAAGAATCGAAGATATTCAAAACTTGCAGGTGGATTTCAATAGAGAATTAAAATCATTGAGTAGATCACAAGCTTCATTGTCATTGGAGTTTTACAAGTTCAAAACAATTAATAGAAGAAATGATGAGAATCAAATTACAACTTTTACACCGGAGAGCTCATTTAATGATTCAAGGAGTGATTCAGCTTTGAACCATCAATTACCATCCAGTTTACCCACCTCAAATGCAAATACATCACAGCAACATGATCAGTCTCAAATACCACCTCAAGATGATAATTCAACACAAACAACTAAAACTTTTCAAAAACCACTCAGCTTTCCACTGCCTAAGAGAAGAGGAAGACCACCAAAGGTGCAACAAAGAACCAGTACATTCAAACCAAGAACGAGAAGTAGCCAGGTGATTATAGATAATTATTTGTATTCGGATAATCTACCAGCCATTAGAACAAGAAAGAAAAAGGACATGGATGAAGGTAATCGTAATCATCACCAAGAATCAAACCATGTTGAGCGTCAATCTAGTATAAATGATCAGCTACCAAAATATGAAGAAGTCATTAGTTTATTATCAGATGATGCATTTGGTCAATTCCCAGTATTATCAGATCTTTAAAAAATTTCAGTTTTTTCAATTCCTCTATTACGATCTAATTTAATTCTAAAATTTTGGCCATCTGGTGTAGCAGGGGTACCTCTTTCTGTGAAATCTCTATAATATAACTCATAAACAACCATATATCTTGTAATGAACGCTCTAACTTGTTCGTCAGTCATACCAGTTCCACGTAATTTAATCAATTCATGTTCTTGTTGAAGTCTCCATTCATAAACATTATTAATATCATCAGTATCGAAAAAGATATCAACATCAAAGAATTCCCATATCTTAACATATTGATCCAAAAATGAATTAATTTCATGGATATCATCAATTGGGAAATTTTTCAATAAAGTTGATTCTTCATATTTTGTTTCAATTTCATCAGAATTTTCATATGGTAAAAAACCATTAAACCAACCTTCAATAATCAAAATATCCACAGGTTTTTCAATATCTAGCCATAAAGATTCATCATTCCGATCACCTTCCCCATTAAACGCAGCTTTATTATAAGTTGGTATCTTGAACCCAAACTCTTTATTCACAATCTTGGAAATTAATTTATACCCCAATTCAACATCATGAGTCCCTGGTAATCCTCTCCCATTTAATAATTTTGTACCCGGGTGTTCCTCCGTTAATAATTTCTGATCTCTATGTTTTAAATATAAATCATCTGTTGATATGGTTATTGATTTTAATTTTGGATAAGTTCTTGTTAAGTATTGAAGAAGTTTTAATGAAAGGTATGATTTCCCCGAACCTTGAGGACCTGATATGCTGATGACTAATGGTCTTTCGAATTTCCACTTGGTGATTATGGGTTCGATGAAGTCTATTGTCTTTGATAATGTGGCCATTATTAGTATAATCTCGGTTCCCTTTGTTTTTCAAAGTGGTTGAGGATTTTGTGGAGAGCTGATGGTTTTTATATGATGGTGTTTTTTTCCGAGAAAGTATGGGGATGAGCCTGATTTGAGCGTGGGATGAAAATCATCATTAAGTAAAGCTACATCATGGTGGGATTTAAGAAATAATTTATGGTTATTGTATTCAATTCATGGTCATTGTCTAAATGGCTTTCAAATCTTTTAATTTTGAAACTAATTCATCAACATTACCAACTTTAATACCAGCATTACGAACAGGAGGTTCTTCGACTTTTAAAACTTCTAAACGTTTAGTAACATCAACATCAAAATCACTTAGTTTTAATTTTTCTAATGGTTTTTTCTTAGCTTTCATCATATTTGGTAAAGTTGCATAACGAGGTTCATTTAAACGTAAATCAGTAGTTATAATTAAAGGTAATTTTGCCTTGACAGTTTCTTCACCACCGTCAATTTCTCTAGTGACGAAAACTTCTTCACCTTTCAATTCCACTTTAGCAGCATTTGTGGCTTGAGGCCATTTCAATAAACCTGCAAGCATTTGACCAGTATGATTTGAATCATCATCAATAGCTTGTTTACCTAAAATTACTAAATTTGATTGATTTTTCTCAACAACTTGTTTTAAAATTTTAGCAACAGATAAAGGTTCAATTTCTTCTTCACCAACATCGACTAAAGTTGAGGAATCAGCACCTTTTGCTAATGATTGACGTAAAATATCTTGAGATTTAGTTGGACCAATTGAAACAACATGGATTTTATTCACTAGTGATTTATTAGCTTCTTTGATACGAACAGCTTCTTCAACCTATTCATTGTTAGTTATGTTATCGAAAGAGTAATACTTTTATAAACTTACAGCAATATCACAAAATGGATTGATACTGAATTTGACACCTGCTTTTTCAATACCAGTATTAGTTTTGTTGATTCTTGGTTTGATGGCGAAATCAATCACTCTTTTCACAGGTACCAGTATGTTCAATTTGGTTGACATTTTCAAAAATATAGGTGGGTTTTGTTTGGTCTCCTCCAGGGATCTCTAATTTGTAGATGGTTTTTAATGAAATGAGCTTTTGGTTTTGACTCAAATGTTCAAGATCTTGATGTAATTTCTGGACATGAAAAAAAATCTTATGTAATCACGACTCGGAATTTTAGCACCTACAAATTAACTTGTTCAATATTTGTTAATTGAAGTGTAATAAATAAGTAATAAATAGATGGTTAATAAGTATGGTGGCGGTTCAATAAATAAATAAATAATAAATAAGAGTTCTCCCTATTTGATGGGATTAACCTAAACAGATGTTGGTTGTTTCAATTCTTCAAAAGGTGGTAATTTGAAACCCCAAGCTTCTTCACCTTCTCTAACTTCATAATATTTTTTCAAATCAATATCATGATTATTATGGCTAACAAGGTTAAACCATGGAATTAAATGTAAATTCAATTGAGAATTTTTAGAATTTCTTGAAGCAACACCTTGTAACCAAGGAGTTAAAGTTGAATTACCAAATAATGGTTCACCTTTACTCAATTTTGATTTGATTTCATATCTATCCTTTTGCACTTCTCTTGAATTTTCAGAAATCCCCCAAAATCTTTTAGTTGATCTATTATAAGCAATGAAAAATCCACCAATAAAACCTAATAAAGTTGTTACTCTTAATACACCACCATTTGGTTTAGTGAATGCACGGCCATTATTATGATCGAAATATTCAAGGGCAGTGAATAAACCAGGCATACCAACGGTACCTATTGCCCATGCCCCATAGTCTGATAATCTAAAGTACTTGATGACACGGCCAAAATGAGGATCTGAGTCAATTATCTGGGGAGGTGGTTGTTAGTGGTGATGGTTATCAAGTGGTGGTGAATGATACTCACTTCAAATTTAGGAGCCATCTTTCAATTGATACGGATGTGTTGAATTGGTTTCTTCAATATCATCATCATGTTAAGTTTTGATCAAGGGAGGTATTTTTTGGGTGCAGTCTTGTGTGCTGGTGTTTACGCTGGTGGTGTTCTTATATTTACGCAGCTAGGCTAGGGAGAAAGGCTACGATATTGGAGATTAAAGAATAGGCTATTTACTTTTAATTAGTTAAAGAAGGTGAGAATAGAGAATAGAGAATAGAAAATAGAGATAATAGTTGGTATATCTTGTTTCTTGTTGAAGATAATGTGCAGACTGTTATTGTTCTTTGGCTATCAATTCTGAATCTGAATCTGATTAATCGTGATTGCCACCATAATGAAGACTAATAACTAATACAACCTACGCTAACTAAACAATCCATTCTATTCCATCTTATTCCACTCATTATAATCCATCTAATTACTAATATCTCAACATTACTAATTTAATTTAATTTAATTTAATTTAATTTAATTTAATTCAATTTCAATTCATTCAAATTCTCAAAACTTCCAATCGAAAAAAAGACCGGCCACAATTTGTAAGCCAGTGGAAATCTGTTTTCATATAAAAGAAAACCAAACGACGACTTTACAAATTAACACCTTTCCCAATAACCATCATCAATTGATAACACATACACACATACAATATAAAAATGGTTACTGTCATCACCTCTGCCGAACAATTCAAAGAAGCTATTGCTCAAGACAAATTGGTTGTCGTTGATTTCTTTGCTACTTGGTGTGGTCCTTGTAAAATGATTGCTCCTTTATTAGAAAAATTCTCTAACGAATATTCAAATGCTGCCTTCTATAAAATTGATGTCGATGATTTAGGTGCTGTTGCTCAAGAACAAGAAGTTAGTGCTATGCCAACTATCATCTTCTACAAAAACGGTGCTGTTGTTGATAAAGTTATTGGTGCTAATCCAAATGCTATTAAACAAAAAATTACTTCAAACTTATAATTGAAAAAACCAAAAGAATTGACTTACAAAGAAAAGAATAGAGTATGATATTTGTTTGGGTGTGTCTTATAATTATGAAATGTTTAATGGATATAACGTGTTTTAACTTTTGTTCTGTCTGAAATATCGTAGTGTGTACGTAATAACTGGTCCGAAATAACTACACAATAATTCAAAATTGAAAGTTGCTCATTGCATTAAATCAGTGATTCGAACATTTATGTATTCAAATCACATGGAAATAGACAATTGGTCAACCTAGTTTCCAGCTGTTTTCTTAAGCATGTCAACACATATTGACAGCTAATTAAACAGCTAACAACAACGTAGTTATATGTTGACTAGATCTTCATAAATCTAGATCTTTATAAAACATGTGTTGGTGATATCATGGCTATAGCTTTTTTAGGTCAAAACATTTCTCACATGAACTATGAATTCCATAAACTATGAAAGACCCTTACAATTGTTTCCAAAGATATTCACTTAAGATATCAATCAAGCCATATTAATCATTCATTTTCCAATAACTCTCCAAATTGAAGCAATTTCAGTACACTCTCTATCACAAATTTACTTTAGAGATCATATTTTTAATAATTGAACCACCTGGATATTCTCTAAAAATATTAAAGAAACAAATTCTCACTTTGCTTATATAATTCCAAGAAAATTTGATGGTTTTTCATTGATGAATGAAATTCAAGCTAAAATTGATCTTTTTAGTTAATTATACAGAGAGTTCGACAATGGATCTATAGATTTTTCAGAATAAGACTCCAAAGTTTCTTGAGAAACTTATTTACAGACCATGGTTATATTTTATTATATTGTTAATTATCAAATCGATGGAGAGCTAATACAATCAGGCTAGGAATACTTACTGAATTAGTCAATTCATTATACTGCAGGATGGTAATCTTTTAATAAAATCAATTGGTTGGACTTTATTTTTGAGAAAAGTAGGTGCTTTTATATATACAGCTTTTACTAATCATAACTAGAGCATACGCAAGAACAAATAAATATTAATATCAATATTCATTAGTAGCTTTGTATTGATTGATCAGTTAGCTGTTTGTAGTTTTCTATACTAACTAGATAATCATAAACGTAGAGGTACTGACTACATCAATTGATCCCAATTGCTTCCCAAAATGAACAGATGAAATAATCAAATATGCGTATTGAATGTTACTCTCAATGATTCAAACTTTTCAATTCAAAATCAATTTGGTGTAAACTCAATGTGTAATAGCTGACGTCGCACGAAGCTAAGATCAACAAACTTTTCACTCCTCGTGCTATAGTTGTCCAACTTCTGAACTATATTTCAAGCTTAAAGCAACTTAGAACACACGAGACAAAAAATAAAGGAATCTTGTACAGTGATTATGAAATTTGCACTTTTCCCAAATTCAATGCACACAAAACAAGAAAACACCATGAACAACCTCCTTAATAGGAAATTCAAGGGATTTGCTTTATTTTGCAATATATGGTCCTCCCAAAAAGATATTTCTTGATATTAGTTCAGCATATCTTCACGCTCCCATCAATCACGCGGTATACATCAAACCACCAACAGACCGTGTGACATGTGTGTAGAATATTGGTGGGTACTTGGTACATACCTGTCGTCGAAAATTTTCGCTTTTCGCGTCCTCGCAATCAGAATTGTACCATAATGCAGACTTACTTCTGTGGTCGGCCTACAATGAAGAGTCTTTAATGTGCTCAGTCTAACAAGCTAGCTATTGTACTTTAACCTATAAGAATAGCTACATATTTACTTGATGATTTGCTTATACTTTATTCCAATATTTTCGGTCTTCGATATGAAACTGTCATATCTAGACGTGTACGCAAGTCGATTATTGAAAAAGCAGTTTCCTTTAATTTCTGTACACTGATCATAACGACAAACTTTAGATAAACATCTTTCAATAAACTAGTCATGAGTAATGAATCAGTAGAGAAGGTGGTACATTATCTTTTCAGATGACGAGTTACGATTGCATTAGACTTTCATTGAAATTCATTAATCCAAAAGTTTCTTCATTTTTGTTGAGCTCTGCAGAATATTATAATGAAGATACGAATCCCAGCAAGCTGCAGGTTATTTACAGAATTATATGAGAAAAGACTTAACTAGCTAGGAGTCCTTGCAGGCCTTTAAATATGGATCGACGAACAATATAATTATAATTGCGGCTCAAAATTACAGAATATATTTGATATGAAACCATAAAATTTGTAGTGGTTTCTAAAGTGGAATATCACACCTTGATCAATTCATCCGTTGGCCAGATAACATGCTTTTTGTATGTGAAAGTCTGCTTCACTACTTTGTTGGATGATGATTTTTTGATCTCATTATAAAGTGTGCTTCAGTTGGTGGTCGCGTTTTAATTATGAACTTCTTAATAGAGCAAAGACTATCTAATTAAGAGCCTACCGAAAGCCATTCAGGCCGATTGCAGCATGATCTTTTAATTTGAAAATATCAATCTTGTTCTGCAAGTGATGAGATTACCGTGATGTTAATATTCACCCGTGGTTTTGTAAATATAAAAGAATTGATCAGTGATCTGTTAGCTGCCTGTAGTTTTCAATACTTAATTGAACTAGGTAATCAATATAAACGTGCTGACTACATCAATTGATTCCAAATATTTCTTCCCAAAAATGAACAGATCATGATTAAATGATCAAGTGTGTGTATTGAATATTACTCTCAATGATTCAAACTTTTCAATTCAAAATCAATTTGAAGTAAACTCATAACCTTATTTAATTTCAATTTGCTGCAAAAAGTGTTTCAGTAGTTGTATCATATGTACGCACCAGAAGAATTTAATTTCATAGTCCAACGAAGAACAAAGTAGTTTGGTTCAATACAACTCGAAAGAAACTTGACAACTTGACAGCTTAAACATGGTTGCTAAAACCATGAATAAGGGTCTCATAAAACGTCATCAAAGACAATTTGGTGCTTCCACTCAGAAATTTATGAACTGGTTGTTGTAGTTGGGAATTCATAATTCAAGGGATAATTTGTTTGTTTACACTTTATACACTCTCGGTAAACCCGACCCCCGGAATTCGCCTTTCTTCACGGATGTCAGAAATCACGAGAAGAAAAAAAGGCCTAACCAAACACCAGCTCAAGGGCATCACAACACCACTTGACGTCTGCCATAAACACCTTCAGGTTGCAGGTAAACAAACAAACAAGAACAATAACATTGAGTCCAAACAATAGCTATGAGTTCTGATGACGGTGGCTTCGAGAGTGCGAAGAACAGCGACAATGAAAACATTGACCAAGAATTGCTAGAGTGAGTAAACCCCCTTTGTTTACATTATCCCTTGATTGATGAGATGAGCTTTAGATCGGTTATAACTAACATCAACTATAGACAAACAATTGCTAACTTGTTTTTGAATAATCAGAATGAACCAATCCAGTTCTTTATCCCTGCTAACGAAGATGATAGAGAGAATTTAGTCAATTTAATCACAGTGAGTATTTTAAGTGGAACCCTTTGATTACAAGACTAACATTTTGATAGACTCATGGTGGTAAAGTCTCTGATGATGCAAGTATTGGTTACTACATCTCTAAAAACCATGATCCTTTACGTGATAGTGTGGAACCAAAATTCATTTATGATTCCGTTGAACAAAAATCTTTATTAAAAATTGAATCTTATAAAACTTTCCCAAATACTGGTAATGAAAATGAAAACGTTCAACATTTAGTTTCATTTCTTGATAATGGAGATGGTGCTAATACTACAACCAATACTACTGAACAAGATTCAACTACTGGGAATACTAGCTTACAATTAGCAACCACTAATCAAGAAGTTCAACCTGCAATTTCAAGATCAATTGTCAATAAAAATGGATTCACCCCACAAGAAGATGCAATGATCATTGATGAAGTTAGAAGAAACCCAAACCGTCGTTCCACTCATAAATTATTTGATGAAATTGCCCTCAAAATTGGAAGACATACCGGTAATTCAATCCGTTATCGTTTTAGAACACATTTACAAGCCTCACTGGATTGGGTTTATCTTACTGATGAAGCTGGTAATTTAATCTTGGATCAAGATGGTAGACCAAAAGTTGCAGAAGGGTTACCATCTACGGTGAAGAGAAAATTCGATGCTAAAGATGATTATGATTTAGCTGTTGCCGTTAGAGAAAACTTATTGGAAAAACATGGTGATAGATATGAAAGAGATTCAAAAGATGTTGTTTTACCGGGCAAATTTTTCGAAACTTTGGCTCAAAATTTCCCTCATCATACTAAATCTGCTTGGAGAGATAGATATAGAAAATTTGTTATTCCTTATGGTATTGATAAATATATTGAATATTATCAAGAAGAGGAAACAAATGGAAGAATCCCTGAAGAGATTAAAAACTTCACAGGTAAGAATCTTTATAAATCAAGTAAAAGATATAGAACCGGTTCAATTGATGATCAAGTTGGTGAAACTTTAACTGAACACAATGATCAATATGACCAACAAAGAAGAAGAGCCAATGCCAAGAAGAGAAAACAACAACAACAAGATGCTAATAATTTATTCGCTGCTGCTGATAATGATGAAATATCAGGCTTGGGTCATTCAGGTAACTTTTTCGATAATCATGCTGCTGCAGCGGTCGCTGCTGCTAATAGAATCAATTCACCACCAAGTCCTGAAGATTTCTTAACTGATGATTTAGTCACTGCTAAATTCTTTGAATTCCAACCATTAATCAGTGTTGTTGATAAGATCACTGAAATTGTTAATCGTTCTTATCAAAGTAGTGATGCTGAACAATTAATCACAGCTTTATATGCAGAAGCCGGTATACAGAAGAAATTTGGTACTTTTATAATCACAAGTGTTTGTGGTGATTTGATTTTAATTCCAAAATTTGTGGAAATTTTTTTGAAAACTGGTGAAAATCCTCCTCAAAATATTCATGGTATTTGGACTCCAAGGGATGATCAATATTTGAAATCGGAAATCCCTGAAAGATTGGATTATTTGAAGAGATTACACGGGGCAAAGAGAATTGAATTAAGAAAAACTTTTATTACAAATGATATTGTTTGAATTTAATCACTTTTGCTCATCTCCGATTTTCGTTACTTATGGTTTGATTTTTGTTCTATAATATAATTGTATTCTTATCTGTTTGGTTTTTTTATTTCAGTTCTTTGGTTTTTAGTTAGTATTAATACATTTTGGTTTTGATTAATAGCTTGTGACGTAGTTTTGGACGTTAAAGGGTACTTTCTGTCATTTCACGCCGTGCATAGTGTTTGAAGTTTTCAAAACCTCATCTCCAAAACATGAAACATTCTGAAAAAAATCAAATCGTTTCTAGTTTTATTTACCTTTTCTAGCTCTCAAAGGCACCTAGATCACTAGTTTTCAAATAATATAGTCATGGGGAAACCAACAGACCCTGAAAAATTGAAAGAATATGCGCCAACAATTGCACAAATTGAAGATCAATACATCAATTCAGAATTTGAAATTGATGATATAAATTTTGAAATATTAAGTACAATAAGATATGATCCATTATTAACAGATTCTGTGGATCCAAATATATTTGAACCAACATCTGATAATTCCAAATTGTTTTTCCTTTTCGATGAACATTTCCATCGATTGAATTTTACCTTGGATTTTTTCAAATTTGGTTTTGAAATTGAAAGAGATGAATTATTGTTGAAATTGAATGAAGTCATATCAGGACTTGATAAATCAAATTCTTATAGAATAAGGTTGACTGTGAATAAAGAAGGTGATGTCAAGATAACAGCTCAATTAACTTCACAAAGATACAATCTATTTGATGGTTTCAATACATTAGAAAATTATTCTTCACCATTATGGAATATCTATATCGATACTGAACCTATTCCAATTTCACCATTCACTTCTTTCAAAACTACAAAAAGGGATCGTTACACTGAAGCTAGAGAGCGTATGCTGAAACCTAATTTTGAAGCTCCTCAAGAAGTGTTATTGTACAATACAGCTAATCAAGTCACTGAAGGTTCAATCACTAATCTAGCGTTCAAAACAACTGATTTCAAAACAGGAGATGAACTTTGGGTAACACCTCCATTAGCATCTGGATGTTTATGTGGCGTAGTGAGGCATTTGTTATTGACAAAGGGATTGATTACTGAAAAACAAGTCAATTTAAAAGATGTCAGAATTGGTGATGAAGTACTATTGTTTAATGGTTTACAAGGTGTTGTTAAAGGTATAGTTAAAGAGAAACCCCTTTGAATGAATTATGAGCTTTTATTTAAATATATGCATTGGAATTATTATTCCTCTAGTTCTTTAATTTCTTTATCCGAATATCCTAAAATGTAGAGTATATCAGCAATGGATTTAGTATTTAATTTGGATGGTGCTAATTTTTGAACTCTTGGTTTAGCATTCCATGCAACACCAAAACCTGCTACACCCATCATTGGTAAATCATTTGAACCATCACCAACTGCAACAACACTTTTAAGATCAATTGATTCTTTTTCTGCAATGAATTTCAACAATTCAGCCTTTTTGTCACCATCAACAATCTCTCCTATTGTTTCACCATTGAAAACTTTCTTTCCATCTATTATCTCAGTATTCAAATTATTTGCAAATGCATAATCTAAACCTAAAGTTTCTTTAACATATGTTGCAAGTTCAATGAAACCACCACTCAAGACAGCTAGTTTACAACCTGTTCTTTTTAATGCTTTAGTTAATTCAAAATCACCTTTAGTAAACTCTAATTTTTTCTTCAAATCGTCCCAAATTGTAGCATCAATACCTTTTAATAATTTAACTCTTCTAGCTAATGATTCTTTAAAATCAATTTCACCATTCATAGCAGCAGTAGTGATTTTTTCAACTTCATCTTCAACACCAGCATATGCAGCAATCAATTCAATAACCTCTTGGTAAATTAATGTAGAATCCATATCAAAAACAAACAATTTTTTCTCTTTACGGAATTCATCATCTTTTTGGAAAATCAAATCAATAACATCACCATTTTCCCAATCCAAAATCTCTTGTTTAACTCTTTCAAAAATTGCAGCTTCATGAGCTTCTGGAGTACCACCATCACTTTTAACTAAGGAACAATGAAAGTCGAAGACACGTTCTTCACTCAAGATTTGAATATTGTTAATCTTTAGAGGTAATGACTCAATGAAGTTCTTGAGCTCAATAAAAGCTGCTGGCTCGATTGTTGATGCATGTGTTATAGCCGTTACCACGTAGCTCATTTTATGATTTCTATAATTGTTGTATCAAATGAAAAGAAGGAAGTGATGCAAATAAGTATGATCTGATAAAAGCGTATATAAATCCCAGCTCATCTCATATCGAGAAAGCTGGCAGCTCATGTTGTCGGTTTTTTTCTCCGGTGCATGCTTTAATGGAAAAACTTTTCTTTTTATGGAGAGTTACAACATGGAAATTGAGGTGTTAATTTATGAAAATGAACGGAATGAAATCTAGTACGCTTTAGTGAACAATTTATCAGAAAACTAAGCTTTTTTAGCTGTCTTCTTTAGCTTTTAAATTGATTATTGTAGTTGGATTTATCCTGACTTCCCAATTAGGAATCTAATTTGTTCTCTGATCAGAATTCATCTCATATCTCTAATTTCGCGATTCTCAAATTTTTGAGGAATACGCCAGGTTTTTTAATTAACCTAAAGGTTATAAAATCATTACAATTAACAAGCTCCAGCGAAGTATTCAATCCAATTTGCCACCTCCATTGACTTGAAGAAAAACACTCGTTGAAAATGCCATTAGCTGAAGCAGATATCCCAAAATTGAAACCTTGGTTGATCAAGAGATCAGGTGAATTATCAGACGCTGAACCTGATGTGTTAGCAGATTATGTTATCGCATTGTTGAATAATAAAGTGGAAGGTGATGAATTGGTGAAGTTATTAGAAGAACAATTGGAAGATTTCCTGGAGAATAGTAAATCATTTGCTTTTGAAATAGTCAATGTTTTATCTACAAGAGCTTTTGAAGAAGAAAGCGCTAAATTAACTGGGAAACAACCGCTACAACAATCAGCTCAAGTTACTCAACAAGATCTTTACAAACCTGATCCAACCTCATACAGAAATGCTCCACCAGATTACAAAAGAAAGCAGAGAAGAGCTAATAATTTCCAACAACAACAATCAACTGATAGCACCAATAGACAACAACAAAGAGAAAATTTGAAAACTTTGATCTCACAAACTGAAGTTCCAAATGCTAAACATTTGATTGTCGCCAATTTACCGAATGATAAATTAGAAGAGCAACTATTGAGGGCTTATTTCTCTAGATTTGGTGCCATTGATAACGTCTTGATTGATTTAACCAGTAGAATTGCTGAAGTTGAATTTGCAAATCCATACTCAGCTAAAAAGGCTTGGAGCTCTCCTGTTCCTATTTTTGATAATAGATTCATTAAAGTTTTCTTTAGAAAGAAGGATGCTGAGAACACTGCTGAAGATCAGAAAGAAAAAGAAGAACCATTTGATGTTGATGAATTTAAGAAAAGACAGATTGAAAAACAAAAGGAATTTGAAGAAAGATTAGCCAAAAAGAAAATTCAAGATGCCAAGTTGAAAGAGTTTATTGCCTTGAAAGAGAAGATGTTATCCAATTATGAGAAGGAATTGGGTTCTTTAGAAGCTCAATTTAAGGCTGAACCTGAAAAAGAGGCCCAAATTAAGGCAAGAGTTGATGCCATTCAAATTGCAATGCAAAAAGACGGTGTTACTCCAGAAGCTATTGCAGCTGATAAAGCTAAATTGAATGGTACTATTCCATTTGTCCCTACAAGAGGTAGAGGCAGAGGTTCCGCAAGAGGTAGAGGTGCTGGTGCTGCTAGAGGAAGAGGTGGTTTCAATCCATACCAAAGACCTACAAATGCTTCCTACAATAGAAAATTAGATCTTAGAACGAGAACTGTTACTGTTAAAAACTTGTCAGATCCTAAAAATGAAGAATTTACTAAAGTTTTGGAAAGTTTTGGAGACAATGTTTCAAATGTCGCAAATAAATCACCATCAAGTGTTAATGTGACCTTCAATGACAGATTTCACGCTGAAAGATTTCTTGGTGAAGAAACCAAGCTTGATAGTGTTGGTGCTTTAGAAAAAGAATGGGATGAATCTGTTAGACCATCTGTTGCGCCAACTCCTCCACCATCAACTTCAGATAATGGTGAACCTAACAGCAGTACTACTGCAGATGATGTTGAAATGTCTTGAGGTTGATATATTTGCTAATTTAAATCGCTCCTGTGGTTATCTATGTTACCTTTTTTGTGTTAGCCTATTGAGATTGATCAAGTAAAAAAAAAATGTGTCATTTGACATTGAAAAGAAAAGAATATGTAGTACAAAAGTAAAAAAAAAAAAAAATTAAGTACTGAAAAAAATAACAAGATAAACAGATCATCTCTATATAGGCTACAAGCTAATTGTTGTTGTTTTCTATTCGTTTACTATGGAGTTTGTTTGGGCCGGGGTTTTGTTAACAGGTTTTGTGGCAGCTGGAGATGCAATTTACCAAGCAATTCAAACCCTGAGAGAAAGCGAAATATTGTCCAAAAGAGAGTTCTATCCCTTAGATTTTGAAGAAGCAACTGGGTTCCATTTCATTAAAGATCCCAATGAAAAAGATTCTTTTAACATCTTCAATTCCCAAAACCTTTTATCTTTTCGAATATTCAGGAAACAGAGACAAAAATCATTTTTTAAAGAAGAATGGGTGATTGCTAAAGCATCAGATCAAAATGAACTAGCTACAATCACATTTAGTTCATTTCTCGGGAAAAGTCATGTTTATTTCAATCTGAGTAACAGATATAGTGATCCAGCTCATTTTTGCAACAGTGCGGGTCCCAACTCACAAAGCCATGTAACATCATCAAGATTGACAAGTATCACAAATCAGGTCTCAAATAGTACACCCTATATTGACTCTAGCCTTGCGAATAATGATTTAATAACAGTGCATGACCTTGGTGCTCCCTTGGTGTTGAGCCATTCTTCAGAGTTGACAAGGTTTGAAGTTCGAAACCTTTACAAAATAGTTCTTAATTCTGAAAGACTTTCAAAAGCATCAAGTTTCAAAATATCAAAGAACTCAATGAGATACTCCTGGAAGGCTAATGGGTATTTGCAAAAATCTCTGAAGAATGATTTAGATTTATCTTGTGAAAGAATTGGAATGGTTAGGTTTAATAATGATAGCGGCCATGATTTTTGGCTATATGTTAATGAAGAAAGAATAGAAGCAATGGTTGCAATAACTACTGCATTTACCCACTACAAATCATCATTATGGAATTTTAAAGATTTATTAGCATCATCAACGTGAAGACCGGTTTATTAATTTTTGAGATCCAAACCATTTTGCATCATTTTTATTAAATCATCAAGCCTATCAATAACATAATCTGTTTGTTCTATATCTCTAATGTGATCATTTGCATGCGTTCTTATTAAAACTGTAGTGGCACCGGCATCTTTCCCAGATTTCATATCATCGATTGAATCACCAACCATTATAAGATTTTTAGGCTCTGTGTTCCATGATTCTGCAATATGTTGAATGGGAGCTGGGTGAGGTTTCGTTGGAGAGAACTCTCTTGTGACTATAGGGTCAAATTTATGATCAGGAATAAAACTGTTCATTAGGTGGTTAACAGGTTTCTGAAGTTTGTTAGTTGTCAAGTGACTGATTAGATCTTGTGGAGAACTTACAATCAAATTTCTTGTGCATATAGCTTTGGAGACGTCATTTTCTGTGATGAACTTTGGCATATTAGTAGGGATATCAATATTGATAATTACTCAAGACTTACATGCAACAACTCAATCAACCCTGGTTGTGGTTCCTTGTGTTTTTGTTAGACAAGACTCTTGTTCTGATAAATTCGAACATACCATCTCCTTCATTGCCTTTTCTTCAACATCTGCAATCTTCTTCTTTGCAATAGTCTGATTCTCGGGGCTCAAGGCATCTATGAACTTTAGAATATCAATACTTTTATCAGCTAGTCCAATTGCATCTCTCATGGCAGCTAGTGGCTCGTTAGTGTGTTTTTCAGATAACTCTATCTGTATGAATCATACCAAACATCCAAGTTTGAGGAAGACATAATGTTCCATCCATGTCAAAAATGACACCTTTTATAGGGATATCACCCTTTTCAGTAGGATTCAATATTAATCTTTGGCACATTTTTAAAGATCTTATCGAATAGCTCCTGAGCATTTAACGGTGTTTAGGTATTCAAAGTAATGAATTGATATGGAAATGTAGAGATCTGATACCTCCGGAGGGAACACCCTTGGATAAGCTGGGCTGGAGCATGGAAATCAGGAAGGAGTCTCTGCCTAGCAGACTCGCGAAACTCCTGCCTAGGATTGCTAATAGGCGGGTAAACATCGCCAGATTTCCAGCGTATCATCTAGAGATTTTATCGACAATCAGAGACCCACCCCTTTAACACCAAAGCACTAATCAACATCAAAACAACCCAATTACTAGTGAGCTAGACTCAATTGACCATTTGCAAAGATGTCCTCTTCTATACCGTATGATCCAGATGAATTTGACAACAATCCATTTTCAGAGCCAGCTCCATTGCAACAAGATCAAGAAGCTGAACATAGTCCATATGCTCAAGATGAGGAACAACCTGAATCAGAACAGCCTGAAGTAGATCAACCAGCTTCAGCTCAAGAAGATCAACCTACACAAAAGATTAATGCCGCTGAGTCTTTGGTTCCTGAGCGGTTTGATAAAAAACATGATTACAAAATAGTTATCAAAGTGCAGGCAATTGAAAGAGTTGGGACACTGAGTAATAAGAAGGAAAACCCAAGTATCTTATTTGATGTTTCAACAAATCTTCCACATTTCAGAAAAAAGAATTACAAAGGTGTCAAGAAATCATATCAGGAATTTGAATCGTTTTTCAAATTTTTAAATGGTGCTAATCCAGAGTGTTTCATCCCATCATTACCATTATCATCAACAAATTATGGAATACAAAATGAAGAAGATTATCGTAAAACTATATTCAATTTCCAGACTTGGTTTAATAGAATTACATCAAATCCAATAATCATTAGAAATGAAGAATTTGTGTTTTTCATCGAAAGTGATCATAATTCATATTCACCTATACACAAGTCCAAAGTCCCAGCTTCAGGATTGAGGAGAAAAACATTGAAACAATTCCAACCACCATATGATGAAGTATTAGAATTGGCTGAATTTAGACCTCTAATCAAATCAATATATAAAACAACCACAAACATACATACTAAATTGGAAAAGTTGAGTAAACTGAGAAAAAGCATGGCTGTTAGTGAAAATGAAATGGGTAACCAGATTGTTGAATTAAATGTTTTGGAAAATTCCCATCCAGGTATGCAAAATATGTGGAAGAAATTTGGTAAGACAATAACGATACTTGGTGATTTAGAATCTGTGATTGGTAGTCTTGATTTAGCCACACTTGGAGATGGTTTAGAAAGCGTCATTAATGATGGGTATACAATCAAAGAAGCATTGACTAATAGACATCTATTGATGAGGGATTTGGTCACAGCACAATCTAATACTAAATTGAAACATGAAAATGCTAGAAAATTGAGAAATAAAAGAGATATTAACCCAATTAAAGTTGATGAAGCCATCAGATCATTACAAGAGGCAACCAATTACGAAGAGGAATTGACATTAAAGATCAAGAGAATCACAGAAAATATGTTGATTGAAAAGAAGGAATATTTGGAATACCTTGATATTTTGATCAAACAGATCTTGAAAGAATTCGTCATCAAAAGAATAGAGTATGAAAGAAAAAAACTATCAATTTTGGAAAAAGTTAGACTTGACGTTCGTTTAGTTGATGAGAATGGTGGATTATCAAGACTAGGAAGGGAGAAGTATCCTTTGAAGAAATCAGTACATACACCAAGTCAAGGACCTGAAGGTGATAGTTGGAGTGGTGATCGTAAAGTTTCCCATTTCAGTGAAGAACTATTAAAAGAGGATCAAGAACAAGACGCAGAACTTCCAATTGAAGAAGATGAACAAGTCGAATCTGAGGAAGATGTTGCCATTGATGCTAGAAATGCGGCTTCGTTACTGGGTGGATCAACTTTCTGAAGCATTCAGCCTCTAATATTACGATTGTTATGTACCATTTGAGATATACATTGTAGTCTATTCAACGTGCCCCAGGATTCATGAATCAACAACTGATTAAACCCATTTGATATGGACAGTCCGTGTAAATGTCAGAACACCTCAGTAAATCCAAAACTGGTCCTCACAAAAGAAACAGTTCCTCTGCCTATCCCTCCTAGATTTGCCATCACCAGTGGTGAATCCTCCCAGCCCACTGCCAGCCCTTCCAGGCTCAGCACCGGTCGCCGCACGCACCCAGCCAGCGCGTGCCCCGAACCAAGTCGTCCTCCATCGCTCGCGCATGAAAAATTTTACAATTTTTTTTTATTGAACCAAAAATTTTTCCTACTTATAAATTTTCTCCCTTTCCTCTATTTTCATCTTGTAACTCGCTTTCAGTGTAGTGTTAGATTATTTCAACTACACCTTTTAAGTTATATTAAACAGTCAAGATGGGTAAGTACTTTCATTGGATCTAGCTTGCTAGTTTGAAGAACCCATTGAACTTGTGTTAAAGAGAGTTTGCTTGATATTGGAATCTGGTTTGTAATGGAAAAACTGTGATTTTTTTTGACCAACAAGCCAGAGATGAAACTCAAAACAACTTCAATGGGTATCAGAATTTCATCAAGAACATAATGCTAACAATTTAATAGTGAACTTCACAGTTGATGTACGTTTTATTTGATTCAATTTGGAATTGTTTGCTGTTGTTATCAGCGATGGCGTCTGATTGGATTTTGGAGAAGGAAAAATTTTTTGTCTTATGTAATCCATAAGATCAAAAAAAAATTTAATCGATGCTGAGCTGAGTACAACTAAAAGACAATGATTATTATCAATGGGAATGATTATACTAACTCTTCTTTTTAGCAAATGCGTGCCTTAATGGACAAGGTTACCAACGTCCGTAACATGTCTGTTATTGCCCATGTCGATCATGGTAAATCTACTTTAACCGATTCTTTGGTTCAACGTGCTGGTATTATTTCTGCTGCTAAAGCTGGTGAAGCTCGTTTCACTGATACCAGAAAGGATGAACAAGAACGTGGTATTACCATTAAATCCACTGCCATTTCTTTATACTCTGAAATGACTGACGATGATGTCAAAGAAATCAAACAAAAAACCCAAGGTAACTCTTTCTTAATTAACTTGATTGATTCCCCAGGTCACGTTGATTTCTCCTCAGAAGTTACTGCCGCTTTACGTGTTACTGATGGTGCTTTAGTTGTTGTTGACTGTGTTGAAGGTGTCTGTGTCCAAACTGAAACCGTTTTACGTCAATCTTTAGGTGAACGTATTAAACCAGTTGTTGTTATCAACAAAGTTGATCGTGCTTTATTAGAATTGCAAGTTACCAAAGAAGATTTATACCAATCTTTTGCCAGAACTGTTGAATCTGTTAACGTTATCATTGCTACTTACTCTGATAAAGTTTTAGGTGATGTTCAAGTTTACCCAGAACGTGGTACCGTTGCTTTCGGTTCTGGTTTACATGGTTGGGCCTTCACTGTCCGTCAATTTGCTACTAGATACTCCAAGAAATTCGGTGTTGACAGAATTAAAATGATGGAACGTTTATGGGGTGATTCTTACTTCAATCCAAAAACTAAAAAATGGACCAACAAAGATAGAGATGCTGATGGTAAACAATTAGAACGTGCTTTCAACATGTTCGTTTTAGACCCAATCTTCAGATTATTCTCTGCTATCATGAACTTCAAAAAAGAAGAAATTCCAGTTTTATTAGAAAAATTGGAAATTAACTTGAAATCTGATGAAAAAGAATTAGAAGGTAAAGCTTTATTGAAAATTGTTATGAAAAAATTCTTGCCAGCTGCTGATGCTTTATTAGAAATGATTGTTATTCATTTACCATCCCCAGTTACTGCTCAATACTACAGAGCTGATACCTTATATGAAGGTCCATCTGATGATAAAGCTTGTTTATCTATCAGAGACTGTGACCCAACTGCTGATTTGATGTTGTACGTCTCCAAGATGGTTCCAACCTCTGATAAAGGTCGTTTCTACGCTTTCGGTCGTGTTTTCGCTGGTACCGTTAAATCTGGTCAAAAAGTTAGAATCCAAGGTCCAAACTATGTTCCAGGTAAAAAAGATGATTTATTCTTAAAGGCTATCCAAAGAGTTGTTTTAATGATGGGTAGATTTGTTGAACCAATTGAAGATGTTCCAGCTGGTAACATTGTTGGTTTAGTTGGTATTGATCAATTTTTATTAAAATCTGGTACTATTACCACTAACGATGCTGCTCACAACTTGAAGGTTATGAAATTCTCTGTTTCTCCAGTTGTTCAAGTTGCTGTTGAAGTTAAAAACGCTTCTGATTTACCAAAATTAGTTGAAGGTTTAAAACGTTTATCCAAATCTGATCCATGTGTCTTATGTACCATGAATGAATCTGGTGAACATATTGTTGCCGGTACTGGTGAATTACATTTGGAAATTTGTTTACAAGATTTAGAAAATGATCATGCTGGTATTCCATTAAAGATTTCTCCACCAGTTGTTTCATACAGAGAAACTGTTGAAGCTGAATCATCAATGACTGCTTTGTCTAAATCACCAAACAAACATAACCGTTTGTACTTGAAGGCTGAACCATTAGGTGAAGAAGTTTCAGTTGCTATTGAAACTGGTAAAGTTTCACCAAAAGATGATTTCAAAGCTCGTGCTAGAATCTTGGCTGATGAATTTGGTTGGGATGTTACTGATGCTAGAAAGATTTGGTGTTTCGGTCCAGAAGGTACTGGTGCTAACGTTGTTGTTGATCAAACCAAAGCTGTTCAATACTTGTCAGAAATCAAAGATTCTGTTGTTTCAGGTTTTGCTTGGGCTTCAGGTGCTGGTCCAATTTTGGAAGAAAGTTTACGTTCTATCCGTATTAACATTTTAGATGTTACTTTACATGCTGATTCTATCCATAGAGGTGCTGGTCAAATCTTGCCAACTATGAGAAGAGCTACTTATGCTGCTGTTTTATTAGCTGAACCAAGAATCCAAGAACCAGTTTTCTTAGTTGAAATTCAATGTCCAGAATCTGCTATTGGTGGTATTTACTCAGTTTTGAACAAAAAGAGAGGTCAAGTTATTTCTGAAGAACAAAGACCAGGTACTCCATTATTCACCGTTAAAGCTTACTTACCAGTTAACGAATCATTCGGTTTCACTGGTGAATTACGTCAAGCTACTGGTGGTCAAGCTTTCCCACAAATGGTTTTCGACCATTGGGCTACTTTGGCTACTGATCCATTAGATCCAACTACTAAAGCTGGTGAAATTGTTACTGCTGCTCGTAAACGTCACGGTTTGAAAGAAGTTGTTCCAGGTTATGAAGAATATTATGATAAATTATAAGCTGCTTAAAATTTATTTTGAGTTTTGTTTATATTTTAGAGTTTTTCGTTGCTTTGGGTCCGTTTGGATTAAAATCTTTTAAATCATTTTTTTATCTTTTATAGTATTGAAATTAACGTGATAATTATTAAATCAAGGTTGTAGATGGAATTAATTTTTCCGGGTTTTGTACCCTAATTTATATGTGCGGAGCCTGTCAATGAATTAATGAAAACTTTGAAGTCAATCCCAAGCAATTTATAAATGCATAATAGGAAACTTCGACACCTCTACATAACTTCTGATCTACAGGTGAAGCATTTTTATGCTCAAAATTCAGATCGTGAAAATTATTATTAGCTATGCAGTTGAATTTTATGAGCTAGAAATATTCACCGCGAGTACTACTGTAGGACAAGGTCGGCGCACACGAGATCTTGTCGAGGACGTGACATCCATTGTATTTTGATCATGTCGACGTCACAACTAATTGATCATGAAATAAACAGAGGCTGTTCATATAAAAAGTGTATCGACATCATATTGTCGAATTGGGCGCTGATGGTGGTTGATCTAGTATTTTTGGACGTACGTAATATTGTACCTACTTGGTATAATAATCCAAATGATCGATTAATTAATAATTAAATAACTAGTAATTCCTCTTCAACTGAAGAGGTCTATAGTTAATTGATCAAGATATATCTATTATAAATTTTTCCATGATATATTTTTTACAAATTTTGAGGTTTTCAAGATTTTATAAACCTACAATTCTTTATTTTTAAATCGAAAACTTGATCAACCAACACCTAATTTTTTCGAAAATTCTAAAAACTACCGGAATAGAAACTAGAGCTTTCAACTAACAAAATCCGATTAAAATCATTCTTTTTGAACCACTATATCATTTTAAATTGTACAAACTGATTATCAAAGGTACCACGGAGTTCGGGTATAACCGGCAATAATTGTTTTTTTACTTAATTCCGATAAAATTTTCATTCATGAATTTTTACAGCTGCAGCAGAATTAAAATTTGAGAATTGATTATTATGGTCCATGTTGAATTTGAATATAGTTTAAGGAAATGTTGAAGTATCCGAAGAAGGCTTGGATGTTCCTAAAATAGCGGAGCTTGTGATTTGATCAACCGTGCCTCGAAGGTACGAAATGAATGAGCTAATGATGGTTTGATCAGTTATCAGATCAGGATTGAAAAAATACAAAATATATTACCTATAGTACACAATATGTGATCAATCAATGGATCATGATGGATGATGAAATAACAATATGAATATTCAGAAGTTATTATGCAAGTAAATCAGCAGCAGCTTATGAATCAATTTTGTAATTCTCTTAGATAATCCAAAACCATTTTTAAAACATTAATATTGAATTGATTATTATATTCAATCCCATTTAATGAATTCATTAACCCCATTTGATCATCAAATCCATTACTTCTATTCAAGTTTTCAAATCTTGATAATAGGTTCAATACTAAATAAACCACTATATATAAAGAAGTTGTATGATTAATTTGATAAAAACCCGAATTCATAATATATGGAACGTTAATAGTCATTGAAGTGTTTAGGAAAACATCTGAACTAATTTGATCACCAAGGATTGGATATTCAAATTTCTTGGTGAAATGTGATTGTAATGGTTTTATTATTAATTTTTGTAATAGTTGAGATTGTAACCATTCAAATTTTGAATCAATAAATGTATAATCATGATTTAAAAAGAATTTTTTGGTTTGATATAATAGTTGATTATTTAATTCATTTATGATGAAGTCTGATAATAATATGATTTTACAAACATATTTATGAGATTGATCTTCTTGAGGATTTTGAGGTGAACCTTCTTGGAAAGAACCTATTATGATAATGATTTTCAAATTTGGTATTGATGAAGTTGGTTTATTTGTTAAAAAATCTGAAATTTTGTGATTTATTGAATCTATTAAATTAAAATCATTTAAATATAATGATTCATCTAACGATGTTGAGAACCTTGTATTTGAAATACATGGTAATGGTATAATGATTGTATCATTATTATTATGGAAATTTGGGAATTGTTTAGATATACCTAATGAAAGAAATAAATCTAATGAAGTTGGGAAATTTGTTTCACCTTTCAACATTGATAATAAAGATGAAGTTGTTATTGTAGTTATTGAATTTATTGATTTTATTGGAGCTTTTATATCAAGATTTGGTAATGAAGTTGGTTGATCAAAACCTGTAAAGAAATCATCAAGAGTGGGTATTTTTGAAGTTTCCTTTGGTAATGAAGCTGAAGGATTTAAAGGATTCAAAATATTTGTTGAAGGAGGAGGTTGTAAAGGAGCTGGGATTGTACTAGTAGTGCTAGTATTTGCTGATGAACCAGCAGTTGAAGGTCTGTGCTTTTTTTGATCATTTGTTGTGGAATTAACTTGTTGTTTAGCTCTTTTTTTAGAACATGGATTAACACCAATAATTGAATAAATCTCATTTAATATATCATTAGTTGTTGAATCTTGAATTAAAGATATCTTTAAGACACGACCTCTATGACAAGATGCACATGCAATGAAGGATGAGGGAGTCTTATTGAAATAGTTTGAATCTCTGATGACTAAATGGGAATGATGTTTCCTTAAACTTTGGTATTCAGGTAATTTTGATGGTTTTAGGATTTTCTCTTTGATTAGGTTTTTATATTCTAAACCCTTTGAGCTTTGGTTTGGATCTTGAGCATTTGACTTTTTAGTGTTTGTAGAGGTTGGAGCTGTTGGTATTGGATTATTGACGGCATTCGAAGTTGATGTTTGAGTGGGTATTAAATCGTTATTCATCATATAGTTATTGAGCTCAGCAACGAGTTAGCATTGGTCTGGGGTTTAAAGAATGTATCAAGCGAGTGGGTTTCAAATCAAAGATTTCAATGTAAGGATGACATGGTTTTGAAAAGAAGAATGAAATAAGTTATATAAGATCGATATATTTTAAGCCATAGACATGAGTTTCTTCGACACATACAATAATTTTATTGTTTTCTTAAGCGTCGATCTCAGCAGTGGATTTGAAATATTTTCAGACGTGTTAAAAGTGAACAATAATCTTAAATTGCATGATGCAGAAGGGTACAGGTTGTGAGAGTTAATGGAAAGGCACTGGGAAATGGGATTATTGTATGGAGATTGGAGATGGAGGATGGTGATTGGGTGGAGAGGGTATGAACTAGAATAGAATAGATGTGTTTAGTTGTTATAGTTCAAGGGTGCTTAGCTCTACAGAGTTGTCCAAGGCCTGTTGGTGGAGTGAATTTCAGTGAGCTCAATCAAGTCAATGCCGTGAGATTATGGCATGCTGGTGCTTTGCAATTGGCATGTGAGCTTATGAAGAGAGAGCCTATTCTTTCTACATCTGTGTAGCCACTAAAAAGACCAGTATCAAAGGTACTACAGTGTAACGGTTAAACGTTGAAGCTGTACAGACCTGAGCACCTTGACTAGTTGTGTTTTAATCACAATCATATATATAAATAAAAGTATACCATCACAATATCTCTTCCAGATGTATCCCAACGCCTAGCTCTCCGTATTGCAGTTGTCGCATGTCAATCAGCACGAGCTAGTTTTAGTATTTCTGGCTACACTCGGCTCTTTTTGTGATAAGAAGTACTTTTTCCCACATTCTCACCATCAATTAATAAATAAAACATGGCTCTGTTGGTTGCCTTTAAGTGATACTGACCCATTCCTTTATTCATACCCATCTTCACTATTCAGATCCCTCTTCAACTACCTTCTCGCGATCAATGCGAACGTCCTATTGTTTGACCGAATAGGGACTTAACTCCTTGTTAAACCTTTGAACAAAGCATCGCTACAAGAGAAACTCGTCCTTCTCTAGGCTGGACGTGTTTTGTTTCAGCCTCATGATCTTCCCTTGGGATGAAATGGAATCTCTACAGCTGTAGGCAGCACTGGGCCCTTTGACTTTCAACTCTCAACTTTCTTAAAAAAGGGCCCTTGATCAAAATTCAAAATCCAAACCTTCATGAAAAAAATTCAACTTTTCCTATGGCGAATATCACGGATTTCTCAGCCCATACTCGATCGATTCAACCGCACAGACGCTTGAAGGATGTCTCTAAAATGGGAGATTGGGAAAGATTGAAATAGGAACTGCTTCTCAATAGTGGCTCCTTGACCTTCCCTTTTTCTGGAATATGCATTTTCAGGATCTTGAACTCTTTGATCCTCACTTCTCCAACCCCTTCATGTCTACAGTGCAATTCAAGGTTTTAAAGGCTTTAAGAGGCCGGCTAATCCGTATTTCTGCAAAACACATTCGCGGAGGGATGGTGGTGTTCGCGAATTGGTCTGTTGATTTGAATTAACGTGGTTGATGAAGTGTAAACAAACCAAACAACTTATCAATCCTTGTAGATCATGTCAAACAGCTATCAATCACTCAACAAACAGATCAAAACCCATGTCAAAAAACTAGAGACTCCTTTCAAGCTAGATGATACTTTACTAGAGATATGTGAAGAATCACTATCCAATAATAACAATGAATCAAGACCTTTAAAACCTAGAGAATTATCCAAAATATTGAAAGATGGTGAGTAAAAGAAGCTTATGATAATAAGTGATCACTAACCCCCTGATAAAGCAAACATCATACTAGGTAATGGGTATCATCGTTATTACTCAACACAAGCCATATCTCAACTAACTGAACAAATATTTAATCTAAGAGAACAACAACAACTAGATCAACAGGATTTAATAGATTTCCTAGAGAATTTAGAACTACCCATCAATTTGGAAAGTGATTTCAAAGTTTATTCAATCAAAGATATAATTGATCAAATTGAAAATATACCGGAAATACCACAACAACAAGATGAAGAAAATGAACAATTTACACAATACAATACAAAGAGACAAGAAATATTGAACAAGATCAGTCAATTAGAGAATTTGAAAAAGAAGACAGGACTGGTAAAGAATTATAAAAACTTGATCAACTTGAAAATAGGTGAACGATCAAATATTCAAAAAAACATTCAATCTTCCAAAAACACTGAACTATCTAATGAAATTACAAAATTAAGAATCAATTTAGAAAGATACAAGACTCTAAATGATGCTCAAAAGGAAAAATTTAAACAACTATTACATGAATAAAAATCCCTTATTCTTTTTTTTGTTTGATATTTTACATTTCACTATACCCCCAATATAAAAATATTCAAAGAATATAATTTCACAATTTTTAAAAAACTTGATGATTTCTCAACAAACTCTCTAATCAAACAAACCGAAACCCATATCATCATCTGATTCTTCTTTAGCTTCTTCTTCTTTTTCTTCAGCAGCAGCTTCTTCAGTTGAAGCAGCAGCACCTGGAGCAGCAGCAACAGCACCTGAACCACCAGTTGGAACTGAGGCTAATTTTGATGAACCTTCAGCGATAACTTCTTCAATAGATTTACCTTCTAATGATGATAATAATGAAGTGATTCTTGATTCTTCAACTTCTGAACCAACAGTTTCTAAAATTTCTTTAATATCTGAAACTGATGGAGCAGTGTTACCACCTTGTAATAATAATAAGTAAGCAGCTAAGTATTTCATTTTGGACTGATTTGTATTGATCTATCTAGAATAATCACTTTTAAGCGAGTAAAATTTAACGCAGACTATTCCTTAAAGAGTTGTTAATAAAACTACGTACTAGGTACTAGTAAACCAATTCTCGAAATTTTTTTGTCGTTTTTCCAAAGTGAAAAAAAAAAATTGAATTCGAGTAAGAATCGGGGGTGGAAATATCATGTGATCTTTACATAGTTGAAAAGGTGTGAGTACCCTCGTAACTTGATAAAAAACAACAGTCACTGAAAACTTCCAAACACCAAGGTCCTTTCCTTTCCGCGAAATTGAATTTAAAAGTCATGTGATTGAACTGACAAATTATGTCAGAATTTTTTTTCTCTATAGAAAAATTTATAAAGTTGATACGAGAGTAGATAAAGACATACACATCGAATACTATTGATCTGGGATACAAGGAAAGTTGAGATGCGTCAAAAAAGAGCTAAACAATACAGAAAGCAAATGCTTGTTTACAAGCATACTTTCAAGTTCAGAGAACCATATCAAGTTATTGTAGATGAACAAATTGTTCAAGTATGTGAACAATCTTCATATGATTTAAAAAAAGGTTTAGAAAGAACAATACAAGCTGAAGTTAGACCAAGTGAGTATCAAACATTCAGACTTATTAAACAAAATACTAATCTTCCATCAAAGTGATTACACAATGTTGTATGGAGGAACTTTATAAAACTAAAAATCAAAAATTGATTGAATATGGTAAAAGTTTTGAACGTCGTCGTTGTAATCATCCACCAGCCAAACCAGTACCATCACATGAATGTATCAAATCAATTGTTATAGTGGATGGTGAAAATAAACATAGATATGTTGTTGCAAGTGAAAATGAACAATTACGTTGGAGTTTAAGAAAAATTCCTGGAATTCCATTAATTTATATGAATAGAGCAGTTATGGTTATGGAACCATTAAGTAAAGCAAGTGCTCAGGCAAGTAGGACTTTAGAAAGAGGAAAATTGTCTAAAGGGTTAAATGATGTTAAAGTTGGTTTTAAAAATCCTGTTATGGATGAAGATGAAAAGGAAGTTGCAGAAAAAGTTGTAAAGAAAAGAAAAGGTCCAAAAGAACCTAATCCTTTAAGTATTAAAAAGAAAAAGACTAGTAATGAAGGTGATAATAATAATAATAAGAATGATTCAGGTGAGAAGAAAAAGAGAAAGAGAAAGCATAAAAAGCATGGTGCTAGTACTAATGAAGATGAAGAAAACGATGGAAATACAACAAAAGAAGAATCAAATGACTCTAAAACTCAACAAGATGGTGATGAAGATAGCTCTTAGAAATAGATTCATATATCACAAAATTGTTTATCTATAAATCAGCATAATTTATAGTTTGAAGTTTTATTGTAGTCGGAACTATATATATCACGTGAATCTCGAGGCCCCGGATTGTAAATTTGACACCAAATTTTCCACATTTTCAACGAGATCTCAATTTATACTTGATTGAATCACATTTGATATCACACTTATCCACAATGATTAGATCCAGACCTATAATTTCAAGATGTATACGATCATACTCAACAACTTCAACTTCTAGCTCCAATTCAACTGCACCACCCCCTTCAACAAGACCACCACCAAAGCAAAGAGAACAAGTTACTCAACGACAAAAGATTGAATTAGCACAACAAGGTTTAAAAGATATATTTGATGGGTTTTTAACAACCGAGGAAACTTTCGAACCGATTGATACAAAGCCAATTTTGGCAAATCCTAAATCATATGATACATTAACGGATTTCCATAGAAATCAAGTATTTGAAGAAGTTGATAAAAAATTACGTAGGAATTGGAATGATGTATCACAAGATATTAAAAGAATGGCATATTATATATCATATGGTAATTATGGACCAAGACATGATTTGAAGAATAATTTATTCAGGGATGTTGTACCGGAGGATTTACCATTTAATACACCATCTATTGCAAAGATTGGTAAAGTTGGTGATAAAGTTAAACAATTACCACCTGTTGATCTTGAACAAATTAATGCACAAAGGAAAGAAAATTGGAATAGAATGACAAGAAGATTAGACCCTTTCACTAAATTTATTGTTTATTTAGCTGCTTTTATAAGTTTAGGTGCATTATATAGAGATAAATTTGTGGAAGATTCAAAAGTTGAAGTTCCAGAGAATTCATTAGTTTTAGCAGATATCCAACGTGAATTAGAATCACAAGCCAAAAAAGAGGAAAAAGAGCTTAATGCAATGAAAGAATTGAAGAAAGATGGTAAGAAATGGTACTACTTGTGGTTGAAATAAGATAACACAAAAACTCCTTTGTATATAGAAAAATAGTAATAATAATAGAAACTCTCTCAGTCATCAAGCAAAGAAGTAAGCAAGCTGAATTGTTGGTAGTCATTGATGTAGATATAAAAAGATAAAATAAAACATATGCTAAACCCAAGTGCAGAACAATAACAATGATAATAGTAGTAATAATAAATGATAGGTTGTAATTTACAAAATCTTCATGGTTGACCTCTTTTTTTTTGTTTATTCCTCATCCATCTCTTCATCTTCATTGTCCATTAAATCATCAGCCCAACTTTTCTCAACAGTTTCTCTAACTCTTTTGGCATATTGAGAAGAATGATCTTTATATAAATTAGCAGCTTCCACATTAGCAGGAGATGAAATATTTGGATCATTCAATAAAGATTGGACAGAAGTTAAGATCGAAGCAACATCAAATGTTGGGGACCATCTGTTTTGTAATATATCAAGACATAATTCACCACTTGCATAAACATTTGGGTGAAACATTTGACTAATGAATTTGACTTGTGGAGGTTTATTTGGATATTGTTCATCAAAATTTATACTTAGACGGAAAGTACCATCTTCAAAAGGGGTGTCTGCAGGTCCTATGATGATTGCATTCCATACCATCACGTTATCTGTTAAAGGTGAAGCAGATACACCATCTGGGGGATCTTGTTGGATACGCTATTTGAGATTAGTATTGAGGTTTGATGGCAAATAAAACACAGGAATACTCACTTTTAGATCTCTCATCAATCTTCTACGAGCAGGTGTGGACATTTTGGAGTGTAGTTCTGTAGTGGGTAGGGTTGTTAACTAGCAAAGTATGTGGATTGTGTCTGGTTGATGATTGTATTTGTAAACGGTTTCAACTTGATGATTTTGTTTTTCAAAGGTGATATTGAAAAATTCCAAATTTGATAGGTAAAAAATCGAATAATGGGTAACTTTATTAGTGAAATGGTGAGAATGCGGGCGAACAATGAGCCTGAATTTGAGAGATGATGATGGTTTTATTGTAATTTGGATATTCTGTTTATTTGAATTAAAACTAGTTCATTCTCAGAATCACCATCTTTTTGAGTATCAATCTGGTGGCAATTTGTGCCTGTAAAGCGCATTCGCGAACTGCCATCTGCAATTGGTGAAGGTGACTTTTGGTGAGTCAGTGACGAAAACAACGAGACATAATTAAAAGCCATAGAATTCAGTTCAAGAGGATTTGATTAAAGAGCAAAGCTATAATATCACCAACTAATACCATAACCACAGAGTTAAACCAGCTATTAATCCCTTTGAAAAACACCAGTTATTGTCCCGTTGGCCCCATCATCAGATCATCTAATTCACCATCATCAGTTAATTTAATACTTGACCAATTTATCTTCCTGCCCATGATAATAGCTTCCCATTGACAAACCACCATTCTTTCTAAATATTCATTACCTATATCCATATTCACTAAGCTCATATTTCCATGATTAGGTCAAGACTCACAACTACTGCACCTAAAACCTTAAAGTGTTGCTGCTTTTTATCAACGAAAACTACATCTAATTCTTATCCACCACAACCTTCTCATGATCCAATAAATATAACTATCCCACCTGATTTCCATTCTTATCATCAAGATATCAATGTCATTGCAAAACATCTCGATGATCTTGGTCCATACCCTCCACATTCCCAATATATCAATCCTCAACACTATTACCAAAACACTGTGTTGATGGATTGGTCAAATAGAACTCCACATCCTGTTACTTTAAGACAACTGGCAGCTTTTGGTAGAGCTCTTAATGAAGAGAAAATCATTTCAAGTGCAAACTTCGTTAGATTAGAATTGCCAATCAGAATTGCCCTGAAATTAAGAGAATTACAAGAATTACCATTCAATGTGGTTAATAATTTCCATCTAGCAAGAGTTTATGAATCTTATTATGATATCTTTGATAGGTTTAGGAAAATCCCCCAGATAAGAACAATTGAAGATAATGAAAAATTTTGTAAAACATTAGAAGATGTGCTAACTGATATCAATTTATTAAATTTACCAAATTTAATGATGGGTGCTTTAGAATGTTGTATCTTGAATGCAATGCCTCAGACTCAATTAGATGAATTAGTTTCCTCTTTATTAAGAGCAAGAATTTCAAGAAGATTAATCTTGGAGGAACATTTATCATTAACTAAAAATTTCACTCAAAATCCAAATTTACCAAGATCTCATAATTTCATTGGTGACATTTTTTTCAAATGTTCTGCAAAAGAGCATCTACAAATATCTGCAAATAATGCAGCAAAATTTATTTCATCATTATATCCAAATGTTAAGTCACCAAAATTGATAATTGAAGGTCAAAAAGATTTAAGTTTCCAATTTTTAACATCTCATTTACATTATCTTTTCGGTGAAATCATGCGTAATTCTTATGAAGCTACAGTGAAACAATTCTTGTTGACAAACCCAACCCCTACAGAGTCTGATGAACCTCCTCCAATTCGTGTTTGTATCATTGATAATAAAGATCATGTTGGATTTAGATTCAGCGATCATGGTGGAGGGATTGATTTGAAACCAATTGGTAGAATTTTTTCATTCGGTAAAGACTCAACAAATGCAAGAGAATCATTAGCAAATTTCCATAAATTACCAAATTTAGAATTGGAAACTTTGTATAAAAAACCTTCAAATATTAAAGAACGTCAAAATTCTTTAATGAAAACTTCAATTGGTGGAATTGATAATAATTATATCAAAGAGACAACTTTAATTAATTTGATTCAAAGACCCGCCAACTATAAATTAGGTCTAGGTTTAGCAATGTGTAAAGTTTATGCTGATTATTGGAATGGTGATTTAGTTATGCATTCATTGAATGGGTATGGAACTGATACATATTTGAAACTGGGGAAATTGGGTCATACCCAAGATAAATTACAATTGGATAGAGCTTGAAAATTCTATTCACCTAATGATTATAATGACACTTTAATATACATTCGTTTGATTATAATATTACTTTTGGTCAATGTTGTAGTTGAGGGTAAGTACAATACGAATTCGCGAAATTTCGAGAGCTGTTTACAAGGTCAAGATTAAAAACAATTACAATGGGTATTTTAGATCTTTGGAAACAAGAGCTGTATCATACAAGGAACAGAACGGTGGGAAATGGCAAAGAAAGGTATGTCACTATTAAGAGATCCATTTCATTGATCAACTTCTAACTTCTCATAGGCATCTCAATATCTTCACTACTTGGTCCGAAAGACTCAAAGGAAAGTGATGATGATTTAGTTCCAATTTCAAGTTCAGAAATGGAATCATCCCCAAAAAAGAAAGTGGTAGTGCATCCAGAGACTCATGAAGTGATAACCATAGATGATTCAGATGATAGTGGACCAGAATTGCTAACACAAGATAAATTCGAAGCTGACGCTTCAAATATTATTGGTACACCTTCAACTTTAAAGAAAACAGACTCAGGTAAAATTGACATCAAATCAATGTTGGCGTCTAATGAAAATACAGAGACTGAGAAACCAGCTCCAAAGAAAAGGAAACCAAGAGCAGCAAAGAAAGAAGCAGAGCCTAAACCAGAACCAAAGAAACGAGCTCCAAGAGGCTCGAAAAAGAAGGCTGCTGAGGAAGCAGCAGCAGCTAAAGCTAAAGCAGCAGAAGAGGCTTCAATAGAAGAGGATAAGAAGGGTAAAGAAGAAGAAAGTAAAGATAAACCAGCTTCTAAAAAGAAAGGGAAAGCATCCACAAATGCTACAACTACAGAAGATGATAAAGCAGCCCCACCTGGTAATAATTCAAAAGAGCCATCACCAAAAGACCAACCAGTAGCAACTACAACTACAGAACCACAAAATAATGAGAAAGTCGTTGAAGCTCCAAAAGATACCAAACCTACTGAAAAACCAATACCCATTCTTAATGAGATTGCAAAGAAATCATCATCATTTCCTGAAACTCCTGCAAAAGAGCATTCATATGTTTCTCCAGGACCTCCAGTTTCAAGTCCCTATGTTTTACAATCACAGAATGATCCAAAGCTACCAAAACCAAATGATATAAAGAGTCTGATAAATACCGAGAATGAACATCGAATCCAATTATTACCATCACCGATACCTAATAACAATCCACCAACAGCTAATAACAATCCATTAACTAATACCAGTGCACCAATAACCAGCAACAATACCACTACAAATACTACACCTAAACCAAAACCAAAAGCTCAAAAGAAACCATCTATAACTACAGATAATAAAGAAGTCAAACCTAAAGGGAAGCCAGGCCCAAAGAAGAAAGATGATAAACAAGAAACTCCAGCACCATTAACATTCAATCAAATACAAAACCAGAATTTATTAAAACCAGATCCCAAAGCTAACCAAAGTTTACCTTCCCCCGAGATTGTCGAGGTTCAAAAATCCCCAGCACAAGAAACAACTCCACAACCTGAAGCTACCAAACCTACAGAACCGATAATAGCACTACACGTACCATTAAAACCACCAAACGCTCAAAATTCACCCGATACTATTGAACAAGTTGGTGCCACACAAGTTGTATTCAATGTTTTGAAAATGGCTGAAGATAAATATGGGTGGAAAAACTTGCATCCAGAAGCTTCAAAATATGCATTAGAATTAATGAATGACGAGGATATTGATGATGATGACGATGACGAAGATGATGAAAAAGAAGAGGAAGAACCAGAACCTCAACAAAGAATAGATGGACGTCGTTTACAAAAGGGGAAACCGAAAATCGGTCAATATGATAAAGAAGATCCATTTATTGATGATAGTGAAATGATTTGGGAAGAACAAAGAGCCTCGACAAAAGATGGATTTTTCGTGTTTTATGGTCCATTAGTGGAGGAAGGTAAAAGTGCAAAGATTGAAAGAGCTGATGGTACTATAAAGAGAAATAGGAAAAGAGTTGCAGGTACTAGTAATGTGAATGCTGGGAATGCAAAGAGAAGGGCAACAAATTCTAAACAAACCACACCTAAATTATTAGTTCCAATTGCTCCAGCTGCTGGAAATGCTGTACCAGCAAATCCTACGAATGTTGACATAGCACCAAAGGTTTAATGATGGGTTTTTAATTCAATTATCATGTTTGTTTAATTATAAACTATTTATATGTATGTAAAACTTGATAATCCTCTTGTAGTTTTATACTCAGCTCAAGGATTCCAAGGCCATTGAAATAAAGTTAACATTAACAGTTGGATCATCAGAACTTTGTTCATCTTTCAAGTTTTCAATATTTTTTTTAGTAACCTTGACAATTTCCTTAATTTTATCATCTGGAAATCTATCTTTAATAGTTATTAACAAATTCAAGTAGCCTAATGTGACTTTGAAGCTTGCTGGATTCAATTCTTCACCATGGAAAGTTTCATCTATAGACTCTCTAATCAATGCATAAATATCGTCAATACGATCATTCTTCAATTCAATATAATGTCTTTCTGGTAATTTCGGTTTTCTTTCATCGTTTTCTAAATGTGACTTTTCAAGTTCATCAGTTAATGCATCAATATCAGTTGGTTTAACTCTAACGATCAAATCCTTCAAGATCGTCACCACAGCTGCTTTAGCATTTAAAAAAGGTGCAGTTGTTAAAGTATCAACCAAGAAATTATAACTTGTATCTTCATCAATAGTGGTCAATACTCTAGTCAATAAAGTATAAAGAACCAATCTAACTGAAGGTCTATCATGAGTAGATGCATAATAAATCAAAATTTGTAAAAATAGAATCAATTCATGATGAGGTATCAATTGGAAATCTTTTTGTTTTGATGATATTATGGCAACCCAACACCAGAATAAACAAGTATCAATAGAACCTTTATTTTGAAATTTTTCTGAAATTAAACCAGGCGATAATAAACGTAATGTAATGGCAACTGCTTCACGAATTGTTATTGGGAACACATGTGAGATTTCTCTTGTATACATTGTTATTAGATTCAATTCACCAGCAAGATTGAATGGTATTTCCTTGGATTCAGGATGGTATAAATGAGAAATCTTGTCATTAACAGCAAATTTTAAAATATCTTGCATTTTTTCATCATCATCTTTTTTCAAATCAATTTTCTCAAATAGGTCAACAGATGATTTCTTCAATTTTTCAAAATCATCAGCTAAATCCAAATCAAAACTTAGAGCCAATTGAGTAACTCTTGTAAATAGCCCTCTTGAACTGGTTATAGCTTCTTCATCACTTTCATTAGGAGGTGGTAGCTTCTTTTGACATTTATATTGCAAGCTTTTATATAATTCAACAGATAAATCAAATGAATTTTGCAAAAATGTTATTTCAGAAACTTGAGTTAAAAAGCTTTGCAATAATTTTCTTTGTAAAAAATTCTCATCATCTTCAATTTTATCAGCTTCTTCTTGAGTGATTCCATGTTTTGATAGATAATCATTTGGTTTCAAAGGGGCCATATAATCTCTTGCAAATGCGTATAATCTTCGAAGAACAAATCTAGTATGGATTGATTTTGTACAATACATAGTGATGGCTCTTAATAAAGATGCAGTTGCCATTGATAAGAATCTTGAAGGATAAATGGTGTTAATTCGTTTCAATGATGTGTTCAACAATTCAATTAAAGTGTGCAATTTGATATCGGCAATTTTAAAAGATTTCTCATTACTAGCATCAAAATCTTCTAAAGTGGTCAATAATTCAATACTCTTCAAAAATAATTCCTTTGCATTCCCATTTTTAGCAACCAAATCGAAATTATCCATAATTGCTTTGATCAGTCCAGTTTCCCTTAATAAACTGCCTGTATAATCCCATTCCAAGTCATAGAAATTGATCAATAATTCAGGCAAATCCCAACCAATTTCTCTAACAACATCTAAATTTTCACTCAAGATATCGTGTAACTTGTTCAACAATTGTAATTTTTCTTCATCATTGTATCTTTCAGGATCTGATAAGTGAATATCAAGCAAAGTAGCATATGAGAGGTAGTCACCTGTTTCCTTACACAATAATGTTAATTTCAACCTTTACATAAACCCACTGATTTTGAAGTATACTCACTTTCAACTCTACAATTGCATTTTCAATGTATTCACAGACGGTATCCACTGGTAATTGTTCTTCATCAGACATGTTTGAAAGTAGCTGTGGAACTCAGCGCTTATTGGTGTTTGTAGTATTGATGAAGTTGATTGTTGTTTTCGATGGTTAAAAAAAAAACTGAAGGCGGTTGGAGACACACCATAGTTAAGGGATGCTCCAAAGGTGTTTCATACATTTGCCAGGTTTGGGGAAAGCTTGATTACATTGTGATTGTAATTGTAAAGGATAATAGGATAATTGAAAGTTATTGGGTGGTTTGGGGATATTGGGTTATATGGCGTTATTTTGTTAGACTGGAGAAGTGGATGTCACTAGAAATGGTTTCTGTTGAAGATGTAGCTCAAAGAAGGCATACGTATTAGTGATTCAGTGATATCTTGTTCGAAAGAATACTGATTTTATATTTAAAATCAACATAGATTAGATGGAAGTAACTCACGAAGGTTATAAACTGTGCATTTCCATACAAGGGATCACGGTTAAATCCATCATAATATTAATACACTCCCCAAGTTACAATTCTATTCATCTGAAAATACTCATTACTTCAATTTCACTCAAACGCTAAGTCGGCCTCATATACACTAGATGTTCTCTAGGTTAATCTGATTCTTCAATAGACTAGTTGATGGTGGTTCATCTTATCGATCCAACTTCCAATTTATCTTCTAGTACCCGTTTCAAGCAATTGTAAAGATGAACCATTAAATATATCAAACTATAAAGCATCAACCCGTCTACACCCTACACCGTGCAAAGAATGACAATTAGAAATACATCATGATCCAATTGGAGTAAGCCTTGAAGAAGCCGATGTACGTCACCCAAGCTGGGGTTTCTCGTTTGACACAAACCAGACGAAGCTGAACCACGATCAGCATTTGTGGTAAGAACCGATTGTTGACAGCTGAACAATAGACGTTGATTATGTTGTAGATTAACAAACAAGACGAACCACAATCCACTTTAGCTTATTTGTACAAGAATTACAACCATCTTCTCTAATTAGCTTAGTCCTAATAGCTTAGTCCTAATAAGGTGTACTGTTCTTTGATCCCACACCAGCGTTGTTGCTGTCAAACGTCGATGGCCATTCTATGTGATAACGAGGGGATCACTGCACTTCGGCACTTTGAGCTTCCATAATCTCAAACGATACCACCTTCTTCGAGACTTTATCTTCCCAAAAGATCATCTGCTAAAAACTTGGAGAAGTTTAATTCCAATAACCTGGGAAAATGGTGATACTGATCTCCAATAATTAATTTGATTTAACCATGGAGCCTCAACTCTATGAGACCGTCTATTTCCTTTGATCAACGTCAACTGGAATTAACTCGTTCTATTCATAGTCAACTACAAGGTCAAGTCTCGAACTACTATTACTACTAATGAGACTCTCTTGTTCATTAGAGCAATTAATAAATTAAGTATACCTCTTTTGGTACGATGAACAAAAGCGGCTTTCCACAAATTATATGTTTGTCATTCTGACCCAAGACTTGTTTTTAGGCTTTTCAATAATCCATTTTGACAGATGAATTTAACAAGAATTGTGGAGAAGATTGATATTCTGCATTTAATGACTCTTCCCATGAACCAAATATATATAAAGACCTTTAGTACTTTTTTCAGGATGTGCTCAACCGTTCAAGACCTCTTGAGATACCCTAACTAGCTGTCATGAGTTCCACTTTAATTTCATTATTCAGATCACAAACAAATGGTGCCGCTGATGGTACTGGTGTTTTAAAACTTGTTGATAAAGCTAAAGCTTTATTAGGTAACAACTTACCACAATACTTGGTTGATTATACTCTAAGTATTCAAATGTCAATATTTGGTGATTATCCATCATCAAAAGATATTGCACCAAGTGCTATATTCTTGTCAATTTTCATCATTTTCACATTGGCTCATTTATATATCTTTACTAAAAATATGATGAGAGGTCATAGGTTTTGGTTAAGTTTATTGTTTGCATTTTATTGCTTTTTAAGATTCTTGGGATTCACTTTAAGAGTTGTTTGGGCTAAAGATATTTTAAAAATGAAGACTGGTATTGCAAGTGAAATTTTCATTGTTATTCCTGTTGTTATATTGGCTGGGTTGAATTTAATTTTAGCTCAAAGAATCTTTACATGGAGACATCCTCATTTAGGTTCAACTAAATTCTTTTGGGCAAATATGATTACAACTTATGCAATTGTCACTGGTGTTGTTGTCATGGCTATAATTGGTTCTGTTGTTCCTTATATCTATTTTCTTAGTGAACATCATTTCAAAATGTGTAAACAAGTTAATCAAGCTGCAAGTGTTTTATGTGTTTTATTTTCATTATTGGCCATCTTTTTAGTTGCTGCTGCTTATTTGATTCCTTCAAGTAAACGTGATGTTTCAATGTGGACTTATCAACCATGGTGGGTTGAATCTTTTGGTATGTGGTATTTTGTTCCAAAAGATTCAGCTAAAAGAGCTGAAGAATCTTTTAAAGAACGTGATGATCATGCTTTTAATGCAACAAGAATTATTACATCAACTCATGAACGCTCAAATCAAATTGAACGGGTTCAATCAATTGATAAGTCTGGTAAATTGGGTCATAATCATTCAATTTTAATTATTGCTTTAACAACATTGATTTTATTAATTTCCACATTATTTAGATGTGTTAGTACTTTTATTGAACAACAAAAGGGGAACCAATCATGGATTTTTGAACCTGTTGTGATGTATATCATGTTTGGAGTTTTGGAGGTTCTTATAAACATTTTATATTTGACTGGACGTGTTGATTTAAGATTCTATAGACCAGATAGATTGAAGAAGTCAATGAGAGGTTCAAGATCATCAAATGTCAATCAAGTTCAACCAACTGGAACAACAGATGATGGTTCAAATCTTTCAAATATTGATGGTGAAAAGGCTACCACTGATCATGGTGAGAGGGGTCATATGAGTAGTTCGGATAACGTTGTTTGATGAATTTACTTGTTCCTATTAATCTTGATTTTATTGATTTCTTATATTAATTGCCTTTTGATAATGATACCTTGATTTTAGTATACTTTGGAGAACAATATAATTGTGTACATATGAATTGATGATTATGGTTAAATGATCCTGGATTCTGTAGTCAATTGACTTTCAAATATTGTGCATACAAGTCATAAGATGATCAATTAGACACATTTTCTTATCTGATCTTTTTTCAACAATCTGTAATCAGTATGGGGCTTGAGCTTCGCTTCTATTACCAGCGTGTGATATGATTCAAAACTTTGTGTACAAGTGTAACAAGAGTCAATCAAAACCACTGTATAACGGTTAAAACTAAAAGATCTAAAACGTATGTACACTATCCTTCTCTTTTCTCGTAAAGGTCCCTTGATTGTCTACACGTATTTTCCAACGGTGTTTTCATCGGATCTAGTTACTTCCCTATTTTAACCCTTTGCGCGCGCGCTCCCTATAAAATTATTTGGCAAAGCGCCTGTTTAGGCGGACCAAGCCGCAACAGGTCTCACAAAACCAATATTATTGTATTTGAAGTTTAAAGATGAAAGAAGTCCTTGAACCATTATATAGATGTTGATCAGGTAGCTGTATATATCCTTACTTGTACTCTATCATTACAACTTAAACTGTGTACTCTCTCTGGCTCAAGTCACCTGTACCACCGCTGGCCTGCCTAGAGCCCAGAGCCTCTGCCCAGCCAATGCCAGCGCACCATCGCAGGCTGTGGGCCCTACCGCCACTCTAGAACGAAGGGCACCACCTAACAATTCGCTTAACGTTTCGTAGCCTCTTAATTTACACGGCAATTAAAACTCTATGTGACAAGCTCACAACTACAACACACAGGGCTCTAGCTCAGAGCACGGATGGCTACACTTTTGTATGTAGTCAGTCCGTTCTGTTCATCATTATCACTTACCCCATACTGCGGAGTCCTTTTGGTGATAGTATATCCAAACTTATAGCCAATACTCTCCATCTAAAAGTGTCACTTTCCACTTGAACTCATCGCTTCAGTTTGTATGGAGGGCCTCGAGAGAAGGAAAAAAAAGCAATTTTTCAACGCTTTTGCAAAGCTGCCAAAAAAAAAAAAATCAGAAGATCGATAGCACTGGTCTGTGTGTGTTATCAGTACAAATTGATGAATGACGATAAACACCGCATAATACACGTAAAAACTGATCTAGTTATCTGTAGAAAGATTATTATCAGGCAGGTAATTGATCAAATAATTTTTGGTCCCTACCCCATCTATATTATTTTGGGTCAACCTATATAAATACCTCGACACATCCCATCAAACTCATCTCATCTCTTCTACACAACATACTCAACATTGCTATCAAACACTATACACAATGTCTACTCATCTAAGACATACTTCATCTAATAAGGATGAGAAACAGGTTTATGACATCCCTAATGTCGAAACTGGAGAAAGTTCAACTGGGTTTGTTGATGATTTAGAATCCCAAAATTCTCATGATTTAGCAGACGACTTACACCAAGGTTTGAAAGCTCGTCATATTCAATTGATTGCCCTAGGTGGTTGTATTGGTACAGGTCTTTTTGTCGGGTCTGGTTCAACTTTGGCCACTTGTGGTCCTGCTGGGTTATTGACTGCTTATTTGATCATGTCTACTGTTATTTATTTCATTATGAATGAATTGGGAGAAATGGTGTGTTATCTTCCAACAAAAGGTGGTGCTATTTCTGATATTGCCGTTAGATATGTTGATGAATCTTTAGGTTTCGCCACTGGTTGGATTTATTACTATACTTTTGTTATTTTGTTATGTACTGAAATTACAGCTGCTGCTATTGTTATTGAATATTGGACAGATAAAGTTCATATTGCAGTTTGGATTACTATTTTCTTGGTTGTCATTATTGGTTTAAATTTCCTTGCAGTTAAATATTATGGTGAAGCTGAATTTTGGTTTGCATCTTTGAAAATTTTCTGTATTATTGGGTTAATCATTGCTGGTATTGTGATCTTCTTTGGTGGTGGTCCAAATCAGCATAAAGTTCGTGGGTTCCAATATTGGAATAACCCAGGTGCTTTTGTGGAACATTTAAGTCATGGTAACACTGGTAAATTTTTAGATGTTTGGACTGGTGTTATTAAATCAGGGTTTGCATTCATTGTTGGTCCTGAATTAGTTGCAATTGCCGCTGCTGAAACTGAAAACCCAAGAAGAAACATTGCTAAAGCTGCTAAAAGATTTGTTTATAGATTGATGTTCTTCTATGTCGCAGGTTCTTTAGTTATCGGCATTATGGTTCCTTCAAATAATCCAAACTTATTGAATGGTTCTTCATCTGCTGCTGCATCACCTTTTGTTATTGGTATTAGATCAGTTGGTATTAAAGGTTTGAACCATGTTATTAATGCTGCCATTTTAACTTCAGCTTGGTCATCAGGTAATTCATTCTTCTATGCTGCATCTCGTACATTATTATCATTAGCTAAAGAAGGTAAAGCTCCAAAAGTGTTTTTAAAAATTAACAGAAATGGTGTTCCATACGTTGCATGTGCTTTAACTGCTTTGATTGGTGTCTTGTCTTACTTAAATGTTTCAAGTGGTACCTCAAAAGTTTTCAACTGGTTCTCAAACATCAGTACTATTTCAGGTTTCATTGGTTGGATTGTTATTGGTATTGCTTATTTACGTTGGAGAAAAGCTGTCATTTATAACGGGTTATGGGATCGTGTTCCATTCAAAACCATTCTTCAACCATATGGTACTTATTATTCAGTTGGTTTCATTACATTGATTTGTTTGACTAATGGTTATGCTACATTTTTCGGTAAATTTGCCGCTGCAGATTTTGTTGCTGCTTACATTACATTACCTGTTTTCTTCTTATTATACTTTGGACACAAGATCTTTACAAAGAACTGGAAATGGGCTTATCCAGTTTCAGAAATTGATGTTTTAAGTGGATTAGAACATGTTGAAAAATTGACAGAAACTGCTCCAACTCCAAATCCAACTACATGGTATGGTAAAGTTTGGGCTTGGGCTATGTGATGTCAACTAGTTCATATTCAATTGTTATTATTATTTATATCTTTAGTGCGTGGTTTCAAATTAATTGTTTTCAGGTGTACACCAGTTAGTTGATCTGCTAGTGTGTCCTGGGGGCTTTTGTCAATATTCCTTATGGATTAGGCCAATTATCAATTGGTCTCTTTGACAGTTAGTTGATCTGCTGTCTATCTGTCTCTTTCATTTTAATGTTTCTCAGGTTATCATTTGTTTTTCATGTTTGTTTTATAATGGGGATATATATCTTTTCTAGAATACAAGAGTTTTGATTAAAGATTGAACATGTACTTTCTGCCATTAACGACGGGTCGATAATGCTCGACCTTTTGAAACTGTAAATACTAACAATAGCTTTCAACATTCAGGCTATTCTTTCATGGTTGTAAATTCTATCTAGGGCTCAAGACTCGAGTGTACTTGATGCTCCATTGATTGTGGTCTGTATTTTCCTCAAAATACAGCCGCTCAGCTAATCGTTTATCATAGAAAGTAAGATGGCAAAACGAGTTGAAAAGACAGAAATCAGACATAGATTCGCTCATGTTTGTTGATAATGTTAATTGATGTGTATAGTTAGTGGTTTTGAACCTGATCAAGAGCCCAACCTAATTTGTTAGGTATAAATAATATCAGAGCCTCAGATTCATGATGCTTCATAATACATCATACTTGTTCTCAAATATGTTGTTTTACCCTTTGAAATGGAAGGTGGAAAAATCTGTATAAATTTAGAGACACTTGAAGGAAACAATCAATATGAATGGACTTTTTGAACCAGTAATACAATAGAACCTGGCTATTTGGAGATGACTAGTGACTTGATGAAGATCTTTAGCATAGGAACCAAGAACCATTTGAAGTGAGTGTTATTCATGGTCTCAACAAAGAATTAGCTGTTTGAAAACGCCTCTAAGTCAATTAGATATTGCACTGTCCAAGCCCAAGATATTCTGATTACTTCTGGTTAGACATCAATAGCACCATACTGCCCCAGAAAATAGCAACGGCTCTATTCTAGCTCCATAAATGACTGACCACTAATGTCTTATTGGATGACACAATAACCAACATGATACGTTTTCGATCGTGACTGGCATTGTATCATTAAATGTTGTTGACACCATATCGATGAAGATGAATATTCATATTAGCGAACCCACTAAAAAACTCACGATAATGCAGCCAACGAACGTTCTGTACTGCAAACCAGAAATATACCAATTACTGTCCTTTGGTTCTAAGTTGTAGACCGGCCTGAATATGTTCTTCTTGATGGGAGTTGTACTTCAAAAGAACTTGACTAGGTTCTTTTCGACTCTGCCTGTGTAACTCCTCATGTTTCGTTTTCTAGAAGCCCACAATGCCAGACACTTTGGCGCTGAAAATAATCCCAGAAGGGAAACGCATGGGCGAAATATTTAATTTTTGCAGACGACATGCGTAGCAATCAAAGTGTCAAATAATTCTTCAAACATGAAGAATTAAATCACTACAAATTCCGAAGGATTCAGATGGCACTAAATTGAAATCTACTTATAGAGATGAAGCATATATATAGTATTCAGTTTAGTTTGGAATCTAAAGTTCATTCTTTAGTGATCGTTCCTTTTAGCTTGCGTGTACCGATTGAATTAGCATCACTCTGTGAATTTGCGAAGTGCAGCAGAAATTCCACACTAGCGAATTTCATGATTCTCTTATGTCGTCTTATTATGTAAGGATAGCTGAGGGTAACTGAGATAAATTCCCACTTTTACAGGGTATCACGTATACTTTTGTGAGTTTTAACTATGTGAGATATGTCCCAGTATTGAAGGGATTTGTTTACCCAAGCCCTTCCCGATCGGGCAGTCTTCCTCAAAGGGGAAACAAATTGGCCGTTCTTGTTTTGGTCTTTTGTTTGTAATTGCCTCGGCAACGTGTCCCAAAGAGGAAATTTCAAATGTCATTTTCATGCTGGCTTATTTCAAGTTTTGCTCAAAGTAAACAACTCTGTGAGTGGGAAGAAGAAGGAAAAAAAAACATCATCATGAAGTTTAGATTTCATCCTTTATAATTAATACTCTTTCCTCAATTCTTTCCTTGTCGAACAGTCACACTTTTGAGAAAGTTAGAAGCCCAATCGCTATTACACATCTATCAACATGAGAGTGAATTTCGCAGCTTATGTTGTTCAATTATTTTTTTTAGCTGGGTATGTTTTTTTAAGGGTTGAGCTTAATGTATTTTTAAACAACAATCCAAACAATTTAAAGAGTCCAAGTACTAACAATTCTCTCTTCTAGTTTAACCTTGCTTTTGATTTTGATTGTCCTTTCAGGTTCAATCGACCATTTCCCAATCAACAAATTTTATTGGATTGAAGCTGATACCTCAGGTATGGGCAATGCCCCAAGTTTATCAAGATGGACCTTTTGGGGTTTAGCTAGTGAACAAAATGGTAAAAACTCCAAGGAAACATTATCTCCAGCTTATCCATTCTCACCAGTTGATAACTTTGATACTACTGAAAATGTTCCAAGTGACTTCGTCAGCAACAGAGACACCTATTACTATTTAACTAGATTTGCATTTGCATTCTTCTGGATTGCCTTAGCTTTTGTTGGTGTCTCATTATTGATCAGTATCTTTTCAGTCTTTTCTTACTCAATCATTAAAGTCAACTCATGGTTAACAACTTTAGCCCTTATCTTTGATGCCGGTGCTGTTGCTTTCATGACTGCTGCTATTGTTTTAGGTAGATCAGCTTTCAAAAGTGAAAACAGATATGTTCATTTAGGTCCTGCTTTGTTAGGTATCGCATGGGCTTCTGTTGCAGTCTTGATCATTTTATTCTTTGTTTCATGGGGTGAATTAATCTCAGCTTCTTACAAAAAACACAAATCTAGAGTTAGAGCTGAAAAAGGTGAAGAAGCTTACATTCCACAAAATCAACAAAATGAACCAATTCCTGCACCACCAGCTGCTGGTCAAACTGATTACACTGCCGAAGATCCATATGCTCAACAAAAGCAAGGTACTTTAAACAACGAAAGTGGTATCAAATTTTTCAAAATTAGACGTCACAACAAAGAAGATGGTGAATCAGTATAAACAAATTCAAAAATAAAAAACACCAAAACATCATTAAAACACTAAAGGACAACAATCTTTTTAATATTTGCGCCTTTTTCCAAGGTTTAATTTATGATACCTGATATCCTTTACGTATATCAATCACTTTTTTTTAATACTTTTTTACCTGTTAATTTTTTTTATATATATCCAGAACCAGTTGTTTTCTTTTCAAGAAAAACTCCAATATTAATCCATTCTTTCCACGTTTTATTTTAATTCCAATTGAGTCACTAATTAATGATTGAATAAATCAATTTGAATTTTTGATATGTTATTTTTTTGTTGTACTATTATAATAAACAATATTCTACTTTATATCATGTCTGATCTATTAGTGTGTGTCCCTTAACAGGGTGTTTTCGCGAATTCTGGTGATTTGAAATTCGACGCTCCGGTGGCGAAAAAATTTCCTTTTTTTCAAAATTCGATTTGTTCGAATTGAAAGAAAAAGAGCAAGTTCCGACTTTTACGGTTAGCACGAAACATAAACAAACACAAGCTGTTGATAGTGTAAAGGTGACAGATAGCTATAGAACACTAGGAAAAGAGTGTTCCCATCATATCAATCTACAAATATATCCAATTTAACTGCTTTCCAAATACTCTAGTGGTGTTTTTTTGCAAAGTTCTCATTTGAATTTAAGGAGAACGCTTATAAACTACTTCAGCAAACTCATCTTATAACAATAGGAAAAATGTCAAACAGTATTAACCCTTTGATTAACTTTGATAGACCACAAGAGCATGCTATTGATTCTGCCCTGGTTCAAGCACTAGATAGTTATGAAGCTGCTCAAGTTCCTCATCATTTACAGCAGTCTCATAACTTAGGTAGACAACAAGTCCATCCACATCAACATCACCAACAATTGCATCAACAAAATAATGGTCAACTTCAACATAAACAACATGATCAATCAAATGACCAAAGACTCCTCCAACAAGTTCCAATTGATCCTTCGATTAATGATAGTACTTCAGAAAAAAACGCTGCTGTAGCTGCTGCTGCCGCCGCTGCTGCTGCTGCAAATGATATGCTCAATGCTAGAAACACTGCACAAGCCGCTGTTAACTCTTCTAGCAAGATGAACAACTCTAGGAATAATAGTGCAAGTACTGGACCAAAAATAACAAAACCAAGAATTAATAAACCAGGACAAAAATTCGGTGCTAAAAAGAAATCGTGGGTTTGGAATTGGTTTATTCAAGATACTGTTGATTCAAATGTTGCTACTTGTGATTTCTGTGGTAAAGTTATCAAAAGATTAGCTTCTGACAAAGGCTCTCCAAAGAAATTAGGTGAACATTTGAAAACTCATAAAATTGATAAAAATTCAATAAACCCAAAGAGAGATTCAATGATTGTTGGTGATGCTAATCGTCATTATTTTAATACTTTAAATGCTGCACAAACCTTCAAACCACATCCACTGTCGAACCAGCCATCATCATCAAATTCACAGTCTCAACAATCGCACTCCCAACAATCACAACAACAAAATAATCATCAAACATTATCACAAAATAGTCCATACAGTCGTCAACAGACAACTGGTGCTTCAAACACAAATGCTGAATTCACAAACACAAATTATGATAGATCAGGATTCGACCAAAACCCATACTCACAACCAAAGTTTCAAAAAGATATAATGAAATTTCTGGTTGAAAATAAATTACCATTAGCAATTGTCAAATCACCATCTTTCAGACAAGTTATATTCACATTGAAGCCAGAAGCTATTCCTGATTTAAATGAACTGAATCATCTATACTCTTCTCTACTTGAAGTAATTCATAATGAGAAAGGTCCTTTAAGTAATGTTGATGATGTTAATAATGATCAACAAAATGATTCTGCTGATCACCAAACTTCTCGTCATGATGATTCCAATGTTGATGACTCCCTCACTGCATCTACTTCAGGTTGGGTTTAGATATCTATCTGTTCGAGTTGATGTGGATGAAATTGAGAAATATGTGTATTATTACTAAGTCGCGCTGCTGTTTTGTTTAGAATGTTGAATATTCTTTTACTTGTTCTATTTGATTTATTTTTATGTTATATTGTTAGAAATCTTGTTTTGAATTGAAACAATTTGTATACTTTATGGCTATCTTCTTGAAAACCTACATTTTATTAGTAATGTTTTTGTAATTTCATTAATGTATCTTCAATGAACATCGGGCTGTCTTATTAAAGGTAGTATATGTAACTTCTAACTCAATTCATAACTTATAAGGTGTTTTAGGTGCTCCATTGTTAGTTTGAGCTGGTACATTTGCCATGTAAAAGTTTAAATGGTTACTTTTAAGCATCCACAAATCTTTGATTTTCTCACTTGCGTCAACAGAATCAATTCCATTTTTAATCATGAACAGACACTTTTCAATTATTGTTATAGGTATCACCAAAGTAAAGTTCGGAACTATTTCACCATTGCTCAATTTTCCATTTGAAGTCATTATACCAATCAATTCACCTTTTTTATTGAACAAACCACCTCCCGATGATCCATTCCAACATCCAGCTGAAGTAAGAATCATGGCTAGTTCTTGAAAACCGTTGTCAATCTCTATAGATATCAAATCAGTTATCTTGCCAACGGAGTGCAATGGTGTAAGCTGGTTGGTATATCTTGAAAAAAATAACCCATTTCCAACTGATGTGACTTGAGCACCAATTCTCAACGATTCTATTTGGGATTTGTATGTATTACATAGATCAGCAGGTTTGATGTCAAAACTGGACGGTCTTATCTTCAAAAAGTATAAGTCATAACCTATTATAGGCGAGGGAATAAGGTCCACATCAAAAAGTGAGAAGGTTTTGCCATTAGCCGTTGTGATTGTCAGTGACCTCAACTCATTATACCTCATCACATGTTCATTTGTCACAATAAAGTCATTTGATAGAATAACACCACTTCCCCAAAAGTTCTCATCATTAATTGTTTGGATTGAAATACGCACAACAGATTCAGGTATATCTTCAAGATAATTGTGCTTAGGTTTTGAAGCTGTATCTCTGTGAGAGTTCAAGTTAATTTGTGGGTAATTCAATAACTCAAAAATTGAAGACCACGAAACCACGGTAAGTAGTGAGCCATCACCATTTGTTTTGACCAAAGAGCCAGCAACTAACCCAATTGATTGATCTTCTCCATTATCTAATTTCACTAGACCTCCAACTATATCATCAAAATACCGACAATCACTGAAATATCCTAATCCATTACGAAACTTATAGTTCAATGTTCCATGGTGTTTATAGTTTATGAAAATCGAAACATTGGTTAAACTGAACGGACAGCAATCGATGGCCACATTTGAAGGAATTTTGACAGCTGAACCATCTATAGGATTCAAAGGAAGAAGGTATCTTGGTGCAAATAATGGATATACATTTGGATCACTTAGTGATGGTATTTTAAAAGTCAATAAGCAAAGATTTTCAATGCCAGTTGGTTTGAAAGTGAAGCCGTCACAAAGAACAAGGCCCTTCACAAATTCAGAAAATGAGTCTTGGTGATTTTGAGCCTTAAAATATCTAACGTCTTGCAATTCTAGTGGTACCCAGCTTATATACTCATGGTTGATAAGCTCATTGGCTGTGAAACGAAAGGAAAAACTTGAAAGGTTGGATAAGCCCGTGACAGACAGTATCAAGTACTCAGCTGTCAATATATTGAATAAGTAAACACCACTTGTAGCATACGTATGATTTGAATCACTCAGGTGAATTGATATAGGAGAGTAAACCCAATCAGACATAACCCAATGAAAAAAATGAATGAATATTGATAGTTTTTGTGTTTGTGGTTAAGCAAAAGAATGTGAATAACTAGCTAGTTAACAGAAGTGCTCATCAGTGAAGATTTCCCAGCTCTTTGGATAGGTATCACCATCTCAACAATAATAGTATAAATCATCAAATTTCAATGATCAAAGTTGAACTCCACAAAGAAAATTACGACGTGTATCTTGGAAGTTGGATCCGGGGACTATCATGCCTCTTTGAGATATCCGATCCATCAAGTCACGTGTCCGGGCTCTTCGGTAGGAACACTACACTCAAGTCAAAAAAACGCCAGAAGACACGGATCAACCATGTTGATTCTTGTCAAAAGATTGAAGATTTGATTCTGAAGCATTGACGTCTCATAACTGGTGTATAAGAATCAAAATGACAGACTACCAAAGAGATTTCTCAACAGAACCACCTATATATGAATACGGAGATTCGTCATTCAGAAGGAGCTTCAATGAATCAAAAGAGGCTATAAGAAAACTAAGCTACCAAACGTTAGACTGGTGGTATGAACAGCCATTATATAAAAAGACTTTATTTATTCTCATAGATGTGCTATTCGTTCTATTAGTTGTGCTATTCGGTGTTTATCATGAAACATTGATAGGATACGTTGTTGAGTATTCAGATAAATGGTCCCAAAAGCCCATAAGTGCCTTTATTATTGGATTGATGCTATTTATTATATCATTCCCTCCATTAATCGGATTCAGCTTTACAAATACAGTGGCAGGTGCGTTTTACGGCGTTAGTATAAAAGGCTGGCTAATTATAGCAGTTAGTTCAATTTCCGGTTCAGTTGCTGCTTTCGTTGTCTTTAGATATATGTTGAAGTCTAAAGCGCAAGCCTTAGTTTCATCGAACAAAAAACTTTTTGCTTTTTCAACAATCTTACAAGAAAATAATAGTTTTTGGTTATTGACATTAATAAGGCTTTGTCCTTTCCCTTATTCATTGACTAATGGTGCTTTAGCTGCTATTCCTGGTATCACAATCACAAACTTTGCATTGGGTAGCATTATAAGTTCCCCAAAATTGGTGATTTATTTATTTGTTGGTGCTAAATTAAAGGACTTTGGTAAGGCGAAAGATACGTCGACAAAACTTGTTGATCTAGTCTCAATTGTTTTCACATTTATTTTTCTAGCCATAACTGGTTGGCTATTATTCACCAAAACAAACCAAAGAATTAAAGAACTGGAAGCTCAAAGAGGTTTACAACCGGAGGGCTCGAATGACTTGAATGAGGACTTTGAAAGATTTTTGGAAAATGATGGACATGCAGATACAGTGAACTTAGATGCCGAGTTTGACCTTGATAACGATTACATCAAAGATACTAATGCCAACAAAAAAGATGATAGAACAATTGTTTGAATAAAATTACTGTATCTCGTGGTCAGTGTATAAGCGTTACCTCAATTACAAAAATTCTCTTTCAATAGTAGTTAAATATTAATCCAAAACCTAGTATATATACAACATTTCAAAACCTTATAATTCCAATTAAACTATAGCTTACCCAAATACCAATTCATATAAAAAACCCAAAATACACCCTATTGAGAAACATGATCATCCACTTTCACTGGATCTTCATCATCATAACCATCATCATCGTCATAATTAGCTGAAAAGGGAGTGGTGCTGTTGACCTTGGATGGAGAGGAGCTAAACAGTCCATCTTGACCATCAATATTTGTAAAGGATCTCTGACGTTGTCCAATATCACTATCACCGCCAAAAGCTGAAGAGGAACCATTGGATCTCGAGTAACCTTCAAAGCTTTTTCTTGAGGGAGATCTAGCCTTCTTAAAGTAACTATCATGATTCACATGGAAACTCAATGGAGATTGTGCTTGACTTACATTTCCTGAAACTGGTAGGGAGTAGTCTTGTCTTTTATAGAAATTTGAGGTCTCCAAAGATTTTCCTGTTGCAGAATAAGATCTGTGAGCTTTAACATCTCTCCCACCAGATTCACTTAAATGTCTGGCTAACTGACTTTCAGACCCTTCAACGTGCAAATGAGACTTTACTGATCTCAATCCCCTTAATCTTCCAAGTGTTAAACTTTCCGATCTATGCCTGTGATGGAATTTTTGTTGTAGAGGCTGTGGTTTTCTTTCAGACTTTGGCGCAGAATAACGATTGTTGATATAGTTATCCAAGTAAACTGGGCCTTTAGTCAATGTTGTATCATTTGAAACATCCGAATAAAAATTTGGAGAATTAACCAATGCCAAATTGGAGTTCAAGTTTTTGAAATTTCTGCTTCTCAACAATTTGATGGCACCATCCAATGCAAATTCAATTCCGCAGTGGTTCTTAATAATGGATATCTTTGGCCAAGTTGCCCTAGCACCTTTCATAGTACATTGTAGTAAATATTCTGGAGTTGGGTTTGCTAGCAATTTATTCAATTGTGAAACTTCATGTAAGTCAGGTAGAATTGTTATATCTCCTGAATATTTCTGAGAGAGCACAGAGACAAGTTTTGTACACAAATTTCTTGCAATACCAACCTCTGCACTCATCTGAAGATAGTGGATAACTTCAGCTGACCAAAGGCCATAAATTTGGCCCAGTTTGGTTTTAAATTTTGCACTATACTCTGTTTCAATTTCACCACCAACACAGGTCACTGATAATTTCAAGAAAGGGACAACATGGGGATTAACTTGACAAGCAATAATGTGGTCGACATTGAACATTTCGGAAAGTCTCGTAATTGGTAAATCATTATCGACCGATCCATCCACAAATTTAACTGATGCATGATGCCATTCTTGTGTAACACCAGTTTTCAAATTTTTCTCATAGATCGTTGAAGAGGGAAAAACACCAGGCAAAGAACATGAAGCACAAACGGCTGACCAAATCAAAACTGAAGGGGCTGTTAAATAGTTCAAAAGTCTTGGGTGCTCATGAACACTTGCTGGTGACACAGTTATATTTAAAATTCTTCCCGTTCTATTATAGGCTTCTCTAAAAGTAAGATCTCCTAAGAAATCAATCATGGTATCTTGCAAATTTTTATTATCATACCAAGTTCCATATTTAAGAAATCGTGAAAGGCATATCAGAAATGTTTGTATGTTTTTTTGTTCTTCAAATATATCAAATTTTTGTTCAACAATAGTCTCCATTAACTCTTGAATTTCATCAGTGTTATGAACTGAAAGTATACTCGCCACTATAGCGCCAGCAGAACTCCCCGATATGATTCTAGGCAAAACATCTTCCTCCAACAACGCAGCTAAGACACCAATGTGGAAAAGACCATAGCAACCTCCTCCAGATAGCACTAATGCAGTTCTTCCTATATTCTTTCTCGTTTGAACAAGCATTCCCAAGATATATCTGTCATCCAACCCATGGTTGTTGTTTTCTTTTGTGACTTCTTGCAATGCCAGTTCACATTCATGAAGGTACTCCTCAATCAACTTCTTAGTCCCCGTATGAGAATGACGATAAAGGTTGACATTCCCTATATTTCCAATGTTTCTAGTCCATGTTGTTCTTATTAAATAGAGCAATTTGCGTATATCACCATCAAGCCTGGCAGAACGCAATTCCATCATATTTTTCTTAACAATTGAAAAATCATATAAGTTTGATTCTGCCTCCTGCTTCCACTTATTGAAATCTTGTAGCTCATCAAGATCGTTACACACTTCCATCCATTTTGAATAAGAAATTGCGGTTTTCTTTTGGAGTAGAAGATTATCAATCATCTCTTGCTTGGTAAAGTGTTCATAACTATAGGACGAGAATCCAAACTTTCCAGCAACTGAAGCCAGCGCAGACTTTGCAAGACCAACTGCAAATGCGAGGGTTCCTTGCTCTTCATCAACAGGTGAGTTCTTGGGCTCATCCTTTTCGTGATCATCATCCTGAGCGGATGACTTGCTTCTGTATTTAGTGATGAGAGACTCTGTGATGGACCGCAGCGGCTTTGCCTTTAAAGGAAACGCTCCACCAAATTCATTCATCTGCTTTTGATTGACCAGAATAGTTTGGTTTGAGAATAGTTAAACAATTGATCGATTATCAGCCTGCCTCATCACCAAATTAAATATTCGCGAATTATGACCTGTTGCTGAAGTAATCACTGACACATTCAGTGCACGTCATGTTTTGACAGCTTTTTAGTTTTTTTTTCATGTTTTGAAAAGTCGCGTTCTATGATGGCTGAGATTAAAATCTGCGAAAACCCTAATAAACTCTCATCAAAACATTGTTTTCAGGAAAAAAAAACTTTGCTTCCACTCTAACGCGAGAACCACCAGAGGACTTTCATTTTCAAAAAAAAATATCATTCCTTTATTCTTTTTAGCCTTCTTGTCATTCAACACACTTTTTTTCATTTTGCATTTGAAAAATCAATTGTCGGCATTATAAAGTTGAAATAATAGGTCAGCGTTGAGCATGAGTGAAAACAGCGCTCAGCAGTCCAAGAAACCTGCATTTTTCAGAACTCTTCCTGAGAATATTGCTACATCACCAATTGGTATTGTGAAAATATCAAATAGTCCTTTTCCTTCTTTGGACCCTACAAGACAATTTAGATCGGTTTATGAGAGAGCTGGTTTTGATGTCTACAGGCCTAATAAGACAAGACAAAGTTCTCGTGTAACTTCGCCCGTTATCAAAGAAAATGGTTTCAGATCACAGTCAACATCTCAGCTGAATCAACAGACAGGGATGCCAAAAGTCTTTGATGAGAAAAGAAATTTTAGTGAGCACCATAATATCAGTCACAGTAACCATAACTATGGTGATCCAATCCCAGGATTCAATAAGGCACCTTTAACAATTGATGCTAACTTGGCTAATGGCTCTAAAGATGGTGAAATCACTACCCACTTATCAACAGGATCAACAGCTACAAGCACTTTTGATAGAGCAGGCCCTAAGCCTCTTCATAGTTCTACATCCAGCACATTTACAGATACAGAACCTAGATCAGCTTCAACAGAAACATTTTCCAAATTCCGTGAAGGTTCATCAAGCAACTTTGTTAGTGCACAATCGTTACCTTATTCTGCACGCTCTAAAAGAAGTTCAAAAGACTCTACTCATACTTACAACACATCACCTTCGTCTTCAAGAATTGCTAGAGAATCAAATGGTTATCATTCACCTGCTCAATCATTCCCAAGAATCAGTCCAACTAGAAAATTGTTTGCTCCTCAAAATTATGCTAATGAACCAGAAGTACAACAGGGCCGTGGTTATATGGCTCATGAATCCAATGATCTTTCATTTCAAGCTTCAACAGGAGGTGACCGCTCAATCGATACTGTAAAGTATACCCCAGAAGAGAGATTGGAACCAAGCTTGGATGTATCAATGAACAATGTTCCCCGTGGTTTCCCAGATAAGTCATACGAAAGTGTCAATCCGCTGTCTAATTCAACTTCTTTCGATGTTTCAGAGCCTATAGATGTTATTTCTGATGATGGTGTCGATAATTCAGATGACGAATCTTTCAAAAGTGAAATTTTATCCCCAAAGAACCAACATTTCAATTTTGAGAATGGTAAAGACCAGCAGCTTGATGATTCATTAAGCTTTGGCCAAGATAGTACTCAAAGGGATATATCATTGCAATTACCTGTTTCACCACCACAAAGTCAGCAACAAGAACAGCTTAATACTATTCCACAACTTACAGTGAGCGATACTGAAGGTAACTATGTTCATCATGATGACTTTTTACCACCAAGTGATTACAAAAAGTCTACAGATATGAGACAAAGTGCTGTTTCTATTGCTGCCAGCTCCATTTACAGCAATGATAATAGACAAAGCATCACACCAATCTCAGAGTTTGAGACTATAGAAGAGCATGAATTTGAAAATTATCCAGATTTACCAAAATCTTCAGGTCCAGTTTATGAAGAAATTGAACAACAATTGGAATCCTTAAGTATGAAATCTCCACAACCTTCTCAACCACCACAAATTTTGATTCATTCTTTAAAAGAGGTTTCTACAGACGCTTTTGATGAAGAGCATGATGAACCAGAAGATGTTCAAGAATTTCAAAAAACAAATGGGGCTAGATCCATTGACAATGTGTCCAAGAATAATGAGTATACAACTCAAGATCAAGATGAATACGTGTCGAAATCACCAAATTTAATAGAAGAGCACAAACAAGAGCCAGAAGTACCGAAATATCCTGCTGGTGAGGGTCCGTGCAGAAAATGTGGATTAGAGATTGAGAGAAAACCAATATATTCTAAAAGTGGTGAATTATCAGGTCAATGGCACAGAGAATGCTTTACATGTACTCTATGTGATTTAAAATTCAATAAAAACACTAGTTGTTTTGTTTTGAAAGACTTGCCCTATTGTGAATATCATTACCATTTAACAAATAATTCATTGTGTAAAGTTTGTGGTAAAGGTATTGTTGGTAAATGTTTGGAAAATGATGCTGAGGATAGATATCATCTTGAATGTTTAAAATGTACGAAATGTGGTGATTTCATAAAAAGTGATTATTTATCAATCAATGGCAAAGTGCATTGTGAAAGTTGTGCTACTGAATTCACATCTGGTTCTCGAACAAATGATCCAAATGATGTTATTGAAAGAAGACGAACCAAGTTGTACTTTATTTGATTTTTCATTAGTTGATGTGTATTATATAGCTGCAAGTCAAAATTTTAAAAAGACAATTTCATTCTACAAGTTGAACGTTAGTACAATTTATTTTCGATTAATTAATCATGCATTCTAGTATTAAGGAAACAAAACGGGACGTTAAGAAAAAACTGGCACATCGACGCAAAGGTGATCAATGGAAGCGACAAAATGAAACAAAATGGTGAGATGAAAAAAAGTAATTATTAAAATGTTCACTTTGGAGTTCCTTTGAAAAATGGATGAGCCATAGCTTCTTTAGCTGTTAATCTCTCTTGATGGTCATATCTTAACAAATGATCAATCAAATCAACAATTTCATCATCAACCAAGTACTTATTGGAATCAGTAACGAATGAACTCCATGGTCTTCTTGGGCATGGAAGCAAAACATCATTATATTCTTTTGACAACTTCAAGCCATATTTTTTTAGATATGAGTATAGTTCATCTGTACCTAAAACTTTAGCAATTTTGATTAATTGATCGAAATTGGAATCACCCCTGAAAAATGGTTCCTTTTTGAAAACTATGGCAGCTAACATGGCACCAACAGACCATAAATCTAGAGAATAATCATACTGGTTCAAATTTACAAGTAATTCTGGACCTTTGTGATATCTTGAAGCAACTCTAACGTTATAATCAACACCAGGATGATAAAATTCAGCTAAACCCCAATCAATAAGCCTTAGTTTTTTGTTGAATGGATCAATCATGATGTTTTGAGGTTTCACATCTCTATGGATGATACCCATTGAATGTGAATAATCTAATGCAGTAAGAAGTTGAGTGAAGTAGTATTGAATGTCACTTCTTTTGAATTTTGAGTATAAAGTTCTAAAATCAACATTTTTAACTTCTTCAAATATCAAAGCAGGTATTTTTGAGTGTGCATCTCTGACTAAATCTAATAATGCAACAACATTTGGACCTCCTGTTAAATTCTGCAAGATCTTAACTTCTCTGTATATCTTTTTGATTTTGACTGGTTTCAACACTTTAATGACACAAGGTTGATTATTAACTATATTAAGACCTTGGAACACTTCTGAGTATTTACCACGTCCTATTTTGGAGACGATTTCATAGTTTGATATGAGGCCCCATTCAATTTCGAAGTTTTCATAATCCCAATACTCCTTTGGTCTTTTTTCATTAGCATCAGCATAAACCTTGGAGACTGAATACACTCTTTCTGCCTTTGGGTATGACATGGTGATTCTATTGACTAATAATTTGGAAGGTTTTGTAGTTGTTGAACTCGTGCGATCTTGAGTAATTATAAACAAAGGAAATTCACTAGCGGCTTGTGTAAAACTAACTGATGTGGATACTGAGCAGCTTCAAGAAACCCTAACACAACAATAGCACCCGCACAGGAATAAACGAATTCTTAGCTTCTTTTGAAGACCCTTTCGAGTTGATTAATAGCGCTGGTGAAGGTAGTTTTTTAGCTTTATTGTCTGCTCTGTTTTCATGACTTTTGGCAGAAGATCTTGGTTAAATTTTTTTGAGAATGCGAATTTGCAGGGTAAACACTAGACATTTGCAAGTCAAAACGCGTGTACTTGTAGCTGAAACTCTCCATATAAACCATCAGTAATCGTGTTGTGAGTGACTGCTGTTGGTGTGCTAATAGCTGGGTACCAAAGTCTGTAATTTGATCGGTGACTGAATCTGTTATGGTGCTGGAAGAGCGTTGTTTGAAGAAGATCTCCATAGCAGTTGAAAATGATAGTGCTTTATTTCATGGTTTGAATCAACTACAAGGTGAGTTGTTGTTCCTGATGATACTGATAACTTGATTTTACTAACTATTTGAACAGAAATTGAACTATGGAATAGCAAAAGTAAAATAGTTAATGAGAATATAAGGAATATATCAAGGCCATTAAAGTTTATCAGTCTAGTGAATCCAGTATACACACCAATATGGGCAATAGTTGATAAGCCATATATTGTGTAAGTTGAATTTGAATGTTCTGGAAGTATTCCCACTAACCAAAATCTATAGGTTCTCCTCTGATGAAAACACGCTGTCGGTATTCCAAACTTTAATGAACCATTCCAATTTAAAAGAAAATGTATTCAACAATGCCCTATTAGCCAGTATTAAAGATACTTTATTCATGCTGTTCTATATCGAAATGGTTAATGAGAGCCCCAGTGTCAAATGCTTGCTACTTGAAATCAATTTCAATAAGATAAATGAGGTTTTAAATGGAGAGGAAGATATGAGTACTGATGCCCCATCAGCATATTTTATTGATGAAGTGTTGGCAAAGAAAGATGAAATGATTGACAATCTGCTCAAAAGACGAAGCGATAAACAACAATTATCGAGGGCAAAGAAACAACAAGTTGAAGATACAGCTAAAGATCAACAGTTGAGGATTGTGAATGTTCGCCAAAATTTCAAAAAGATCATAAACAAGGAGGTGAAAAGAAGATTGACTGGTCGCCCAAAGTCCACACAAATTGAAGCTGGTGAGATTTGCTTCAAAGCTATGAGCTTCAAGTTTACCAGTCTAGAAAGCATGGATGATAGAGATGAAAGAGAAGTCAAAGATTGGCTCAATATTTTCTTGAGTGTATTGGGTCTTTGATCAATCTTTCTATGATACAAAGTGAATAACTACATTTCTAAGCGTATAGGAACTAATGAATAATGAACTAATATTGCATTTTACATCGATTCAATAATTTTTGTATATGGGAGTGCGATAACCAGATATTGATTTTTTTGGCCTGTTTATTTTTTATTCTTGATCCTTCCTCCATCTACAAACCTCCTAGAATCCAATAAGCTTCAAAACGTTCATCATGTCAGACAATTCAAACGGAAACCCTTACAGTGTCCTGGCTGCCCAGTTTAAAGAGTTGAGAAATCCTTTAAGCCAACTGAAAACTAATTATGACAAGTTCAAAAATTCATTCGAAGGTGAGAGAATCGACCAAATCAACACGGAAATTCAAAAAGTCAATTATTCTTTTAAATCAGCTACAAATGTTAAGAAATGAAACTTAATGGTTGATTAAACAATGTACATTAGGAATATGTAAATGACCAAGGAAGTGGAATGTCAAATGGAGTCAAATAGAAACCCGTGGTATGTTTAAGGTGGTGTCATTACTTCAATGAATCCAGTTTCTTCATCAATCCACATGTAACCACCATTTGGACCAATATGTGGACAATGGATGTTTGGATGGTATTATTTTGATCCAAACACTTACACCAAACCGTACCTCTACAACCTCCACATGATTTTCCAACTGAAATAGGCAACGGTATTTAAATATTTACCCACAGTTTCTTGTGACAACAATTCTTCGAGAAAGACCCTTAGAGAACAACTATCGATTAAGTATTGGCTATGTCAACATTCTTTAAATATAAGGAAAGGCAAGTGTGATGGCGTGTTGGTAACGTTCCTTGGCTGACACTCTTGGAATTCTTGAACTTTTGGTGTGGTTTGGGTGCAGTATTATGTTGAATATTTGCTTATAATTCTAAAAAAGTCACAGGCTAATTTATGAGTGTTGAATTGACATGACAATGGCTAGAAATACAGTACATGTCTTTGAACACTAAGGCCTGGATTGGGTACAAACCCGGCCATTGATAATGTTCAACTGGGAGGGCCTGAACTCTGTGTTTGATGACTATCAATACTGGTTACTTCCACACAAATATAACTTCTCAGCCTTATAAGTGAAGGTTGGCATTTTGAAAGTTCTTCGTTGAATCAAGTTTGAGATTTGACACATTATTCTTTTACTTGAATGAGACATTGGTGAAGTAAAGCATTTGAATTTGTAGTTTAATACAAACCCTTCTGTGTACACTCAACATACCCATATTACAATTCTTATTCTGGATTTAACTATGCCTTCTTCATACTTCTTAACTTTCTGTGAGCCATTAGGCCCAAATAATATAGAGAATCGTACTTATTGTGATCAGAACATCAACGTCTACATGAAGTTGTGAAGCCTGTAGACTACATTCTTGTAATTATATATTCGTCATAATGGAATAATGAAACCCATCTCGAAAGGAAATGAACCTTTGGGTATTGAGTCTTGACTCTTGCGCTCTGAGGTCCCTGTTATTGTCAATATTTGTAACTTGTAAGTGTTGTCACTTGTGTAGTGTTGGTTGAACAATCGTTGCAGTGCCGTGGGCCTGAGGCAATCATCAGTTGAGCCAAGCGAAGTATCTGTAGGCAGACACTTGTCTTGAGAAAAAGGTACCCGAGCCCAACCAGCTTCTTTGTAGGCTCGTTCGAAGCTAAAATTGTGACAAACCATATCCCACAACGCTACATTCCATAGACTTTATATAGCTCGTATTATATACAGTTAATCTGAGCTGAACAATAGTGTAGAAGGCTAGGTACACTAACTAATAAGTTGACGATCTGTGATCCCTAAACTCTTTTTGAACTTCTACTGCCTATCAGCGGTAATGCAAATTTTCCGGCGAGTAAAACTAAAAAATTTTGACTTGACTTGAGGTTGCAGCGCTTCTCATCTTTCCAGATACAGATATGAAATGCCCTGAGAGCCAATCAGGTTGAGTAATCACCTTCATGATGTGCTATCAAACCCTGACTTGACTCTTGATCTCCAAACTTAATTATTTTTTGATTAAGAACGGCTACAGATTTACTGAAAAGGGTCATAATTAAATGCAACAAAACCGTTGGAATTTACAACAAATTACCAGAAAGAGAATATTTCGATAATCCACAAATGGCATACAGTACAATCTAGCATCCTTGAAGATTTTCCAATGAAACTGGGTACCCATATAAAACCATGAACAATTCCTCAAATTATAAATGCTCAAAGTGCTCGAGGGCTTAACATAGAAAGCATCATAACAACAATGAAATTCCAATCATTACTTTCAATCGCTGCTGTTTTAGCCTCAGCAAGTGCTAAAAAGATCTTTATCGATAACGATGGTTTAGCACCATTGCAATTGTTGTTCCCAATCGCTGCTGGTCACGAAGTTTTGGGTCTATCAACTTCATTCGGTTCTGCTTCACTGGTTGATGGTGCTGGTCAAGCGTATGATATCTTGAACACATACAATCTATCTTCATGTGTCCCACATTATATCGGTGCTCAACAACCTTTATTGAGAACTTATGAAACTTTCCATGCTTGGGAAGATTTATTTGGAGCCTTGGTTTGGCAAGGGGCTTATGACCCACATTATAAAGATTCATACTCTTGGGAAAACATCACTTATAATGATACATTAGCTGGTGCAATTGCCTTGATTGATGCTGTTAAATCAAACAAAGATACTGATCCAGTTATTGTTTATGCTGCTGGTATGATGACAACTGTTGCTCAAGCTTTAAGTATCTATCCAGATTTGGCTAAAGATGCTCAAGGTTTATACATTATGGGTGGTTACTTTGATAATCAATATGCTCAAACTATTGGTGATTCTATCACCATTGATATCAACACCGATATTAACTTGATTCAAGATCCTGAAGCTGCACAAATCGTCTTAACTGCTGATTGGGATGAAATTGTCATTGGTGGTAACGTTACCAACTATTTGGTTCCATCTCAAAAACTATACGATATCCTTGAAGAAAAAGCAGGTGGTCTTGATGTTATTAGATCAAACCCATACTTTGCCCAAGTCTCAAAATTATTAGCTACTGGTAACTACTCACAAAATAATGATCAAGAAACTTTACCATTTTGGGATGAAGTTGTCTCTGCTTACATGTCATGGCCAGAATTGATCTTAGAAACTACCAATGCCTCTGTTGCTGTTGATACTAGTTTCTACTCCCCATTCTATGGTTCATTAAGAATGTGGAATCCAGAATGGGCTCCAAAAAGTGGTTACAAGATTGCCAATGCTACAATCATTGACAAAATCGATGACGAAAAATTTTACGGTTTATTGATTGATACTTTCTTTAAAAACTGGACTCAATACTGTGAAGTTGATGGTGCTGTTCCATTGATTTTATAACCAGTTTAATCAACCAATCGTCACATCAAATATGTTCAAACTTCTCATTTCACACTTCAATTACGTTGAACTCATTGAGGATCAGTCAACTTCAACTGGTCCTAACCCTTTTTAACTTAAACTCACGATTAATAATAATGTACAATACCCTTATTAGACAACAATTAACCAAATTGTAGTGGATAAAGCTGTAAGTGAACAAAGGCTTAACAAAAAACCATACTGACAGCTCTCCTATATGATAGTATAAAATTCCCATGTCACCTGACCATTGCTTACGTAAGCGTTATACGCTAGAGCCTTTCAGCCGCTTTTGAACGTCAGAACTCGTCCTTGTTAGCTCAGTTGGTAGAGCGTTCGGCTTTTACAGTCAAACTAGGGAAATCATTTCTTAGCGGAAGTTAACCGAAATGTCGGGGGTTCGAGCCCCCCATGAGGAGTTCTATTTTTTTTCCAGTTTTTGTAAGACTACAAACGATTATGAAAATCAACTGCTAGAACAACTTGAGATGAAGTTGAAGTTGGATAAAGATTTAGAATAGAGAGATGGTGGGGATTAGGTACAATACCCCTACGGTATTACAAAGATTTATTGAAACTCCCGTTTTGAAACTTTTGGATTATTTATTTTGACTTTTGACTTTATTAAGAAGGTTGCTCTATAAGGAAAGAAAGAAGGATAGAGGTATAAAATTGAGCTATTGATTAATATTGGAAATTTATTTGGAACAGTGTTATATTGGAATTATTATATTGAAAGTTGAAGTGTAAAAGTGTATAAGATTTTA